TAATCTATCATTATTTCAATGTATTATATTAATGTGTTACCTCCAAAATGTGTGGTAATGACCTCTTCTTTTCATAGTTTTCAAATATCTTATCACAAACACTTTTAATGTGATGTTCGTACAGATTTGGAATGCAAGTCATGTCGGAGACTTTGATATCTTGATTTTACAGATTTCTTTGTTTAGATTACCATCTTTTTTTCAGAACCTGAGTTTTAATCTTTCACATAACCTAATATTTTGTAACTTTTCAAGGGTTTTTGTACCTAATTTAATATTCCATAACTTTTCATTTGTTTTTCTCTTGAAGGCTTCCGACTTGCCATTGTTGAGGTCTGAGCTTGAATCTTACTAGTGACTATGATAGTTTGATATTTTTCAGATATTTTTTCATATACATTGGCACATAAGTTTTTGTACTTGTATACAAACATAAAGATGAATTTAATTTCACCATATAAATATCTAAAAGAATAACTCTTTAGATGATATTTTAGATTCATTTAGTCATATTGTGCAATTGTAAATCTCTCATGAAATTTATTAAATATTTAGTCAATATTCAGCAAATAGATTTTCGCTAATAGTATCAAAACCAACGACATCAATAATAGAACTATAGTCTAAAAAATGTCAATAACTATAAATTGGTTAAATTTTTGTATACATGAGCTATCTAATAAGGCAACATTTTTGTTAATATAACTCGACCATGTAATGTACTTTTAAATATTTTATTTCTAACTTTCTACAAGTACATAAATACATATAAATTTTAGTTTCCACTAGAAAATAAGAAAATAGAATTATATTGAACAGTTTGAAGTTTTTTAGCCTAGAGAAAAATTAAAAAAATTACCTTTGATCTAGATTATAGAGGCCAATAACTTAAGTTGGTTGGGTTCTCACTATTGGAACTTTTTTGCCAAAGTTGAGCTATTTTAATCCAAATTGTGGGGTCACCTGACTTGGTCAGAGTTTATTATTGGGTAATCTCCAATAAACTTATATAACCCAATCCCTAAGAACCTGTGCAATTTAAATAAATCATAATAATCTCCAATTCAAATAGACTAACATGTCATCATTTTAATTGAGTTATTTGGTTTTTGCTCATCTTAAGTTGCAATGATGATAAATACAGTCACTCTTCAGTTTAATCATAACTTTTCAATATATAATTTATACATAGAAAACAAAAAAACTCACACATTCACAACTCTACAGGGCCAAATATAGACACATATTCCCCAAATCAACAACTTAGGGGGACTAACAACATTATCAAGAACAAATACCTCTAGATTCAAGGTCTATAAGGCTGAAAATATTAACATTGACTAATCACTTATAAGTTCGAACTCTAGAATGGCTTTAAGTGCTTATCCATTCCAAATATAAGTGAAAATATTTACTGTTATTTGCAGTCAGCTCCAAGTTTCTAAGGGTCTTTAATCGTAAAATTTCTTATTAAGCAAGCTTTTGACATAGAAGAGTTCTTGAAGAGTTTGAGTAGTAACAAATTTTCTTTGATTTTGGGTGGTCAAGGGCAGAAATCAAGCTTGGACTCTTTGGGCAAAATCGTAAACTTCCACTGGATTATAACTAGATTACATTCAATCAGTAGCTTTAGTGGCCTTCACTAAATATCTAGGCCTTAACGAACCAATCACCCATATACTATGGCTCTAGCAACCGATTGTTAAATATCCAATCCTCAAAAAACCTGTGTGCTGAATGTTGAGGTTTCAACAAACCTAAGAATGAAGTTCAGAATAATTCAGCGTCCTTAAATTTCAGTGCAAATATTTATTTTCTTAAAGTCCTTGAACTTAGTTGAGGACCATTTAATGCAAGATTAAGTTAATGAAACAGCTATGAAGTTCTTTCTGTGATGTAGATTGCATAATTATACATCATAGAGAAAGGAGGAAGATTTAATACTCTCTCTATGTTTGAAGTTCTTATTTTATTTTTCTTGAACCATATTTATATGACATGAAACATTTCATTGTATATGTATCAGATTGGCCCATCCAATGGTACTCGCTACGGCTTGATAATAGTCTCTTTTTTAGTCATGTATGTTATTGAAATTTAAACTATATTTTTGCTTCGTAAGATTGTAAAAATCAAAATATATGAATATGTAGAGTCATTTTCTAATTATTTGCCCAATGACTATGTGGATGCTTGCACATGAGTGACTTTTTTTCAAAAAATATTTTAATCCTAGAGAGTTTTGATATGTATCATTTTCCCTTTGAGCACATTTCAGATATAATTTGTAGTAGTCCACATTTTGAGTACCATTTAAAATAATCATCCGAACATTATGATATTACCTTTGTCATCATTAAAATAATTAAGGATCCCAAAACCAACATAATATAATAATCACAAATTATCCTAACAATTTTGTCATTATGTTTTATGCATATACTATTCTCAGGTATTAAATTATTAAAAAAATATACAATAAAAAAAATCAATAAATCTAAATCATCAACGTAGTGGGTAAAAAATTAAATTGTTAAGGATATAGTGCAATAGTGATATTTTGATAATGATGCAATAGTGCTTACATTTTTGTCTCATGATCTCTTTGGTTTGGTTCAGCAAATAGTTTACAAAAATAAATACACACTTGCTTTCTTGGCTTTTAGCTCATCAAGATATATTTATAGTTTCATCCAAATTAGTTACAGCCAATTCAATATCCAACTATGATATATGTTTTGGCTTAACTCAATTGACCAACAACTTTTTAACATTAAGAGCGCAATAATAATTTCAACAATTTATTACATGTTAGCTTTGTTGGCTTTATCACACCAATATAACTCATAGTTTTATTTACTTTTTTTACAATCACCACATTAGCCATATAAATTTCTTTTTAGCTTTATCATGTTGGTTCCTAGATGTCATTTTTTGAATTAAAGAGAGTGGTTGAATTTATTAGATTAATTACCAATTCAGTTTTACTTTTAGTTCCCTTTTTAGTAATCTTCCTTTCTTAGTCGATAAGTTCAAGATATGAAAAAGAATAAGTACTAAATAATTGAGACACCATTAATCACTGCCTATAATTATAACTACTAACTTGAGATCAACAACCCCTTACACCATAGACTTCATGAGTTTATGAACTTTTCTAGAAGTCATTAGTCTAGCGAGCACACCACATGCCACTTCTACATCCACTAACCATTAACAAATGTCGTTCACTGCTATTAGCAAGTACATCATATGTGCTCTTCACATCAAACGTTGAACATACCTGATGTACTCTTCACATCAAACAACGAGCACACTAGAGGTGTTGTTCTCAGCAAAAAAAGATCCCAAACATATAATAAATCCTCAATAGGAAAGAGAATTGTCATTGTTGATTGTTGGCTTAGACAATGATCAAACTTCATCTATTCATTTATGCTTGAGAGAAAGGTGATTCAAGAGCTTTGGTGTTGATTTCTTCATTAGATTTTTGGCCAAAAGATGAAGGGCATCACTTGCATTGTTTTCGGTCTCCCTCTCTTCACAATTCTTAAAATTTCTTTGTGCCTTAATTTTTGGCTCCTATTTTATCTCAAGGCTTGGTGGGTTGGGCCGTTTTGCACAACTACTGCTTGATATAGGGCCCTGCTGTAGTCTATGCTTCAAGATCTACTTGGAATGTGGGCTGCATCAGACTTTGGACTTTGCTGCTTTGGTATACATTGAATAGGATTTGTCTATTCTATAAATTAAGCGAAGTACTAGACTAAACCCTTATGACTAATTGGTCTCATGTTAATGGACCAAGCTTATGAGCTTAGCTGAGTTGTGCATGATGGGACCACACCTAAGTGGCATGGTAGGTTGATGCTAAAACAAACTTGTTATAGACAAAATGTGCCATAGAATATAACAGATCATGAAGGATTTAAGTTATGATGTCTAGTAAGTTTGATCAAGACAATTTTTTCCTCAGCTTTTTACTGTCACACATGGTTCCTAATCTTGAGATACATATTCTATTTCTTATGATTTTTTCAGATTTGATCTCACATCGTCAAAAACAAATTTAATCCATTTACCTTGACATATCCAAGCAACCAATAGGCTTCTTAGACTTAGAGAATGTTATAAATTTATCTCTATCAAAGCATAATTAGATTATAATACCAGCATTAAATCAATATTATTGAGTGTTGTTCATGAAACAAAGTAGGGCTGCAACTTCTTTATGTGGGGTATGATAAAAACTTATATTAGATTCTACTCTTAAGAACTGCTCCTTCAGATCATTCACTTCAATCTCTTAATTATACAGTTCACCTCCATACCCAAGGAGGTGAACTAGAGAGAGCTAATCCCTCGTCCGACTATGAGTATCTCCATTAATAAACCATCTTAAAATTCAGTAAAATGGTATAAAAATCAATAAAGCCTTACACATGTTTAGTCAAGAAAAAAAATTGTCACAGGATGCTGATAAAGATGCGCTAGGTGTTGGCTTGTGAATAGAGGGGTTAATAGGTGATTCATTAAATAAAACAGATTGACCTACACACAAAGAAGTCAACCTATAACCTAAGTGTCAATACTGGCAAACAGAACTAGTGGTCAAGTATTTGTTTCCCACCAATTAGTGATCCAGGACAAAACTAACTAAGATTTATTCTTCTGAAGCTATAGGACTGTCATGGGACACCTTCAATTTTCATGCATTGCCAATTTAAATTTTAATGGTCTACCAAATAAATGGGTGTATGTGGGCACACATCACTATGCACACAAGCCAGGGCGAGAGTGCAAGGATATAACACGCACAAAGTGTGACAACCTACTTGAGTGGTCGGAGTAGAAGAACAAACAAAGGGGAGAGAGAGAGAGAGGGAGAGAAGCCTCGGTCGTCTTCATTTTGCTTCATTCACCCGAATCTTGGTTGACATCCGCCGCGGTCACATATCTCTAAATAGAACAGTGGGAACGAAATAGCTGGGGGATTGCACTCACACGGACGAATCAGCGGATTTGCCTTCCTGAAGAGAGATCACGGTTTCGAAGGCCCCGACCAATGCTTTCACCTTGCTTCTCCTGGTTTCGACTAGCTTGCTGGCGGTTTCTTCGATCACATGATTGAACAGACCCAAGACACCCCTCTTATCCTGCACATCTTGATGCCTCAGTACCACAGTCTCCGCTTCTGGGTCAGTCCGATTCGAGTTAGTCGGCTCATTCGCCTTAAACTTGATCTTCTTCATTTCTCCTTCTCCACTCCTGCTGTCGCCTGTGACGTAGTTGTCTGGCTGAAGGTTGAGTATCTTCCCTCTTCTAATCCTTAACTCGCACAGAGTCTCATCTTCATCTTCCTGGTGAGCCGTAGAGTCTGTTCCATGATGCCTCTTGTCTCCAGTTCGGGAAGTTGTGCTAGTTTCATGTCCACCCTCTTCGAAAACTGTATCATTCTGTTTGGAAGCTGCAGACTCAGAATCCTGATACTCTCCTTCATGATCTGAAAAAGATGGAGAAGAGGAGGAAGGAGATGACGGAGACGAGGATGAATAAGGAGATGACAGAGACCGTTGGCCTCTGCTCGACTTTGACTGGGCAGATACAGTATCTTCGTTCTCCGATGTTTTCGGCCCGATCAGATACAGAGCTCTTTCTCTTAATTGTCCATCTCCAAGTTCCGTCTGCTCCACTGTCTTGGGATGCCTCCCCGTAGAGGTGGACTTTGCACTATTGCAGTTCCTTAAAACATGGTCAACCGGAGGCTGAGGCAACAAGGACCCAGATCGAGACTTCAAATTTTTCCTCAGAGAAGATGCTGTCGGGTTCCAAATTTTTACTATCTTCCTCCGGCTATTTCCGCCTTTCATTCCGGCTGTAGGCCTCAGCAGAGATTCTGACTTCACAGAGGACGTATTTGACTTTTCAGAAGTAGCTTGTTTTGACGATGCATCAAATTTTTTGACATGCGAAGTATCCTCTTGCTTGAAAACTTTCGATTTCCCTGATGAAATGGGTTTCCCGAAAGTTGACAACAGAGACTTCTGCCCGATTTGAGGCGCAAAATTTTTGAAGGAATTTTGTGCAGAATGTTTCTTCACGCCGGCAGTTTCAGAATTTCTAGAGGCTTCAGTTTTCTTCATGAAGGAAGGAGCATTTTTAGTCACAGAAGCAGAATCATCAAATGACCCAAGGTGCTGTAATGCACCTTTCTTCATAGTTTTGAATCCCTCGGAAGGTGCTGTAATGCAACCTTTGATCCCAGACTCCGCATATGATGTACTTATCTCAGGAATTGTAGTAGTTTCCTTGATATTTTCTGATGGTAGGGATAGATTAAATCTCTTCACCAGGAGCTGAGTCTTCTTCCCCCAGTCCTTTCCACCATATTGCGATCCAAATTTGGGAGCCATGGCCTTCTGCCTCTGGGGAGACTTCCTCTGTCTCTCCGCTAGAGTCTGGACGTTTACTCGATTTCGCTGCGTTAATAAGGCCATACCAATGCTTGATGGCAAGGGAAAAGAGGAATCCCTTCCCTTCAATTCAGCAGTGTGATTCCCTCCATACTTGCAGAAATCATGGCAGGAACCTGCAGAAGCTGTGAGGTAATGAGGGAGAACCTTTTCTTTAGTACTTAATTGTGACAACAAAGATTTACTGGATGGTTTTCTTGTAAAACTCTTAATATCTCTCCTTGAATTTCTTAGTTCAGGGGACAAGGATATAAGGACCCCTTCAGCTTTTTCTTTCTTCATCTCGGAAAAATTGGCGATGAGCTTCAATTAAATGTCAACCTGGGGATTTTGATTGATCTGCGGAGAAAAAAGAGATCTTCCCAAGATCAATGACGCAAAAATGGTTGACGATTTTGGCATTAAAACGACTTAAATAAAAAAAATAAAACATATAATTTCAGACCGTCTAATCTGATCTGTAGATTATTCCACTTTTGGAAGAAGTGGTCTATCATGATGTTTGTTGAGAATTAAAAATATAAAGAGTGACACTTAGTCATCCATCATTCAAATTCAATAATATCATGAAATCAGGCTCAAAGATGCTGTTACCATGAACTCTTGAGCAGTCTGATTACATAGTATTAATATGACATGTGGAGTATAAGAAAGAAATTATATTATCAGAAGGACGAAACCCCAAGACTTTGTCAACTTTTAGCAAAATTTTCCAACCCTGAACGAAGAAAAATCATTGAACCAGTGAATTAAGGACAGGTGACGATTTTAGCGAAATTTTCCAACCCTGAACGAAGAAAAATCATTGAACCAGTGAATTAGGGACAGGTGACGATGAAAGAACGCATATCCTACAGGGAAATCTCATCAAATATATATCAGTTAATTTGCCTAAAATATTATTTCAATTCATTACCGAAAATTAGAATTCATTAATGCTCAAGAGGCATAGCTCGCCGATTTCTCTTGATACTGAAAAGAAAGTCACAAGAGACTAGTAAAAGCATTAAGTTCTTGAAGAATCAAAGAAGGTAGCTCATCTCAAGAATATGAACCACAGCTGTGACACAAAATAATCTCCAAATGCAATTTTAGGAAAATACAGGCTTTTTCCCTTTTCTTGAAGTACACACGTTAGGTCCCAGGATGAAAATTTAGTAAGAACCGAAAATCGAAACGAATTATTATACCACATCAAGAGGAAAAGGAACTAAACTGAAATCATAGAAATCTGATAAAAGAGGCAAAACGGACCCCGCTCAATGCACAGATGAGACAGAAGAACACAATTTTGAATAAATCTCCTCGCTTACACCTAGCGCCTACAAGTTAAATTCCCGCTCTCGCCATTTTCTTCAGCAACAAGAGACAGAGTCCCGGGAGAAAGAGAAGAAATATTCCGTTTCGAACAGCGGGAAAAGAAACTGAGATTAGATCCGTCCAGAAACGGGTTAGACAGAACAGAACACACGCACCACACAGAATTCATGCGTCCTCCAAGACGAGAAGCATTACAGCTCTTATCTTCACCCTTGTTTTCTCCAACAGGGGCCCGAGGCGTCCGCTAATTGACACGGAGAGGTTGCCACGCTGAAGATGGAACCGTAATTCTCGGCAAAAATTGAATTGACAGGGAGGAAGCCTCTGTATTCTGGCCAAAAAAGGGACCACAGGTATTCGATTGATAGGTAGATAGGTAGTAAGAGAGGGAGAGAGGAAGGGAGGAGGGAAAGGCATCGTCACCTACAGGTCCCGTGCAAGCAGCATTCATGAGGATCCTCCGGCGAAGACTGCGGCGAGGTTGTTGTTTGTTGCTGTTGCAAGCAGGTGAAAGGTGGCCAGCGGTGACGTAGTTTCTTTTATTCATAGGCCCCACCGAATCCCAAGGAAAGCGAAAGCGCGACGCGGGGTAGTGAGATCGGCGAGTTATAATGAGTTCAGTTTAGGAGGGGGGAGGTGGGGACGGCAGCGAGCGGACATGCGTTGTTTCTCACTTAATAAAAGACGGTTTCGTATGAACAAAGTAATCTTACCAAAGGTTTCGTATGCTGCGTGTTTTGGTCCTCGAGCCCATTAAACAGGCCGCTTTTATAGTGGGCACAAAATGAGCCCAATATGGCCTCGTGGAGCGAGCCCTGGCCCAACCAGTCTATGACGAAAGGAAACTGATCCGCTGGTACTACGTGACGAAAGGAAAGTGATCCGCTGGTACAGCTTACAGCGGCTGCTTTTTGTCCTGCCGGTAGAAGTGGAAGAAGGGCTTCGTCAGTCGTATCTCATCGAGAACAAGGACGGCCATGGCGACGGGGGAGGCGCAGGTGGAGGCTCGGGAGGAGCCTGTTGCTACAGTGGAAGGCGACGAAGGGGAGAAGAAGATGGAAGACCTGCCAACGTCACACTCCATGGCCTTCCAAATTTGGCCGCCATCGCAGCGCACACGAGATGCAGTGATCAAACGCTTGGTGGAGACGTTGTCCTCGACCTCCATTCTTTCGAAGCGCTACGGCACCGTCCCTCTCGAGGAAGCGTCTGCACTTGCCCGCCAGATCGAGGGGGAGGCCTTCTCAGCTGCCGCCTCGGCCGCCCCTCCTGCTTCCGCGTACGCGGACGGGATCGCTGCTGCTACCGAAGAAGGGGGGATTGAAACGCTCCAGCTATACTCCAAAGAGATCAGCAAGCGGATGCTCGACGCAGTGAAGGCTAGGGTGCCCCCTTCCTCCGCTTCCTCTGTCGATACCCAGCCAGATCCCAGCGCCGTTGCGCCTGCTGTCACTGAGGAAGCGTCATCCCACGAGTCTGAATCCTCCTAAGGTGCAAGGTGTTGGATGTTTCTTGGATCTGAGAGACCATAGTGTTTCTTTGTATTGCTTTCACAGATGGAAGTTTCCTATGATTACCTTTCTATTTATTAGGTCTTCTGGTCGAATCTAGGCTTTGGTTCTTGCATTGTTATGCTCCCCTCCCTCAGCTGAACACGATGGAAATTATGGATTATGTTTTAGTAAAAAATGGGTCATAGCTTTAGATATTTCAGTTTTATTCCGCAGACGATAATTTCAGGGTTTCTTGTCACCTATCCTTGTCTTTGCTGTTTGAAGATCAGACGCTGTGATGTGATCTTTCTCTGATTTCATTCACAAGGAATAGTTTGGTGTCGATTATTAGAGACGAAAATTTTCTGGGCATGCCAATATCTTATTTCTATTCGTGAGATAAAATTTGTTCTGTCTCCTGATCCAAGTCTAAAGCTATTAATGTTAGAAATGTATTGATTCTGATACATTCGAAGGTTTCAATTTCTCCTTAGGTAACTACGTGATTATTTTTTTTTTGGTTATGGTGTTTGGTGGCATCAGATGCTTCGGAGAGTTACTAGATGTACATTTGTCTAACTTGCTCTCAATGTAGCCTTGGCAAAATTCTTTTTACCATAGCTTTTGTTTGATTAGGGCTATCCTTCTTTTATTTCTTTGTCTTCTCCAATTTAAACCTGAATACCGTCGTAAATTACCCTAGACAATCCTTACATTGCCATCTTTTCTTGTAATCATTTTGATTAGTTTATGTAAGTCTAAAATAGATTTACGAAAGGCATGTACCATGCTCTTTGTTAAGGGGAAAAAAGGCAAAAGAATGGTGGCATAAATTCATTCGTACATGACTAGAAGACAAATATTTTTCTTCCTGCTTTGCCAAAATATGAAAACCAGCGAATTAGTTGACAAGGAGGTTACGGAAATTATCAGCCAGGAGAGGATAGTTTTTGGAGAATGAATTTTTATGGATTTTTATGAACTCAAACATGACTTGACATGGCAAAAGCTTCAAGATCAAATAGGACTGCTGGCACACAGTTGTTCCTACATGGCTAGAGGACAACCATTTTTCTTGCTGCTTTTTGCCAAAATATGAAAACCATCGAATTAGTTGACAAGGAGGTTACAGAAGTTATCAACGAGGGGAGGATAGTATTTTGAGTAAAGCATCATTGCGGTAGGAATGGATTTGTATGAATTCAAACATGAGTTGACATGGCAAAAGCTTCAAGATCAATTAGGAAGGTATTTACGTTTAGTCTGGGTACTACCTCTTGGACCACTGGTCTAGAAAGGGTTTCTTCATACGGAGTTCTATCATTTTAGCTTTGGACAGTTGAGATTATTGAATGTAAGGGGATGCTTACCCAGATGAGATTGTTGAATGTGTTAATACTCAGCCTAGAACAAAAATTCAGATCCTATTATCTTGGGACTCAAGTATTTCTCAGTCAAAACTACTATTTTCTAATAAGAGTAAAGAATTAGCTGTAGACCATTCTGTGCAGAGTTAATCTGACTCTCATCGATTCATATGATCTAGCTAAGATTCTAGAGTCTATGCATCTAGATCTGTATGGAGATTGATCATGTTAACTATCCCTGATGTGGATCAAAGCTTCTTCCACGGCTGGTTGGCACTGGAACTGCTGGATCAGAGCTCTCCCTCTCTTTCTCTCTCAGACATTAAACAAAATAATTCGAACAATAATTTCCATTTTCTTTCACAAAAATGTAAATCTTCAGTGAACGACCATCAGTGAACGAAGTTTTTATGTTCTTTAGGTAGACTTCTCGAACAGTGAACGACCATCAGCTATGAATAATGAAGCCTTTTTGCCGATGAAGCCATCCTGAACCGCTGATTTATTGTCCTTCAAAGTCGAGCAAATACTCCACTTCGATGTTTCATCTCGGCTTCGTGTGTAAATATGTTCTGCATCACGCATAGTTATTTTGCCCAGAACTTTGCTATTATTAGGAGATAGGAATGAGCCTCTACTATTATTATATACATGGGATCCCCCCTATAACTATGGTCAGTTACTTCTGGGCTCCAGTCTCAGCCCATTCAAGCGATGGTCGAGGTGAGGCCCACTTCTGTTCATCATTCAATTTTTCCTACACCTGAGTAGACATTGCCTGTCGGTGGAGGATCTTAATGTGCCCGGGCCTACCCCTGTCTTATCAAACCCAACTCCAAGTCTTGGCGTCTTTCTTCCCGAGAGGCCCCCATCCCCCTGTAGCTCACGCCGAGTCATTTCTCTGTACCTAGAGAGAGAGAGAGAGAGAGAGAGAGAGAGAGAGAGTTTACTGGACACGTTAACAGCCCTTGTCTATGGTTGCTTATAGATACCTCGACGTAGGTTTCAGTGACACACTGGCGTGTACAGTATATTCGAGGGATCGTCACCGGAAATTCCCTTCCATTACAGCCGAACACGATGATGCCCGAGAGTCGGTCGAGTCGTGGGGCAGTCAAAGCCGCGTGGAGCCCCGGCCGCCTCCATTTCCGCAAAAATGCCGGTCTTGTCTCGGACCGCACGTCGAGGACACGGACAGAGCCGTCCGAGGATCACAGGTAAAAATCGCCATGTACGATTCTACGAGCTTCGGACTTGGCGCCAAAATGATTTTGACGTCTAAATTTAGAAAAGTAATCTAGTCAATGCCGCACCAAATTGCTTCGTCAAACACAGTAAGTTGACCGCAGTGGCCCGTCAGTTTCATGCCCACGTTGACCGCTCTCCCATCGTCGCTTCTTCGGGGGGGGGGGGAGGAGAGCTCACCTGAGGAGAGAGAGAGAGAGAGACGTTGTCGTCGTCACGTTGTCTGTCCGGGAAGAAAGACACTACCGACGGCTACCGCGGCTCCAGGAGGAAAGAGCAGCGGACCCCGACGGCGGAACGGCGAAACGTCTGGTCGTCTCATTTTCACCGGACGGGAATAAAATGCTCCGGCGGGGCTTTGACGGCTCGTGTCCCTTGCCGGCCGCCTTCTTCACTAAGAGAGCAGAGGGGAGGGGTAGTGACTGATTACCGGGGAGCGCTTGCTTCGGGCCCGAGGGAGGTGATCATACCGAGATTTTGACTGGCGGAAGCGCGTGCCGGAAGAAGGGAAGTCGTCGGTTGGGTCACTGGAGACCGCTAAACAACGCGGGGCGGGGGTGGGAGCCTGCTTCCATCTCTACCGTCCGCTGGGCCGCGGAGAAACCTCTCTCTCTTCCCTGTCGTCTACTGGTGACGATGCTGCTTCCTGTCACCGTGCGGGCGCCACTTTCTGCTGCTTGCTGGGTTGCGTGGCAGCCAGAGGCTGGAAGCAGGAAAAGGATCACCGGCTCTCCAGCAGCTTTCTCCTGCAACTTCGTCCTTCCCTCTCTCTCTCTCTCTCTCTCTCACTCTCACTCTCACTCTCTTTCTTTCTCAATCGTCTACTCTGTCAGCAAGGTTGCGCTGCTCATGGAGTTGGGTGGAAAAGGGGAGGACAGGGGATTCGACGCCCTCGTGGAGGGAAGTTTCGTGGAGCTCTTAGGGGCGGGAGGATTCCGCGGCGGGGATATGGAGAAGAAGATCCAGGGCGCGGAAGAGGGCGGGGTTGAGTTCTTCCTCAGATGTCCCTATGCTCAGCCTCTGCCGTCCTCTTCCTCCCCCCCTTCTTCCTCCTACAGGTTGCTGCGTTTCGGGGGGGACGATGGCCACTGCGGCGACGGGAACAACGGTTTCTCCCCACATTCGATCACCAGCGGCGCCGGTTCCTGCACCCCTCTCTCGTCCTCCAGTAGCTCCATCTCCAAATTGAAGGTTTCTCTCTCTCTCTCTGTCTCTCTCTCTCTGTCTCTCTCTCTCTACACCTCTCACTCAGTTCAAAGCTCTTTTCGGCCATCTGTATCTACCTGTGCATGCATATAAGCCGCAGACGGAAGATACGAAAGGGCGCCCCGGCGCCGCAGGCCGAAGGAGAGCATCCGCCGCCGCCAAAAAGCCAGGGAAAGAGCAGCGCGCCATCTCCCAAGGATGCGCACTGAAGGTCTCCTCTTCAAGACAGACCCGACCCTTGCTCGCCATTGAATTTTGTTTTTCCCGCTTTTGTTCTTCTTCTCCGCGGCCGACTGGATAATCGCGAAACTCTCACCCTGATTTCTGTTCCTCGCTGGGCCGTGATCAGGTGAGGAAGGAGAACCTGGGCGATCGGATTTCCGCGCTCCAGCAGCTTGTTTCCCCCTTCGGCAAGGTATGACCTCTAAATATCAACAGATAGACTAGAGAGGGTCGATGAACGCGTATTAACTACTGACTTCGATTGGCATCATCTCTCGCCTGGAATCGCATTGATGACTTCTGTCGTCGCCGGCATGAATGGAATCGCCGCTCTGTTCCAGTCGGACACGGCATCCGTGCTTCACGAAGCCGTGGGGTACATCCGGTTCCTCCACAACCAGGTCCAGGTACCTCTCTCTCTCTCTCTCTCTCTCTCTCTCTCTCATCTTCCTCTTGATTACCTGGTATTGATCTCTCTCTCTCTCTCTCTCTCTCTCTTCATCCCGTGGTGTCAGGTGCTGAGCTCTCCGTATCTGCGGCGGCTGCCACCGTCCGCTTCCCTCAATGTAAGAATACTACCACAGCCTCTGCAGCGCCCGGAATGATCGCCGGCGTACCTCGAGGGGTTTTACTAATCGCCGGAGACCTTGTGTTCTCTCGCCGGCAGGGAGACGGAGGGCGTGAGGAGGCGGAGGGGAGGAGCTGCGACCTGCGGAACCGGGGGCTGTGCCTGGTGCCCCTCGCCTGCACTGCGCGCGTGGCGAGCAGCAACGGAGCGGACTACTGGTCGCCGGCCATGGGGAGCGACGCCGCCTGCCGTCAACCAGCGCTTTCCGACCAGCTCTAGGCAGAAGAAGAAGCTCCCCTCTCTCGGTTTTGTGCTCGCGGTTCGCTTCCTCCGATCCTGCCGCTGACTGGTTCCACATTTTGTTCTTCCCCCTTGCGGAAGCAGACGCAGCTCGAAGGGAGAGAGAGAGAGAGAAAGAGAGACACGGAGAGAAGTATAGAATCTCTCTCACCTTACGGCTCAACTCGCCATGGCTCATTTGGGTGTTGGAGAGTGAGAGAGAGAGACAGACAGACAGACAGAGTCAACTCGGACGAACCGAGTGAGCGGGTTCGACTCGTCCCCATCATTCGGAGGTGGAGTCCACAAGACCCATTAGAAGGCCCAGCCATGTGCTGAAGACCAATTGGTAACGTGTTGCCCGGCCCAATTTACCAGAGCGAGCGACGGGGCTATCTCTAAAAGTTAGTAAGTTATAATTTATACGAAATAAAGTGCATGCTTTCTTTAAATGTTTAATAATATATTTCAATAGTTTTCTTCCCGCCATATGGCGTGGCCGATCCTCCCCAATTTCTGTGGGAGGAACCGGGTATATGTGAATTGTCCGAATTGCCCCCTTACAAGAGTGAGTTTTACTACGAGACCTGTAAACGAGGGTCGTATGCTTCTGGGGGCCGTGAGAAGCACACGTCTCTTAACGAGGGCCGCGAGAAAATACAGGACGGAGGGGAGACCACGAGACGGAGAAGGCGGGGAAGGAGAAAGACATCCTTAGTAACTCCTTCGGCATCTCTCACCTCCGATGCCGTGGCGTCTCACCGGCGGCAGCAATCTCGACGTTGGACTTCTGTGCAGTGAGGACTCCATGGCGGCGGAGGTTCCCTCCAGCCCGTACGACGCGGGATTCGACGAACCAGAGGAGTTCCCGCCGGTAGCTGACGCCCGGTCTCCTATTTTTGGGGAATTTATCCAATTCACGCCAATTTTGGCCCGCTGATTGTTCTCGCGGCTGCGGTGGACGTGGCAGGTCAACGATTCCGATGTGGGCGTCCCAGCGGAGCAGCGCGGGAAGCTGTTTGACCTTATGCGAAGTGGCAACCGGGCCTTCCGAGAGGGCCGGATTGAAGAGGTATGACCACCCGATTATGCTGAGTCAATATCTGGTAATTTAGCTCCTAAGCGTTTCTAATTCCTTTTCCGCTACTGAAGAGTGCTATTGATAACTCTACTCATATGACGAACACCGTGTGTGCGGGTACGTCAAGGATTTTCAGGACTGCACCGTATTTACGTCAATTTTCTAGCGCCGTACTGAATTTACACTTCCTGGATTGTGTATGTCGGGAACGGGGCATCTTTACGTACGGCGTTGGAATATCGCCCTCGATGATTTCATAATTACCTACGGTCCGCCTAATCTTGGATTTTGGTTTATCGAGATCTACAACGGAGCTGATTGAGGTCTAGATTCCCCGGGATGCACGCTTTGGCCTGCCACTTTAAAGTTTGGGTATCACGAGAGCTCTATATTTCACATATTAGTATCCCAAATTTTCCGGAAGTTCCCCTTTAGCACCATGAGTTGTGAAATAGACTGGTGAAGTTGAGGTTTTAGCATCATTTCGTACTATTGTCAATACATCGTTCTTCACCTTCTACATTCCGGTCATAACTAACGTTATTAAGTATGTCAGCAGGCCCTGATTCACGTAGTGCCTTGTGCTGTATGTTGCAGTATCTGGAGGGATGGAAAACAAAAGGTTCTCTGGAACAATAATATTCACGTTGAGAAGATGTGACTCAGAAGATACCGATAGGTGCAATGATCGATGGTCAATCCTGATTTTCAACACCCATACGAGAGAGATTTTTGATAGTTGCTGTAGCTTGTAGAATGATGATCAGATAGTTCCTCTTTTTAATTGATGACATCATTGTATGTGCGTCCCATCCTTCATCTAGAGGAATGCCCTGATAAGTGAAACTATCAATGGTCTTATTTTCTTCGAAAAGGTTATTTTTGAATGTCAGGAATGATCTCCTGTCCCCAGTTACTCTTGATCGACAATTTATGGGAAGTGTTGTTTATGAAGAAGCTATTTTTATTTTACTTGCCTAAATGCAGAGAAGATGACTAGAACGATTAAAGTAAAACGCTTGTTCTATCACAAAATACCCATTTCCTTGAAGCGTTGTCTTATTATACCCGGAGTGTGGATTGATGATTTTGGTTTTGTGTATAGGCTATTGCTTGCTACTCTAAAGCTCAACTCATAAAACCAGGAGATCCTGTTATATTAAGCAATCGCAGTGCTGCGCTCTGCAGGTAAATATCCTATGAATGAGACCTTTTTTCAATCTAAGGTGGATACTTTTGCAGTCAGTAATGAAGGAACGACAATAACGTACAGTCATATAGTTACGATTGGAGTTCATGGAGCACCCTATCTGTTCTTGAGCAAAAGTGCCTGTTTTCAAGAGGTGGAAAACAGCCTATAACTGATAAAATCAAATTCACCACATAAGCAAATGTCCTCCATACCCAATTGAACTTAGTTTTTCAAGAGGGAAGAATGTATTGTTCACCTCCAATATTTGCCTCAAACTGGATCGTAATGACAATATTCTTTGTCACATAACTGGTCATATTATTATTTTATTATAAAATCGTTTAGGCTGATTCAACATGGATGATTACTATCATTAAGGCTGAAACAAAACTTTTAATGCGTTTTGAAAATTGAACAACCAATAGGACACGAGAAAACAAAAGCACTATCAGAGAAACTAATATTTAAACTTCGTAACATTTATATTATGTTTCAGTATGCTGAAAAGATGATGTAAAATTATGATAATAAACTTGTTGATTGTTTTTTTTTCTCCATTCAATAGAATTAGTCGACTTCTCAGAAGCCGTCCTTCGAGAGATTCGGAATATGAGCCATTAAATGGATTAGATCCCACAACTCACGCTGAGGTTAGCTGTGGACAATGGATCGGCATCTCACTCGTCTTCTATTCTTTGTGGATCATGCTGATTCTTATTTGCATAATTTCAGCTTGCACTGAAGGATGCTGAGAAGGTCATGAGTTCTCGGAAAAATTCAGCAAAATCATATTCTCTTAAAGCTAATGCCCTCTTGCTGGTAATATTGTTTTCCTTTTTAAGTCTAATTGCGACTGGAGGTCCATATTTCCATTTTGTTTCTTCATTGCACTCATTAACGATCATTATTATAGATGAATTATGTAAGACGTATGTCTTTTTTCTCTTCCCACGGAATTTAACACTTTCGCATCGCCTCTGGTTGTTTTGTCTTGATGATTTCTGTGCCTGAATTGGATTATGTAAGACGTATTTTTGGCTTTGCTCTCTCTTTTTAGTCCCTTTTTTTTGGAGCGAAGTAATTTTTAGTAATTGTCCCCCGTGATGCCTTCCAAGGTTGTGCGCTGTACTTCAGATATCGTTCAAGTCATGCCATTGGTTCGTGATAATTTGAATAATTTAGGTGGCATGTTTATTTATCGTCGAGATTCCACCTCATTGTGTGGAAATGGGCGAAATCTGATTTAAGTTGATTAGCATCCACTGCCAATAAAATATTTTTAATGACATGAAATTTTTGTAAGAATTGCATATCCATTGCTCTGCTGATGCTTCTAGTTTTTTGTGGTATGATTTCTATAGAATTTGTATTTTTACTAATGTTACTCCCGTCTGGGTACTCATTTTACATATCTGTAGATCCCTGAGATCTTTTTTGTTTCTGATCATAAAATTGCAGCTTGAACGCTATGGGGAGGCACGGGAAGTGCTTATTTCGGGCCTTCATGTCAATCCCCTTTGGTATATGCCAACACCTAATGATTTCGTTGTCGATCTTCGTGACCACGAGAAACTTCCGACTTCCAATTTTTTTCGCCCAAAATTTTGGTTCCTGATATCATTTCTTTCTTCCATGAAATGTTAGTCAAGCCCTTCAGAAAACTCTCCAGGAGCTGGACAACTTTTCATCTAGTCTAGGGAAAAATACAAAACACGGGAAGCCAGAACGGAATGATGACTTCGAGTGCACTGTTTGTTTCAAATTGTTGTATGAGCCGGTTACCACTCCGTGTGGGCATTCATTTTGTCGTTCATGTCTACATCAGTCTATGGACCATGGTAAGTCGCAAGATTGTGCTTCTAGTTTCCTGAATGAATATGCACTGCGTTTTTTTTATTATTGTATCCTAAACACGATAACTCCATGGCAGGCAACAAGTGCCCAATGTGTCGGACTGTCCTATTTACCAGCCCCCGAACATATCCTGTAAGGTATGAAACACTCGCGGTGGTACTTTCTGTGATTTACATTCCAGATTCTGCAATTCTTTAAAGGATATACTCACCATTCAATCCATAACTTTTTCAGTGTGACTCTGAAAAATATCATACAAAAAAATTTCCCAGAGGAATATGCAGAGAGAAGAGCTGAACATGAGAACTTGACAAACTTTGGAATTGACTTGATGCCTCTTTTTGTCATGGATATTGTCCTCCCATTTCAGAAGTTGTCACTCAATATATTTGAACCTCGATACAGATTAATGGTAAGATAATAACTTTCTACATTTTCTGTTTTCTTTCTTAAAATATCCTCTTCTAGGAGGAAAGAAAACGCCGTTCTTCCTTTTGACCTGATTTGAACCCTCTGAAGCATCAGTGTTCACGAAGGATAATAAGATATGTTCTTTCATATTATTTAATAACTGCGTTAATGACAGTTAAATTACTGTACCTTCTTTTACCAAAAGTATCAGCATTTATGTGTTACGTCCTTTGCATCGGGATTTACAGTTGTACCGATGGATGAGAAAGATTATCCCAACATGTCTTAGTGACTCCATTTGATACTCTTTAACTCTGTAAATACTTAAAATTCAATATTCATCGGACAAAGAACTTTTAAGAGAGAAAGAAGGGCATATTTTTATGGAGAGAAGTACTAAGTGCTAAGTGCTAAGTGCTAAGTGGTCATATTATTTTATACTTTACAAACTTTTTTATACCTTTCGTAGTCTCACGCCTATGTTTTGGGCCTTTTGGTCCGTGGGAACTAATTATAAGTTCTTTCTTTGGATAGTAGCGCATATGAAGCTGGCTTTCTTGACTATATGAATATTTTTAATTTCATTAAGAAATTCGACGTTTTTTTATTATAGATTTTAAACGACCGTATGCTTTTCTTGTATAGGCTTTGCTATCTCTACATCATATTTTTTTATATCACGACCAAGTATATGTCATAATCAATTTGATGGAAGTGGTAAAAAAACTTTGACTTCAGTTGATGTTATTTATGATATGAAACAGGTGAGGAGGGTGATGGAAGGAAATCGTCGGATGGGAATGGTAACGTCTTTTACATCAATCTTTTCTTGACCGTCTTGAAGGGGACCTTTCCTTATTTCCTCTAGTACACCATATGCAGGTGGGCATTGATTCTTCAACTGGTTTGATCGCTGATTTTGCATGTGAAGTGGAAATATCCGAGTGAGTGATTTTTCATTTTAGTTCCCTTCTGCAAGACTTTTTGTGGTAGTAGGTCTCTCCCGCGCGGATCCATTATTTCAAATATTCGGTATTTGTGTTCAAAAGAATATATCTGCTATTATCTTTGGTTACTGTCTTTGTACAGGTGTGAACCGCTTCCAGATGGGAGATTTTATTTAGAGGTGAGTGAGTTTGACGTTTCTTAGGATTAAGCTCTTGCTATTTTTCCCTTTTGTCATGAAAGATTCGAAATTTGATATTGTCCTTCTCATCATATGATGAACTTCACGAGTGAGCTTCTGCATCAATCTAGAATCATAAGGCTACCTAAAATTTCAGGAGTACATTGGCCCAAAATTAGATTCTCTCTTAAAGTCGATAAGATGATGTTAAAAAGTCTTCAGATATTCTATTATCTGTCACTATCAACATTAAATCCTGCCTAAATTTTACTTTATGAATAAACTTCGATGAAAAGTTCAGATCTAATATCATCACTCTGTATGTAGGTAGAAGGCCGCCGTCGGTTCCATATACTTCGATCCTGGGATCAGGATGGGTAAGTTTTTTCTTTTCTCCTCATCTGTCTACGTATTATATGAAATTGGTAGATGTTTTGAAACTGGTTCTTCTCCATGCTCCTGTAGGTACCGTGTTGCAGAAGTCGAGTGGATTCAAGATATTTATCCAAATGAAGGAACATCAGAGAGGGAATTTGTAAGTAATTTAAATTCCCTTCGTCATTTTACATTCTATCTGTCAATATATATGACGAGAAAGTTTTATTTCAAGGGCACAGATCGTTTCGACATGTGTTTGCAATACTTCTTTGCATTACCTTTTCGGATTAATCTGGTTCCTAAGTTTTAAACGTGTTTAGCTTCCCCAAATCACCTTTAAAAGTTAGAAACCAGATTTACCTTTAACCTGGTAACGGGATTAATCCGGTTCCTGCCCCTAAATATTGGTTTATCTCAGGATGCAGAGTCAAACCCATCTTAAAATTTCATCCAATTGATCAACGAAACTTATCAAAAAAATGTCGAACATCTAAAATAAATAAATAAATGAAAAACTATGTGACGGTATTTTTTGCATGAACTCTGTGTACCATGTGCGATAGTGATCCTTAGATCCTTCAAGGTTTTAATATATTTATTTTCCCGAAAGGTATCGCCTAAAATAGCCTATAAAACTAGAGATCTGGAGCATGATGTGACGGAGGATCATTTCCGAACCATACTGCCAATTCGTAAATTTATATCGTCGTAGCCCAAAACACACAATGAACATTTGTTGACTGATAAACAATATGATGTGAATGATACGGAAAATTTCTATTTATTTCATCAAAATAGAAACACACACGGCCGACTTTTTCTTTCTTTACGTGAAGTCCACCTTTTCTAGCTCATCATCTTCCGCAGATGTAAACACAGCCGTACGTCTCCATCTGGTACTCAATGGATCTGTAGCGTGATTCCTTTGTTATAGGCAATCACATCGTCGCCAATAAAAACAAATACTGGCTGAATTTAATCCCATCTACTTTTTACTCCTCAACAGTTGGAGCAGACGGTGAGACAAGCCGCAGAGCAAGCTCGTGGATTGATTGTGACTGCAAACGAAGCGACCATGGGTACTGTTCTTTAGTAGGCGTCATCCCCACTTTCGTCTCTTCCCCCAAACCCTAGAACATGCAAACGAGCTCCGCAAGGACGAAAGATATGATTTCCCGCTATGGGTTCCATTCATTCATGCGTTAATGTCGCATATATTGCAGCATTTTTTCTTCTGTGATTCATATACCCGCCAAGAGATGCGCGGTTTGACTTCAATGGGATCAAACCTTGCAGGAAGAAGACTGAGGAGAGGACTCTTCCAAGCCGGTCCAATTCCCAGTCCGCAGGATCCCGAGCGATTCAGCTTCTGGGTTAGAACTCCTCCACTTCTCTCTACCGGGAAGATTTCCCCTTCCGGGTGACATTTCTCATCGACATGGCTCTGCAGCTTGCCAACCTATCAGCCATGAGACCGGCGGAGAAACTGGACCTTCTACGCTTGAGGGACACGCAACAGGTAAGTCTTTGCATCCGCTGTCACCTCCTCTGTTATTTCTGCCTCGACCAGCCCCGCCCACTTCTCTTTCTCTCTTCTCTCTCTTTTGCCCAGAGGATCTCCAGAGCGCTCACCTTTCTGGGAGCTGAGGCGCAGGGATGTGTGATCCAGTAACCAGATGGGGGAGTCTCATCTCGGCTTGAGACTCTATTTACTTGTACGAAAAATCATTTTTTGTTTTTTTTCTTATCAAACCCACCCCTGCGGCTCAAATGGAAAGATCCGCTCACTTCTATGGACCCGGCTTTTCTCGACCCGTCGGATTCCATTAATGTAATGCTGCATAGGATTTGACCCTGCAGGATTGGTGGATTAGTAGCGAGGGGCGTTCCCCGGCAATGAAAGTCTCTGCCCGATGGGCTGGTGGGCAGCCTGTAGAGAGAGAGGAGAGAGAGAGAGAGAGCGAGAGAGAGACTAGGGGCTGTATGTACGACCCGACAGAACAGGAATAGAATCCAGCTCGAAGAGCTAATGCCCTGAGCCCCTGCTTCTGCGCGGGCCCGGTCCATCTTCCAGTTAAGAACCCTACTGGCAACTGTGCCAGAGGCCAGCGGGATGGCGTTGACCGAGTCATCCACGACAACCTCGGCCGTTGAGAGAGAGAGAGACAGAGAAACGCAGGATCTGTATGTATAAGGGAGGGAGGGAGGGAGGGCAACGGAATTGGCGGCGTTTCGTGAGCATCGTTAACCTCGCTGCTCTCTGTCTCGTCTCTCGTCTCTCGTCTCCTTCCTCCTTCCGCGTCCCCGACATCTTCTCTCGAACGCAGGCATCTCCGGAGCAGGCGCAGAGCCTCTCCATCTCTTCCAGACCAGAACCCGTCAGATTTTGCATCGCCGAGGCCCTCTTCCGCCGCCGCCTCGCCGTTACCCGGCCGCCCTCGTCCGACCAATGCCTCCCCCTCCCGCCGCTGCGCTACGCTGAGGCTCCCACCCCACGGCGACGAGCTCGGCAGAGACATGCCCAGGGGGAGATGCGCGGCAATGCCGACGCCGCTCTTCCTCCTCCTCCTCCTCCTCTTGGTCCTGTCTTGCTCCGCCGCCGCCCGCTCCTCCTCGACGGTGAGCTTCACTCCGGCAGACAACTACCTGGTGGATTGCGGCGCGGGGAAGAGCCCCCAGCTCGCCGACGGCCGGACGTTCCGCTCCGACGCCCAGTCCTCCTCCTTCCTCTCCACCTCCGAGGACATTCTGATCGCCGCTGCCGGCGACAACTCCACTAATGTTTCCGTCGCCCTTTCTCCGCTCCTGCTCTCCGCCAGGGTTTTCTCCGAGCGCTCCACCTACAGCTTCTTCATCTCCAACCCTGGCCTTCACTGGCTCCGCCTCCACTTCTTCCCTCTTCCAGACCCGAGCTACAACCTCACCGGGGCCATCTTCACGGTCACCACCGACTCCGTCGTCCTCCTTCGCGACTTCTCCCTGCCGGAGGCCACCCCTCTGGTCAAGGAATACCTCCTCCCCATCGATGGGGACAGGGCCTCCCTCGTCTTCTCCCCCAAGAAGAGCTCCTTGGCCTTCATCAACGCCATAGAGCTGATCTCCGCCCCCGACGCCCTCATCCCCGACGGCGGCGCCGCCGCTCTCTCCTCTCCTCAGGGCCGGCGACGCCTCGAAGTACGCCCTCGAGGTGACGAACAGGGTCAATGTCGGCGGCCCGGCCATCGCCGCCGACGACACTTCCGGCGAACGTCCTCAAGGTGCCGTGGCAGCCCAGGTCGTCTCCACCAAGGTCGTGTTCCCCGATGACGGTGCGGTGTCGCCGCTCATCGCGCCGGCGGCGGTCTACGCGACGGCGGCGGAGATGGCCGACGCCGACGTGGTGGACCTGGGGAGGTCGCCGTTGACCCAGGCTTCTCCTACCTGGTTCGGATGCACTTCTGCGACATCGTGAGCAAGAGCCTCAACACGCTCTACTTCAACGTCTACCTCAACGGGCTAGTCGGGGTGTCCGGGCTCGACCTGTCCGCGTTGACCTCGGGACTCGCCGTCCCCTACTTCAAGGATTTCGTGGTCAACGCCTCCGCCGTGGCCGACTCGAGCATCCGGATCCAGGTAGGCCCCGCCGCCGGGATGGACGCCGGCGCCCCCAACGCCATCCTCAACGGGTTCGAGGTCATGAAGCTGAGCAACTCGGCGGGGAGCCTCGACGGCTTCTTCTCCATCGACGGATCCTACCGCGGGGGGGACGCCGGTGCCCCCGCAGGCGGCGCCGCCTCGCGGAAGGTCGTCTCCGCCGTGGGGCTCTCCATGGCGGCGGCGGCGATTGCGCTGCTGGGGGTGGGCCTGTACAGGTGGAGGAGGAGGCCCGACGACTGGGAGAGGCGGAACAGCTTCTCCTCGTGGCTGCTCCCCCTCCACGCGAGCCATTCCACCTTCTCGAGCAGCTCCAGCAAGGACGGCGGCTCCCACCGGCGGCAGAGGTTCGGCTCCAACAAGAGCAAGAGCGGCTACTCGAGCTTCTTCGCCTCCGGCGCCGCCCTCGGCCTCGGCCGCTACTTCACGTTCGCCGAGTTGCAGGAGGCCACCCGCAACTTCGACGACAAGGCGGTGCTCGGTGTCGGAGGGTTCGGCAAGGTCTACCTGGGGGAGCTCGACGACGGCACGAAGCTCGCCGTCAAGCGGGGGAACCCCTCCTCGGAGCAGGGGATGAACGAGTTCCAGACGGAGATTCAGATGCTCTCCAAGCTCCGCCACCGCCACCTCGTCTCCCTCATGGGCTACTGCGATGAGAACTCGGAGATGATCCTCGTCTACGAGTACATGGCCAACGGTCCTCTGCGCGACCACCTCTACGGCGGGGCCTCCCGCCCTCTCCTCTCCTGGAAGCAGCGGCTCGAGATCTGCATCGGCGCCGCACGCGGCCTGCACTACCTCCACACCGGCGCCGCGCAGGGGATCATCCACCGCGACGTGAAGACCACCAACATCCTCCTCGACGAGAACCTGGTCGCCAAGGTCGCCGACTTCGGGCTGTCAAAGGCGGCGCCCACCGTCGAGCAGACCCACGTCAGCACCGCCGTCAAGGGGAGCTTCGGGTACCTCGACCCCGAGTACTTCCGGCGGCAGCAGCTGACAGAGAAGTCCGACGTCTACTCCTTCGGCGTGGTGTTGTTCGAGGTGCTCTGCGCTCGCCCCGCCATCAACCCAGCTCTGCCGAGGGAGCAGGTGAACCTCGCCGAATGGGCCATGCAGTGCCACCGTAGGAATCAGCTGGAGAAGATCATCGATCCGCACCTGGCAGGCACCATCGCCGCCGCCTCCCTGAAGAAGTACGTTGAGGCGGCGGAGAAGTGCCTGGCCGACTGCGGCGTCGACCGGCCCTCCATGGGTGACGTGCTCTGGAACCTCGAGTACGGGCTGCAGCTGCAGGAGGCCTCCCCGGGCCAGCCCGAGGAGCGCTCCTCCCTCTCCGCCATCGACGAGGTCTCCGAGATCGTCCCCCCCGCCCCCGACGCCGCCGCCGTCGACGATGACGAAGACTCAGTCGCCATTGTCGCCTCTCGGATGGTTCAGGGGAGGTGAGTGCCGGCCTTGATTGATTAAACCCGTCGAGAACTCCATATCCGCCGCATCTCATCTCTGGGGACGATCGTTGGGCCACTACGAAAGACGAAGGATCAATTCTCTCAGAGTCTCTCCATAGCTAAAGGCAACTGTCAGCTCCAGCCTAGGGCTACTTCTACTCTCTCAGATTCATCCTCTCGTGGGTCTGTCTGTATTTTCAGGCAGAGTTCTCCTTCATGATCTCTGTTTTTCACTGTTCGTGGATCATTTACACTGAACGCTGACAGAAAAGCCAGCCATCCTTCCGCTTCCCTCTCCCCCCCGGATCTTCCCCTCTATTGTTCCCATGCCGAATAAATACCCATCTTGCCGTCTCCTCTCCTCGGCTCACATCTGTGCAGAACAGAACGATAAAACTAGACTGATGTACAGAGACTGTAAGAGAACTTTGCATCTTCGCCATTAAAATAAATGAGGTCTCTGAGAACTGATTATCGAATAATCAATACTGATGGGGACGATGCTTTTCGAGTTTCCTATATTTGACCTGTGTAAAACTAGACTGATGTACAGAGACTGTAAGAGAACCTCTTCGCCATTAAAATAAATGCTCTGAGAACTGATATTCAATGATGGGGACGATTTTTCGATTTCTAATTTGACCGGTAGGTTGGTCCTCGGCTAATTATTCTGTTTATTCTAATAATAAATAAAAAGATGATCAGTAGCAGATGGTTGACCAAGAACTCTGATCCCCGACGAAGAGGAGAAAACGGTGGTCAGAATCTATTGTTCGCCGAGGTTGCCGGTGTAGACGGCACGCTTTAGAATCTGGCTGCAGAAGTTGAACGTTTTCATCGTTGATCTCTCTGAAGCAAAAGGAAAATGACCGGAAAGCGTCGGTCCGTTCACTTCACCGCATCTCGGGTGGGTCTACAGCTCACGTTTCTACCTAACGGCTCACGGCACCCACTCGAGGAAGACTTCCGGAGCTCCTTCGGCACAGGTTCCCGCCTCTGGCGTGGGGATCCTTTGCGGCGGCGATGGCCTAGCGTCTTCCACCGTTGTGAGGGGTACTCCTGTTAGCAGTCTCGGAAGGAGAGGTCAACTTTTGGCTTCTTGCTCTAGGAACAACGGCGGCTTCGCCTCTAGAACACCGATTGGTTCCTCGTTTTCGGAGCTTCGGATTGCTTTGTTGATCCTAGTAATGATCCTCTCCGCCCTGTTTACCGCGGTCGGCATCAACCTCGGCCTGTGCATCTTGTTCCTTGTGCTGTACTCGATACTGAGGAATCTGCCAGGGAATGCGAGGGTCTATGCACCCCGGCTGGTGGCGGAAGGGGAGGCTCAGCAGAGAGCCAGCTTTGACATCGAGAGGCTCGTGCCGTCGGCTGGTTGGGTGAGAAGAGCATGGAAGCTCTCCGAAGACGAGCTTCTGTCGGTATCGGGGCTCGACGCCGTGATCTTCATGCGAATCTTCGTGTTCAAGTATCTTACCGTCCTTTTCCCCTGGTGTCTCGATTCTAATCCATCATGCGCTTATCTCCATCTCTGTTTCTTCAAACTATTCGCTTCCTTATCTATTTTGAGCCATCTCAAGGATCGAGAAGTTGGTTCCAATGCTCAGAAACTAGCGAATCTAGATTATTTTGCTATGAAGGAATTAGTCGAATGAGATACTGACCAGCTGGTTCGGCTGGATGGGTAGATTGATGACAAAACAGGACGGGGAAATCGAATGCTTGCTGTAATAGTTGCTGAATGATTGGGTTTCTTTCTTGCCTCGTTCGTGTTGCGAAAGGCAGCAGCGGCGGCACCTAGCCCAGCGTTTGTGAGATGAAAGTTTCAGGGCTACAGCTTTGATATATACTACTTTTTCAAGAAATCAAATACGATGTTCTTATCAAAACAAAGAGACACGGGATTGAAATAGTTTCTGGGTTCATCTACTACTTATTCTGTGGGAACCCAAGAAATCTGAATCCCGTCTACTTATGGATGGTGAAGGGTCTGTTCAGTATCCGAAGGCAAAGCATTTTTATTTTCTGCTTTCTGGGTAGTGGTTATTTTCAGTCTGTGTCATTTTTTTTGTTTTATCTTGATGCTTGCGCTAATTGTAAAACGCCGTATTTAAACTGTGATCGTTGCACTCGGTGGACAGTTCATTTTTGCAACTCTTTTTACTGGGGAAATGTCGACAATCCTTGTTGCGTCTCTTATTCTTTTCTATTTCTATCTCTTATCCTGATTCGCACGATATTACCCTCTTATGATTTCATGATTGTTCACCTTAGTCGTTCTCTTTGCAGTTTGAAGGTATTCTCAATTGCTGGTGCGATTGGTATCTTTATACTTCTTCCAATAAATTATGAAGGGGACCAACTGCATTCTATTGACTTTGGCAATCTTCCAAATGAATCGTTGGACAAGTTTACCATTTCAAATGTGAAGAATGGTTCGAATTGGTATTTTCTTTGTTTCTTCTGACTTTCAATGTCATTTAATAGTTACTTTTGAGTTACTTTTGATAGTCATTACGACGGAGTTTATCTACATGGTTCTTCTATCATGCTTATTGTCTTCCTGGTTTCTCCGTTTAAATATACTTATTGCTAAAATTTTAAGATTCATCATTTCTTGCGGAAACGAACATGCCACCGCTGTATAGATCTCAATGAAAAAATAGATAATTCCAACCTTCTTTTGTCAGTTGATTCATGAACAACTAGGATTAAATTTTACTGATACAGAAAATTAAGTTTTGCCTACAAGTCAACAATGTTCATGCTTTTTCTGAAATTTAAGCTTTTTTTGACAGGCTATGGGCTCATTTTTCCGCTGCATATGTCATGACTGCTGTTGTTTGTTATCTTCTTTATTCGGTAAGTTCACATCATGCTACGATTATGTGTATATTTTTCTTGGTTTTAGGCCAGCGTTGCTTTTTTATGGCCTTATGCGTTATTTTAGAGCACTATAACCTTCCTTTCAGTATTCTGTTCTCCTGCTGTAGCCATCCACAATTATTCTGCACTTTTTTTACGACACATGTTTTAGGTGGTTCATGCCCTTAAGGAAGCGGTATGGTGGTGATTGGTTAATGCGGTAGTGTAGGCGGTTTATAATATTTATTTCCACGTTCCTTAGTGTTTAACAAATGGAAATTTCAGTGTGATTATGACTAACACAGTTCTATTCCAGGAATACGAATATGTTTCCTCTAAGAGGCTTGCCTATTTCGATGCATCCAAACCACAGCCACATCATTTCACCGTCCTTGTTCGTGGTATTCCTAGATGCACAGCAGGCAACTTCAGTGGGAGTGTTGAGAGCTTCTTCTCAGAAATCCATTCGTCGACGTACCTGACACACATAATGGTTCGTCAGACAAGCAAACTTCGACGCCTCGTTGTAAGATATTTCTTCCGTTTAATGTTTTCTTGAAATATGTTTATATTTTTCTTGATCCTTGTGTTCACTCTTATTTTATATACTGTACGCTAGAATAGCCTCATAATCAATAAAATATGGGTTTTCTACACTCATTACTGATTGGCGTCGAGTTGGATAACTCAAAACCTGGTATTTGAGGCAATGATCACTCGTATATGTTGTGCAACTTTTTTCGTTATCTACGTGATGAAACCCAAAAGTTAGCTGGCACATGATAGGGCGAGTTGGATCTGTAATATATTAAATAATTATATATATAATTATAAAAGTGATCATAATTTGGTAATTTCCAATTAATTTGTAGATAGCCTAGTACGTTAAAACCATACGATGTTGAGCATCAATCTTTTTACTTGTTTGCTTGTAGCAAAAGAAAAATCACTTTCTCATGAATGACGGTCTTTTCCTCCCCTGCTTGTCGAGGCCTGACATTCCAGTTTTGAACTTTCATTTTGACTCCATTTAGTCTCCAAATTTCTCACATCTAACTAGGTCTGACAACCTGTTTGCTATTCTAAATAACCACATTTCTTTCTTCAGTTCTTTAAAGCATCTGCCATTCCCTCTTCCCTTATTGACGAGTTGCTGATTCCAGCCCTTCTTGTGAATCTTCAGAAACTCTTTTGTTGTCTTTTTCTGCACTAGGATCATGGATTCCAGCCAGTATCCATCTTTCCATGGCCAGAATTGTACAAGAGGCATCACCACACTCTTCTATTGAATATTTTAGCTATTTTGAATGTACAAAATTGTTAAACAAAAAAGAGTAAACTCGAAATCTTATCTAGTAAAATACCTGCCAATGAGGAGAAACTGAACGATAGGAAGGTAAAGCCCTTTCATCTTATCTGATGCTAGTATTGTGGAACTATCGAAGATTTAGAACTGATGAACTGTAGGACCATCAGCATCCTATGTCTTAGTCGTAGCATATGCTGTTATGATGGAGTCCTAAACATTGCAAAAAATATGCATAGAGTTTGGCCGTACTGTGGTTAGAAGTTTTTTTCCTTCAACGCTTTTGAATTGATATTTTGGTTCTTGTTATCTTTACTCTTTGCGGAACACATTCTCGTGTGAAGGATGAGACAATTGATTGACTGGCTGTTCGCATTCTATAATCAAATTTTCAATAATAATGTTTTTCCTTACCTTTAGCTTCATATGGTGTGTCTTCCAGGTTGATGCTGAGAATATGTATAGGAGATTGACACGCTTGAAGTCGCAACAGGATGCACAACAACGGAATATGTGTCTTCCAGGCTTCCTTGGGCTATTTAGACAAGATGTGAATTCTGTTGACAAATATGAAAAAAAGTTAGAGGATTTGGAAGAAAATTTGAGAATCGAACAGTCAGATGTTTCATTAATTGGCCAGGTGTTCACTACTATAGTTTCAATAAATGTAGTTTTCATATCAAGTTTCTATATGATGATATCTATAATGTCAAGGAAGTTTTTAATTTTTGATCTTTTTTCAGCAGTCCATTAAAGGGCCTAAGTTTGAATCGATACTTTTGAAATGTTTGAGGTCTATGAAAATTGGATTTTTTATTTTTTTTACGTCAAGGTACAGGTTCTTCCATGTTTTTCTTCGATCTATTGTTTTCCCCCTTTCACTTGACTAGCCGACTGGCTTATCTCATCATTAGCTTCCAAGATTTTATTGCTGCATTTTAGTTATTTTTTCTTCTATTCTGCTGCCTTTATATTTGATGGTGTAAAAATTAATCTATTAACTAGAACATTGCGTCCATCACACTAAGGCTTCAGTTTGTTTATTTATGTTAATTCTGTTTTTATGTTTTGTATTCAAGTTGTTTATTTGGAGTGATCATTATGGCTTAGATTTGTGCGATTACATTTTTTTCTTTTCTATGATAGGAAGTGCCTGCTGCCTTTGTTTGCTTCAGATCTCGTTATAGTGCTGCAATGGCTATTCATATCCAACAATCAGTAAACCCAATACAATGGGTCACGGAGCAGGCACCTGAGCCACGCGATGTATACTGGCCTTTCTTTTCTACATCATTTTTGAGAAGATGGATTTCCAAGTTGGTGGTCTTCATAGCATCAGTTGTCCTCACCATTATCTTCCTCATTCCAGTGGCCTTTGTTCAGGGACTAGCCAATCTGGATAAGTTAGAGATATTGTTTCCTTTCTTGACATCAATCCTTACTATGTATGTAATCACTGCTTCTTCTTACCATGTATTTAATTTCTCTTTCTTTTTCCGAAATTGGCATTTTAATTGAATGATTAAGACCTTTGATTGAAAAAAAATTTAAGGTTGTTCGGATTTTCTTCCTTAAAAAGTTCCCATCTGTTCTTATTCACTCCTTCCCTGTCCATGCGATATATAATTAGAATGTGCAATTTAGATTCAATTCAAATCTTGCATGAATATACCAGAGGAGAAGAAATCGGAAATCAACCTGAAGTCAGTTGACTATCAAAGAAAGTTGGGTGTTCTCAGAGAATTTCAACCTGATCGAAACCAGTATAGGAGAAGACTAGAAAGGAAGGGAAAGGAAGAGGAAGGAATATAATGAAAATTAAAAAATAATGAAAACCTTTTTTCTTATCCCAATATGTAGATCTACTCCTCAACTCGATAGAGAGTCTGAGTTAAATTATCCTTAATTGAGTCAAGAGTCCTATTTTTGTCCCTAAGTAGGCTTCATGTTTGAGACCTTCATGCAATCAAATATACTAGAGTCCAAGTGAGAGATACATCTTACATCGTTGTAGTTAAATTGAGAAACTGTCAGGTTTAGGCCTTTCTACATCGCTCTTGTTGTTAATAAAACTTTTTAGTTTATGCTTCTAACATGTGATTTTAATTGCAGTTCAACGTTTAGGGTTTTTGTCATGATCAATTTCAGAGATATAATATATTGTCTGATACTTAAATCTTTTTAATAATGCTTAGTAGTAAAGACGAAGTAGGGTGAAATTCATTATCATAGAGAGAAATAGATGGTGCCACTCTGTGAGTGACCTGGGAAGAAAGAAGCACATCCAACTCTAAGAGATCTGTATGCTCGGTTAAATTTGTGGCTCAGAGTGCAGATGGCCCAGGGGCAGATTATCAACATAGTGAATCACATCACGTTTAGGTTTGGGGATCATGAATCTAGTAGTTTCACGTGCTGCCGTACCAGCACTGAGTCAGCACGTAGCATGTATATTGTTGAAATAGACATTATTTCTTTTTGGTTACATGTTATCTGTTGTACTTATATGGCCATTCAATTCAAAATTAATTCCCAATCAATACGGTGGGCCTATCTTTATAGCGTGCCATCTCATGTGTATGTGGGGGGTCCATTATATCTTCAAAAGTAACCATTGGCTCTGATACCGTGCTAAAACTATTGAGACATTCGACTGAAAAGCAAATGTTCATGAGTGGAGTAAACCTATCTTCATGATTTTAACACACTCTTTTAAAATATTTGTAGTTTTTCTACTTTAAAAGTACTTTCATTTTCATTTTATGCAAAATAATGGGATGTGGTACATTGATCTTTATTCGTTTATTTACAACGCCTTCTTGGACTGATATTTGGTCAAGCATCAGTCTTTCCCGTTTTGGCGCACTTTGCATGTTTGCATGTGTTTCATATCATTTGGAGCATTTGGACATTTTTGTCATTTGAATGAATCTCCGATAATTTAAAATCTTGTGTGTTCTTAAATTTTTTTTTCCGATTTTAGTATGTTCTTCCGGAGGCATAATTAAGTGTTTCAATTTAAACTCATCCTGTTTACTCATCTGTCTGCAGAACATTCGTTAGCCAAGTAATTACAGGGTATCTTCCGAGTCTCATTCTTCACTTGTTCTTGACACTCGTTCCTCCTGTCATGAAGGTGTTTTCAACCATGCAAGGATATATTTCGCATAGTGAGATAGAGAAAAGTGCTTGCAGTAAAATGATTTTGTTTACCATATGGAATGCCTTTTTTGCAATTGTGCTAAGTGGTTCAGTTGCTAGCCAAGCAGAAATATTCCTTGATCCTAAGCATATACCAGAGAGGCTGGCAGTTGCAGTTCCTGCTCAGGTGAGAGTACATTCTTGTCAGATAGAGTGTTATCTATGCTTTCTGAATCTTTATACTGACACCTTGATACCAGGGAGAAGATCCTGACATTCATTTCTTTTATTTTGCTTTTCAGTGATTTTTGGACAAGTTGATAGCGTAATGATAGACCTTTTTTTCATATTTCGTTTATTTGGGTTTCAACCCTTTATTTTTTTGCTGTCAGAAGACATATTTGCTTACTCTGGACGGTTAAAATCTTAGCTGTTTCTTTTAAGCTGAAGATGAAACATGTAGTCTATGACTTTTCCGGTAGCTGTAAGTGAGGTTAGTAAACAGGTAGTATCCTTTCAGTGTTCTTACGAAGCATTTGAAGAAGACAAAAAAATGACCACTAATGAATCAAATGACTGGTGTAAATAAAGACATTAGGCAGGGTAATTATGAATGGATGAGAACATACCTTTTTGGTCTTGTGGATAATCCTTTTGGTCAAAAGACATCAATTATAAAGTTGTGTAGCCTCACGAGAACTTGAGGATTAAGAAGTGACTTTTTGCTGGACCACCCTTGTTTTATAGATCTTATGCTTTTCTGAAATCAATTATTCGCAAGTCACCATACATAGTTCATTTACAAATGTTTTTTATAAAAACAATATTTTGGATGCCTAGGGTTCATGTTGAGACTTCTCAACCAGGGTATATGGATTTTATTCTGGAGCAGAAATGTTAAAATTGTCTATGAAAGTTTGTGAAATTGGTTCTACTCTGCTCTACGCATTTAAATCACAGGGTTTTTCCCCCTTAGAGTTGGATTCTTCAACATGTTTGAGCTTGTCATGGATGACTATTAATTATTTGTCAACTGCGGAATTTTAGTTAATGATAGGTCTGTATGCGCTGTTTTATAACTCTTACGGTAAGTAAATGTTTGTATTTCATTTCATTGCAAGTTGACCTTCTCCAGTTAAGCAGAAAGTATATATTTTATAATCGAGAGAATAACCTCTTTTATTTTCTTTTTAGGCCACATTTTTCATAACCTATGTTATGACATCTGGGTGGACAAATCTATCGTCAGAAGTTACTAGGATGAAACCTCTTGTTGGCGATTTCATAGAACGGCATTTCTCCAAATGTTGTGGAGGAGAGTTTACCGTGCCATCACTTCCTTATCACCGTCAAATTCCAGCTATTCTCTTCTTTGGACTCCTTGGTATCGCCTACTTTTTATTGGCACCTCTGATTCTGCCATTCTTAATGGTTTATTTCTTTCTTGGATTCATTGTTTATCGTAATCAGGTGAGTTTCCCTTTTTTAGTAGGGACTGTATATTTACCCTCACATTGCCTTCTCTGCGCCAGTTTTATTTACTTCTTATTGAACTGAACCCGTTGCTCATTCTGTGTTCAGTTTTCCTAAAAATGAACGTTTTACGTGATTTAAAACTTCTACCAGCAGAATATCTACAGAAAGATGCGAAAACACATATAGGAGAATGTTTGTATCTCCCAATTCAATATTTCCATACGTTCCAGTACTTTACTTTCATTGAATCTTCGAAGGAATCCTCGGGCATGTGTTGGCTGATTGTTGTAATTATGCGATTTAAACCTTGTAAAATTTTAAACTTGCAGTCATACCCCATAATTTTCTTAGATTTAATTCCTTCTTGGTTACTATTTATTTTCTTTGATTACATATTTTGAGAGAGAAACATTGTAAAGGAAGTTGCAGAAATTTTGCTATATATATTTGGTTGCTCTATACATCAGAGGAAAACAATAAAAACATGGAAAAATATAAGTTGAATTCCAGCTCCAAAGCAGTGTTACGGTGTAGTCTAAATCGTTATGACATTGTGCTTTATTTCACAGATGCATTCTAACTTGTGGCAGTATTTTAATAGATACTCAATGTGTATGTGCCAAAATATGAAACCGCTGGAAAATTCTGGCCGATGGTGCATAATTCATCAATATTTGCCTTAGTATTGATGCAATTGATTGCAATTGGCATATTTGGGCTGAAGAAGCTTCCTACCGCTTCAACCTTGACTGTGCCTCTTCCTGTTCTCACGCTTCTGTTCAATGAGTATTGCAGAAAACGCTTCCTGCCCAATTTCTATGTATACTCAGCCGAGGTGTGTTAAATTATATTCCATTAAATCCTCTATTTCATTTTCTCATTTTTATATTGTGTACTGCGTATGGCTTTTTCTTTCAAAAACTCCTTTCTTTTGGTGTATTCTTTAGCTGATGGAAAACATTTTATGATCGTTGATTTGATTGGTTCTTCCTTCAGATTTTATCTTCTGTGGACTTTGGATTCGACATGCATACACACATGCACACATACATACATACATACATACATACATACATACATACATATATATACACAGAGAGAGAGTGGTATGCATAAACATGTTTACCCAAGTTCCATTTCCCATGAAAGATGCTGTTATATGCATGCTGTTGCTGAATAGCATCTGCCAAATCTCTCTTGCGACAAATGCTCTATGAACTGGTGATTCAAGTCATTCACATCGGGTGATGTGTTGATACCGTATGTATGAGGAGATAGCTGTTCACTTGTAGAACCCATCCGTGCCAAATTCATTGCAATAATATTCCCTGCCATTAAGTGATATGTTTGTGAGAAGGCCAAGTAGGCCTTCTACATGTCGAGCCTCTTTCTTCCGAATGTTTCTTTTGACGAACCCACCCTTTACTCTGCTCCTTGCTGCTATCTAATGGCGTTCCTTCCTATCCTTGCTAGGTCATCTTGTGGAAGTGAGTTGTATATTATCCCGTTCATTTATCCATTAATAATTTCATTCTTGTTTCAAGCACATTTTATCTATTATCTAAAGCATGGCATGTTTCAATCATTCTACAATGCAAAGCACTGTTTGTTTCTATGGACAATATGCGCTGTGAATCATCTATTTTCCTCTCTCTCTCTCTCTCTCTCTCTCTCTCTCTCTCTCTCTCTCTCTCTCTCTCTCTCTCTCTCTCTCTCTACCATGTTGATTAGGTTTATTGTTCTTGCCTGTTTCAGAGTTTGATAAAGAAAGATAGAGAGGAACAGAATGACCCAGCAATGCCCGGTTTCCTAAGTAATCTTGCAAGTGCATACCGCGACCCTGCAATGGAGCCAGTCCGGCGCACAGAGGAAGCTGAACAAGGGCTTTCTACCCCGTTTCTCTCTTCAGGAGGTGCTTGATATCCATAAACTGGCCACCCGTGGCCGTCATACATTATTCAACACAAGGTTCTCATTTTGGAAATCAGCAGAGCTGAGTTATGTATTTGTGGTTTGATTGTGATGGGCATTGGGTAGATCATTAGAGAGGGTTGGTTGTCCTCGATTTTGTTTCATTGTGAATATGTGCTACCTTCTTTGGGGGTGAAATATAAACGAGAATATTCACTGGCAAGCTCCCCATGCAGCGCCTTGCGGTTCATGTGGAACACAGCGATGCTAACTTGGTTATAGTCGAGCAACATCACCGTGGCCGCTGAAGCGCAGACAACTTTGACAACCAGGGGGGCCAAACCGCCCCAACCTTTGACCTCCACGGACATTCCCAGATTCGCAGCTTCACTCAGATTCCTGATGAGAAGAACAACGAGAGGCAGACAATCCCTGAACTCTCTTGCCTATCTCGCTTTGGGATAGACTGCTCCTAGAACCAGTAAGGCAGATACTAGGAACCCGTAGAGCAAAAGAGTTGGGATTGACATCACGGGAATAGTACCTTGAAATAAAATAATGCCAGTTGACTGGTTCTACAGTGATTGTAGATATGTAATAATGACAAAGTTATTTAGAGATCGTAGGTATGTAAAGAGATCGAGAGAGAGAGAGAGGTCCCAAACTTCCGGGGGTACGCTGACCTCATCATCTAATAGTCTAAGAATACCGTTGACTTTTAGTGAAAACTTGTCCCTTTCCAAGTAGCTTCAACTTCCGGAAGACTTATCAATTTTACCAAACTTTTGTGGCTATTGTTTCTGTATTTTATGTGGAGAATCTCTACGACTTAATTCATGTCTTAGTGAAGATGATAGCAGTTGACTTTTTTCATGAGTCACATGAACTCAATTCATGATGCCAAACACCTACTGGTGGAGTTGGGGCATATGGAATACTGACTGGATACAGTTGTATTATCTAAAATCTAATTTTTAAGTTACTAGTCTGATACGTTATGAGATACAATAAGATCCAAAGGAGTCTAATTTTTCATTGGACAGTCGAGTCAACATTTGCACAAGGTAAAGTCATAGTTTTAGATAGACTGTCCCCTATGGTGGAATGAATCTCTTGTTGATACTTGCCCTGTTGGGTTTTCATTATATTTTAATTGGTCTATAATTTTTTATATTCTTTTCTAATTAAGTTGTTTTATCAAGGTAATTAGGGTATGGTGAGTTACAAAGCAGAGAAGAGTAAATTTGTTTTACTGTACTAAATATTCTGCCCATGGAGTCAAATGATTTTAATGATTCAGTCGTTTATTGACAAAAAAAATTAAATATATTTGGAGACATATGTTGACTACTTTTGAGTGTCTATCTGTTTGTGAATGATAATTTATGCTTCAGTGAAGACAAGTATCGGTTGGAAATTATAAAGAGCTAGAAGTCATATAATTTTGTCATATATTTTATTAGTATAGTGGTAACATTCTTAGTCTTGTAAGATTATTTTAACAAAGAAAAATGAGCAAATTTACTTATATGATCAACCGCCACTAAGATAGAAGTGAAGTTGTCCAATCTAAGCAATCTCTCAAGAAAAATCATAAGAGATGTAAGAAATCAGCAGGAAATGGCTTCCGCCTTGTTTTATTGGCAAACGAAACACTACACAACGTAAGATTTAACGTATGTTTATATATTCGCAGGAACCCAGAATATCCTCCAATTACACTATGTGATATTTTTCTATTAAATAGTAGATATTATCGAAATTTTATTTGGAATAAAAATAAAACCTTTGTGAATAGAGTGACCAAAGACCGTAGGTGAAATGTGATGCCGCTCGAGACCAAGGTAAGAAAGAATACGACGTCAAAAGATGAAGACCGAAGTAAAGACGGCAGGCGGGTCAGAAAGAGACGACGTAGGGGAAAAAATTAGAGTATTGCGGCGGCGGAAGCACAGGGCGGAGAGAGAGAGAGAGAGAGAGAGAGCAACAGCATCGCGGGAGATAGCGGGGTGCCCGCCGCTGCCGCTGCCGTCGCCGTCTTCGAAGAGGTTGGGTGGAGGATGGAGGACACCGAGGCGGTAACGAGTAGGATGGAGAGAATGAGGAAGAGGACGGAAAGGTCAAGGAAGTGACAGGCGCGTGCGGCAACGATTCGCATGCCCATCCAAGACGACGCGATCGTCGTCACTGGTTTCGCCATGACGGCGGCAGCGGACGCAGAAGGGGCGATGCCGACCCTCCGAGGGGAGAAATCCTAACCGAACAGAGAAGAGATCCCCCTGGTCAAACTCATCTTCTTGTCTCTTTCGCCAACTTTGTCCTCTTTCTCTCTCTTACTCCCACTGTAGTTTTTTTTAATATTAGTAATAAGAAAAATTGTTTATTAAAAAGTTAATCCGTACGGATAAAGCCGTACTTTTTTAGTAAAATAAATATTTATTCGTTAAACGTCAATTTACATTTAGAACGTCCACTTAATGCAAAAGACGGGAAGGGAGAGGAGAGAGAGAGATAGGCCTATTCTTTGGTAATGAGATCTGGGGGGAGTAGGGTCGCCTGTTCTAACATCGAACACCTCATCTGCGCGTGTGAACCAGCGTGGTTTCCTCTCGCCTTCTCCCGCTTCAGTCACCGGAGGATTCCCCACTCTCTTCCTTAGCTGGGGGAACCTCGTGAAGGGGCTCCCACGCCGTTCAACCCTGCTAGGGGAGAGTCCTTCTCAGCCTACAGGGCCCCACGCCGACGACCTTTTTTCCCCTTTCCTGCGCGTCGCCGGATCTGGCCTCGCCGGGCTTGAGGCAGGAGATCTCCCTCCGGCCAGTAGCTGTACATAAGTAGATTGCAATTCTTGTAGAGAGGAGGTTGCCGGACAGAGATGGCGGGATCGGAGAGCGGGAGCTCCAAGGAGCAGAACGACGATCCGGGGAGATCGATGGCCGAGGTGTCGGTGGTGCTCGGGGTTGTCCCGTCCATGAACGCCCTAGAGATCCTTCGCGAGACCGTGCGGATCCTCCGACGGGATGGGTCCATATTCACCGCGATTCTGTCCCTCCTGATCTGCCCTGTGTCCGCTGCCCTCCTCTCGGACGCCTTCTTCAGCCGGACCCTCGTAGGGGTGCTCTCGCGCCGTCTCATGATCGTGGCAGTCTCCACCGGACTCCCCCTGACGCATTTTGTCAGGCAGGCGTGTCACCACCTGGCGGGCACGCTGCTCTCCGCACTGTCCTGCTTTCCGCTTCTTATCACATTCTTGCTCCTGGCACGGGCCTCCATCGCTTACTCCGTTGCCTGTTGCTACGCCGGAAAGAAGATCCTGGTATCCGAATTCCTCGCATTGCTCCGCGGTAAATGGAGGCGACTGGTCTCTACTTACTTGTGGGCGTGTGCGGCAATTTTCAGCTGCCTGCCGCTCTTTGCCGTCATGCTTTCCATCGTCTGCAACTTCTTCTCTCTGCTGGGCTACCCCCCCGAAATTGTAGTCTATCCCGCCTTGCTGGCTGTATTGGCATTCTCCATCGTATACGCTCATACAATAATCGTGTGCAATCTTGCCAGCGTCATCTCTGTTCTTGAAGAAAAGTCCGGGCTGGAGGCCTTGCTAAGATCCATCTGCCTGGTGCGAGGGCAGACTCAAGCAGGGTTGATGATCTTCCTGGGGTCGACGATTGGAATGGCTTTTGTCGAAGGACTGTTTGAACACAGGGTGAAGACTATAAGCTATGGAGACGGGTCTTCGAGGCTTTGGGAGGCCCCCCTGTTGGTTCTCATGTACTCATTCGTTGTTCTAGTTGACTCAATGATGAGTGCTGTCTTCTACTTCACCTGCAGATCATCCAGTATTGAAGAGTTGAGTTGGAACAGCGACACCCCTGTGGAGGGATAGTCGATCCCACCTGAATCGATAGATCTTTTTTTTTACTTAAGATTCAGAGATGAGTAAACAGATCATACTCTCCAGTCTTTTTTGGTCCTCCGTAAATAAGCTGTGAACGGCAAATGTCGCAGCATCCATGACTCTCCAGTTTCAGTTCATCCCAAGGTAGACGACGCTCATGACAAGTTGGAGACCTCAAGATGCCGTCGTCTATTGTAACTGGACAGCACTGAATACCTTGCCGAAGAAATTATTTGCAAACAGTTTCAGTTCATATTCCTCGTTTATGCCATCCGTGTACAACTCAGTTATAAAAGCTCCTTATGTTGTTCTATAAGTGCTATTTAAAAAAAAAAAATAGCTTACAACTTCTTTACGCACATAGTTAGGATCTTGATGTTCTTGTAAGACAGTCGAGTGTTGGAAGATCATAAGACAGTCGATTAAATATTTTATAGTATTTATTCATTTCTGGTCAGTGGGATAATCATTTCTTCCCTTGATTTCATGCGGAAAAGTGGTGAAACTCCGACAGAAATCAACTGCAAGTCATTCATACCGCATTCAATCAGCCGTTTCATATTCTTCCTGATGAATTGTGCATTATTTTGATCGCACTGATGTGGACATGCGGTACATCATCAGAACCCTAGATGAGTGAATCTCCTATATTTTGAACACTGAACAACTAGCAACCTGCCCACAAAAGGAAAACAAAAAGGGTAGGTACCATAATCTCTAGACACGTACTGTTCATTCATGAGTATCATTTCTTTGCATGCTGAATCTCGATAGTAGCTGGTGGTGAGTTCATATTGTCCACGAAGTTCCCGCTAGTTTTCTTCGTACTTCAACTTGGCAAGGATTCCGAGGGAAGAGGCTTCCGCCCAGGTCGCTCCCTCCCTCTCTCTTTCTGATGGATATGTGGGTCAGGCTTGAGCTTTATCAGAATCCGGAGCAGACCCTGTTCCTAGTTTGTGTTTGTTCTAAACTTGTAAAAGATTTGCAGCCCTGGCTTGGCCTATTTAGCCCTGGGCTTGGGCCCAGCCCGTTGGCCCAATTTGAGAAAAATAATCTCTAACTTACCCGAGTCTTTCCTATATTCGTATACATCGAACTAGTGTTGACTCAACCGTGTGTAGTTGACGGCTGAAACGTGCCAGTGAGTGGGGCAGCAGTACGCAAAGTCAATAACTCCTTGGCGGGCAGCCTGTACTGACCGTGTGATGACAGACTGCATGATGATGGCGGAGACGATTATGAAACTGTAGATCCCCCGTCGTTTCCGCTTCCGTGGGTTCTATAAAAATCCAAGCTTTGGAGCTCGATGACAGACTGCATGATGATGGCGGAGACGATTATGAAACTGTAGATCCCCCGTCGTTTCCGCTTCCGTGGGTTCTATAAAAATCCAAGCTTTGGAGCTCGCGCCGCCGCCTCCGTCGCAGAGACCCCGATCATCAACAGGACGTGAACTCGACTGCCAACTCAAAAGCTTGGGCAGTTGTAGATAAGCCGCACCTTCCTCTAGTAAGCGGATTAGGTCAGGGAGGCGTCCCCTCGGTCCAGTCAACGACCCATCTCCATTATTCTTTTCTCGTCGCACCAGCTGGGAGACCTGAGAAGCTCCGGAAAGCTGCTGTCATGAATATGGTGATCAAAGGATCCCCACCGCCACCAAAAACAGATGGAATAATCCCCCTCTCATCCTGTCCGATCCTTGTTATCATGGAGATGATTGGGTCTTCCCACCCAACCCGCCTGGACAAAAGCGGCCCAATACGATGCTTTTCTGATGGGGTTTCCCGGAAGTTGACCCCTCAACGGCCCGGCCCGGCCCGCCAGCGCGGCAGCAGCCCAGAGCCCCCATCGGACCCCTCAACCACTGCGTGATCCCACCCTGGTCCGCCAGCGGCCAGGGGGGAATTCTCCGCCGGGACCGGCGTCCACGTCGGAGAGGGCTCCGCGATGTGTCGGCGAGGATTCATCCATCCCACCCGCCGTCGGCGACGGCGACGTGGGAACTGGGCTCGTTCATTTAGTCGCCGGCGCCGGATATGCACGAACGGGTGGGGAGAGGGGGGGCATTGGCGGTGGCGGGCCATGTGGGCCCGCCGCCTCGACACGTCTCGCCGGAGCCCAACTACCCGGGGGAAGACGACGGCCGAGCCGAGGGCCTGTGCCGGCGGGCGACCACGTTGCAACCCGCGAGGCGCATCGGCTACCAGCTCTCCGGCACACGGGGCGTGAGAGCGCTGGCGAGAACCACGCCTCCGGCAGAACAGGTAACTCCTCTGGTGGACTTGACCTGGCGGTTGTTCCAGTAGTTAGGCCGTGTCTGTCCTCTCTCTTTCTCTCTCTATCCAACTAGGACACGTATGACTCACGATGAGTCCTGAAGGGAGTAGGTCCTGAGGATTCGCGGGGGGCGGGTTGATGAGTAAGGAAGAAATAGAGTAGGTGATTTCTCTGCCGGATATATATGTCTGGTTTTCTTCGACTTCCTTCTCTAGTAAGGAGGGGCCAGGAGAGGGAAGAAGCCGGTGGCGCTGAGATGGAGGAAACGAGGAGAATTCTCCGCAGGGCCATCTACGCCTTCCTCCGCGGATACCAGAGCTTCACCTCCATCGCCGTCCTTCTCGTCTCCCCTGTGTCGGCGGCTGTGCTGTTCTCGCAGGCGATGGCGCCCTCATCGTCGCGTATGATGGGGACCATTCAGGCCCGCCTCGACGCTCTGTTCGCCGCGGCGGGGCTCCCGGCGACATCCGATCTATTCTCCTTCCTCAACCTCAAGTTCTCTCAGACCATCGTCTCTTTCGTCCTCACGCTTCCTTTCGTCCTCACCTTTCTCGTCCTGGCCAAGGCCTCTGTCATCCAACTCGTGTGCGGATCATCCCGACGCAAGGAATTTCCCCCTTCCCTGCCGTCCATCCTGCGCCTGTACCTTCCCCTCCTCCAGACCCACCTCTGCTCTGCCTTCGTCGCCATCTCCGCAAACGCGGCCGCATTCTCCCTCCTCTTCCTCGCCTTCAACACCGCTGACGCTCTCGGCCTCACATCCGACAGGCTCATTCTCTGTCTCTCCATCGCGGGAGCGATTGTCTACTCAGTCCTCCTGGCCAACTCTCTCGTAGCCTGCAACTTAGCCATCATCGTCTCGGGGGTGGAGAACTGCGGCGGATTCCTCCCCATCCTCAAGGCCTGCGCCCTGCTGAGGAGCAGGGCAGCGACGGCCCTCTCTCTGGCGCTGCCCACTTCCCTCTTCATGGCGGCGGCCGAAGCCCTGTTCCATATCCGCGTGATAAAGCCATACCGCGCCGCCAACAGGTTGACTCCGTCGCTGATCGGCGAGGGCACCCTGATCATCTACATCTACTCTCTCCTCCTCGTCCTCGACATCATCGTGAGCTGCATGTTCTTCAAGAGCTGCAAGCTGGCCTCTGAATCAGATTGCGAGTTGGGATGCAGCTACTCGTCTGGGTTCGCGTCGAAAGCGGATAAGAAAGACGCTGCCGCTGCCTGTGTTTTCGTACGATCGAAGCTCCTGGAGCAGCAATGAACGGGAGGCTTAGTTGGAAAATCTTCATCTCTCTCTTCATTCTTCCCTCTCGAAACCTATCCATGCTGCCACCCAGGGCATGCGATATTCACCGCCGGGCCACCAAAGCAACGGGTTTTCCTCCTCCGCCGCCACCTCTCCGCATGGGCTTTCTGTGAAGGGAACGCCAGAATTGTTGCAGCGCCGCGCTGAGCCAGAGAAGATTTACATATTCTTTTTTTATTTATTCTGCACCTTCTCCATGTGGAAAAATCGTCGGAAATATTATTTTATCGATTAAACATTCTTGTAAAAGTCAGAAAGCACCTAATCCCCATAAATACCTCCCTGATTTCATATTTCATATTAAAACTTCCTTTAAAGAAGATGATTTTTCAAATATTTATTTTCATCAAGGAAAAACCTGTTCGTGAACACCACTTACATTATTCTTTGTATAAAGGATAATCCATGCAACAACAACAACAACAATAATCCCAAGCGAGGACAACTGAGTAGCATTACCACCGTGAAAGATAAAAGATCATACAATACATAACACTCAGAACAGAGTCAGATTCCTAGAGGAAGAAGCCCCAGGATCTGCCAGTTCGATTACAAATTATGGGCATCACTAAAGGCAGGTAGTAGAGCTAACCTCCTTCACTATTGTCGATACGGCCATGCCCAAGGTCGCAGCCCTGGTGAAGATGACACCTTCAGGTCATCAGTCCCGTCACCATGGCTGGATTCAGCGAGCAATTTGCCCCAGTCTGAGGACCTGTGCACTGTTCTGGACGGAACTCTGTCGCTGTCCTCGCCGGCAGACGCTTCGTACCCATCGCTGGCAGAGCTCGACGGCAGGATCCCCTCGTGAGCAGCGGAAACAAGAGAGGGGAGAGGAGACGAGAGCCCCTCTGGGTCCTCAGCACCGGAAGAAACCCGAAATGGGTGGAGATCGGGTGACCCTGCCGTGGAATCGGGGGACGAAGGCACATCCCAGGTGAAATCCATGGCCTGACGAGAGTGAAAGGCGCTCCTTGGTTCCAGCTGAAGGGGAGCAAAGCTGGTGGATGCCTCAATGGAGCGGTGCCTGCCATTGCTGCCACTGGCACTGGCGGAGATCGTTGCCAGGGGTTCATGAGGGAGCTTCGCGTGCAGCTTCCCCCTCCTGTTGATCCTCCTTCGGCGATCCATTCTTGATGTAGTTGGGTCATCACCGCTGGTGGAGCAACCATCTACATTGTGGACCAGAGGGTTCTTACTTCTCATCACTGGTTGCAGAACCCTAGACTTCTTCTTTGCCTGAGCTGCAGCCGTTGAGACCTCTTCAGCATTCATCCGTGCCAAGGCCCAAGGATTGATCTCTATAGCGCTAGTGCCTGGGATTCTTTTCCTCGTGGACGACTCCACCGCTGCACCCTTGCCCACAGAGTACAGAAATGTGGTGGCACCTGGCGGTACAAGATCATACTGCGGAGAAATAATTGAGATGATTGCATCGTTTCACAGGAATAATTTTTTTCTCAACTTAGGTAGAAAGGAGAAGAATTTGCCCATATACCTGATCCTCAAGGAACAAGCGTGGTGGAGTGCACCAAGTGCCTTGGCGAAAATTGGTGAAGGAGCTAGCACTGCTCAGCCCAGTAAAAGAACTGATGGTAGAAATTTGGGGGCTGTGCTGACTCCCCACCTCTTGCTGCTCCTGATTCCTCAAGGCCATGACGTAATCATAGGTGCTCAATCCCTGTCATCGTGCCAATTTTCAGCCATAGTAAGTAGGATGCCTAGAAATTCATGCAAGTGATATTTCCTTAGTTTTTTATAGAGTTGGGCACTGGGTTTTCAAAATTCTTTACTATTCGGATCACAAGCTTTTATGGGACGTGATTCGATAACCATCACAAGCTTCTTCTTTTTTTTTTCTGCAAGCCATGAACCATTTTATTATCTTACAACTCACCCAAATTAAGACTCGACAAAAAGGCAATGATATATAGACGGGAATTATGAGAACTTCACCTTTTTTATGAGGAGGACATGAAACAAGAAGAGTTGAGCAAGGGGTAGGGTGGCAGCCATAGCCAGGAGGGTACACGTAACCTGGAGATGGCAGGATGCACCTTGTTAGTCAAAATAACAATGAGCACTCTAGAGATCAAAACAAAGGAGAAATGATTCATTGGCCAAGGAAGAATGAGGTAGAAAACCAACCACCACAATAACAAATGGCACCAGAGAGAAGCTGCTCCCTAACTTTAGTGCTATATCTACCGTGAATCGCCTTCGCTCAAGGAAGCAGCGAACCAACACGAGCACTCCAATCAACCACTGAAGAACAAGCTGCAATCTCAAGCCCAATGTGCACAAACCACGGATACCTGTCAATAAATAGACAAGTTGAAAAGGACCAGAAACAAAATGCTCACAGCGTTCTTTTTTCTTTTATGACAGGTGTGGAGAAGTGACAAAGGGTTCATAAATGTATAAATACAGCGAAGTTCGTGCATAAAAGTATAAAAGAAAGTCAGAGTGCTAAGGGCATGAGACCTACCAGTAAGACCGAGGATAGCGTGAGGACAAAGAAGGTTCTGTAATTTTTTCTTCCTACACAGTTGTTGATCCACTGACAAAACGAGATAGAGGATGTTAGGCATTGTTAAATTGCTCAATACATGATGTTCATTGACGGATTGGTACCCTGCAATGGTGATCAAAGCCGTCAACACACTTATCACAAACCCTACAGTGCTTGCTGTACTTGTATACCTGAAAAGTGTGAATAAAACTTGAATGACATAAAAATACATCAAACCGGTGGTTGGTATTATCAAGAAACAAGACAATGATCCCAAGGTTTCAAAAGTTAATGGCTCGAGATTAGTTGACTGCGAGTATTTATCCGCATGAACTTTGAAACTGGGACTCATTGATATGGATACGAGTATCCCCGTTTATGCATATATACATACACCCATAAATACAAGTATTCGATCCCTCGCAACATGGGAGAAATGATGATATATTTATTTCGAATTTGCTGATTTATATGACCCGTAAATGATAGTTGACACAGAGCTTCAGTTCAGTTTGGCAGTCCTGAACAGTATGCAAACAGAACAGGGGGCTGGTATAAGGATAATTTTGATCGTTTGTCAGGGGGTTGGAATCGGAGAACAAATCGCCACTGAAAGATGGGGGTTTGATTCAAAGAGAGCATTGAGTGATCCTCCAGGTCAGCTGCCAAACCCCACTTCCCTATATGCACAATACCAATTACAATTTTATTACTGGAAAAGTGATGCTCCTTTTGTTATAACTTAGTGAGAGTATGATAATAGCCAGACAATTGGAGATTGGAGGTGATAACAACCTCTCTGATTCGTTAAAAAAATGAGAATAGAATAGTGAGAGTATGTCAGGGGGTTGGACGCCTTTTTTTCCTTGAAATGACATCAATAAACTAGTGCTAGAGTTTAGTCACATACCTCAACCTCACATAAAGTACAATAAAACATGTCATCCTCGCTCTGTTGCTTTGAAGATTGTTCGCGTGACCAATAATGGAAGACTGAGGAAGAAAGGGGGCACCATCCTAGCAAGCCTTGGCAGAAGGAGACAATAAAAGAGGAAGAATTCTCCATTTCAAAATTATTTGATGATTTTCTGCCGCTAGTTTCTGTAGCCAGAGCCTCATTCTGCAACTTCTCCCCAATTGTCAGAGCATTTGCATTATTCGTGGAAGAAATGGATATACACTCTACCTTAGACTTATTTGAATTGCTGTACAATTCATTATCCACTATTGTGAGATACTTCTTTGACTTGAAAACCCCAGAATCCCCAGGATCTGCTGCTGCGCACCAAATGTATAGAACCAATACGCAAGTCACCTAGAAATGTGTAATCAGAGTTAACATACTTCATAACCAAACGAAATTACGCCAAAATCTGAGAGCTTCGTGGGGTCAAGATGTCCATTCATCTGTAACAGTTCATAACAAAGTGACCCGAAAGCTTCGTTACAAATAAGATGCTATAAATGGTAAGAATGATTTGACAATGTGTTCAAAATTTCTGAACTACATGGAGGAAAATACTTCGGTCATTGCATTGGTCAATTGGATGAGTTGCTTGCTTAGAAACAGGGTTTTATACCCAACTGCGACCTCTGAGACAAATCTTCTGCCGTTTTATTGAAAAAGTTTGTTCTAAATACTTCAAGGTTTTAAAATACCCGTAGTTTTGGTCATTGTTTTGAAGACTCAGAATGATGCATGCCAACTCGATCTTTCAGGCTATTAAGTCTGACCCGCATGGAATTGGCCGTATTGCGTAACTAAAGGCTGTTAAGAATAATATTCCTTTTTCAAATACATTTTGGCTATAAACACATGTAGAGGTATAATAAGGCTCGTAACATCCAACTTGGTTATTGCACTTTTCCAATATGGGATTCTAGCCCACGCAGATCCTTATGAATCTTCACCCACGTGCTTTAAAGGCTTGGCGATGTCAGTTCCCTGATTCTAGCACAGGCAAGCCCTTAACCTAGCAGCGATATAACAGGCTTGGGCCCAGTAAAGAAACGGCACTTTTAAAGATTAAGCTGAATTATTAATTTTTTTTCTTCATTATTTGTTTAATTTCTGTATCTACGATCGTTCCCTGAAAAACAGGTCTAAAATCAGGATGTAGATCACAATATCACGCATTGGCGTTTCGTCATACACTAGAAGCTTAATGAATCAATTCATTACCACCCCCTTCCAGCCTGTTTGCATACACTAGATTCTCTCCCTGGAAAAAAATTCCCTTCCCACTAAGTGTTATTACCATTTTTAAAGACCCGGACGTTTTCAATCATTCCAAGCCGGCGGAAGAAAAAAATCACAATTTAATTAGTTATAGATGTGGGAGACTGAGATTCGGGTAGTGATTCACCGCACTTCACTAAACGATGATGATATATGAGGAGAAAAAATGCCTTCCAATGTTGAATCTTCAGGGAAGCAGGAATCTTGCAGAAAACTACAGAGATTTTTTTTTTAATTGTTGACTTTCTGTTTTGCATCCAGTGGTCTTATCTTTCATGAGAATCATAAATTATTAGACGGCCAGATCAACCATCATAAGCAACTCCCGGGGATGCTTACGAGAGGATAACCTTGAAAGCACGAAGAGATGAAATGAAGAGATCAAATTAATCAAGAGAATCGCTTCACTGATTAAGGAGTACATCGCTCGACGTTATAACAAGACATGAGGAACAAAATCACAAACTTCAAAGAATGTGGGCGTAAAGCATCAGACAGATCTCAACAGCTTATTCTAAATGAAAAAGTGAGATGCGTCTGAAGAGCTGAGAATAACTAACCAGGAGAGTATAGAGCCCAATCACTGCATACTCAAGTTGCTTGCTTCCAACAAACGGTACGAAAAAGACATAGGAAGCAAAAGCCAGAGCCAGGAACACAGCGACGGCCACCACCTTCTCAGACATAGTGGAAATGAGAACACCATCTCTGCAGAAGGAAGAGGAGAGAAGAGTAAGAAGAAACAGACCTGGAGAGGGTGGTACGGCAGCTGCCAGCCATGTTTCCTCATTACAAGCGTGGTTCTTGCAAACCCAAAGTGGCCGGAGAGAAGTGGAGAAAACTGGTTGCCCCCTGGAGCCAACCAAAGTCCAGGACAAAACGTGATGTGATTTTCTTTTCTTGGGTTCCTCTTCCGCTCTTAAGGAGACATAATGGACAGAAGATACCTCTAAGATGTAGCCCCGCGAGCCTGCATTACAGATTATTCGCGGCCAGACCCAGCAGGGAAGAAAGATTACGGATGGGTTGGCTTGGAGGGGAATGAAAACTTCCTCTTTCCAACCTTCTTGTATCACTCTCCAAGCCCAACGCTCATAACATTTCCAAGGGGGAAAGCCAAAGGAGATGGGGTCTGCTCTTCGTTTCATCGAGGCCTACGACTCCCCACCGCCCCTGAGGTGAACAGAGGAGCACTGGAAGCCATTCTCCCACCTCTTTCTTTCCCTGTTTCTCTCGCGCCATCCTAGGCCACGATTATGAACCCGGAAAACCCCATTCCTTCCTCCTATTACCCAAAGTGTGTACTCCGGCTCCCGCCCTGCCCAAAGGACAGTAGTAGGATAAGGGTGAGCTGTGTCTGAGAGGGGTGTTTCCATTCGCAACAGAGGCCAACCCCACTTCATTTCTCTGGCGCCCCACGGCGCTACAGACAAAGGCCTGCCTTCGGCCTCCCTCGAGAGGATGCTGGCCCATGAAAGCGGAGCCAGAGTCCGAGCTACTCCACAGCACAACGAATAATTATCAGTCGGGGACCGAGTTTGCCCTGTCGGGCTCATCTTTGTCAAGCAGTAGTCATCCAATCGAGCGGGGTCGCTTTTGAAAGCATCTGCTACATAAAAAAAAAAAAACAACAACTTTTACTTTCCATGAACCTTTGCAGCAGAAAGAGACGGATGGACGAGCTTTCGAAGGCTGTTTTACGAACAGGTTATGTTTAAATGAAGAAGACGGGCCTCCGAAGGGAAAAACAGGTCCGCATTGGAACTTTTTTGATCTCCACGCTGAAAAATTGAATGATGCCCTACAGAATCAGACTACCCATATCACCATCTATGTTTATAAAGGTTCCCAACCCATGTGAGTATTGGGGGGGGTGGGGGGGTCCAGGGAAGAAAAATCTAAGCCTGTGATCGACGAGGCAGGCCTATCCCACCTATACCTTCCTAGAAGGGGGGGATAGGCTCTAAGTAAGCAGCCGTCTAAGGGAGGGACTGGAATGGGGTCCCACCTCGGACTTTTCTCTTTTCTCTATCAACTGACTTGTCACAGAAAGCTTGTGGATATCTTCCATAAAGACACAGAGGAAGGCAGGCTCCGAAGAGAGTGAGAGAGTGGGAAATTTTATGTGATTTCTAAATTCTTCATTGAAATGAACATAAAAGTTATACCATTCGGATTGTGTGCGTTTCTTACACGAACTATTGAAGTACAAGCGTTTCCTGTAATTTTAATGTGAATGGTTATAAAACATAAGTATTACTTAATGAATTATTGTACCTTTCACCTGTGGTTACTCCAGTGCCTTTTCTGCCACCATTTCTCTCTCTCTCTCTCTCGCGATCGATATGATGTGCGAGACATCCGCATAATCTATGTTCAGTATATCTACGATAATGATTCAATTCAGGGACATGTATCTGGTACTTATTTGCAAATAATAAGGGCATTCAGAACACCCAAAAAAATTTCAGTCTATGGTCAAATTCAACAACGTTTACGATTTCTTAGTCATTTGAACTCAATATGACACACTGAGCACCCAGGTAATCTTATCTGAGCACAATTTTGATTATTATTGAATTTAGTAACAATTATGTTCAATTAATAGGAACACATACTTTTTGAATATTTCTCTCAGATCATGTTCGACCGGGGCCAATCACGTTTATACTCAGTCTAAGATCTCAAGCAATTTATTTGATAAAATAAATAAATGAGTGAAGCCAGTTGGCAAAGACTTCCTGGCCATCTCATCCCTTATTCGGACAATGCTAAGGACGGAAGAAACAACAACATAGAAGAAATAAATGGCTTCATTCCCTGCTTTCAGAAGGGAAGACAGTAGAGCCAATGGAAGGGAGAGGACGACCGTCTCATCTAGTTACAAAAAATTATGTGGCATCTGTTACAGCTCTATGAACTATACACGTGATATTATGCTGCTTTCCCTATTCCCGAGTTTAATAATAACAATGAATGGCAACCATTTATGTACGAAAAAGAATGAGAAGGGCCAGGGGTTAGCTCTGTACATTGGCCGGTGTGCCTTGAGGTAGGCCTATTTCTCCCAAGGAATCTGCTGCTATCTCAACTTCTCCCACTGCCACCGCGCGAAAAAATGGACGTGCATGAATCATCTGAAGATAAACCCAAAAAAAAAAAAAAAAAGAGTACTATTATGCGTTCAAATACGTTTAACGGGAAATTTAAAATTTTAGAGGGGATCAAAAAGGCTCACCTTACAGACCCCTGGAGGGAAAGATGGAGCTCCACTGGCCGCAGGGCCTTGTCTCCGTGGTTGAATCGGGTGGCTCCTGTGTCGCAGCCCGGGAGAGCCCACGCTGGGGATCATATATCCGGCAGGAAGGCACTCAGTATTTCCGTGACTTTGTGATGCTACAAAGGTTGTCTGGCTCTTTTTCTAGGGGGATTTTCTGCCTTCGACTTGTTCATTTCTTCCTCTTTCTGAGCTTTTTTCCTCTCCAGTTCTGCCTGCTTGCAGTTCTCCTCGTGTGCTTTCTTGAACATCCGGACGAAATTCAACAGCGTAGCTACAACTGCAGGTTGTTTTTCAGCGTGAGAGGAAGTGGAAAACCACAACAGCAATCACATTAAAATAACTGGCGACTAGAATGCCTAAGGGAGATTTTTTAGGTCAAGAAATCACACGAGGAGGGTTGATCCTGATTGATGATACCATAATTACGAATGAACTGTACCTTTCTGGACCTCGTGACGAGAGGGATTAATGATAGATCGAGGAAAACTAAAAAACAGAGAGAAGATAGGGAAAGAAGCTTGGCCTACATCATCTTCGGTTTCTAAGAAGCTCACTTGTAGAGGATGTCTGCAGCATTACTTCCATTACCAGTTAATGCCAAATTCCAGTTGATGCTTTTGGGTAGATGATCCATGAGACAGATACATTGTAGTAAAAGATTTGTAGGAAAAGATCCGAGGATTGGTGAATAGATATAGAGTACTCATTCAACCGCGAAAATCAACAACTGAAGGTGGTACCAAACCAGAATGTGGAGCGCAAAGAGCGTGATAAAATCAAGGTAGTTCAAGACAGAAGTTCGATCCACTGCTAGTTTCAGTTTTTGGGAAAAGGAAAGACACCAAATTCCATGACTGAAGAAGAAAGGTGGCTAGACGAGGGGCAATGACACCTATGTAGTTGTATTTATCAAACAAAGTTTTGCGGAAGGGCATTCATGAGAGGACAGTAGCGGGCTTATGACTCAAATTGGAGTCATGAAACTAAAGCCAGATACCTCAGGATAAAGAAGCACTTGAATATTTACCTATTCATGTTGAGGATGTTGAAGTTACATTTCCTAAATCCGACCTTGGTGAATTTAATTAGTCCAAAAAATCTAGTCAAGACCGATCTCAAGATGATAAGGATCAAGCTAAACTAGATACCTCAGGATCAAGCATTCATGAGAGGACAGTAGCGGGCTTATGACTCAGATTGGAGTCATGAAACTAAACGAGATACCTCAGGATGAAGAAGCACTTGAAGATGTGCCTATTCATGTTGAGGATGGTTGAAGTTACATTTCCGAAATCGATCTTGGTGAATTCAATTAATCTCAAAAATCTAGACAAAATTGATCTCAAGATAATAAGGATCAAGCTCTCCTACAAATGTGCTCCCCACGACCATCCTTCAGACATTTCAGAGAGACCTAGATTGATACATGGTAGAGATACGATCTCTATGAAAGATGTTCAGGGATCCTAACACTCTAAGAAGTTGGCAGACAAGGAATTGATACTAGTCCTATAAGGAATTTCAGGGAAAGAAATTGATAACTGTACCAAAATATAAAGTAAAAATTTCGCAAAAGCAAGAGGCCATTTCAGACCCCACAATCCGAGATGAGATCCATGATGACAATGTGGAAACTTTCTGAAGCGTCAAAGATGAGCATGACTTGAAGTAAAGCCTCATTTCCTTAGGCAATGTTGCTTATACGTGTGCACACAACAGGCAGCAGAGCTTTGAGGGTTTAAGAGGCGCTCTTGTTGTGATAAAGCACAGAAGATAAGGTAACTTCCATAAACTACCAGATACCACAATGGCTTCAGTTCTTCAAAACTCACCAAACCTGAGGATCAAAACGCCAGCCCATAGTCCATCCTCAACGTTTTAATTTTCGGCCTGGTCTGGTACGCAATCATTGTCTTTCATTGCTTAAAGTGTTTAAGCACTTCATGTTTATTCTTCCACACAAAAACTCAGGTCTTTCTGCAATAATCATTAATGAAAGCCAATATGTGCCGGGATCCATTTTTTTTAATTATTCTTGAGATGAACTCCTAATGTCTGAATGGATGAAATATAAATTGCCTTGGGTTATGTGCACTCCATTGTGGAAGCTACTCTTCTACTTTTCAAAAACACAGTAATCATAGAAATCCTTCTTGCCTATATTCTGACCAACAGGCAAACATCTGTTCCCTGAATTCTCATACCCGTCTATATCATTTACCCCAGCCCAATATGCCTTGGTCTTCTGGTACCCGACTATAGTGTTGAATGCTCCGCATCAAAACAAAGTCACAGGGATTGGGACAGAAACCTCAAAGAGAGCTTGTTAGATATTATCCGATGCATGCTACTGAAATGACGTTTGGTAAGATGAGGCGTGATCTGGTTCTCTTAATTTCTCAAGTCTGAAAGTTTTCATATCCTGCATGTGTAAACGTTGATGAAGGCAACTTATTGTCGAAAGCCAAGAAATCCATCTTTCTTAAAGATCCTTCTTGTGTGAAGATATATATATTGTCGCGTGCAAATCCTGAGTCAACTAAGGTTATGATTGTTTGTGATGCTACATTCAATGAGCCCACTATGCTTGATCCAAAAGAACAGTCCATTCATCTTTCAATACAGATTTCCAGCAAGTGGAGCCAGAAGTTGGGGATTTATAATTTAGATTATGACGTCCGCTTATCAGCTTGTAACTTAAATCCCAGTTTTGTAGTCTGGAGGGCGAATTGCTATAGATTTGTAGACCCAAATCCGTAACTGACTCAAACAGTGGCCCCATCTGTAAGATTCAAATGAAGCTTTTGCGTCCAAAGATGGTCAGAGGGTTCAAATTGGAAACCAACGAGGGTTTCCATTGCTTGTGGGAGTTGTCGCACAACCTGGTTAGTCAAACCAACAAGGACTCATTTTCGAAACCACCGTTTATATCACGCAGTGGAGTTAGCTTTTCGAGAGAACTTTGTACAATAGAAAATTTCGAGTCTGGGGAGAACACAAATATCGTTCTCTTGTACTAATACTGGATTGAACAGTAGAACCTGGCTGTTTCCACCCGTGCACGTAAGAGTTTGTATCTGAACCCTGCAATTCTGATGTTGATTCGCTTTATTTGGTTTCATTTAGTTAGAGATGTCCAAGTTAGAACACAAGTATCTAACTTCATTTGGTTTCACCCTCCGTCAACTAAGCTGTCCAAATGATAGCTTCTTCTACAACCGCATGGGCTTGACCAATTGAAAACGAGTGGCAGCAGCCATTTTGTGGTAGAAGGAAGAGGTCGAAGCTAGAGGTGTGAACAAGAGGAGACTACACTCCCACTCCGATAGAGTGCCACTCTCCTCACCAAGTTTGCCGGGAACCGAAGATGAAGAACCAGGCATGTTTCCATTCATTCCTCTCCACCATAAGCAAGGGCCCTTCTCAGGGATGGGAATGCTTCCTTAATGAGAAGATCTAAAAAGATAGGAGAGTTTCTTGACGACAAGGCAAGTATACCAGCTCAACTATTCTTCTATAAACTCAGACTATTTCACGCAGGGTACCTTATGTTTGTTCCTCTCTGCTCTCTGAAGATGTGGGCATCGTCTTGCAAGCTGACTAACGGGAAAGATCCTCGCGACATTATTTCTACCAGCGGAGAATATCATGATTTTTGTGTACAGTTAGCATCTTCTTGAGAAAAATTTTAGAAACAAGATTTGGTTCCAACATCCTTGACTCTGGACTCAACCTAACAGCAAGGGACGCTCCGATTCATAAGCATCGTCATTTATTTCACCAATAGTCCCTTGCCCCTGCGAATTGTCAGCCTTTGAAAAGTTCTTTTCAAAATCACAACAACCAATTGCCCCTGAGCATGTTTAGGTCTAGCGAGATAATGGCAACTACCAACCATTATCGTGCATGGTGCGTGAAAACCAACTCAACGTATTTTGAACTGAACAACCAAGGCACATTCGCTTCAATAAAAGGCAATTTTAGACACAATCAATTGAATGCTTAACTCAAGAAAATGTCTTTCATAAAACATAGCCCTTTTCAAATATAAAGCAGTGGCATACATTATCCTTTGAAATATGGATCAACCACAAAAGGATTCTCACAGAAATTTGCAAACTTTGCAATATGTAAACCCCTAACATGAAATGAAGACCATATACATCAAAGAAAGAAACGAAAAAACATGTTAGAGCAAATATGCTTTAAAAGTCACGTTCAAGAAAATAAGAGATTTTATGATCAGTAAATGCCATATGGGAAGCTAGTAACGTAGGATATCATATCAGCGCTAACACCAAACACAATAGAATCTCAGCGGTGATCAGCAGCAATAGAACAAAAATGAAGCTCACCTTGTTCAAATGGGCAACGAGCAGGATCTTCTCCAAAGTAGAGTGCAAGTGCATCTGCATTCCTACCCTGAAAGCATTAAATAAACTGACATAGTCATTCAAATGTAAGATAATCTTGTCTTCAATAGTCACATAGCAAGATAGGTGGCATACTGCTGCGGTATAGAGAGCTTTCAATGATTCAACTTCAGAAACAGCAACACCTATGAACTCCTTGAGAGTCTAAATGAAACAAAAGATCAAAAGAAAAATCAGCAAATATATTTCCATGTAAGATAGATCATGAAAATAGAAAATAAAAAGCACCAAGGGCAAAAATTTAAGAAAAGTAAATTAAGAAAATTCAAGATAACGAAAAAAATGGCATTTAGACACAATATTCAAAAAAATTTGATTCTCTGAAAGTATCAAAGTATTTTTCATGTAAACAGATTTTATATCAAAAACTCGAAAGGAAATTATGCATTGCATTGGTCGGCATAATAAAGAATAAAAAAATACTTCCTTCCATACAAAAAAAATATAAATCTGATAACGAAGCGGTCATCTGACAAGAACAACATTTGAGATGCTATGAATATTTACTTTTAACATTTTAGATATTTTTCGTGTAACGAGAAAATGTCACAGAAGTGCTAAATTCAGCCTCATGAAATCATAAATGTGAATTCTGATCTCATTAAGTGAGCCATATACAATGTTATGCACTTTACAAAGGAATTACTGCCCTCGGAAACATTGGAAGAAGGTAAAAATACATGTAAAGGATGCATGCCAGGCATTTTAAAAGTTTATAATTCCATTTTTTTTATATTCTTCAACTCGAGTAGAAATAAAGTATCCAATGTTCTTTTACGCAATTGCCTTTGGATTACTAATGGCCTTCCATGGTTTTCACAAAAGCACTTAACATTATAAGATCAAGGGCTGTCCTACCGAGATAGAAGGTGAACGACCCAAACAGTTTTCAGATCTCGAATGGCCTCAAAATTTATTTTCCTAGCATGACTATAGGACTAGAACAAATTTCAGCTATACAAGGTAAGGGAAGTTCGATTCAAACATAATATATCTAAAAACAGAAAGCATTGCATTAATAAGAGGCTCTAGAAGATAAACAGAAAAAATAGTCAACTTGGAAATTACGAGCCTGAATAAACTTAACATTCGTTCTAATCATCCAACAGATGTCCAAGTAATTCTAAAATATTTACAACGTTTAACTACAACCAGATACAATATGCTACATATCAACAACCAGTTCTATGCACATCAATAGGATACGATATGGTTGAACAGGATGTTTAGATTTACCCTGCAAAACACTTCCGACACAGGACCGTCATTTTCGGATGCTGTCAGCTCAATTTCAACCTTCTCCAACCCCTTGGTTATAGCTTGCATCTCCTCAGCCAGAGGCTTCAGTTGGATCTACACAAGAAGAAAAATCCAGATAAAAAAAAATTACTACAGGATTTTGCCCAAAAAACAAGCAAATCAAAGGACTAGAACCTTTGATGATGCTTCCAAGCTAGTGAGATCCACATGGAAGTCCAGAAGATTGGGTGATCTAGAGGCAAGTACCTGAGCCCAATGAAATAAAAAACTTCAATCAACTACCAGTAGAAACAAAATACAGAATCTCATGGAAAACAGAACATATTGGCTAAAAATATCCAACGTAAGTGCAGAAAGAATGCACTGGTACACATGCTGCAAAAAAAAAATTGGCCAACATATCACATTGACACTACATCAAAGTAAAGAACGATGAAATAAAGATAAAACCAAAACATAATTAATGCGCCTTTCTGAAAAATTGCAACTACAAGTATACAACGTACTAAAAAAAAAAGTGAATACAAAAAACATATTTAAGGTTAGGATAATCAATCCTCTGTCGAGACTCGAAAATAAATAAAACACATTCAAACTATAACTCTGATCTTTGAACGAGCTTCCGATGATCTACAAGACGAGCTAACGTTTGTATCTCCTATATATGAATACCAGAAGAACATGGTGTATGTTAAAGGCAATCCCATATTCATGGCTGGATTTGATTTCTTCTTTTGATTTGAAGGTGAGGAAAAACAAATCTGTAAAGTATTAAGCCAGAATATTATAATGACTCAACATACTCCACTTAGAGTCACAAACAGTACCCCAAACCTCAAATGGTCCAAGGGCAGATACAAAACCAGCAGAAAAACGGCAATCCATAGAGTGGGATAAAAAAGACAACAAGTAAATACACAAAAGCATAATTAAGAGCAAAAATGTATGGCAAGGCACACATCAATGCTGCTCTTCCCAAAACTACTATTATTTTTGTATCTAACTTACCAACAGTTCCATCAATGGCCGTTGGAGTCACCTATTAATAATTTCCCACCACAATGCCTCCAGAGCAACGTATGAGGCAACCATTCTTTATTGATATTTGGTCATAAGATGTCACCAGGTGACATATTAATAACTTCAAATTTTCTGTTCTAAATATCAAAAGCATGAAAAACAATGCATATAATTAGAGTCCAAAGAGTCATAGACCATTCGGGGTGTCAAGAGTGGGAACATAGGAAAGAACTCTGCAAACCAGGAGAGAAGAAGATGTAAATGGAAGCAAGCGGACAGGGAAACATGCATCAGGTGGTCTAAGTTTCACGATGGAAGTCAAAAGACACTTCAATTGTGCTTACGTCCATCTTGTGAAGGAATAGAAATAGCATATAAGCATCAATCTAACCTGCTGGACACGATCAGAACATGAAACAATTTTTCTTCTAGCTTATCTCTCACCAGAGTACAGCCTTGTTAGTAAGCAACGGTTTTATCTGGTTTCTTAGATTTTAGTAGGATTCCCCTGTTGCTCCTTTCTTACAGTTTATTTATCGTTGCTTCCCCCTGTTCACTTAAATAATGCTTCTATTTCAAGTAATCCCCTTCCAAAAGAAAGACAAAAGCCACCTGAACAAAACCCGTCTCTTGTCATTTGCAGTCAAAAGAAATGTTTCAAGCATGGACAGAACTGTCCAGGCCGACCAGAATAAAGTGGAACTCATAATTTACCTTTTTAGTTTCACCAAAAAACCAATTTTTTTATGGTGAAGGGAAGAGGAAAGACTCTTCCGCACACGATGACTGGAGATTATACCATATAAAAAAAAACAATGGAGCTGAGGGGAGGAAGCATCTCCCCGTTAGTAACTTTGGAAGTTGTACCATAACGAAAAGGGAAGACTAACGTCCCTTATTATTGCCAAGAAATTTCTTTTAAACATAAGGAAGCTTCATATAAGAATAACCACTAACTGATATTCAAATGATATTATATATGAGTGCATACAACTGAAAACATTTCGTCCATTTTGTTCAGCTGGTTTTTAAAACACTGGTTTAAAATAGCTAGAAAGTACCTTCTCTCACTTCGTAGCTTCTCCAAATAACCTTCATAACCGATATCCTATTTCACCGCACCAAAAGTTTCACTGGTGCCAGAGTTGAAAATCTGTCTTAACGGCCCTGGAAGAGTCCCTGCCAGTCTTCACTGATAGAAACTGACTTGAATCCTTCACCCAAGAACTCACCAATCAAATCACCCACTGTCTGAGTTTCTACACCACCAATTTCACATTTATCTTCACCTGTCTCACCTATCAGGACGTACAAAGGCAAAAGACCAAGAAAACCGATTATGCTGATTATTTTTGAACTATCTCCACTGAACTCTCAGAGTCGGATTCTCCCAGTCAAAAAAACTCCGTTTAACCAGCATTTCTTCAACCAACCTCTATTGAACCAACCTTTGCCCCACAACCAGAGATCACCACTAGACAACCATAACCTCCGATTTAATAGTTAGCTAACCCTCAAGAACTAACTTATATGATCATAACTTCTAAAGGTCAACTGTCAAATCCCAGCTATGACTTCCAGAAACTCCGCAACTTTCTTTTCTCCTTACCACCACCCTTCTAGAAGAGAGCTACCACCAGACTCAATCCAAAAAAATTGTTGAAATATGAAAAATCGTAAAGAAATGTACAACAAAGAATAGGATTATCATTTTCATTGTAATGGATTTAGTAAATGCAAAAATATTTCTATGCAGGTAATTCCATTAAAAGGCCCACAGAAGTGACAAGAAAACGTAGGTATAGCATAATAGAGAAACATGGAAAATGATCGATGAAAACATTGACATCAGGGAGTCAAAGTGAAAGTGTGAAATAAAAATCGTCGAAGCTACACTTTGACAGAGGAAGAGAGAGACAAAGAAACTATAGCACATTAAACAGTCAAAAATTCCATTTTAAGCTTTCTTCACAGTTTCTGCGAAGCCTAAAATGCCCTAAAAGAGAATAATCATATGGTGCAAGGTTTTATACTTCCAATTTAAATAATCCATAGTCCCAGAATGTTCATAAAACGATTTATAACTTTCACAAATCAATATGTTTACTAACATAAAAACTAGACTAATTCATTCGGTACCTTGCAAAGGTAATGCATGAGAGTCATTTTGTTGTTAGTAGCACGAGTATCTGTCAGCTTCAGAAGGCTGTCCAAGCGGAATCCTATAGCAGCACCTGTACAGATCAGTAATTTCTGGTTAGTGAAAAAACGTATGATTGATCAGAGCAAACTTATCCAAGACAATCAAGAGTGAGCAACTCGCAAAAAGGTTGACAGTTCAGCATTATTCGTACAACACATTAGAGTGCATCGTGCCATTTCCATGGGCACAATCTACTCACAAAATGTTATGAAAGATCATCCTCTCCTCCACGTTCTGTTTTCTGCCTCTTTATCTTTGATAACATAAACCACTCCCCTCATTTAATGTTGAAACTGAAGGGATTGGGTAACTTGGGCTTTTATATGCATAATTCCCTCGCTCATGCACACACCTACATACACCCAGGTAACCCTTTTATCACTTGGATTTTACCAGACACGATGTAGCAAATCACTGTATATAGACATGTGAAGACAATCACCTGTTGTGTCATGACCGTGTACAAAGCTGTTCCACGCTATCAGATGTTTTTCTAGGCTGACGCCTACTATTTAATGGGATCATCTCAATCAATCTCAATTCCTAACCACCTTAATATAGAATTTCTGACACCAATAAAAAGGGACAAAACTGTACAGGTTGGACACGTTTGCAACCCTACAGTTTAAGCAACTGGATAAACAAACTTTAACAAGGAGACTTCAAGCCTATGAAATAAAAAAAAGGAAGAGAGGAGAGAAAAACATCGCTTTTTTTCTCTATCATTTCTTTTTGGGTTGTTTTACGGTGGGGGGTTGGACTTTAAGAACAAGAACCCCCATCATTGGTATTCAAAGGTGCATGGAGATAGTTTATCTATATATCCCCAATAGGACAGCAATTAGGAAAATAGGGAATCATACAGTTTACATGGTATACCATTTACGCCAGTATACGAAAAATTACACAATTGATTGAGATATTTTTCTGTTCCATCCATCAACCCAATCAAAACGAACAATAAAATGAATAGAATACTAATATCGTCAAATAACCTATTTTACCTCTTGCCGTTCCCTGGTTCAAAGTGTTCCCAAGAAATAAAATCTTCTTCATTATTTCTTTCAACTTGATAGAATTTCGTACCTGGCAAAGCACCATACAAAGAATATGAAGAGATTAGAAAAATACCAAAGCGAGTGGATAAAAAGAGACCCCAAGTAAATAAATACCTCCTCACATGCAGAGTTGATTGTATTTAAGCTCTTTGTAAAATCTGATATCTGCATGAAGACATTTTCAGCGAAAAAATCAAATATATGTATACAGTTTATAATGGCACTGATTCAGATGGATTACCTGGGATCCAAATTGAATCTTGAACGAAAACACCCTTAACTTTGATTCTACGCGTGGGACCTTCATCAACTCCAAGAAGAACTGAAATGCAGGGCAAACCATCGTCTCCAGATCACAAATGATTGTCATCCCATAAAATTTACATACTGAATCAACAGGCACTTTAAAAAACACATCCTCAATTTGCTGAAATTCTCTCGAAGTAAAAAATAGAAGACCAAAACCTTTATTAAGCATAAACATTAGGTACAATTTTCAAATAAATATAAAGAAGATCTAGGTGGAAGAAAACAAGTGATCTGTCACTTTCTTAGATGAGAAGGTTTTAAGACAGGCACAGTCGGCAACATAAATTATTTTCAGAGATGATCAGTCAAGTATGTAGCAGCAGAGTAAAAACATAGAGATAAGGACTGGCTTTGTCAATTAAATAAAAAATAAGGATTTTTTAAGACATTTCATTTGTGTCAAAATAGAAGCAAGAGAAACAAGATAATGACGCTTGGCATTTCATTATATGATTTGTACAAAACAAGACAAATACGATGTGATTTAGCACTATAAAAGTTGCCATTAAGATTTCTCAGATGTAGGCAGGCAGGTTTGAAAGAAGTGACTGAAGAATGTAAAAGAAAAATGTTCGGAGTAATGCACTTTCTTTCATACTCAGGTGAAAATAGATCTTAAGGCAGGAAAACGTTGAGCAGAACGTGAGCTGAAATGCCTAAACTTATTAGGTTCTAAATAAGGTCCTCGTTGTCTTTTTAGGGAACGGCATTTTTTTATTCAAGTGGAAATATCCCAGTATGCTCTGTTTGTTAACGCTGGCCTGTGCTAAGCATATTCTGAGGAAAACATGAATAGCTGCCTGCCAACTGAAACCACGAAACTTCTCTTCTGTGCGTCACACTTTTGATATAGACGGTCTTACCAACTGTCAGAAGCTTGGGAAGACCTTATGACTGACGTCAGCTTATTCCAATTTTCTCATTCTTGGTGAGAATACAATCTTCAAATCATTGTCCGAGTATTCATCAACAATTAATCTATTAATTTCTAGAACAATAAAAGCATTAAATTCCACTACCACTCCAAATGACAATTGAAATAGATATGTTGTCAAGAAAGCAATTAAATTTTTTAATCTTGGAAACATTGGCATTCAGTGGTAAGTAAAAAAAAAAAATCCACCGAAAAAAAAAATGATCCATAATAACAGGTTTGCACATAGCTCATACCTGTTCACATTTGCCCAAGATTTCCTTGTCACCATTGTAGCCCTATTTGGGAAAATGTGTTTGCAAAATCGTCATAGAATTGAAACAAAAGATTAAATTGCCAACAAAGAAAGTAGGAAATGAAAAAAAAAAATTAAATGACTAATAATTTAAATGGTTGTTGCTTAGGGATTATGAATAGCTTTGGCAAAATGCACCTTTAGGAGCTCCATCTCCTCTTTTGTGGGGCAGAACTTAATTAAATTTTCCACTTGATCGACATCCAATATAGAATCATCCAATGCCAGGGCAGCACCCTGGAGCAGCAGAGAAGCATCAGAAACATAAATGAATATATTTCTATGTTTCTAGTCCATAATGGAGCTCTGTAAAGAATTTCTAAGATCAAAATGTCAACCTCAGATAATAGACCACACTGGCATAAATACCTCTTAGTAGTCAAAATTTTCCTGGAAATTAAAAAAAATCACCATATCATGTGGAACACATGACTTCATTCATAGACAGAAGTTGTGTCAATCCATGCTAGATATATACATTCTTTTCGGTAAATGTCTGTTTCGGAGTCCCTTAGATGGTCCATGATCCCAAGAGAAAAGTATAGCCATGCCTACATCTCTGATATCATGTGATAGTTATTAGAGCAGGTAACTAAGCCTTGTTTCAACTGTTTGATTCATGAAGCCATTTTCTCTTCAGAGTGGATAGTGTCTCATTTGCATTGAGCATTCAAAAGAAAATGGGACTTGCAAGTACATTGCCATTGCACTTTGAAAACAAACCATAGAAAAAAATTCGTGACTTAAACCAAGATTGTGAAAATCCATGCAATTCCAATTCTCTCAAAAGCACTTGATAGTTTCTTTGGCCTGGAAATCAGTAACATTTGGTGGGATGTGATAGAGATCATGGAGTACACACCACAAAAATAGCGGTTTTAACATGATTGCGAAGAAAAAGATAGAAGACGGGATGGACAGCAGCTATGTACATCAAAAGAGTATTCAATGTGTGAATATAGGCTGCCTCATCATACGTCGCCAAATTTAGCACCCATCATACATTTTATATTCAAAAAAAATGATGATTGACATTGTTTTATCAGCATATCGAAAGCTTCCACATTCTATTGCTTAAGACACTTGATAAACTCTCGTTAAAGCAATACATTATCAACAAGAGAATGTGCACAATCGCCTTCTTCCCGACCTCACAGACCATAGCCTTCACTCCATTCCTATGCGTCTTGATACAAAATCTTCTTCCCGATCTTATGAAAATACCAGAGAATTTCCATTCATGCAAACGAGATAGATAGGCCAAAACTTCTGCTCTGGGCCACATTGCACAAGCTGAGAATAGCACTACAGATTCCCATGCCTTGGCCAAGCCACCAGCAGAATTTTCTTTATTTCTGTTTAGTGCCAGAGATTAACTAATTTCCTTCTGATCTAATATTCTTTCTTGTTTTTAATCCTTTTCCGTTCTTATCTAGTTCCTAATAAAGTTATAAAAGAAAATCAAAGAAATAGACTGTACCACGCTCATGATATGCCTGGGACGTAGCTGCATATTTAAGAAGCTGACTAAGACCATCAGACATCACCAGACAGTCTGTCACTAACGCACTAATGAGGTCCCCTTTCCTGAATGCTGAAGAATCAACAGCAAAAATAACATCGCCAACAAGTCATAGAAGATAGAAATAAACTTATTTCTCTAGATACCTCTCCAGTTAGCAGAAACCTCTCCAGTTCCATACAGAACTCATTTCCGACAAATTCATCTTGACCTATTTTTTTCGGTTCCTTCCTTATCAACTGGGCTTATAATTTCAAAATCAATGCTATATCTTTACTTAACCCCTGGGCAGATTTAGTGGAAGCCAATCCTACTGACATGCGCCCCCAAATGTGAATACAGTGGCAGAGTTCTTCCTCAGTGTCTTGATATCTGAGATCACCAAAGGCTGCATTCATTCAACCCTTATGGTGTAGACGCCCACACATGACAGAGTTTAAGTATCACTATGGTCCTGTAGCGAAACTAAAACAAAAGGAGTGCATGGTGAGCGTGAGTCACAAGCCACAAGCAAGATGGCAGTATCAGATAATAAGACGGAGATACTACTCAGTAAACCAATAAACGTCATCATAATCAGCTAGATGAACTTTCATCCCTGCCCTGATATAGGTCATTTACCATAAAGGGTAAAGCCACGTAGGTTTGGTTTAACTAAAATAATGCAAATATTCACGAATAATGATTATTTGGTTTTCAGATAGGGCAGAGGAACCTAAGACAAAGGAGCGGGAGAGTAAGTAACTACAGACAAAAAGATACAGATATACAAGAATCTTGATAGGGCAGGCTTACCATCATATCAGTAAATGGCATCTTTACTTTTGTAAGCATAATTTCACAGTTATTGGCTCGCCTGAGGTCAACCTGCAAGAGATTTACCAATGTCAGCCACTTGGTTTTTCTTTCCTTTTTTTTGGGGGGGGGAGGGGGGCACAAAAATACACTACTTTGATCATGTCAAACAAAGAAGAAAAAGGAGAATCACATTTTGAAATTTGATGCTAACGCAGTGAGAGCACTATTTTCTTCCATGTCCAGTGATGTAGGGAGAATTTGATGCTAATCGGAGTGAGAATTTATTATCTGGATTTTTCAAGCATAGAATCCTGATCATTAATATTCTCTTGATCTTACAAACACAATAATCTCCTTTTAACACTGCAGCGAATTCTTTTTCTTACAATGTTCTCTTATTAACAGTTCGGAAGATCAGCTTGAATTTCAAGAGGTATGAACGAGTAAGAAGCACATATATGTATAAAAAACCTCAGAGAAAGTTCTACTTCTTGTCAAATCCATTTCTGTTTATAATGGTTCAGATCCTCTTATAGCAAAAAATACTCAAAGGCCGGTTTATGAAAACATATCCACATAGAGGTGCTGGGCATTGGCATTAAGGAAGAATTTGGTAGGATTGATGCACATAATTACAGTTCGTTGATGTACATCAAGTTTTTCCATGTTTCCACCCATCATATTTCTGTCATTGAAGCATTATCAATTATCAGCCTTCATTTTCTAGTAGGAAACAAAGCCCCTCACTTTTGATTGTTTTTTATGTATATATATATATATGACTTATCACACCCCCCAACTTAAATCATTAATTAAAATTCACAAATTTCAAACATCATATTTCAATGTATGAAATATAATTAGATATGATGCACCTCTAGACATTTTGGATTCTTATATCAAGTATTTAAGAATGATGTCAAACACTTAAATGTTTAAGCACTCCTTAGAATAACAATCTAGACTTCACTTTCTTTTATTCACATTATATATATATCGCTCCTGAGCACCAAAAAAATAAGAAAACAGAGATTGCTAAGGTAAAATCTACGTGAACAATAATTCACTATGCACCAAAATTATCACATACCTATCAAAATGGAAAAAGCTATTGAGGATAAGAATTAAGCATAATCGGAGAGATTTTCTGAATCATACCAGGTGGACTTTCTCAGGTTTCGAACCAACAGACTTGCGACGCCCCCCTGACTTATCGCCAGACATGTCATTCAATTTTGGAACCACAGCAGAGAAAAGGCTTTCCAGTTCTGACACGTCAAATTCTGACGCACTAACATAAATAAAGTGAATATTAAAGATTGATGATATAGAAACCTGAAGGGAAAGGAAATCTACCAAATAAAAGGAAAGTGGCAGAATTATGCAAATTATTAAAGCACATGCAATATTGAAATTCAGAGACAAATGCACATGGTCGACGACCAAGCACTTATTCAAGTGTTCAGCCACTAATAAAATATATTGCCTCTAAAAAGAGCAAATCGACATGCAAATAATGGATAAACAGCCTGGAGAACCAAGATTTGATACCTTGGAGAGTCATCATACTTCTGCAACTCAGCCCACAAGCTTCCCTGAACCGCCCTTGTTACTTTTACCCAATGCAAAGGTTTTAATGTAGATTTGCGAGGAGTAGAAGCAGGATTTTGGCCGCCTGGCCGTGTTAGACCACGCCCTCTTCCATTTGCATAAGAATTTAAGGGTGCTTGAGAAGCAATGCCACCAGGCGGAGGTGGCGGAGCGCCTGGAGCCCTTGGTGGTGCTGGGGGACCTGATGCCCGTCCTCCAGGAGGTGGTGGAGGCGGGGGAGCACCTGGAGCCCTGGGTGGTGCCGGGGGGCCTGATACACGTCTTCCAGGGGGAGGTGGAGGTGGCGGCGCACCCCCGCGTCCTCCAGGAGGTGGTGGAGGCGGCGGAGCACCTGAAGCCTTTGGTGGTGCTGGGGGACCTGATACATGTCTTCCAGGGGGAGGTGGAGGTGGTGGTGCAGCCCCACGTCCTGCAGGAGGGGGCAAAGGAGGTGGAGCAAACCCCTGTTCTCCATAAAGAGGTGATGTTGTTGGCACAGAACTCACCCTTCCTCCAGGAGGAGGTGGTGGAGGAGGTGGAGGTGGAGGCAGTGGAGCTCCCTTGCATGTTCCAGTAGTTGGAACTTGAGCACCAATCTCTCCTCTGGGAGGTGGTGGCGGAGGAGGTGGAACACCAATCCCTCCTCTAGGGGGTGACGGGGGAGGAGGTGGAACACCACTTCCTCTAGGAGGTGGTGGCGGAGGGGGTGGAGCACCAATCCCTCCCCTGGGAGGTGGTGGCGGAGGAGGTGGAGAACCAATCCCTCCCCTGGGAGGTGGCGGGGGAGGAGGTGGAACACCACTTCCTCCTCTAGGAGGTGGTGGTGGAGGGGGTGGAACACCACTTCCTCCTCCAGGAGGTGGTGGCGGAGGAGGTGGAGCACCATTTCCTCTGCTAGGGGGTGGGGGTGGTGGTGGCGGAGGTGGAGCACCAATCCCTCTTGGAGGTGGAGGTGGTGGCGGAGGTGGAGCACCAATTCCTCTTGGAGGTGGTGGAGGAGGAGGAGGTTGTGGCGGAGGTGGAGCACCAATCCCTCTAGGAGGTGGTGGAGGAGGAGGAGGTTGTGGCGGAGGTGGACCACCAATCCCTCTAGGAGGTGGTGGTGGAGGAGGTGGAGGTTGTGGCGGAGGTGGACCACCAATCCCTCTAGGAGGTGGTGGTGGAGGAGGTGGAGGTGGTGGCGGAGGTGGAGCACCAATCCCTCTAGGAGGTGGTGGTGGAGGTGGAGGAGGTGGAGGTGGTGGCGGAGGTGGAGCACCAATCCCTCTAGGAGGTGGTGGTGGAGGAGGTGGAGGTGGTGGCGGAGGTGGAGCACCAATCCCTCTTGGAGGTGGTGGTGGAGGAGGTGGAGGTTGTGGTGGAGGTGGAGCACCAATCCCTCTTGGAGGTGGTGGCGGAGGTGGAGCACCAATCCCTCTTGGAGGTGGTGGTGGAGGAGGTGGAGGTTGTGGTGGAGGTGGAGCACCAATCCCTCTTGGAGGTGGAGCACCAATCCCTCTTGGAGGTGGTGGCGGAGGTGGAGGGAGGTGGTGGTGGAGGAGGTGGAGGTTGTGGTGGAGGTGGAGCACCAATCCCTCTAGGAGGTGGTGGTGGAGGAGGTGGAGGTGGTGGCGGAGGTGGAGCACCAATCCCTCTTGGAGGTGGTGGTGGAGGAGGTGGAGGTTGTGGTGGAGGTGGAGCACCAATCCCTCTTGGAGGTGGTGGTGGAGGAGGTGGAGGTTGTGGTGGAGGTGGAGCACCAATCCCTCTAGGAGGTGGTGGAGGTGGTGGCGGAGGTGGTGGCGGAGATGGAGTGCCAATCCCTCTAGGAGGTGGTGATGGAGGAGGTGGTGGTGGTGGCGGAGGTGGAGCACCAATCCCTCTAGCAGGTGGAGGTGGAGGTGGAGGTGGAGGCGGAGGAGGTGGTGAAGATGGAGATAGAGGAGATTGAGAGTGAGCATCTCCATGTACTCTAGTAAGAGGTGGTGGAGGTGGTGGAGGTGGTGGAGATGGGGAACATGGAGATGAAGATGAATACAGAGCAGCCCCATGCACTCTAAAAGGTGGAGGTGGAGGCGGAGGTGGAGGTGGTGGAGATGGCGATGCAGATAGAGAAGAAGACAGAGCAATCCCAGGTGCCTTAAAAGGAGGTGGTGGAGGTGGTGGAGGTGGAGGAGACAGAGCACCCCCTTGTGCTTTAAAAGGAGGTAGAGGAGGGGGAGGGGGTGGTGGAGATCGAGATGGGATACAGCCATTCACCCTTAAGGGAGGAAGAGGTGGTGGTGGTGAAGAAGAAGCTGGAGATGGAGGACCATCGTGTGGTCTAAAAGGAGGTGGAGGTGGAGGAGGTGGCGGATGTTGTAGAGGTGGAGGAGATGGAGACAAAGCAACCCCATGTACTACTTTAAAGGGAGGCGGAGGTGGTGGAGGAGGAGGTGGTCGAGATTGAGATGGAGCACAGTTATTGACCCTAGAAGGAGGACACAAAGGTGGAGGAGGTAGTTGGGTTTGGTAACCAAGCTCAGGAGCGGATAGTGGTGGAAAGGAAGGTGCTTGAAGCCTCGGAGGTGGTACTGGAGGTGGGGGGGGTGGTCTCCCTCTTGAAGAGAGCATCACTGGAGCAGGTTGTTTCCCCACCATTGGAGGAGGTGGCGTTGGCGGTGGGGTCGGTGTGGAAGGAGCACTAACCTTCATGAGAGGTGTATAGTGTTGAATGGGAGAGCAAGAAGGTGATTGGAAAGCTTCTAGCGCACCCCGAAAAAGAGGGGGTTGTGGTGGTGGCGCTGAATAGGAGGACGACACATTTTGAGGTGTTACTTTGGAATGAATGGATGCAGTTTGTGGCAATGAAGAGGACCATGGTGAACGAGGGGTATGGTCTATTGCCCTAGTCAGTAATGGTGGAGGAGAAAGTGGTGGGGTAGACGGTGGGGTTGGGAGAGAAGATTCAACGGTGGTGCAAGTTGATGGATTGTGAGATGATGTAATACTCGAAGGAGATGTTTCTGCCTGTGCAGAAAAAGATGACAATAGAGACTCTGTATTTTTATATCCATCACTGTCTTGAGGGATTGCAGAAATGGCCAAAGCAGGCGGAGCACTATTGTATCTTGATGGAGGATGGGACGGTAAATGCACGGAAGTAGCACTGGAGCTTTTCTTTTGAGAGATCCACCTGGATACAGTCTTTGGTTTTGTTGGGTTCAAGCAGTTGCCCTGTGATTTGTCCACCTCACATGTTCGTTCGAATGAGGCTGGATATGAAGGTGGCTTATCATTGCATGCGATTGGCTTCTTCAATGTAAGGTGACCTGAAGTCTGTATAAGATCACCAGATAGTAAGGGGATCCATAGATTTTTCGATTCAACAGACCGGATGTTCTGTTCTGTGCCAATATTGAAGTCAGCGTATTGTATCTTGCCCATCGCTGCATCTCCCAGTGCTTCAGCAACAAATTCATCACTCCTGGCCTCTTGAGGAACAAAATTACTCGCATTGCGAATCATCATCCTGTCTTCTGATTCATATGATGGAAATAAGAGCTCTTCATTGTTGGTACCAACATCTACGCTCTCAATGGCCACGGTCTCGACTCTGGGTTTCACTTCACCTGCAAGACCACAATTGTCTACGTTGTTACTAACCTGTATTTCACTTCCAGTTTTGGATGACATTTTCTCTTCATCATTTCCAAAGCTGTCAATAACTAATCTGCGGCTCATGTGAGATGTGAGAAGTGGGATCTCTTGCGTTTGAATCTCCCCGCTTGGACCATTTTCCTTTTGGCTGACAGGATTAACAATGACATGCTCAGCATTTCTCATTAGCTTGCTCTTTAGTTCATCTTTCATGACTGGAATGCCTTCTTCTCGATCTATATCCCTGAATGGACTCACCATCTGAGCAATGTGGAAGTCAGATTCCCTCTTTGCTTCCTCCCAGTCTGCATTACTAAAAATTTCTTCAGCTTCAAAGAACTCCTCTCCAGAAGCACCTTCTATCTCATCCTCATCTTCGGCTGCATCTTCCATGGGCAATTCAGATCCAACAGAATCCGAGTCCGAAAATTGTACCTGAATTCAGACATGTATGTGTCTTCATCTCAAATCATATAATTACGTCAGAGTAAAGAAAATACAAGTACCTACCTCCGCTTTGAAGTCTTTTGGGAATTGATCCTTGGAATTCCGGACTACATCAATTTCATCACGGTTCAGTATCAATATGTTACCTTGAATGAATGCTGTGTTAAACATGACCCGGAGCATCATTTCCTCGTGCTGTTGGTCCCCACACAGATATAGGCATTCAAGAACTACATCCCCCTGGACACGGCAATGGACATTCACCTTTACAGGTGAACCACCCGCCTGCAGCAACCGAATTTATCAACGGGAATTCACGAGCCAACCTGAAGAAAAAAGCATGTACTTCCAAGAAGAAAGAGGATCACCTGTCCATGGTCCCGGCCATGTTTCTTAGTCTTTCCTGACGAAAAAAGAACTTTAGTGGTTCTCTCCCCAGGGGTCAGGGGATCTTGACCACGAACACGAATTATTGGCCTGAAACCCCCTTGGCCGTTGAAATTGGGAAGGGATGAAAGAATTAGACAATCCAGGGTCAAGCATGCATCTAAAGGTGACCAATCTGAATCAGAACCCCTTCTGGAAATGTACTGAAGATATCTCAGTTGAGAAGGTTGATGGTTTAGAGAAGAGAAAAAGGATTCCCTAGGGGATTGCTTGTACACCATCTCCAAAGTTTTCTGCTCCCCTGTATACTGTTTTCGGTAAAGTAGAAGCCCTGCAAGCATAAATGCAAGCACAGGCCAACCTCCTCTCTCACAATGCATCAACAATATATTCTGCTGCCCTTCCAATGATAGCCAACTCTCACTTGACTTCAAGAAGCGGTGGATCATCTCCAACGGGAGCAAGGGACAGCCTTCATAATCCTGAGGGTAATCCATGACATTCAGATCACAGTTTGATAATATGTCAGAAGTCTGACTCCTCTTAGCTCTTTCTGTGAAGTTGAAAACCATGTACGAAGCCTCGGGAAAATAAACTTGCAGCTGTTCCATGATGCCGCTTATGTATTCCTTGTATTCATGTTCCCCGAGTGTATCAGCAGCGAAGCAACAATCAAACACTGTGCCATGCATGAACACGAGCATTCACAAGAGATTAGAATTTTGAAAGGAATTGATGCTAAAGGAAACAGCACTTGATTCAGCGGCATGAGATAAAGCAGAGAAAAATCTAAAATCCCCTATGTTCAGCCACACTTGATAAAGACGGGTGAAAAAATTCTTGGAGGTTGCCCGGAGCCATTTCCCTTCTAGCAATTATCAGAATCAACACCCATAATTTGGTGGAAAAATAAAATGATGTATCACCGAAATAATGTGATGAGTACAAAATATCGCAATGACCAAAAATATTCTGCGTTTTCATCAACAGATTTCTTCAAATGGATGAAGGCATGAAACAGATAATTGATTGAGGAGTGAGAGCGTCGATTAGAAATAACAAAATTGACGCCCATTTCTATCCCTCCAGACGTCAGATGAGCACCGTTCCTCGATCGTAGGCTACAGAAGCTAAGAGTCTCTTTTAGAGAAATGAAGCCATCGGACACGACTTCCCCTTCTAGTCAAGAAGTTAGACACTAGAAAATTCCACGCTGCTCCGCTAAGAATCACGGGCTATGAGCATAATTTCGTTCCCGTTGAAGGATTCCGGGACACAACAGGACACTCAGGGTGAAAGCATTACCATATACCCTCTCAGAGATCTCCAGGAGCCGATCTGGCGGCTTCCGGTAGAAGAGTCTTCTGAACAGCGCCATTCGCAGGCTCCCCTGCCGACGCCGTCCCTCCCCCCACCCGACGACGTCCTCGCGGCACAGAGCCAATCGATAATATGAAAATCAAAACGGATATCCCACGGTGAAGAGGCAGAAGCCGGCGACACCAGATGATCCAGCGACCCCGCAATCGACAACCACGGGAACGAATTTTGCCTCGCACTTTTCGCTCCTCCCCCAGACCCTCCTTCCCCCTTTCCCCTTTTCGTTTTCCTCTGTTAAGGGGGGCGTTGGGGGAGAAACGGGGGGAAGAAGGCGACCGAGAGGGAGGAGGCTCGTAGCCGGGGTGGACTGGCGGGAGAGAAGGGCTTGGACCAGCAACTCGATGGGAGGCGACGACGACGCTGGCTGCCTGGCTCGGCGCCAGAACGGAGCCACGTGGCTTCGACCTAAGAGAGAGACACACACACGCTGGCGAGAACGGCCGTATATTTAAATAATATAATATAAATTTATTAATTCTCCGTTACCTCTTCCAACACGATAGATGAAGAGATAAGAGCACTGCCATTAGGATAAAATTATAAATTTCTGCTTAATATCGCTAAACAAAAAAAAAATCATGGTAATCTCCGGGGACGAGCCACCCGGTTCGTGGGTGCAGCTACCTAACCTCCTCGCATCAGCGCTCATTACCCCACCGTCCAGTCCTCTAAGCCAGCCAGCTAGCTACTCCGGGAGGGGGTGTGGTGACTGCGAAGTGACGACACCGCGGGGAAGCCGGTCCGAGAACGACGGGTAATGCTGGTGCAGCGGGGACCCCGCCTGGTGCGGATTTTAGCATTTAAAAAAAAATCCATTATTTGAAAAAAAAAATCTACCACGAAATTGGCTTCGATGTACCGCCGAGGGTTTTTTTGTAAATATAGAAATTATTAAATACTAGTTAAAAAAGGCTTGAATATACGAACATTTTGCCGATTGCAACGATTCTAAATAGATATCCAAGCTTTAACGCGGTCCGTTAAGAATCGGCGGCCATCTCGGCCCACGAAAAGGTCCAGGAAGTAAATATAAGCCCACTTCATTTCGGCCCACAGGAAAGGCCTACCAGAGCGGAAAAATAAAAATTATTTAATTAATCTGATCATAGCGTCCCTTTCGACAGGGTAACCTGCCAATAGAATTATTAGAACACCCGCCGACGCCAGTCTGCGTCGGCTGTAGGTTTGCAGCGAACGAAGAGAGACGGACAGCCGAGCAGATCACCGCCGCGGCCTTCCGAAACCACTCTGATGAAACATGAGGATGGGGAGGCGGATGTGAAGGCCAGATTTATTGCAGCAGGGTCGTCGTCAAGCCCGTTTTAATGCCATTCACTCGCTCCCCTTAACTCCGGGGAGCTTCTGCGCAGAGCAGGAGGCCGCCCCTGCTCGGCGTCGTCCTGCGTCCTGCTCTTTCGCGTTCGCTTATTGCGGCCACGTTGGCTCGTCTAGGCCGCGCGCAGAGAGGGGGGGGAGGCTGGAATCAGTGCGAAGGGCATTTTCGCCGCCACCGCGGCGCGCCGGTGCCAACGGCGTCCCTCCACCGCCGGGGAAGCCTCGAGCAGGGAATCCAATGTGTTTCGCCCTTTTGTGGAGACTGTTCGAGCGAACCTTTCAAACAGTGACCACGAATGAATGAATGAATGACTCGGCGGGCTGTCCGCGTCCAAACTCTCCCTCTGACACCGGCCTGCGATCTCCTTGGAAATTGGGGGCAGAGAGAGCACTATTGTTAACCACGAGGGCTTCTCTTTAATTTAATCTTAACTCTGGCCGGACCCACAATAAATTCCCGGTCCAATTATTTGCACCACAAGGCAATATCTACTTCCCCACCCTCTCCGCCATTCGTCTCTCTCTCTCTCTCTCTCTCTATTCCTCGAAGGGGAGAAAGCATTATTTATACTGATGGGTCTGCAGTCACCGTCGGATCAAATCGTTGGGATCGATCACACTCCTACAAGACCAGCTGTCCAGCAACGCGCGCATATAATACGTTGGTGAGAGTCCCCACGGTACCAGAGCTTCCAAGAAGATACGCCACGAGCGAGAGATTGATGTATGTGAATATGAGAGGTCAGTGGCAACCTGTTCTGAAGTGCCGTCACACATCATTAATACGGACATGAATCCGCGGCGCTGCAGCCGGCGGGTCCTTCCCCCTGTCGGCCAGAGCAGCCGCCTCCGCCGTGTTAATGCGGGCCCGCAGGCACGTCCCGTCGCCGCCGTCGTGAGCCCGCACAGGAAACGGACGGCAGCCCGTGCGCGCGCGCGCGCGGAAGAGGACGGCGCGGCATGCAGAAGGAGGCATTTTGGGGGGATAAATGCGCCGAGGAGAGAGTGGCCCACCGGCGACGGCGGCGGCTGATCCAGATGATCAAAGTCGCCGTGAGTACCACTGGGCTCGTCAATCGGACGGCCCGATAACGCTTGGTTGACAGTTCGTATGTCAGCCTTGTAATATTCGAGGACGTTTTTGTAATTCTGGCTGAGGAAGACGAACTCGTTCGAATGCGCGGGGAATACACATCTGGATGCGTGTCTCCGTTTAGACTCGGTCCGAGTCCTCTCTCTGTCTCGTCAAACCGAGTCGAACGATTTTTTTCCTCGTCCTATCTCCATCTCTGTAGTGATGGGTGCCGAGGGGTCTCTCGTCAACGGCGGAGAGGGGGTATAAAATAAGGGGAAGTGGCCCCCCCTCCGATTCCGGTGGGGCCGTGGTCTGCTTGGCTTCTTTCCGCCCACCCACCGCGCTTCTCCTCGTTGTCTATTCTGGTTCTTCCTATTCTTCCTCGTCTATTACCCCTCTGTTTTGCTGTCTTCCACCCTCTCCCGTCCCTCCCGCCGTCGGGAGTGTTGCAGAGGGGAGATATCTGCCGGTGATCCTCCGCTCGCCGGAAAACCGCAGTACACCCCTCTGCAACCTCGTAATAATCTGTATAACAGGGATACCAAACGAATACATTGAGATTGTCGCAGTCTATATGTCGACGCACACGACAACCAAACTTCAGGTTAGTCTCGTTCTCCATGAATTTCGACGAGGACGATCAATGTCGCTTGCGCATATCGTCGTGTCTGTTTTTGCAACTAATTCATCAGCAATTGGTGCGTCTGGTTTCCTATTCTTGTGTTTACCCAGCCTGCTTTGGACGGGAATCTGTTCTTTTACAGCGGAAAACTCTCTTCTTTCTTTTTTTGCAATTTTTCCTGTCAAATCGTCGGCTCACTTTTCCCGTTCTTCCTGTTTGAGTTCCTTTCTTGATGCTTTTCATGATCTCGTGAATCCCGAATTTTGCTGTGATGGGTTGGTTTAATTAAAGCTTCCGCGTTCTTCCCACCGTAGTCCACTTTATCATAATGTATCCCCACGACTCTCTCTCTCCCTCTCTCCCTCTCTCTCTCTCTCTCTCTCCCCCTATATTAACCTTCCAGTTGTTGATTGTGATATCCAGACGAACCTTTTTTATGTTTTGTAATTCCACTTATCTACTTCATCTTCGAGGCATTTCCATTTTCATTATTCTTCCATTTTTAATTGTAACCTTCTTCGTCCTCTTCTCTCTCCTCTCTCTCTCTCTCTCTCCCCTCCCCCCTCCCCCACTTTTCTACCTATCATCGCCTGGAAGCATCTCCCTTTTTCACCGTTTAGGAGTTCAAGATTTCCTATATAGGCCTGGTTATTCGCTGAAGATAGTAGCATAGCGCATGCATTCTTCCTGCTTCTCACGTTGCCTTCCATTTTTTGAAAGCACGGTCCGAGGTTAATCTTACCTCCCAAAAGTTTGGATTTTCATCTCGCTAGCGGACACATTTGACCAACGAATAAGTCTTCATAAGGAAGTAGAACTTTCATAGAAATCTCTGTCGAGTATCCTCTATCGTTTTCGTCAAGTCTCATCATCCTGGTACCTCTCTCCTCTCATGTCTTATAAATTAATTTTAGCGTTAGCCCATTCGTACTTGTCATCCTAGCGATAGTCGGATTCCTTTGCTTTTGATCGCTGTAATCAGATTGAACTTTTATGGTATTCCTTACAGTTGCTGCTTAGTAGCTTGTACGTATCTACCTCCCCACTTGTTTTGTTCGGAAAAAGCTGTTTTCAATTCTCTGAAGAAGGCAATTCAGCTCATGTAGATCTGGCTCGACTAAACTTGAACCGGGGGGACCTTGACAACGATGTGAGCCCATCAGCTGTTTCGTTCTCCAGGTGATTATCATGTGTTCCGATTATTACAGTGTTTGTTTTCCTCACCATTCTTGTTTTGTTAAGCTTTAAATATTTTCTCCATATTCACCTCAATCAATCGACCGCCACATAGAAGGGCATCTCCTCTGCGGTAATTCTTACGGTGTAGGGTTAGGAGTTTAGTGAAGCCCTCTTTATTTGGGGGCGGTTTCACCCAAAATTACGTGTTTCCTTCGGTTGTTCTATTGCACCATTTTGCAGAAGGCATCTCAAGCACCGACATTTCTCATTCTCATTCCTTTATCTCACAGGCGACCGGTATTCTTTTTTCATGAGCAATTGAAAGAAGCAAAGTGTGTCCTTCGCTCTAAATCTCAACGCGTATCTATACTCTTAACCATTTTTTATGAGAATAAGAGTCAGGATATTTCCTTGCGTGAACTGGAGAGGCGTCATCTTGGTAAATGAGGCCCGTAAGAAGATGACTCGCGTACGCCGTAGTTAGTTTCCTCTCTCTACTATCAAGATGCCGAAGACTTTGAATTGAAATCACCTTTTCTCTGCTGATAAAAATAATTATGGTAATACTCTTAAGCGATTGAATCCCCATGAGAAAGTGTTTGGCTAGTATCATAAAGACCAATCATCATACGCCAGCATGGCTGAGATCTCTCTGGGGAATTTCCATCTCTACATGGCAATGCCAGGAACTTCGTTTCATTCATCATTACTGCATACTAATAGCTTTTATCATTTGATCCAAGCTCTGTATTACCTGTGTTGGTTTTGGTAAACGTCATCTTCTATTAATGAGTAACTCGATGTAAATAACGATCTGCCGGTGTTCCTACGGCGTCATCTTTCAGGGTTTCTTCATATCAGTACCGGCAGATCTTGTACAGGAGGTTCAGTCATCATCATGGGTGCTTGCGCTTCAACAGCAAACAGAAGGCCTAGGGCTAGGAAAAACCATCCCCAAAGGTCGAGAAAACGTCATGGCAAGGTCTCTGCCACAAATACTGATGGATCTAAGGCTCGGATTGGCAACAATGGAAAACGAATACCAGATTATTCCCATGGCGAATTTGTTAAGGTTGATTTTGAGACGGCTGCGACAACTGGTCGAAAGTCTGAGGTTTCCAATCTAACATTCCATCTAACCCAGTTACAATGGCACCATAGCCAGATCGATTCTAATGGTAAATTTCTTTGGGTGGGAACTATTTCTTGATTTTGATTTGCTAAAAGGCATTCTTTGTCTTTTATTACTTCAATGGCTATAAAGCATCTTCATTAAATCCATATTTGCTTTGATTTAAGTGATAAAAATATCTACCATTGCCTCTCAGATAACCTTTAAGGCCTATGGCTAACTGAAATTTATTTTTTTAATTACACTGAACTGACAGTTGAGACCTTTTCATGCTGGATTAAAAATTACACATAAATATGTAAATCTTTATTAGCATGCCATTTTGAACATTTTAGGCAAAATATTAATGATTTTTAACCAAATTTTCATATTGAAGGTAATTTCAGAGGATCACAGTTATTCTATAGGCCTTAAAATTTATGTTTCATTTTAGATGGATATTATCTAAAATGGGTAAGCTTGTAGGGGGGGTTAAAATTGGAACACCCTATTTTCATAAGTTTAGTCGAAACATTATCTAATTATTAAGGAGTTCCAGGTTCTACGTGCTTGCAGTGATATGCCAAGAGGAAGTGTGGTTTGACTCTCTAAGCATTTTGGAATCCGATTCTGATGACGATTTTATCAGCGTACATGGAGGTATCATGCAAAATTTGGAAGCTTAGTACAGTACCTATCTCATATAGTTTATTTCATATACCTGACTTAGCACACCAATGTTGTTCGTTGTATGTAGACTGCTTTCCTTGTGTAAGCTCAATGAATAATGTCCCAAGCACGCAAATTGTTCAGTACGAAAGCCTGGTTGACGCGATGTGTAAGTTTGAGGGCCTCTGTGATAAAGCCCCTTTAGCTATGACTGTTGAGCATTATTTGAAAGGGGAAGGATGTATACCCGAGAAGCACATGACCAAAGATGAACACAAAGAAACTGAAATTCTTTCAGTTTTAAGTGCGCAGAACTATGAATTAACTCATTTAGAAAAGGTGGATGACGGTAGACTTAAAAAGTCAGAAGATGAAGGTTGTACTACAAGGACAAAAGTATTAAGCAACTCTTTCGGCACTGTCAACATTCTGAAGCAAGAGAAAAATGACAGAGAAGAAAAGAGCCATGAGAATAACTTGGAGCTTGTGACAGCATCTCTATTACCCCGATTAGTTCCCACCGTCAGTTTTAATGACAAAGTTCAGGCAATGAGTCTAACAGCCTCACCTCTGAGGAAAAAGTCAGCAGTTATCAGGCTTTCTTTCAAGCAAAGGTCTTATGAGGGAGATGAAACCACTTTCTGTAAGTTTATCTCTTTATTTCGTCTACTAGGAAGAAAGCATTGAAAATATATATTTGATTTCATTTATAATCATATCCAGAGAATTTTTTAAAACTGTTAGCTCAAAGCGTTCATTGGTGTGAAGGGAACTGACTAAGAGGTCGCTTACATAATCCTCTATCAATTATCTGGAATTTCTTCCGCTGGAAATCCGTTTTTATTTTATGGTTGTTATCCTTGGATGTACAGAAGTAGGTCTTTCGATTACATATCATAATAAGTTATTCCTTGGTCTTCAGTGTCTTCTTCTGGGTGTTTTTATTAAACGTCGGGTCCGAGTTTCTTCTTTCTCAAATAACATGCCCTTTGGATGGGGGGGGGTAAAATAGCTCTATTCTCGCAAGTTGATGCTTTCGTCAATCCTATTTCAGCATTGCCTTTTCTTTTTTATTTTAGCATCTCTCGCGTCTTTCTCATATCCTTCCCAACGTGATGATTTAATTTTTCATTTAGTTTCACCTTCCATGAAATAGTCCTCAGTCAATCTGACCCAGGTTACCTAAATTGTATCTGCTACCTCAGACTTCTAGTCCAATCTACTGTTTTTTTTCCAAGCCCTCTTTTTTTTCACACTAGTAATCTCATCGCATATGTTCTTCTCCAGTAATTTAAAAAATATATATCCGTCAAGGATAACCATCAAATGATGTTGTCATACTCCTATTGTTTTCTTCTGTCACACCTCCCTTTTCTGTGGAATAATATTTTTCTGAGGGCACAGGCCGCTTTAATTCTATTTGATCTTGCATAATAATGTAAACTAGTTTTTCTCCGAGCTCTTCTATCTCCAGAAATAGTCGATGTGAACTAGGCAATTATTCGTACATTTTCTGTTCGTGAAAGTTCATTAAACAAAAGATTTTTGCATCTCTCTCTCTCTCTCTCTCTCTCTCTCTCTCTCTCTCTCTCTCTAATCTCGTACTTCAATGCTGAACAATGCAGGATCATGATTTCAGACTATTCCTCTGTCATGAGCTGATTTCGTTAAATTAGATGATACTTCTTTGAAATCGGAAATGTAGTCATATTTGTCTATGAAATTACTTCGACACCCGTCTAAAGATTGCATGCATGCATTTGATTCCTCTGAAACTGAAAGTCCTCATAAATTACTCATAAGGTTAAGATTTATTTTTTTTCACATCATAAAGAGGAATTCTTTAGAATCTCAGATAGTCACAGACGATGTGTTGGGACGTATTTTCATAATTTTGAGCTCTTTTATTTATCATATTTCCTAGTTTGACCTTATTCTGTACTTTTAACACGATAAGGTGCTTCAAAGAGCTTCCTGTACCGTCCTAGAGGAGGACATTTGATACCGTGCTCAATGGGAGAGAAGATAACGCAAGGATGCTGGTCTACTATTGAACCAGCGGTTTTTAAACTACGTGGAGAGAGCTATTTTAGGCAAGATTTTTCTCCTCACGAGCTTCTTTTCTCGATCTTTCGTTATCCTAGAGCTTTCAGAAGATATTCACATAATGGTCTAATACTGAATCTAGAACGTCTTATTTCTAGGGATAAGAAGAAATATCCAGCTTCGAACCAATCTCCTTATCACCCAATTGGCGTCGATCTCTTTGTGTCCCGGCACAAGATACATCATATCGCCCAGCACGTTGAGCTTCCTCATGTGAAGCCACATGAGAAGGTCCCATCTCTTCTGATAGTCAACATCCAGGTAAAATTGCCAGCGGGTCAAACAGTGCATGCACCAATAATCTCCAAAGTTATATGTTACCATGCACCTAATTTCATTTTCTCCTTTGTGGCAGCTGCCCACTTATCCTGCTGCCATGTTTCTCGGTGATAGTGACGGGGAAGGGATGAGCCTGGTGCTATATTTTAAGGTCTCTGAAGGTTACGACAAGGAGATCTCCACCAACTTCCAGGAGATGATCAGGGTAAACGTGTTATTCTCGATTCATTTCGTTTCTTTGTGAGGGTAAACGTGTTAAGACAAGGAGCGTCAGCTTCTTGTGGTGCATACATAGTGCTTATGTAGGGGATGTGTTTCAGAAATTTGTGGAAGATGAAACCGAGAGAATAAAGGGATTTGCTATGGAGTCTACCGTACCATTTAGAGAGAGACTAAAAATCATGGTTGGTGTCACTAACCCAGAAGAGCTTCACCTCAGCGGTCCCGAAAGAAAGCTGCTGCAAGCATACAATGAAAAGCCAGTTCTTTCTCGCCCCCAACATAATTTCTACCGGGTATGAAGTAGTCGCTCTTATTGCTTACGAAAATAATTTTCCCCAGATAATAATCACACCAGAGAGGAAAATAACGATCGGTACATGAAATAATGCTCCTTTTTATTTTTCTTGTATTATTCCTTACTGTAATTCCTAGTTGTTTCTTTAGATTCTGAACGCCTTCCTCCCTCTTCGTAGGAAACCATCCTTGAAGAAAAATAGCTTTGTGCTTTACCTGACAGTCTTCAGCTTCGTGCTTCTGCAACAGGGACCAAATTACTTTGAGATCGACTTAGACATACATCGGTTCAGCTACATAGCGAGAAAGGGGCTCGAAGCATTTCGGGAGCGACTCAGCAATGGAATACTTGATCTGGGTTTGACAATCCAGGTGAACCCCAATGCCCTTCGAACATCTGCATTGCCAACCATGGAAATTTTCTTCTGAATGCCCGATTAGAGAAGCAGTTCCAGACCCTGAGCACCCTTTTAGAGCCCCCCATTTCTCTTCTGTTCCTGAATCTCCATCCTGCTCGCTCGCCCCTTAAAGATCTTGATAACTCGGCCCTCTGGGGATTTCAACTCGCTTACTCGTGCAGAGATTTGAGTTTTATCCAGGATCTGAGATTGCCGACGCTCTGAATGGCTTGTGGCAGGCGCAGAGACCAGAGGAACTCCCCGAGCAGGTGCTTTGCTGTGTGCGGCTGAACAAGATCGACTTCGTCAACCATGGACAGATACCAACCATTGTAGCCATCGATGACGACGACTAATCTCTGGGAAGAACCTCCCCCCTCCCCCCCTGTGGCCAATCGCCGCAGCCAGATCGAGGATGTAAACACCATAATTAAGGGCTATAATCGTGTAATTAGCCCTCGGTAAGCCTTATTAATTGCGGGTCAGTGGCCTATCAGGTCTTACCATTCATTTCAGGACTCGCAAAGGAGGAAACCCACAGCCGGATGGTGACCAAATCCGCGGTGTGCTTACCTCTTCCAGTGGGAGGAGCGCGGCTGCCCGGCGTTCGCGGCGGAGTGAGAGTGAGAGTTCTCTTACGGCCGTGCTACGTGAGCGGATCTCTCCCCGGCGGGCATAAGTAGGGCGGACCGGCAGCGGGGAATGGAAGGGTGCCCTAGGCCGAGCGCTTACCCCGGGAGTGGAAGGGGTGGCGTGGTATTCCACGGGAGAGGTTAATCGTGGCGCACGGCAACGTGCGATGGGCGCAGATCAGAGAACCAGGGCAGCCCTTTGGCCGCTCGCCGGCGTCACAGTCGCCGGCAGAGCGAGGGGATCGGCCCACATTGTATCTCTCCCTCCTCTCTCCGATCCGCTGGGGCGTCTCTCCGGCGCATTTCCCCCTTGCTTCCCCTTCTTCCGATCCTCTTCCTCCTTGTTTTTCGCTTCCGGCGTTGCTCTGATCTTTTCCCTTTCGTCTGCGCTCGGTTTCGCGTCTCCATCCCGTGCTCGTGGAATTGCCGGATTCAGATGTTAAGTATCGAAGACGATGGCCTAAGTCTAGGGCACAGTCCTGATGCTCGAGAGGGACTTCTTCGCGTTCTGGTGAAATTTTTTCCTGGCGTTGTTTTCTGTCCTCCGTCATGCAAGTAGGGTCCTAGGTTCGTCCCGAGGAAGGGAGAGTGAATTGCAGTGGTCGGTCTTTCGTGGGGGAGCCGACTGCATTCTACCAGCTAGACACTGGCACATCTGATTCGCTTGTAGAACCGGGTTACCAGTCGGCAAGTCCGACGATTAGTCCCAACTCTCGCTTAGAGAGGGGGAAAACGCGACCGCTACGGCAGTCCTCTCCTCCAGTATATGCAATATTCCCCTGAATTACTCAGACGTGGGGATTCAGACTAGGAAAAATGCAGCGATCCAAGTTCCCCTCTCCTTTTCTATTTCCTGAAGTAGCGTTCGAATCACAATTCATTGGCGCGTGTATTCTTTCTACAAGTCCCTGAACACGCTGGTGATGCGGGAGAAGCTTATGCTTTTCCCTCCACCTTCCCTTTTTCTTTTTAAATCGGACTTCCAGGTTGCTCCTGTTCCCCCCTCCACATTTTTCATCATGGCGGAAGATGATGCCTATTGGCCTGGCGAACAGTTTCCCATCCGTTCCGAGTACGGGCACCAGTTTGTTGGAGCAGCAACGGCAACGGTTACGGGAGTCGGCCAGAAGAAAGTCAGGTCTCTCTTTTACATTCCTTTTGTCCTGCACAATCGAACTCTTGAGCTCGTGAATTTCCGGAAAAATAGTGAAAATCTGGCGTAATCCGGTGACCACGCGATTGAAAAACAGTTGGCAAGAAGACGAGATCGTTCGGGCTTTGCGTACCTCTTCGGAACCATGTCCTGCGAAAAACCTTTCGAATGTGTCTTTCATTCTTCTGTAGCAGTTCGTCGATCTTTTGCGATTCATACAACAGAGGGCCGGAGAATTCCACTCTTTCTGGTCCGTCCTGTTGACAATTCAATTCATAATGAAGCTAAGCATCAGTGCCAATACGAGGAACTGAAGGTCTGCAGGAGACAGGACAATGGTGAGTACCAAGCGACTCTGCCTCTGATGAAATGCTCGAGACTGATCCAGAGACCGGAGCGTTTCAGAATAATTGAAAGAACCACGACGTTCCGAGGTGGCCCACTGCTGCACAGGCGCCCCCTTCACCATCTTATTGGCCTCGCGGCGTCTGGAGCTGGTCGGCACCTTCTGGGGTAACTCCCCCCTTACCGACCTCTTCGGGTCTACACTACTTTCAGCCCGTAACAGGCTGCCGTGGAACAGGGCACCAGAATCGAGCCCTCTTGAGCTTGTCCCGCTGGCGGATCTCATCCACTCGCCGCTACCGTCTTTTGGTCTCCTCGCCCATGCAAAATCACTGGGAGGAACTAGCAGGGGCCCAGAAAAGGGTATGCCCTCCTCTGGGCTGTGCTTCACGGGGCGAGGTTCAATCACAGAAGTCTTCTGGTCTACGGGTAACTTCGGAATCATACGTCCTCTGTAATCATGGTGCGTCGAGTTGCTCTTTTGGACTTCTTCGGGATTCCTGATAACATCCTACAGAGACCAGAAGCCTCAAAAAGAAGAATTCCAACTGGGTGTGGATCTCAGGCGCATGAGAGACGATTACCTCTGCTCGTGGTGCGGGTCTACGAAGGCTGTCGACTTCCTGTGGCGGTTTATATGCCATCGATGCTCTGCTTTCTGCTTCTGGCCGGCGTCCCCTCCCGCTCATCCTCCTCCTGAGATGTCATTGCAGTAAGCGATATCAGGCACAGCTAGAGCTTTCAAGATGGATGGAAAACCAAAGTAAGCGTATTGGTTCGTGTTTCGAAGGAGTTAGCTTTTAGTCCAGTCCGTACGAAATATGAGAACCGTGGAAAGTTTGGATTTGTGAAGATAAAAACTCCACCTGCGTGACTGCTCACGACTCTTGGCATCAATCTCCTTATTAGGTGGGTAGCTCGGCAGCATGAATGGCTCGCATGCGTGAGGCATTGTGGTAAAATACTGGCCAAGAGTGAGGAAAAACGTTAGTATGTTCTGATGAAGGCTTTGGTGATGTTGATCCTGATAACTTTGTGGATGGAAGTTTTCATTTGCTTAACGAGAGAAAGACAGACAGACAGACAGAGAGGGAGTTTACCTCGGACTGAAGAGCAGAGGAAGCACTGAAACGTTTGTTAGGCTCAATAGAGAGAAGATTTTCTATCAGGTCCAGAGTGCTTTCAGGTAGCCCTTCGCATTTATCCCGAAGACAACTTTCATAAGGATGATGGGGCTTGAAGATTGTAGCGTGCGGTAACTTGGACTTTTTCCAATATTCGGCAGAGGGTGAACCACAGAGCTTAAAGATTTTATGCAGCTGCTCAACCTGTGGGCAACAATAGCCATTCTTACTCAGTCTTGCACAGTATAGCTGGATTATCTGTACCTCGGAGGGGTCATCCTTCGACTATAACTTGGGGCGGCATAAAGATAGATATGCACATATATTATATTATATTCTATAAGATGGTGTCTCATTAACCAGGGCCATCGTCACTTGGGGATACAAGGACTACGTTGAAACTGAACCATCAATGCTTCACATCAACATCTCAAGGTTATTAGGCCATCTGATGTAGGTTCTTTGATGCCCATCCTCTCTTCTACAAGCTCATCTTTTTTGGTGTTTTCTTTATGTGCATCTATGAATAAGTCAGCTAACCTTTTGGGTGATCCTCAACATACGTCCCAGGTTTGGATTCCCACCGAGCAATCAATTCATGACATGAGCTTATAAGACCCTTGGGAGAAACGAGTTTAATTTCCACGGTAGAAGCACCCGCATGAAGCAGAAGTGATTTTCAGTGACGGCAAAGAGGATGATTGGAGATGTTCTCACCTCTGTTCTTCCCTGCAGGATGGGTTTCCCCAGAAGCAGCTCTGCGAGCACGCACCCAACGCTCCACATATCGATGGACGGTCCGTAGTCCGTTGACCCCAAGAGAAGCTCCGGCGGGCGGTACCACAGAGTCACCACACGGCTGGTCAACGGGTGCTTCCGCTCATACCTGGCGAAATTCGCCAGCCCGAAATCCGCAATCTTCAGAATGCCTTCGTTGTTGACCAGAAGATTGGAACACTTGATGTCCCGATGCATCATGCCAAGCGAGTGGCAGTGTTCCAGCCCAGACAGCAGCTGTTGCATGTAGCACTTCACCTGCAAGATCATCAAACAGAAGTAAGAAGATTTCCCAAGAACGGGTTCCCCCGCCAAAAAAAAAAAAAAACAGAAAAAAACCTGTGGTTCGCTGAATTGGATGTCGGGGGAGGACAAGAGCCCTGCAAGATCATGATCCATGTACTCGAACACAAGATATATGCTGCAGGACAATCGAGAGGTGACCAAGCCCTCCAGTTTCACGATGTTCGGGTGGTTTAATCTCCGGAGAATCTGGATCTCTCGCGCCATGAACCTCACGCTCTCCGGCTCGTAGTTGTCGAAGCGGACCTTCTTCAGGGCAAAAAACTTCCCGGTGTCTATCTCGCGAGCCCGGAATACGCTGCTATAAGTGCCCTGCCCAATCTACGGAGGCAATCCACAGAGCAATGAGATGTATCAGTACATGTTGTGAACAAGGTTTTCGATCCACCAAAACCAGAAATAAGAAGAATACAAAGAAAAATCTATTGGTGGTTCTGTGAAGAATATGAAATACACTAAAGAAGGAAAGAAAAAGATGGAAGGTTTGTAAAGGGCAATATGTTGTCGACTTTGGAATCAGTGTGCATTAATCGAAGCGTTGACAAGCCAAAATCAGAAATAAAATCTGATATCAAATTGTCGGTGATCAACCCTCAAGCTGATCGATCACCAGAAAATGAAAGAACACCTCATTTTAGTCTGAGTTTATGATATGAACGCAGTTCAATGAGGGGTTTGAAATCCCGGGTAAAGAGAGTTTACCTTCTCCAGTGTCTCGTAAGAATCAGCTTTGAGGGGCACCCAACCCTGGATTGCCTCTCCTGCTACCGCACTGAGCCAGGCGGGCCAGCCGGCGGCGACCTGCTCCCCTTCCAAGTACCTGTGCAGGTTCGAGAGGCGGAAGCTAGTCGAGCTCCTGTCATTCGAGCTTGCCTTCCCGGTCTCTTCTTGATTCGGCTCCGACCCTCCCGTTTTCTTCTTCTCCTGATTGCCGAGCGCCGCCCGGCTGACCCGAGAGGAGGAGGAGGAGAAGAACCCGCCGACCCTTTCCTCCCTGGCGGCGCCGCCATGGTCGAGCGCTGGGTTCACGGAGACAACGTGCTTCGAGGCGAGGCACCCCATGGCCCTTCAGCGCTCTGGGGAGGGACAACCAGATCGGCTTGGATCAACGGACTATGGAAAAGCCACTCGGAGACAAAGGGGAGGCAGAATTGGGAAGGATAGAGACCGAGATGCCACAAGAACAGTGTGAATTATTGCACAGGAGATTAAATAATATACGGCAGGGGAGGCACGCTGCACGGGGATTGAGCGGCGAAAGGGCCGCCAAGCGAACCCACCACAGCGACAGAAGCCGGGCCGGGATTCCCCTCCTTTTCTGCGATCCTCCAGGATGGCGGCGGACGCGACGGGATTCCTCCCCTTCTGTGGAATTTCCTTCCTCCTTCCAACCTCTTCCTTCCTTTCCCTCCTTCCAACCTCTTCCTTCTTTCCCTCCTTCCAACTTTGCGTCGTCGTCGCCGGAGAGATTGGCGGCGGAGGGGGAGAATCGGGGTGGGTTGTAGCGGGTGATGTGAGAGATTTCCGACCCACCGCTGATCCGTTCCAACAGGGGACCCGGGAAGCGACGCGGGATGGTGGGGGGAGCGAGGTGACCTTGTGGGTCCGTCCACCCCGCCCAAACGTCCTGCATCTTCCTCCCAAGAAACCCCCTTCTTTATTTCTCCGCTCCCCGTAAACCTCCCTTCGTTAAATCAGTTCCTCTCCTCTCCCTCTTTCGCTGACCTCGCTGTACTGCTCTTCCTCCTCTTCCTTGCGGAAAGTTAGAGAGAGAGAGAGAGAGAGAGAGAGAGAGAGAGAGAGAGAGAGATAGGGAGGAGAGAGAGTTGAGTCCGACCGTGTGGGATTGTGCTGTTTTAGGAAATAAAATAAGAAGAGGACGAGACTGAACGAGGACGGTCAAAGCCCAGTACACCGGGTCATAACGAAGGAAAGGACAGCTGCGTGTAGGGCCGTACCATTTTCTTTAACCCCCTTCTTAAAAAATAATTTATTTTTAAAATCACACCTAGATTAATTTATTTATAAGGTTTGATAGTCAACCCCCCCTGTCAAGTTGCGACGGACAATTTGAGAAATCCCTTCAAAGAAAAATGAACGCGTAAAAACACCCCCTGTACTACGAATTTACGAGATTAACCTAGCCTCTCCCTCTCTCTCATATACACGTGCGAGTTGATTGAAGTCTCCCCTCTCTCACACAGACCGCACGTGAAGCAATCACGGATTATGTGGCCGAACCACTACATCTGCCTGCGCTGACAAGGGACCCACAGAAAGAGAGAGAGAGAGAGGGAGGCGCTTCACACGTGTAACTCTCTCGAAGTCTTGCGGGCAGCTAGTCATGGTCTCTCTCGATCATCACGTGACACATGAAGCCGACGGGACCAGGCCGGAATCTCAGAGAAAAAAATCATAGGCCTTCGACGTGGGCCCACCTCGCCGGGCTTTCCTCTGGCCTGACCCCTCGCTCCAGCGGCTCCAGTCCCATCAGCTCCTTCACATATTTGTTCCCAACTGACGGTTGAACCATCAGAGACTGAAAGACACCGACGAATCACCCTCTGCAACAGACAGACAGAAGAAGAACAACACGAAGAGGATGACGAAGCTTGCTCCTCTGGGGATCAACAGTTCTTGGCACAGATGAAGAGCACAAAGGTGACGAACATGAAGAAGATCCGATGCAGATTGCTCCCTGGAGGTCCAGCAGTGCCTTCTCCTCCGCCGCTAAGGCGTCGTCTCCTTGTAAGGCAGCTCGCAGGCGGCCAGTGGGCTCTTGTGCTTGTGAAGGCCCAGCATCTCAGCAACTGTCTTGCAGCGGCACTGGTTCCCCGGGCGGATCACATTTCCATAGACAGCCATCTCGATGACGTCCAGCTCCTTGTCTGCGAGCCCATATTCCCAAGATCAGGCCAGAAATCATGGAATGGCTTCTTCAGATTTGAAGCAACTCACCGCATAACCAAATTACGTGGAATGAATATTATAACACGGCAAAAGACCAGCTTCTTTATTACTGTGAGCAGACGGCGATTGAGGGCTAGCCTGGCACGCTGCCAACCTAGAGACTCACAGGATTGGAGAAAAGTGGACCCCATTTGCAGGAAGATCATTGAAAGGGAAGAGCGGAACCCAGAAACTAAGCATGCAGAGGGAGATGACTACCAGTCGCTAGATCGTGAGGATAGCAAGTTTCTGCTTGAAACCAAGGAAAAATTCACGAAAAACATAAAACTTAGTGTAACCGCAACACAGTAATATGGGGGGGAGGGAGCCCGCATGAATACTGGATTCGCATCTTATATTGCTGGTCCAAATGTATGAGAGGAATCCAATTAATCCGGCAGCAGCTTATGTTTCAGACAACACTTTTTTTGAAATTACAGTATAAAATAAGGAGCTATGAAAATGTTTAAAATTAATAACCGAATGCAAAGAAGGGGGGAAGGAAGATTTAGGATCCAATTTACAAAATAAATATAAATATTTTCAGCTGGCAGCTCATAGAGCGAGGAAATGTACCAGTAAATTTGACATCACACGAGAAACCTTCCAGTTCAGCTCTCTCCACCCACTCTTTATCTGACTTAAACCTATTCACCCTGGTCTGAAGAATCTGGCAGTTGTCTGCGGTTGATTCTCCGCCTGCATCGGATATCTGATTTCAGACACGGGTATGAGAGTATGAAAATGCTTAAAAAACTGATTATAATGGATTAGACAGAGGAAATATATGGTCCACAGATCTACGACCTATGAGGTCAATGAAACCAGAGCATCTAATTAACAAATAAAAAACCATAGTTTGACGAGAGAGAAAATTGGGAAATATCCATGATTTTATTTTCCCAACTATTTATTGATTGATGGTTACCCACAAAAGAATGCATAATTCTCTTTTATTGTCATATCTTTCACATCTTTCTTTGAATCTTTGTGAGGCCTAGAGTAAACTCTGAGGACTGAAAGCTGGCTGCGAAAGTGAAACCTGCCTGATAAAAATGACGCTCCAAGCAAGCCATGGCTATAGACTTACAAAAGGAATTCAGTGGTCGTGTCCTGGAAGCTTAGCAGCCTCAACGCAACCAACAAAGAGAGGTTCTGCCAGGAAAATGACCGAATACAAGGACGTAATGAAATATAAGTCCAAGAGAAAATGTGTTCATGCCACACCCCTCTTCTTGACCAACGGTGGCCGGGTAAGAGGGTATGCGACCAATCATGCGGAGGTACAATAAGTTGGTCTCTGAAATTAAGTAACGAAGAATTAATCGTCCGAATTTTCTTTTCGTGTCATGTTTCTGATAAATAATGAAGCCAAAAATTCACGCTGATTCTAGGACAACCAGCTTGTTGATTGGTTATCAATGATGGTGGGAACTAAACCTGAGAATATTAACTGATGGTAAGGAGACATGGAGACGTGATTCAAAGGATTCAAGAAATGATGATCCAGCGCAACTCCTTGGATAGTCGTCGATATCAACACCATGAGAATTGAAGGAAAGTTGCTCTTTAAATAGCAGATAATGGAGTGTATTAAAAGGTTTGGATATCAGATTCATGCGAATAGACCATCAATTGGAGCTTCTACGTTCGACAAATGCGGACAAAATGGGTGATCTTCGCGACGATGAAAAAAAAAATCTCGGCGAGGGAACCTAACCTCGCAGCGGGTACGCACCAGGCCGGAGCAGATATGAGCCAACAGACGGGAGAGACAAGGGAGTTGGGGGGGATCTAACCTTTGGAGAAAGGGACGATGTGGTCGTACTCGTAGCACAGACAGCCGTGGCAGTTCCAGAAGCGCTTGCAGACGATGTTACCCGCGGCATCCTTGCGCCACCTCTCGGGGTGGCGGCCGCTCACCACATCTGCTTTTTCCCAGCACTGAGCCTTGGCCTTGGCATCGAAGAATCTGGGCCTCTCTTTCTCCTTCTGATTCTGGTTCCCCGCCCGCGCCGGGGAAGAACTCATCGAAATCGCGGCCCCCCAGATGGGGCGGGGGGAGACGAGTAAGGGGAGCTTAAACCCCGACGCTGGGGGCGGAATGCGGAGGCGGAGCGGGTTACCCGTTCTGGCCACCCTTAAATTTACCCATCTATCCTCTCGTTTACTAGGTATTTAATTTATTGGATTAATACCAATTAGATAGCAAAGTTCATTGCGCCCATTAATATCAAAAATGCAAAGTGAATATAGTGAACCTAACATCAAAAAAATTGTTAACTTACGTTATCAAATTAATTGTGTCATGAATAATGAAATGAAAGGGGGAGATATGAGATAAAGAGTTTGTTGATTAATTGTTTTTATAAAAGCAATTGATAAATATCTTAAGCTACTATCAACAACCAACACATACTACAAAGTAGTCATGAAAAATGACACAATAGTCAAGGGGCACATAATATGTCAATGGATGGTGTTGAAAATACAAAAAAATGGTAGTGATTGAATATTACTCACCTTTAAAATAAGAAAATATTAACATTATTTATAGAATGCAGTGGTTCAAGATCTTGGACATAATATTGACGAACTAGAAACAAGTTAGCATAAAATTTCTATTAAATTGTGGATTAAGTAATAATATTTTGATGATATAAAAAGAAATGACTTGAATATAAAATCAAGAAATTGATGACATTAAATAATTTTATGGCCTAAGCATGATTAAAAAAAATTAGATCTTTGACAAGTCTGAAGGGTTTTGATGATTATTATATGTATACAAAGGTATTTAAGAACCTCACATGTTATAGAATTATTTACTTGATAATCTCAGTAGTTGCATATTAATGAAGTCTCGGTTTCATTTGATTATCATCAAAGGTAGAAAAATTAAATTGTTTAAATATAAATATAATACAAAATTAGAAATTTAAAAATGGTAATTTTATTAAATACGAGTTTTAATATTTTAATTTTGAATACCAATTAACTTCACTAGCATAGACATAAGCATGAAAGTAATAATTGAAAAGATCTTTGAAAATGACGAGTCAAATGGAATAAATATCATAGAAAAATATCAAGACATTAAAGAAATATTTTTTTAAGATGACTAAAATTATATGTATGCCTGGCAACAAAATGGTTGAGTCTAATTTGTCTGACTAAAATAATTTTTATCTGAAAAATATGTCATATATATGGATGTGAGACCAATAATTGAGATGATTATTCAAAGACAAAGCCAATATTTTATTACAATTTATAATACTCAAAGAATTATGATTTCTAATATATATATATATATATATATATTCTGAAGCTATACATGGCCCACTATAATCTAACTAACTATTTATTTATTGAGTCAATTGTTGGACCTAATAGGTACATAAAAGGGACAACTCAGCCCAATATGCCTCATGATGAACAAGGTCATCTTAATCAAAATTATTATATATTGAATACAAATGAGATTTCAAGACAACAACAATACAATCAGAATCTTCTTTTTATTCTATCTCTATTCTATCAATGTTATAGTCAATCAAAGCCAAATTTAAGAGGAAGGCGTGTAAGAGATTAAAATCAACATTTCAAACAATGTTAATTACTTTTGGATCTCTCTCTTCTTTGCTATCTCTTTTCTAAGTCTAAATGACTCAAAGACAAGGTCAAGAACAAATCAAAGGAGATGTGAATATAAAGAGAAATCTCATGTGATCCCTTAATCAGCCCAACCTTATTTCAAGCCCTTTAATAATGCATGACAATATTAATGATAGTTCAAGGAGATAGTAGATCTTGTTTAAGTTGATTTCTTATTTTTATTGTAATTTATGATATGTAAATTAATTAAGATAATTGTGGTGTATCGACAACACAGTCACTTATAAGTCATTATGTCACTTGTCATGTGCTTCTAATAGGTGACATTTGTGATAATTAGTCTCTAATATTATAAGAGATATTGCATGCTTGTATAGCATATTGATGTATAAGTTGCTTATCTGAAAAAAATCAAAGGTATCCTAGGTGCTGAAATATAAGAATCATGGTGGATGTCTCAGAAGTGAAAATAGGTCAAAGAGTTTGGTCAAACCACTCTAACAATTTGTGTTCACTAATTGTTCTTGATATATTTTATATTTATATATTTATTTATAATATATAATATTATTATATAAGAAAATAAAAGATAAAATTATTATACTTACTTGTAACTAAAATTATGAATTTATTTACTACTCTTCTCTTGATTCGTCTAGCTAACTATCTAGGGACCAATCATTTCTTGTGGACAGTAAGATATTGACCATCATAAGCATCCTTCAATTATGTCAATTAGTGACATCCTTGAAATCCTTAACTTATGATATTTAACACAATAAGAGATATTTGTAAAAATTTACCACACAAAAAAGTTGTTAAATGGCCACCTAATCTCAAATCAACCATAGAACAATGTTTAACCACGAATTTTCTCATTCTCTCTATATACTAGATTTCATAAATGCAAAAGAGCAATCATTATATCTTCTTGTAACCATATACAGCTCTAGTGAACATATGGTTCTAATAACATCTATATCTTTGAAAAAATAAAATTAAAAAATTTATTAAAGGAGATGTGAAAGTTAGGAACTATTCAACCCTCAATGAGTGACTACTCCAATCTAATCAGTTTAATCAAAAATAAGAATATTGGTTAGAGGTTCTATGTGGATTAAAGAAGCATCAATAAAATCAAAATTTTGGATATGTTTTGATTACCATAGTAAAATAACTTTATGAGAAACTATACAACCTAATCAAATTCAGATGCACATGGAGGATGTATGCAAAATCATCTTTAAAATATATGAAGGTCATTACAAATTTTTGATGGTGACTTTTGGACTTAAATTGCTCATGCTACATTTCAGGCTCCAATGAATATGATTTTTGTTACTTTATCTATAAATTTTTGACGATATACTACTACACAATCAAGATACAAAAACCTATAATCAACATTTGATCTAAGTATTCTAATTATAAGAAGAAAATAAATTATATATTAATACTAAAAATATACATTTGCAAGTAGTCAGATTAATTATCTAAGGAATTGAGTATTAGTGGTTGAAGTGGGTGATAAAAAAATTGAGGTCATACTCAATTAACCTAATCTCATTATCCAATAATAATTATGTAATTTAATTCAGTTAACAAGTTATTGCATATGTTTTGTAGCCAATGATAGAACTATCATTTGGCCCCTTACACAACAACTCAAGAAAAATAATTTCAAATGGAGTGATGAAGTAGAAAAAATATTTCATAAGTTAAAAAGGGTCAAGGCCACTATACTGTCATTAAAGTCATTTGATTATTCATGATAATTTTAATAAAAAAATTGATGTCTTTTCTTTTTGAGTGAGGGTAATACTCATGAATAATTATATAACAATCACTTACTTTGCTCAAACCATGTCAAGAAGAATCTAATTTAAATAGGTATATGAATGAGAATTAATACTCATACTTTTGGGATTCTCAAATGAAAACACTACTTGATTGGTCCTCAATTTTTAATTATATGGACTATAAAAAAATATTTTTTTTTTAATATCATTAGGTGCACCCAAAACATCAAAAGTGGTTAACCAAAATCTTCAATTTCCACTTCACCATTATATACAAGCTTGGTACAAAGAACAAGCGACAAAGGTTCTTTCAATCATGCCTCACTTTACATTAATGTAGACCATGTCAATGGTTGCTCTCAAGACCTACTAATAATTATCTATTGATGGTATAAACAATCATTCATGTAAGCTCAAATAAGTAGCCCAAATAAAAGTTGGATCAATGAGTTTTAGTTTATGGAGGCTGGCTAGTCCTTCGTAAGAGATCTAATAGATTGATGAAGTATACTCATTTTATTTATTTGAAAATATCTTTTCACATCCAATAATGTGAAAAATGATTTTTTCAAAAATGTACTTAAACATTATGGATTTTAAAATCTATTATCTCATATATTAGTAAATTTTTATTAGTCTATTTTAGATAGTTCTTCAAATTGCAAGGCACTATTCTTAAGATAAGCATTGTTTTTCACCCTAAAAGGGAAGGCCAATGATCAATTGATGTCTTAATAAGCATTGATACTCTTTTCATGTGATAGACTCAAGCATTGGAGCTATTGGTTGTCAATACCTAAATTTCGGTACAACATTAATTTTCATTCATTTATCAATATCATCTATCTCAAAGTAATTTATGGATGCAACCTTCTAACAATCATCTACTACAGTTCACACTTCACACTTAACATAAGTTGCTTCAATGGAGGGCCAATTACAATAATAAGATGTGACCTTGAAAAAGGTAAAATAATATTTGGTTCATACTCAAATGAAGATGAAGGCCTAAGTTGATCGACATCACAAAGAGGTTGAGTGAGTTTGCTAGAGACAACTTGATCGACATCAAAAACTTAAGCTTTACAAAATTCAGTTCTTAGCAAATTGATAAATTAAAAAATTATCCTCTTGATATTTTGACCTCTACCATATTCTTGGCAACAATGGTGCAACCACCTACAAGTTTGACTTATAAGTAGTTCTTAATGAGAAATTAATTACAATTGGTCATAAAATCAAAGATGGTGCTAAATATTCACCAAGGTGTGAGTGGTCTAGAAGTATTCCTCAAATCGAGATGCTACTAGAATTTGAGGTCACATGAGAATCTGCAACTATCATCTAATAAGGATTAGGGGGTTGGGGGTGCTCTCAAAACTACTATCATAATGACATTCTCAGATTTTCTGTCAAAAAATCTATATATCATTTATTTTTATCTTATGCATTTTTGTTTTTCATTTCAGTATGATCCACTAGTTATTTGATTTGTCTCTCCCTCGTCGTCTTAGATTGAATTGACATCATTTTCCAAAATATTTTTCATTTATATCATTTTTATTTATTTTTCTTGATCTATTAGGCCATGTAAACTAGAAAAATTGATGTCACATTATAGCGATCTATATTAATATAGTTTTTATATGGAATTATTGACTAAATTCTTATTAAATATTTGGGAGTTGCAAACCATTTATGAATGAAGCCATCCCAAGTACCCACTAACATATAAAATATGGAGCTTTCAAACCCCATGAACCAAGCTCCATTATTATATTTATATGGTTAATCCTCTCTATATTCCTTAAAAAATCATTAGACGTCACCTAAACCAATAAAATATATTTTTATTTAAAACTAATATGTGTTCCAATGAAACATTTTTTTCTTGTAAATTCCCTTTTTTATGAAATGCAAAAAATATGTCTCCAAACCCAATCGAAATTTTGTTTGATTATAATATTTACTACTAATACCAACTGTTAATTTTGCAAGTAATTCCAAATTAAAGTAATATTCTGCATGACATAATTAAAGTAATAAATGTTAGGAAAATTTTCAAATGGATCCTTATAGTCTATCAATTTTGCATATTAACGGTGATCAATCCGTTACCTGGTCGCCGAGAGGATCAAAGAAGAAGATAGAGGTGAGAAATAAACGGCGGCGCTCGGGGTTGCACCGAGGTTAACCAACCACGAACGGCGCAGCTGCTAAGTGGTCGCGATTCCCCTGCGGATAGGGGAAGCGCATCGGCAGCGGCAGCCGCTGGAGCGAGGGGAAAATGGCGGGAAGGGCCCTGTTCCTACCCCACAACGGGTTGTTCGTGGTGCCTTCTCTCTCCTCCATTGGCTCATCCAGAGCCTGGCATCTCGGCGCGACACTTCGTCTAGGACCGCGGTCACTTGCCGCAACTTCGATCTCGTCCTATGGGTTCTGCAGAAGCGCGCTTCGTAGCGAAGCGGATGCGACGAAGGCCACGCAGCCGGAGGCTTTCGTCCTCACGACCCCTCTGTATTATGTGAATGCCCCTCCGCACATGGGAAGCGCCTACACTACAATCGCTGCCGATGCCGTCGCTCGGTTTCAGGTAATGCAGATGGATTGAAAATATAACTGCGCTTTCTTCCTGGTGAACCGAGCATCAACCACCTCGGAATGATGATTAACAACAACAATGTTTGAAATGAGAATTGATGACAGACTCTCCGCTTTAATCTTGATTTGCAAATGACAGAAAAAGAAAAACACTTTGTCCAGGCTACTCCCAGCTTCCATTTTTATGCACCGGATCATAATATGTACATACGAGTCTGTCGTATGCTGTCCTTCTGTTATCTGGGTCTAACGATAGTACGACTGAACTTGATAGGTGAATGAGATAATCAATATTAGTTAGATACGTTTCCAATTGTTTCTATGTGACGTTCCATTCAATAGTTCAGCTGATACAGTTCTTACCCGCTTCTCCTTTCAATATGTTACACAGAGGCTGTTGGGGAAAAATGTGATCTTTGTCACCGGCACAGACGAGCACGGCGAGAAAATCGCTGCTGCTGCAGCTAAAAGTGGCAGCACTCCTAGTGATCATTGTGACAATGTCTCACTGGCATACAGATCACTCTGGAAAGATGTATGTGGTTGGACTTATCATTGTGCCTCCTCTTGTGGAATAGATTTGTTTGCTCATCTAGCTCATGTTTTGGCCGAGTTTTCTTTCTTCTTAGCATCAGCTTGTTTATCACATGCAGCTAGATATATCACATGACAAGTTCATTCGCACAACAGATCCAAATCACGAAGCTGTTGTGAAGGAGTTTTACTCTAGGGTCCTCAGCAGTGGTGACATTTATCGAGCTGATTATGAGGGCCTTTATTGTGTGGACTGTGAGGAGTACAAGGTCAATTTTTTATTTATGTCTGAATTCTCAGTGTTTTCTGGGCCTGGATTTTTTTTTTGTATGTTTAGTATTTCAGAGAAATCTTCAAATTTATTTACGTTTTCTGCGTACCAGTGAATATATCCCCATTATTGGTAGATACCTAATGTTCCTACCTGTTTTCAATGTCGAGATACTACACAGAAAATTCGCCTGTTTCATACTGTGGATTTCTGTTTTTCTACATATCTTATTTCAACAAGGATTTCTTTTTGCCGATTTGAATGATGTGCACATTTTTCTTCAAAATGGTTTCTCTTGCTGCAACTTTATTGATTGCATGATTAGTTCTGTTAATTTTATTCTTCACTCGATCAAATTATTGGGAAAAAATACAAGCTTTTACTATTAATTTTTGTGCATTATTCTAATCATTGCATCAATCAAGACAAAGAAGGCAGCTTTATATGGTTGTCTCCTACCTTGCTAACCTTTTAGTCGATCATTTTAAAATTTCAGAAACCAAAATAGTTCCTAAAATATTTTCTCTTCGGATATCGTATTTTCTCTCACAATAATGCGTTAGTTTAGCTTGGATTTATTTTCAGATGTAGTATTTCTTTGTAGAGTTTTTTATGGATTAGATGTTGATGTTGTTTTATGTTGTTGTACCCAAGAGAAGAATTATTCCGCATCTTTTGTGACTATCTGAGAACGTATTGCAGGATGAGAAGGAATTACTTGAGAATAATTTTTGCCCAATTCATCTAAAGCCTTGTGTTAGAAGAACAGAGGACAACTACTTTTTTGCCCTGTCAAAGTACCAAAAGTCATTGGAAGAATATTTGATAGACAACCCCAATTTTGTACAACCTTCATTTCGGTTGAACGAGGTATGGAATAGAATCATTTTGGTCTCTAATAGAACGTCTTTGTTGGCCTTTTCTCATGGAATAGTTATTCAGGTGCAAAGTTGGATAAAGTCCGGCCTGAGGGATTTTTCTATATCTCGTGCGTCAGTGGAGTGGGGAATACCAGTGCCCAATGACACTAGACAGACCATATACGTTTGGTTTGATGCTTTATTGGGGTAATTGTTTTTTCATATTTAATTCAATTAAATTAAAATATCCACACACAGAAGATACTTCGTGTGCTCGTGGCCCTATAGCATATAAAGTTACATACCCACGAATAAGTACCTTCAAATATTTTACCCCATATGCAGGATGCCTCTTTCAGACTACTTCGCCTTGCCCAATTATCCATGCTCACATCTCCAAATAGCCAAATAACTTATGTCTTTCATTGGACAACTATTATTCATATTTCTTGGTTCACCTGTCTCAATTACCCGTTACAAGTTGGAAAGTTTACATTAGCTTTATATTTTGTAACTGGCATCATTTTGTTTTGGAAACAATGGAGACATACTGTCTTACGTTTATGCTGTTGCTAGGTATGTCTCTGCATTACTCAAGGAAGGGGAGGAACCAACTTTAGATAAAGCTATTTCTTCTGGTTGGCCTGCTTCCCTGCACTTGATTGGCAAGGTATCTGGTCCCTGCTTCCGTTGCTCTTTCTCTCTGCTATTATATATAGTGCAGCCTAATTTTTCATTTATCAATTTCTTATGTTTTTTTACCACATAGAGGTTCTCGTGGCACCTTTCAGCGCATTTCCATTATTTTTCATCATTTTTATTGAATAAGATTAGTCTTTGCAACCTTAGGAGTTAATTTGATTGTCTTCGAAGAGTCGTCGACCTGATAGACTCTGACATGCATTGCCTTAGAGCTATCCACTAGAATACCATCATATAGGCTTTCGAGTAAGGCTGTTTGTGAAGTGGTGGACTGGTGGGACTGTTGTCATCAATCTTCGTTCATAAAGTACAGAAAGAAAAAAAGAAGCTTACACATGTTTTGGCCTGAGGGTAGCTGTTTTGTAATAGCCTAGGCTGTCCGCCAATTCAAGCGATTTCGAGGTTGGTATAGAGTCAAACCATGAAATTGTGGGTTACTGGGTGATGTGGAGGCTTGGTGAAACTTGTTACATTTATGAGTTGTGGATTTCTGTGTGGTGACTGCTCTATATTAGCTCTGCGTATCATATGGATCGCTCCTGTAATTATTGCTGAACTGATAATATCCACAACGTACTTTTCAATCATTGCTTCAGTGTAATTTTTCAATCGATTATGCTGAACAGATAACTCAACATTTTCAATAGCTCAGGATCAGCCAAATATCTGACCTGTGCAGTGTATGTTCTCCCTTTGTGGTCTAAGGCATGAAAATCACCTCATGAATGGACACCAAACATAACTATCCAACTCTGCAGATGAGGTTTACTCGTTTAGGAGTAAAGCTCTTTAACTCACAGGGCATCTGAGTTATCATTTTTTCTAGGTTAAAGCTAATTTGCATACACTCATACTTGCAAAAAAAATTCACTGGTTTGATGTTTTCTATTGTATCTTTTTGCTCTCATGCAGGACATATTACGGTTCCATGCAGTTTATTGGCCTGCAATGTTAATGTCGGCAGGATTGCCTCTCCCTGATATGGTTTTTGGTCATGGATTCTTGACAAAGGTATTGTCGTGTCTATGCAGGAATTGTTTATTTTTTAGAAGTATAGTATATTTTCATATTTTTCATGCTTCTAAAAGACTGATCCACGAGGGAGACGCATTAAAAAAATCATATTTTTTTAGGATTCTAGTATTATGAATTAGTTTTCAAATGGAATCAGGTTAAATATAGGATTTCTAACAATTTTCCTTTGAATGTTTGAGAATTATCGTTCTACTGAAAACATGTGTTAGGGAATGTCAATTGAAGGTAAGGATAATTATTGTCCTTGCTCTTGTGGCCCAGATAACGAGGTAAGGGGGTCTGACATTGATGTAGGCTTGCCCAGTTCTGCAGAATTTTTTGGTAAGAAGATGGGATTAGAGGCCTGAGGGTTTCAATTTCTTCTTGTCCGAAAATTCTGAAGGAAACAGATCGCTAAGGATGCTAGCCAATGATAGGAAGTATTCAGGTGGAAGTGTTATAGCAGTTCTATGTTCTGGGATATTTGTCCAAGTTTTGAAAGGAATAAATTGCATTTGCTGCTAGTGATTCTGAGTGCTGGTCTGTGTTGGAGAGGCGGAGATGGTATGATCTTCCACCTTGACGGATGTTGTGGCTTGAGGGTGAGACTTTACTTCATTGGATAGCTTATAACCGAAGGTGAAGGTTCTGATGCTGACAAATTCTTATGTGCCTGGCGAGTTCTGACAGGATTTGTGACAATTTGTTTTCTTTGTCACATGGGGTAACGTATGAATCGTATGTTCTGAATGTTATCTCTCTTATTGGTGATTTGGCGTGAGGCGAATTGAAGATCAATGTTAGCCAACCAACCATAGTGGGGGGGGGGGGGGGACTCGCTGCATATTGTCAGGAATTGAGGATGAAAAAGGTTGGATTTCATGTATGCCGTTTTTTACCATCTTTTACTGATTTAGGCCGCTTGATGTGAGTTGGATCAGTATTTGGCATGTTAATTATTGATATGGGTCCCAATCAGTTTATCTGCTTTCGGATCCAGTAGATCACAAGGAATCCATATTGTTTCTATGCCATCTCATGGATTGCACGTTAATGCGTTTGGCTCTCGTAGATTGGTTTGAATCCGCTCAAGGGGTGAGAATCGAAATTGTTTGCGTAGGTATCATTCAACCACAAACACCAAACATTGAAATCAGTATTCTACCCTTTGAACGCCATCCCAAGTGGTTAGGTAGAGAATCTAGTATCTCTAAGGGTAGACCGATATGAAATGGTGCTTCGAAGATTTCAATATATGGAATCAAGAGGATACACATCAAGGCACTACGAATCAAGTTGAAAATTTAAAACCTCCGAACTGAAGACGGTTTTTCGTTTTGGGTTTTGCATTGCTCGGAAGGCATTCGTGTGATGAATGGATTGGAAATAATGCTTTGCAGATCTGAGGATTTTAAATAAATTCTCAATTATTATCGATAGGAGTTTCTAAAATTGAGAAGACTTCATACCCAAACGTTTTGTCTCCTAGCTGTCATATCCAAATATGAATTTCTCAGCAATCTTGCTCGCAGATACAACTTATATCTTTCCTCTTTTCCTATTTTGGTCGGTTGTCACTATGTTTCAAGACAAAGTAGGACTATCTTCGAACTTAGATTGATCAGCAATATAGGGGGTTCTTCTGATTAAGTCCTGGACGAAGAAAATTCGAAGTTGTTGTGTGGATGGAATGAAATTTTCCAGGCTTTCTTGGATGGGAAAGACGTCCAGTCGGTGCCCACTGCGGTTTTCCACAACATAGAAGCGATGTATCGACCAATATTACTCCTTACATGGGGTGTAAAATGCCTGGGCGGTGCGAAATTTCCTTACCTTCTCATTAGGAATTTAGTCGAGAGAATTTTTTATTATTATTTTCCAGAACGCAAATATTTATTATATTGACAGCTAACTTAATGAATAATCAACAATCATTGTTGTTATCTGACTAAAATGTTGTACACTCTGGAAAATTGCTAACATAATTTCATCTTATTTGTCTTCGCTGTAGATTTGACTCTTCCTTTCATTTTGTCTCATATTCTACTTTGATTTCATGCAGCTTTCCCTTTTCTTTTGAAATTTATAGGATGGAATGAAGATGGGAAAGTCATTGGGGAACACGCTTGAACCCAAGGATCTGGTGAATAGATTTGGAGCTGATGCAGTAAGGTACTTCTTCTTGAGGGAAGTGGAATTTGGAAACGATGGAGACTATTCCGAGGACCGATTCATCAATATAGTTAATGCACACCTTGCCAATACAATCGGTATTTACTCGATTTCTGATCATCGTTGCACTTTTTTCTGCGTAGTTACATGGTGATAGTTTACTCTGGAGAATAAACTAATCGGAGGCTATGTGTTCAGGAAATCTTCTCAATAGAACACTCGGGCTTTTGAAAAAAAACTGTCAGTCCATATTGGCAATTGATTCTGCTGCTGCAGTTGAGGGAAGCCCATTCAAAGACATAGTAGAAAACTTGGTTAGTGCTGTTAAACTTTGTTGCTCGTACCCTTTACCAATTGATTTTACATTTTTTGGTGAATCTACTCATCAGGAGTTTCTGCTGCAATGTTACTGATGTCCATTTTCGTTTCCTTATTGGCAATAAACCCATGGCGATGGGTTGCTGATGGTGGCCTGCTTTTCCCTGCGCTTTACCCAGCACTTCCTGGCATTGCCCTTGAGCATCTAAAAAAATATGAACTAATGCTAATAATGTTATCTACTTATCAATGATAAAAGAAAATGGACATATCATTGATTACCGCATTTTTGTGGAAGAGTTACGAGGTGCTACTATGCATGTTTCACTAACAGGTTATCCTCCTTGAAAGAAAACTTTAATTGGGAACCAAATGATAAGCGCTTGAAATCCATCGGTGTGAACATTTTCGTCTTGCAAAACATGTTGGTTGCATTACATGCTTACAATAAAAAAATATCTGTTTCGTTTCTTTTCTATGTCATTTTTATATTCATGGTTTGTTTTATGTCTCATTTGATATCAGCCTTTTTATCTACATCTTTAATGAGATTTGACCGATATTTTTGTCATCCCCTTTAAGGGAATATTTTTTTCTCTCATCATCATAACAGAGTGTTCTAGGAACTCATTTGCCAATAAATACTATGTAATGGTTTTTCTTTTGGATGGTGTTTTTTGACAGCCCAGTGCGTCTAAGGCAGATTGTACCTTAGTCAGCAGCACTCAATTCCTTTTCTTCAGATGGGGGGTGTTATATATATACATACACAATCTGTGCGCTTTAATCTCCTAAATCAGGCTGACAGAGAACTGTACAATCTCTGAACTCCACATAACTGGTAACCTGAAACCATGCATACTAAGAATGGAAACACCTTTAGTTTCATGGTAAATCATTCCACGCCTACTGCTATCGGGGAAATAACTGCTCAAGGCCTTTTAGGTCCTAATACTCATTTACAGCTAAGGTGTTCATAAACCATTTTGCTCTACTTATACAATTAAACATTTCTACATTAATTGGTTTTAGCCACTGACATTCTTTTTTAGACATACTCCATGGCTTGTAATCGTTTCTCACAATTATTTCACTATATTTTATAGGTGGAAAAAGCAAGGTTACACTACGAATGCTTATCATTATCATCAGCTTGCGAATGTATTTTGGAAATTGGCAATGCTGGCAACCTGTATATTGACGAGCATGCGCCATGGTCCCTTTTTAAGAAAGGAGGTCCGAGTTCTGAAGCTGCGAAGAAGGTATTAAATTCACTAATTCTTGTAACTGCGACACCAATTATCCAACCAAATTCTTTCATTAACATCAATTGGTTTAGAATTTACCAATAATTTCAAAGCATATCCTGCCTGAAATTAGGAAGATAGATGGAGTCTATGCATGAATGTCTGTGATTAACTAAACGCCTTTCACTCTTTCTGGAAAGAGTGAAAATATAAATTCAAGAATATATCAAAGACTAAAATGGACATCGCGAATCGTTTAGACTCAAGTGTCATCCAGTTCGCTTTTAAAATTACGGTCTTCATTTGGACCAGAAAACTAGTACTCTGATCAATGATTTTTCATTCATATTATCAGATGCGGCAGCCTACAGAGATCAGCAGAACAATAGAGCATTTTCTATGTAACTAGCATAGTTTTTAACTATTGGTTGACTATCCAAGTCTTTTATAATTTTTTTACCTGGACCACATAAGGCTTTTCATATTAGTGGTGTCTGACTAATATGACCATAAAAAGACACGAGTTGAGAGTTGTCTATTAAACTATGTTTTTATCAGAATATATCTAACTCAGAACCAGAAAACCTGTTGTGTTGTAGATAACTTGTATGAAGTTATTTTTTTGTCCTGTATAGATCGTATAATTTGGGCCTATTAATCTTCACTCCAGCTTATGGAACAGAGCTGGAGAGATGAAGCTTAAAAGCCCAACACGTTTTTAATTTTGGCTTGATCATAATTCCATTCACTTTCTTTTCCTCACGCTTGTCGAATTTATGATCCCGCGGATTATATCACGTTTACTTGACGATGGGCCGAGCCTCCTGAGCCGATCTGATCCAATAACGCCCAGACTGAATGATGCATCGATCCCTATGATTCTTTCTCAATTCATACCTTCTGTTTTTAACCATAGTTTAACTACGGTATTATTTCCAGTGAAATCTATTAATTTGGTCATTAAAAGGGTGCGGGTATCCCATATTTACCTTCGTGAACTTTGGATATTGTGATGAACTTTTTCTCCCCCCACAAGTTCACGATGTTTTCTAAACAGGTTGATGATGGCATTATTTTCCTGCAGGATCTCGTGATTATCTTAGAAACGATGCGAATTATCGCAGTTGCTTTGTCCCCAGTTGCTCCGAGCTTATGCCTGAGAGTATACTCGCAGTTGGGCTACTCCAAGGACCAATTTGAAGCTCTGACTTGGGTATGCCTCTATCATGCGAACATTCTTTGTTCTTGGCTTTAGTAAACTTTATCTGGTTTTTGCGCATGATTTCTGCACGTTTGAGGATTATTTGTGGTGGGCTGATGATTTTCCGACGAATTCCCCCTTAGAGCCATCGAACAGGAGCTCCATTGTTCAATCAGCGATAGTTCTATCAGTTCTTGATAGATTAATGTCTGCATTAGATAGGAGGATTTAGTTGTGGGCAGACCTGGGATCAATGGCCATCCTTTTCTAAATTTCGCTCACAGGATTTCAATATCCCAGAAAATTGGTGCCACGAACAGAAACTTAACCAGAAAGTTTGAATTTTACCAAAAGAAGTTATCTTTATGGTTCATCTGTTCAACATGTTGCTGAAACACCGCAGGGTGACACCAAGTGGGGAGGGCTCAAATCAGGCCAGGTCATGGCAGAACCACAGCCCGTCTTTGGAAGGATTGAAAGCAAGAAGGAAGAAGAGGATGGAATGAAGTTCCCGCAGAATGCCCCCAAACAGAAGAAGGTGAAAGCGTCATGGTGAAGGGTCTGCAAGTGCTCAGATCTCTGAATAATATATATTCTTTTCCACATACAGTACCTTCATAGGCAGCTGAACTGTTTATGCTTTCTAGTGGAACGAGTTCAATGTAGATTGGTTCAGATATACGCTGGCTATTCATTGAAAAAATCCCTCTAAATATCTACGTTTCCCCCAATGTCTTGGAATGTGTCACTGTTTAGGATCCTGTGAGCAAATCTTGTTTAGTTACTATATTTCCGGAGAAATTGGTTCAGAGAAAATGAATACCGACATCTGATTATGATTATCTTTCGTAAACTCTGTATTACTCTTTCATTTGAGAAGGCTTGGGAGTTCTGTTGGTTGATCCCCAAGTGGAAGCTCGCGCATCCTCCCATGCTGCTTGGGGTTGTCGGAGTCGCGAGGTGGTGGCCGGTCCGACGGCGCGGATCCGGCGGCGATGGCCCGCGCCTGAGTACGACCTTCCTCCCGGGGGAAGCTCGCGCATTGAAAACCAAAACGTGGTGACATAAAGCAAAGATGATGCAATCATCGAAGGCTCTACAGAAGAAATAATCCATAACTTTTTGAGGAAATTGATCTATTAACTTGTTCAGACAGAGTTCAGTCAGCCTGCGTTGCAGCCGAAGCCGATATGCTACCGCGTCTGTTCCACTTTTCCATACTAAGCTGAGATCGAAATCCTAAGTACACTTCCAAGCTTGCATCGACTCTAAACCTCCCTCCTCTTCTGGACTAATCTCATATCAAATGCTAACTGCTTTCTTTCTCATACTATGCCTCACAAAAACTTGTTAGCATGTAATATTTGAGAGATTTGCGAAGAAAAATAAGGCACTGGTAAGAGAGGAAACAAGATTTCATCCACTATCCACAACAATAAGGACTGAATTCTGTAAGCAATATTCTTGCATATCTTATTTCGATGTTCGTTTCAATTAAGTCCGATTACTTCATCTATATTGCATTTACTCCAAAAAAACTAACTTATGTAGCTTTAGCTGCCATGGAACCACTGAGCAGTGTTCTTTGAGAAAATAAATTCACTTCGACATTTGTTCAATCTGAAATTGTTATCATCGAATCGAGTTGCGTACACTTCCTCATTTATTGATTTTCTCGAATCAATTTCAATATATATAAATATATTTGAAGACCACTGTGATAAGTGTAATGATAGTTTTGAGCATTAAGAATCCCAATAAAATGGAAAAAACAAAATATTACATTTAAGGAAAGCTTACAATAAGATCGTATGGTTGCTGAAATAGTTCGTCGACAAGATATTCCATCACTTGTGTGATCCAGCTGATACATCACCAAATAACTCCTTTTTAATCATCTTTAGGATGCCCATTATCTGTAGCAACAGCACACAAGCCACTGTCAGTTTACACGATTGTAATAGATGGTTTGAAGGAAATTATCAACATGGGTTGACTAAGACTCATCATGATTTAAATTTTGAACATTTTGATATGCAGTAAATGAGAGAACATTTTTTTTAAAAGGGATATATATAATTTATAGAAAATTTCTACAAGGAGATGTACTAAAGATAGTGATGATTTAGTACAATCAGACAATCTTTACACCTTTTGAGCCTCAAGAAAGTATTAAATTGGCCAAAGTTCGTATGTAATAATGCTATAAGCAAGATTCTATGTTTACCAGAGGTTGAATAACTGCAGTCACTCCTTCAGAGGCTCCCAAAAAAAACATTTGGATTTTATCTCTCTACAAAACTCATCAGCTTGTTACCCTCACAAGAGGACAGATGCTCAATTCTCGTTTAGAAGTTTTTAACCATTTGAGAGTGGACCCATTATTCAGTATTTTAAGAGAGCAGAAAGTACCAGTAATTTGTGGGCTTCCTGATATGAAGATTCGTATGTAACTTAAAATTTCTCGTGTCACATGATGCCATTTCTTGGAGACAAGACTCTCAAGGGGGACTAGGACCGAGGTGAATATTACTTAAATATCCAAGTAGATCACGAAGTATCCACTTTGGGATGAACACATGTATTAAATTTGAAACAGAAATATAGACAAGTAGGGTTCATGCATAAACGGTTGCATCCTTTAATCCTTTGCATGAGTGTAAATAACATTGTTAAGTAGCTACGAGGTGGATATTCCTTAAATTTCCAAGAGTCAGAATCATCCACTTGTGGATGGTCACATCTATTTGCTTAAATAAGGAAAGATAAGTATAGACAAGTCGATTAATTTACGTCCCTTAAACCATACCGCCAGCGCTTGTTTCGCATATCAATTTCAATTATTTTATTATTTTATTGTACATTTTTATATTGCTGATCCAGGGAAAAATCATTCAATCAAATTGATCTGGGCTTATGCAGATCATGATCAGCCTAACGTGATCTGGCTTTCCATAGGGAGGTTCTCTACATAAAGGCAACACATGCAAGGAAAATCTCATGGGAGAAACTAAAGGGCATATCATCCTTCTTGGAAGAAAAGATACTACTTTTAGTGATTCCATTTATCTGGGAATTTTTTCATTAACCGAGAACAACATGACAATAGATGTATAATTATTATCCATGAAGGTGCAACCACTCTCACATGACAAATGATTACCCCATTATAATATTGCAGAACTGGAGAATAGTAGTCCAACACCAGGTATATCTTCTCAAGAAGACCGATGAGTGTATCAACTTCATCCCCCAGCAAGTCAACCTAGAAGATTCCAGGAATTTTGAATTAATCTCATAATAATGACAACAATGGAGTTGATCACACATATGTTTACCATTGACAATACACATGATGAGAAATAAAAAGCATAAGAGAAGACAAGATGCACCGTGGAAATTCTTTCTTTATCAGATTTTATGCGCATTTAAGCAGACATAAGGCTGCTAGAACCGGGCTAACCTCAGCTTCAGCGATTTGGAGATTATAGCATCTCCTTATAAAAGCTTTCCGATATACCAACTCTGTTCCCCTCAGTGAGGATGCCTGTTGAACAAGAAGGTTCAGTTGACAGTTCAATCCTTCTAACCTGTAAAACCCTCAATCAGTCTCTTCTTTACAATTTAGGATGAGTGAAAATCATGAGAACTCAGTCTCTGCTGTCCAAACACTCCATGATGTCTTGTTGTCGCCGTGATCGACGTTTATAAAAACAGAGGTATCATATTTTCTTCTATTCTCCTGAATTCTCGAGAAAAACAAAGTGTTGGTTCAACTGGACGAGGAACTTTAATGGAGATGAGCACCTTGACATGTTTTCTTGCACTTTTGCGCAGACTGTTCCTAAAAGATCCAAGATATCCTGTGAGAAACACGTAAGATGGGTAATCACAGACTGAATCTCACCCCACTGATTCTCTCTGTTCTGCATGGAGACGGATGAGGTTTCTTCTTTTTCTTGTCTGATAATATCATCAACTGCATGCTCCTTTTCGTCGAGAGGTACTCCCAGATCTGACCCGAGCTCTCTCAGCTGCATCCTGCTCATGGCTATCTGCTGCAAGGCCTTCTCCAGCTTACTTCTCACTGACCAGAATGCTTCATCATCCAGAGGCTCAGCCTGGTAAATCTGTGGCTCCATAGTTTCTGAATTAAGAGAAGGGAGGAGACCTTCCAAGGTGAATGCGGTTGACCCCTCATCGCTGATCCAAGGAACCTGAAGAGAAGAACTAAGACATGGCAAGTATTCCTCTCCAGATCCTTCGAAGGCAACACTAGCGAAGCTCCTGATGTCTTCGGCTGCTGGGTTCAAGAAAACTTGGCCTAGTTCTTCCATGATGGTCGTTCCAGAGTTCCCATTTATAAATGCTGGGGCATCGTTCTCGTTGACATCTCTCAGGAAGTTTTCGAGAAGGATGTGAAGGGTTTCGTCCTCAAGTTTATGAAGCAGCTGCTGTTCATCCCCAGCTACCTCGGAGAAGAAGATTGCCTCTTCTGCTACCTCAAAGGTAAGGAGAAGCCGTCTCCTGAGGATGCTCATCCCCAGGCTAAGTTTTTTGAACAGTTTCTCCACATTTCTTCTGGCCAGATTCCTCAGGTTCTTTGCGTATGAGTTCTGCCCAGTCTCACCTCTATCGGAGAAGTTTTCGCAGGCGTCGTCTTCCTCGCCGAGCCTCTGAATTGCGTCAGAAAGATGGGCTTCTCCCTCGGTCAGCTCACACGATAGCCCGTCAAGTTGGTGGATGATGATGCTCTTCAGCTCGCTGAGCGCGGCCTCGCCGCCGTTGCCGACGGTGCCTCCTTTTGGCGGGCTGCTACGTCTGGCTCTGTCATGCCCGAGGGAAGCGCGCAGAGAGTGAAGCTCCTCGTCCTTGGACTCCAGGGCGCGGCGGAGCTCCGACTCCCTCTCGCTCATCCCCACCAGCTCTTTTTCCTTGTCGGCGATGGCGGACTCAGTCTCCTCCAGCCGGCGGCGGATGCGGTCCCTGGTTGCGCGTAGGTCGCTGATCAGCTCCTGCCGCTCGTCGTCGCTCTCGACGCCGCAGGCATCCATCTCCTCCTCCAGGAACCAGAGGCACCACTCCAGCTGCATGATGGCAAGCCCGCAGAACCTAGACTTGTCGTTGAGGCACTCCAGGCCGCCTTCCCTGGAGCAGAGGATCCTCTCGTAGGCTTCCTCCATGGCAGCGCTGATGATTCCCATCATGATGGAGTCGCCGATCTTCCCCGACACCCGCAGGCTGCAGTTCAGGCCCTGCAGCAGTTCCTCCATTTCCGAAGAAGAAGGGGAGGGGCATCGATCGATGATTCAGAAGAAACAAGGAAGATGATGAGGGAGACACACGATCGCGAGCCCGCCGGCTTCCGAGGAGTTACACTCTGACTGAGTCTCACCGCCTCCTTTTTATCCGGCGGCGGCGTAACGGATCGTTGTTGCCGTCCGCCGCCCCGGAAGAAAAGCTCGCCAGGAAGAATCAAGGCTTCCACAGAAGAGTTGCAGAGAACGAGGATCGTCATCTAGTGTTTCATTTCATTGTCCGATTTGAAAACAACATTACAGAGCATGAAAATGAGGAAGAAGAGCTCAGACCATTCGGTAACCTGCGTGGTTTATGGAGGAAAGTACACAGAGAAACCGGTGGATCATACTTTTTCATGCGGGGAGAGCCTTTTTAGAGATGACATCGAAGGATATCCCATTTTCTTGGAGCCGTTCTTGAAGATCGAAGGGACCGAAAACGATCCCAGGCGGGTAAACCCCACCTTTGGGCAAACTCCCCCGTTGACCCAGGACGATCAGAGCACACTGGAGGAGGACGATGGGCGTGGTCAAGTACCCGATCTCAGGACCAGAGACTCTGGTGATGATCTCAGTGTCTGGTTTTCTTCTGCTCTGCGATGCGAGGCTGGCGTCGCTGTAGCCATGGCCCACGAACCACATCTTGAAGGTGGCGCTGCTCACCTCCTCCTCTGTCGGGCCGGTCTTGCTGAACGCTCCGAGGGTGAAGAGCGCGGGGAACTTGAGGAGGAGGGAACGACCAAAGGCGATGCTCCCCAGAAGCCCGATGAAGATCCCCGTGAAGATGAACGGCAGAGTCCCCAAAAGAGACCTCGAGCAGATCTTCACGCCGAAGTGGGCGGGCTTCACCGCCGACCAGAACCTCTTCCTCTTTTCGATCTGCTCCTCGCCCTCCTCGCACCCTTGGAGACCGCCTGGGTTCTCTGTCAGAGCGGCAAGCGTTCTCCGGACGACGACGGCGTCTGCAGAGGGAAGTTTCAGAGACCAGAGACCGAGCTCCTTCTGTTGCTCGATCAAAGGGCCCTTGGGAGGTGGCGGCCCCGGAATCTGCACAGGAAACTTAACCTAATTAGCCCTTCTAGACGAGCTAGGGGGGGAGCAAGGTCGGAGTGAATCTTACCACTGGCCTCGCTCTTCTAGGTCGGGACCTCCTCAGCTCCTGCAACTTGCCGGCGTTGGCCACGCCGAGCACTGCGGATTCGTAGGTCCCGAAGTTCCCGACGATCCTCTTCTCCGATTCCAGCCTCAGGTACGCTTCGATCCGGTTGGGGGCGGCGGGGGAGACCCACTGGCGGGAATTGAACATCGCCCCCATCTCCGCAGGCACTGAGTCGAACCCGCAGGCCGACACTACGAGGGAGCCCGCCTCGGCGGCACGTTCGTGGTACGCCGCTTCCATCCGCTCCATGAACTCCGGCTCGCCGGAGATGTCGAGGTAGTCGGTGCCGGCCTCGACGCAGGCGGCGACGACGGGCTCGCCGTAGAGCCGGAACGGGCCGACGCAGTTGAGCATGAGCCTGGCCTGGCGGCAGACGGAGAGGAGGGAAGAAGGGTCGCCGGCGTCGGCGCGGAGGATCGGCACCGGCGGCGGAGGAGCAGGGGCGGCGGCCCAGCGCAGCGCCTCGGCAACCTTGGCGGGGCTGCGGCCGGCGAGAGCGAGGGTCCGCAGAGGGGACGACGGGGGATTCCCGAGGAACTTGAGGGCCTCCCTCACCACGTACCTGCCGGTGAAGCCGGACGCTCCGAAGATGACCACATCGTAGCTTCTGTCACGGCGGCGATCTCCCTGCTCCATGTTTCCCCGGAATCCCGATCGAGGGGGGGGGGGGGGTAGATGAGCGGTGTGAGAGTTGTGAGGCGGCGGTGCTCGGTATTTAAATTGGCACGGCGGCGCTCTCCGTCGTGACGTCTGGGGGCCCCATTCCCTGCCACCGGCGCAAGTAAATGGCGGAAGATCGCCTCCTCTGTCCTGCAGCCGTTCCCCACACGCCTGTCATTATCTTGATCGACCCCACAAACTATGAGAGAGTTGATCCTCTTTCCTGTGATTTTTCTGCCTGATCTCTCTGTTTTTCTCCGTCCATGGGTACAAAGCGCATTCATAAAAGTCTCAACTTCCGACTGTACCACAAAGTATTAAGCTTGGATTTACAAATGGGTAGGTTTTTCTCCGAACGAGTGGCGGTCAGGGTCTCTAGGAGGCCCGGGGAAGTGGGGGTGTCTGTAGTCAGTCGCCCAGACACATCTGCTTCGTTTTTCCACCCGCGCGGGGGCGGATTCTCGCAGCAGCGTCATGCCGCCTGGTACGCATCTCTCACCCTCTCCATACCTTCCGAATCCCATCGTGTAACTCGGCCGTGTCTTCGTCGTCGTCGTCGTCGTCGTATTCGTCTTCGTTTCCGGGGAGTGGGAGATGGCCGTGGGTGCTTCCTGCCAGGGAAGCGAAGGCGAGTAAATTGTTGGACTAGGGGTTTGGGGTGCGAGTAGACTAGAGGAAGGGATGATCAGCCACATGCAGTCATCTGGACGGAGGTTCCTCCGTGGGCAGCGAGGTTTTCTCCCCTTAGGTCACCCTGCGACGGCCTTGGCGCACCAGCCCCAAGCGGCCGACTCGATTACTGCGCAGGAGAAGGGATTAAGGGCCAGGAATGGTGAATGGTTGTCTGAAGAGCACGCCTACCCAAGAAGGCGAGGAGACCTTGGCGGGCAATCTTTCCGTCCAGGGCCAACGATTTCCTTGTCCCAGAGGAAGCTGTAGGTTGGGGAAGAGGGTCACGTATATGATTTCCTTGAATTCAGGTTGATCCGTGAAGGCGTCGACTTCCCAGATTCTAGCTCAATGTTGCCCAGACGAACTCGTAAACAATTGATGCTCAGGTTTTTCTTCGTTATTCTCTTCAGGGAGTCGTCTTTAACCGCTCGGGGAAGGACAAGCATACGAGTGAGAGAGAAAAATGCATGACGTTGTGCTGTGCCGTATGGAGATGATCCAAGGTGCTTCAGTTAACAGCTTGACAGCATCTGCAAGTGGCAGAAGCTGTGGACCAGCTGCACCTTGGCAGCGTGATTCTAGGGTTCGTAGAGGGATCAGTGGGAACTTTTGGATTGGTGGGCAATCCCTTGGGAAGAAGTGTCTCCCTCAATTTTTCTCCCTGAGATCTCACGGTTCAAGGCAAGCAACTCTGAAGGTCAACGCCACATGGCTGTTCAATCAGAGTAGGGGCGATATGGATGCTAATTCCGAGCGCAGTGAGAGTGCCAATGAGGACATCTTGATTTTCTTCTTTCAGTTAGACCTGCAGACTCGAATCCAGGTGGGTTACCTTCTTGACACCCCTCTTTAATTTTTTATATGCCAAAGAAATTGTCTTTTTTTTTCTATGAAAGATTATGCTAAGATATATTCCATGTTGCAGTATGCCCTAAACATGGAGCAGTATGATGTTGCTCAGCAGCTGAGGAACAAGCTGGCTGAGGTAGTATTCTGGTGATCGAATGAAAGGTTCATTCTTCTCGAGTGATTTCCCTGATAAATGGTCTGATTTTCTTGGAAGGTCGAAACAGAGATCATAAACAAACGGGAAATTAACAGGGGATCATCCTCAAAGAATGAGGCTCAAGATAAAGCTATTAATCTCCTATGCCTGCGGTAAGATCCATCTCTTCCGCCTCACAGCAGGGCATAGATATGATGTTTCATGAAGCTTCTGATTATACCTTTGACCCTTATGAAGTTTCATTGCTTTCATATCTCGACCTGCAGTGCGGATCTACAGAAGGCAATTGAGGACGAAAACTACACTCTAGCAGCTGACTTGCGCGACGAAATTTCCAAGATCGAGGTAAAAAAATGTAGGCTTACTGCGGTTTATTTCGCCATCTTTCTTGCTGATTATAAGGCGTCATCTATTGATGATAATATTTCAGTTTCTTAGTGCAGGCAGAGTCCCTGGCTGCCTCAGCGAAAGCTCTTGCGTACGAAAATTTACGGTACTCATTTCGACTTGGGCAGAAACTGAAGCACAAGATATTTGGTACTAGTCCTTCTCCCTTCATTTACCGCATTTTTTTCTTTCTTTTCATGGGTCTGTGAATCTCATGGAAGAATTTTAGATGGATATTAGGCAGCCCTAAATTATGATAAATTAATGCACAGGAAAATATTAATTCCATTTTGTTTTTCTAGGCTACCAGGCTGTGGTCTGTGGGATGGATCCAGTTTGCTGTGAAACAAGCTCATGGATGGAGACTGCACGAGTTGATAAGTTGATCAAAGGCCCTAATCAACCCTTTTATCAGGTTATCCATTCTAGTCCAACGATCCCCTGTTCTATTTGCAGATTCTTCTCTGATTTTATGCGTTTTATGAGTCTTCCCTCGGATTGTGGGAAGAATTCTCAATGGGCTGTTGGCAATTTTTCTATCTCAACTACCAGCAGCTGATTTTTATTCATTACAGGTTCTGGTTGATGTTAATGCAGACCCAGACTTGCTTGTGGCATATGGTATGATTCAGCTGTGCTGTTAAAATTTGCTTTCTCTCTCTCTCTCTCTCTCTCTCTCTCTCTCTCTCTCTCTCTCTCTCTCTCTCTCTCGGCTTGCTGCAAATCCTTGGTAATCGGCGAAGAATATGTGGTGATGGGTAGTTGTTAAAACGTCTCAAGACATTATTACATTTTTTTGGATTAACGATTCTGTTGGTTCCTCTAAGCGCCTGCTGCTGCTAAGAATCTACCACCCCTGCCCTTGCAGTTGCAGAAGAGAACCTGCTGGCCGAGGATCTGTCGGGCATGGTGAGTGATGAGAAACCTTGGCTTATATGAATAGTTTTTGCTGCTTCATGCATCCCTCTACCAGAATGGAAGAGAACTTAAGCTGTGCTGGTTTACAGGGAAGGTTCGATCACCCATACGTTTCCTTCTTGTTCTACGGGGTGGACTCTGCCGGGGACTTCATCCCCGTCAAGCAGCTTCGTGAGAAGTACAAGAGGCCACGCTACGAAGTGCCGGTGGACGCCAGCAGCGACCCCGACGAGGAAGGAGAAGATCCCTGAGGTGCTCTAGTCCCTTCTGCTGCATCATCCTGTAGATGCCTCCACGGAAGAAGACTAAGGATGCTTGCTCTAAGGCTTTAATGGGGGAAGAAGAAGATTATTCACATCCTCAGGCTGCAGCCAGGGGACTTGCTCAATCCTCTGCTCTTCATCAGTTCCCTAATCTTCGCCGCCTCTCTCCACCTTCCCTCCGATGCGTACAAGTTGGACATCAGCAAGTAATAGCTGGCGTTCTGCGGGTGCAGGTCCAGCATCCTGTGGACCGCCGATTCCCCCAGCTCCATCCTCGAGTGCACGCGGCAGCCGTGGAGGAAGGCGCCCCAGACGGCGGCGTCGGCCTCCGCCGGCATGTTCCCGATGAACTCCATGGCGTCGTCGAGTCTCCCAGCCCTAGCGAGCAGGTCCACTATGCAGGAGTAGTGTTTCATAGAGGGGAAGATCTTGTGATCCCTGCACATTCTGTAGAAAACCTCCTGCCCCTCCCCCACCATCCCGGCATGGCCGCAAGCGGAGAGGATGGCGGTGAAGGTGGCGTCGTTCGGGGGGAGGTTCTCCCCCAGCATCTCCCGGAAGAGGGAGAGGGAGTTGCCGGAGTCGCCATGAACGCCGTAGCCCCCGATCATGGCGCACCAGGTGACTTGGCTCCGGTGAGTCATCCCGTCGAAGACGACCCGCGCCGACTCCGCGTCCCCGCACTTGGCGTACAGGTCCAGCAGGGCCGTGCCCACGAAGACGTTGGCGAGAACCCCGCATTTGGCGGCGTTGGAGTGGCACTGGCTGCCGGTGGACAGGTCTCCCAGGCCGGCGCAGGCCGAGAGAGCGTTCACGAAGGTCACGGCGTCGGGGGCGGCACTGGTGGATCTCATGCGCGCGAAGAGTAGCAGTGCCTCGTGGCAGAGGCCGTTCTGAGAGTAACCGGCCATCATGGCGTTCCAGGCTATCACATCTCTGTGAGGACTTCTGTCGAATAGGTGGTCGGCGTCTGGGATTAAGCCACACTTGGCGTACATGGTGAGGAGGGCGTTCCTCACTTCGACTTCCTCTTCTAGTCCGAACTTGATGGCGAGCCCGTGCGCCGTCTTGCCCAGGGAACGATCCTCCAGCTGGGCCGCAGCAGAAACAATGCTGGCGACTGTGAAGGAATTGGGCACCATGTCTGCTGATCTGACGTCGGAGAAGAGCTTGACGGCGTGGAGGGGGTGACCTCCCTGCGTGTAGCCAGCGATCATCGCCGTGCACGAGATAAGGTCCACGGCGGGGAGCTCGTCGAAAACGCGGCGGGCGTCGGCTACCATCCCACACTTGGCGTACATGTCGAGCAGGCCTGTCACCAGGAAGGGATTCTCATTCATGGATCTCTTTATCACGTAGCCGTGGATCCATCTGCCTTCTTGCAGGGCCTCCAGCTTTGAACAGGCGGCGAGCAGGGTTCCCACGGTGAACCCATTGGGATCGGTCTCCGTCTTCCTCATTTGATTAAAGAGGATGAGCCCTTCCTCTGCGTGACCGTTCTGGACGTAACCACTGATCATAGAGGTCCACGAGACGACGTCCCTATTGGGAATTTTGTCGAACACCCTGCGAGAAGAGCCCGGCGCCCCGCACTTGGCGTACATGTCGAGGAGAGAGTTCAGCACGAAGTCGTCCGGATTCCCGACCTTGACAATGTCGCAGTGCAGCCTCCGCCCTTCGCGCAGATTTCTCAGCTCGGCGGCCGCCTTCAGCACGCCGGAGAAGACGATGTTGTCCGCGGTCTTCGTCGATAGTCTCATGCGCGCGTAGACTCCGATGGCCTGCGCGTAGCTTTCTCTCCCTAGATACCACCGGAGCATCACCTTCCAGGAGTAGAGATCAGGGTTCTGTATCCTTTCGAACACGGCGGTCGCTCGATCCATGTCGCCGAGAGAGGCGTAGGTGCTGGCCAGCTTGGTCTGGCAGGACAGGTCGTCGCCAAGGCCGCCGGCGACGAGCCACCCGTGGATTCTTGCGAGGGAGCGGGCGGTTGGGCAAGAACCCAACAGCGCCGGCCATTGGTTCTCCGCCGGTCCACGACCAGGAAGGTTGTTGAAGGCCAGGAGCGGCGGCGCGCGGGAGATGAAGCTCTTGCGCAGCGGCGAGGCCTGCCTCATCTATGAACCCATTACCGCTTTCGGTGGCTTAGCTCATCCGCTGTATCATAAAAATTAGTACGCCTAGTCTGATTGTTGGAATGGTTCTTGTGAGACGACGATCTTGTGATTGTAGATAAAAAAATAGCAAATTACAGGCCTAAGAATATAATTATGCGAAGGAGGTGATCTTTATCTACAGTAACAGATCTAAAGGTTCAGTGAGAAGTCACAGGAAAGAAGGCGGCGACTTCTGATCGACTCTTGGAAGAGATACTAATAAAATACTGCTGCTGCGGCGGCGACGGCTCAGGCGCTGACTTTCTGTCCTGGCTGCATGGGATGTTTTCGCTCGATTCTGGGAAGAGTCTCCAGGGCAGACAAACATGAAGCTTTGAAGAAGGCTGAGGGATTGTCCTACTCGCTGGGGCGCCACACCCAAGTCAAAACGAGAAAACAGTGCAGAATTTCCTTATTCTGAAGATATATACAGCTACGTTGACTTGGCCATGCAGATATCGAGCCCGGAATGCGGTCGTGGAACAAATATATACAACCTGGCTTGGCGTCGGCTCGTTCAGGGCAAGCGTCTGTCTGTAAAATGCGGCTCCATATGCTTGCTTCTAACCCTGGGGCAGAACCACGGCATTGCCCAGCGAACACCTCTGCCGCCGGCCCCGCCTCGTCGTCCTACCCCACCCCAGGATGCTCTTCACACCAGTTTCAACATCTGTTCCTGGCTGGGGATCCACCGGCATTTCCACCGCCGTAGCAGCGGCGGCGCCGCCTGCTCTCGGCCGCATCCTTCCCTTTGCTTGGCATCGGGACTGGTTACGAGCAGGCTGCCACAACTGACCCGAGGTTCTCATTAACTGCAGATCCTCGGTCACCTCGTGCCTTGACAGCGACGCCAGCCCCGGCAGGATATCCCTCTGGAAGTCCCTTTTCTGGCGCCGTTTCCTCGCCGGGCCCCTCCGCGGCTTGTTCAGCAGAAGATGAGCCATGCCGGTCTCTTCCTCCTCTGCATCATCTCTCTCCAGGGGCTCGAAGCAGCGTTCATCTACCTTGGTCTCTTTGAGTTCCAGCGTCTTGTATTCGAAGTAGTCCATCCCGCCAATGTCCGAAGATTCCGGATCACCATCTCCTTCATCCCTCAGCGAGTCCAAGATCTTATCTAGATCGTCTGGATTGGAAGAAATGACGTGTGCAAGCCAAAGCAAGGCTTCAGCTGAAGCTGGTGAGATCCTGTCTGAAGGGAGAGGCTTATCCAACGACATTATCTGAATAGCCTCTGCGGCTGCTTTAGCATGCATGTCCTCGATTTCTGTCGCCTCCCAACCGAGCTGGCTGCAATGTGAGGCTGATTCTGCCGAAGGTATCTGCTCTTCTGAAAGAAGGGTAACCGGGGCCTCCAAATCGATCTCAAAGACAAATCTCGTGGTGGTACCCTTGACAGAGGCCGCAGGGGGGAACAGCATCTCATCATTCGATGATCTAACCGGTGACATTAATCTATCCATATTCGCAGCAGCAGAATTCAAATTTATTATGCTCCTAAAACCATTAATTTCCTCTGCAACGCTGATCTCCGGTGCAGGCTCCATATGGGTCCGTTTATCTGAGTCCAGCAGCTTAGTAATATGACGAGGAAAGCCGACCTGAATGAATTCCTCTTTGACCCTGTTCATGGCATCCGCCGATGAAGAAATTTCTTGATGGCAGGCAGAAGTGAAGCTAATTTCGCCCCATCGAGGAGCAGGAAGACCGAGGATTCTTTTGGAGCTCGAGGAGAGGCTTCCAGTTTCCTCAGCTTTCAGAATCGACGGAAAGGTCTCCGGATACCCAATACTATGTTCTGTTTCTTTCTCCTGATCAGCTCGTGGATTTGATGCACAAAAGCTTGATATCATCTTAGAATATCCCAGCGCAATTCTGGATTCTTTCGGGGGATCGAGCCTATTCTGGAACCCATTTGGAGGAGCCAAATTCAAATCCACGCTCTTCACAACCTTGGAATTGGGGTGAGTCAAATCCCCCGAGCGCTTCTGCCCCACAAGACCTTCACGTCTATAATATGGAGGATCAGCATCATTGATAAAGATTGGCTTCTCGAGGCTGACTGATGCTAAGCTCACGTGAGAAGAACCACTGCTTTCTGATAGAAAACTATGATGCGCACCACTTGCGTTTAAACATGTTTTGCCTCCAGATGTTGTTGCAGATCTGAAATCGTGACCATGTTGCCGATTTTCCCAAGCAATTCCGAGGTTTTTCGATGATGTGATTGAGCTTTTACTCGTAGCATCCATTGGAGAAGACCCGTAGGCAAATGGAACTGCTTGAACTTCAATGGGAGCATTGCCCATGCCACTCGGTGGCTTTCTAGCAAGAGCAGATTGAGGGCCGATCGTTCTGGGAGATGTCTTCACAGTATCGGAACTCAGATCAGACGGATCACTGATTAGAGAAGACTTTTCTCTGAGGAATGACTCGGTTTTATTTTGCTTAGGTGGGAATACAGTAGAAATACTTAGATCTCTACCAGGCCCGAGTAGAAAAGATTCAGACGATAATCGTCCATCCTTCTTGTTCAAGCTTGAAATGAAAGAGCCCACGCAGTCGCCGGATTGGCCTGTAGAAGAAATTTGGCATGGTAACAAAATAATTAGAGTTGGAAATCCTGGGAAGAAATCTTCTATGCCATAGATATTTTAAAAAGAAATAAATGGAAACATGCAGCTTCATGGATAAGGAAATAGAGACACTCGAAGAACTGACAGAATGGAGATGCATCAAGTACACAGATGTTTTGAAAGCTTGAAACGAAGCTGAATTGAATACTACACACGCTACAGTGGTCCAGGTACGAGAAAAGATGCAAAGAACAGTGTTTAGTTTGGATGGTGCTGTGAAGAACTCGTTGACATTCAGCGATATAGTGGGTGTAGTCTTTACTAAGGGCGAACTGATGAAGTAAAGGGAACGACATAGTTTTTCATTATATCGTAGATCAGTTTGCATTTTCATTATCGTTTACGAAAAAGAATATTGAACATTTAAAAAAATATAAAGAAAGAGAGAATTTACAAGTACAACACAAGATAAAATAAAAAAGTCAAGAGAAACGAATTGGTTCTTAAACAAGATATGAAAGGTAACAAATAAGCTGCCTCTGTCTCAAATGACTTCTGAACTAGTTGAGAAAACTGAGGAACAACGTATTCCCTAGTCATATCAGATTCCTTGTTAGAAAAATTGGAGAATTAAAGAAGTCATCTGCACTGGGACCCAATTACAGGCATTGAGAGACCAAAACTCCAGAGTGTTATATAATGGTCAGATGAAATATTTTTGGCCGCGCCAATTACCACACCTCAACCCTCGACGAGGTATCAAAATTCATGAATGAATTGATACAAAGAAAACACAAGTCGTATGGGTTTAAGACAGATTTATGACCAATAGCTATGCCAAAAGCACCCATGGTTTGAGTGTCAGCCAACAATCGAATATCAGGAGTATTAAATGACAGTACACCCTAATTTTGAAAAAATCGAATTCGGATTGAGATCTACCAGGAGATCTGTCCCAATTTCCTAGAATCAGGTTTTCTATTTCTTCCCATCTTTCAGTTCTATGAGATCAAGAAATTTATTAGAATATCATGCTAATCGGACGTCGGATACAATTCAGAAACAAACAAAACTATTTCTGGTGACAGAGGCAATTGATCATGGATTTTGCCACTCACACGCACAAAATTTTACAAGTAAAAGTGGGGGATATATCAGAATGTTTCACCAAAAAAAATATCCTCCGCAAAGATCAAGCTTAGTGAAATTTGAAATAGGAAACCTTCATCAAAAACGGCATCAGAAAAAAATAAACAATTAGTTGACCCATACAAGATGTCTCAGGGACACCTCGCTACTCTGCACAGCTGGTAGAATAGGAGCTTGAATACGGAACTGCCACTGCCTCTTTTGATGCATAAATAACTAATCTTCTGTCTCGTTATTCATTATACTGGTTACAAATACCATATCGCCTGTATCTGACCTCTTTCATTCAACTGCTTATTGATCCAAAGAATGTTGCATTCACCCAACATTTACAATCAAAATCTACCTAATGATATGTTGATTTAATAAATTTTATGCCTCAAAAAAAAAAAACAGTAAACAAGGATCTGGAATTATTAAATGGAAGTCGACAACTAAGTCAAAATGCAAAAATGAAAAACACAGGGTTTAAGAAATATAGTCCACCCCGTTCACACAGCAGCATTTTTTATATCAACTCAAAAACTCCAACTTTTGAAAAAAGCATACCGATCTCAATGTTATAAGATGGCCTTTCCTGCCCCTTTTCACGTCTGTGTGCGCATGGAGATGTCATTCCATTTTCAGCCTTATTTTTATTGGGGCAGAGATCCTTCTGAATGCCTAGGAAACCTGAAAAGGATTTCGTGGACTTCTGATGCCCTTCAGACCATTCACAGTAAGCCGTCTGAAATGGAAATCCACCATAAGAAATTGCCACTTCCTCGCAGCTAGCTTCTTCAAGAGGTTCATTCAAATCAGCCAGCTTGTGAACATAAGGCCTTTTTCTTACTGGTGAGCATGGCTTTTTAGCTTCACTACTACCATTCAGAGCAGTCCCAAGTGTCAGATTCACATAATTCTCATTCTGAAGCCCACAATTTCCGTTGCCGCAATCTGTGGATCCAAAAAAAGGTCTGATGATATCTTTATTTTCAGAACATTCTGCATCATCATCCTCAACGTAGGCATCAGCAGGAAGTTGAAGGTCAATCAGTTTTCTAGCAAACTTCGTCGATTTGGAATTTGGCAAGTGATTGACCTTGAAAATACCAGTTTCTATTGATATCGGACCAGATCGGGATCTGATTCCATTTGGATTTTTCTGTGCATCTTCAACACCAGAAATGGTTGCCATGCTACAGCTGGTAGTAGTTAGAGGAGAGCAATGCCTCCAACGAGACTTTTCTATGTCCCCTTGAAGATTCTGAGTCGAAAACAAACTTGGTAGAGTTGACTGAACTTGCACAGAAAAAAATTGTTCTTCTTTCCTTCTAAGTTCAACCATCAGATCTCTTTGTACACGATAGAGGCGGTGGAGTTCCATGACCTAGATTATGGAAAAACATTAAAAATTACGATTAAAGTTAAAACTTCGCTGATAAATCTAAATATATCATGGTACAATCATATGAGAAAATGAAAAGTTCCTGCAGAAGAATCTCAAATTTTCATTCATCCATTTATTGATTTCTAGGTGTAGTGCCAAAAACAGCCATTAGGCATTTGTTGCCATTAATGTTAGGATGTCAGAAGTTAAGGCGATAAAATCTAAAGGAGTCACTCAACCCCCTCTGGCAGCGTAAAGCCCAGAAGTGGACACGTATTTTAAGGTAGCGGGATGGCAGGGCAATCATGGATTCCTCCCGGCCTCAATTCTCAGCAGGGTGCATTTGAGGTAGCATGCTCAGATATATGAAATAAATAAACATTTTTATTTGAAAAAAAATATAAACTCATGATATTAAGCCTATAAATGTCATGTGCTAAAATCTCAGATGGTTTAATCAAGGAAAATGAGAAACAACATAGGAAACCCTTAAAAACTCGCTCATTAAGTGCAGAACTCTATTTCTTGAATCTGGTTATCTTCAAGTGCAGAAAATATGTCATGACAACGGATGAATATTTACCTGCTTCCTGAAAATTTCCTCATGCCTCAGCATTGTCTGCCTTAATAATTCTTTATAGTATTCAGAGTACCCATTAATAGTCATTGATGTCATACCATTATACATCTGCCCATTAAGTGTCCCGTCATTGAAAAGAGCCCATATACTTGTATCCTCATTAAGATCCCTCATTGTAAAATATCCAGGTAAGTAACTTTTAAGCTGCACCTCTGTTCCCATTCCTGAAAAAAAATGGAAAATAAAAATGTTGTCTCAGACGAAGCCATAACAAAGAATGACAGAGCCATGTCAATTTTCCTTCCACGGAAGTAGGTGTGAACTAGGGTGATGAAAGGGATGCGAATATATGAATATTTACAAGGTTTGTACACAAAAGCATTAAGACTACTAAAGACGGAGTGGCCTCAATGTAGTTGTTCACTTTTTCATGAGTAAAAGATCACAACGGAGATGGATTCCATGTGGGAGATTGGAGGATTTCCTTAAGATCTCTAGTACCATTTTTGACATGAAAGACTCGGCATTTGTCTACCAGAGATCAAAGATAATAACGAAAGATCTTTGTACAAAATGAGAACACCCTCATTTACTCCAATGGTTTTGCCAAGCGGGATCAATTCGTACAAGTTGAACACATTTGGAATAGGTTTTTTCTCTTTTCGGGTAGTTCTAGGCATAGATGCAAACGCCGGCGATTGACTTTTGTGATCAGAACCGCAGTTTGAGGAGGGATAGAATAGACGCCCTAGAGATACCACAAAATACTAACCATAAGAAGATCAGACAGTGACGCGTATCTTGAGGTAATTTGCTACGGAATGAGAAACCGCAAATGCGGCAGTAATAGCACCACAATAAAACGAGCAGAACCGAAAATCCACAGTTCAATTGAAACAGGAACGCTACAAGCAACAGGAAATTGAAACAATAACTATTCCAGAGTACCACCTACATTAAACAGAGTTGAGGACGATCTCAAACTCGGATAACAAGAAGATAATACAATACAACCTCTAATCCAGGGAACCTCAGAAACTCCTTCAGTTCTGGTGACCTCGCTCGAAAATCGGACAAATAGCGTACGAGAAACATATGTCACGGCATAGACGAAGAGAGCGAAAGCGTTAAATCATAAAAGACTTCTTACAGTCGAACCGTAATAGGGATTCGCCAGGAGCGAGAGAAACATTGAGTGAAGGACAGCCTAAAAGAACCCGATCGACGAAATCAGTCATCATCAAGAAAAACCTACGACAAACCGCATAAAGGACACAAGAGATACGAAATCGACGCGGCCAGGAAGAGCATTGATTACCTCACACTCGCACACGTACATGCCCCAATCGCCCTTTTCTCACTTCTTCCGGCGATCGAAATCGACTGAAGCAAAAGCCGTTCTTCATGAACAATTCGCACTCCCCCGCGTAGCAAAAAACCCGGAGAAACGACAGCAGAGGTGCCGCCGACGGCTGCCTTGGAAGAAGAACAGTACTGCGAAGAGGAGGCCAGCGGCAGTCGCACAGAGACAGAGCAGGAACCAGGCCGAGTGGTAGTAATGAGGGACGACTCCTAGTATCCCCAGGCTCTTCAGAACAAAGGAAGGTGCTTCAGATCGTCATCAGACGGAAATATTTCGATCCGCTGCCACAGACAGACAGACAGAGAAAGAGAGATAGAGAGAACGAGGGGGGGGGGGGGATCCCAGATAAGAAAATCTCCGCGAGAACAGACGACCTTCCAAGAACAGTGACAGGAAATTTGTCAACATCCGGTCGTTTTATTCTCTGCGTTACCATCTCTCTCTCTCTCTCTCTCTCTCTCTCTCTCTCTCTCTCTCCTCCACATCTTGGGCCTCCCTCCACCTCTGATCGATTTCCTTTCGGATTCTCCCACCCCGCAAATATCTCCATTAACTGCTCCTGGTTGCAGGATTTATGACGTTCATGGGCTGAAGCCCTCCGATCCGGCGGTACTCGACAGCAAGAAGAACAAGCTCCTGAGGTCACTCCTTACTTTACATAGAATATCTGGGCCTGGCTGCAATTTTCCGCCACTTTCTCGATTCCTCCGGTGGGCCCCGCCGAGCAAATAGCGTCCTCCGGAGTTCCGGCGAGGCATCCCCTAAATGCCCTCCGATATCCTAACTATTACCGAATTTGGGGCTCCCAGGGCCGTACGGATCTGGACCAATGGAGCGACGTACAGAATCAAGGCGTGCGGGTTCCCGATTGGTCGGAGCCCCGACAGGGGAGTTTAATGTCTGCTCTGAGCGATGGGTTTGGACCAGCTCCTTCATGTGATCCTCGGCGACCCATTTAGGCGGCCCTGTGGTCCGCCCCGGTGGTCCCCACCCTCCGAGCCCCCGTCCCCCTCACGGAGCACCCGTGAGAGAGAGAGAATCTGCATGGGGGTATGTTGGGAATTCAGGGGTTTTTTTTTGGGGAAGCGGACGAGGACTGAGAGTGGACTCCGAGACAAGGTCGAGTCGATGGCGGCGGCGCGGTCTGTCAATCGTACCGACGGCGCCGGCGCGCGCCCCTCGTGACGGATGGGGGCGGACGGATCTTCCGAGGAGGATTGGCTGGGTTTCCGTGCTGAAAACAGAGACACCCAATTGCAAAGAATAACGAAGATGCCACCGACTTCCGCGGTTGCCGGCCGTCTGCTCCGCGGATCATCCGATCGGCCATCGGAATCACGTGACGGAATCAAATACTTCCACGGTTTTAGTACGGTTAAATATTATTGTCGATATTTAATTAAAAAACAGGGCCGCTATGTTTCCGTCGAATCAGAGCACCATATTATCTACCGTATGAAACAAAAAAAACCTACAACTACTAAAATTGTTGATAAACTCCGATAATTACATCGATCGGCGCTCCCTATCTAATATGCACATTTTTTAGACAGAGTCCTCCCACTCACCTCGGTCCAACGTGTGGTCCCCGAACGCCACGATAGATTAGATTGACAAAAAGGCCACGTGGAGGTCTATCCGAAAGACAAGTTGAATTTTTTCTATGTTGAAATAAACATAGCGTGCGACGTGGCAGAGCCACGCTAGATTTTGAGGGGTGTCACCCTGACGAGTATAGTATGGATGTGAGAGTGACGTAATTACCCTGGTATTATTTCATTTAAAAAACTGACCTATTTATTCATTGAATAATCGGAGGAGAGAGAAAAAGGAAGCGGGGGGATTTTTTCTGTCGTGTCCTGGAAAATATGAGATATTTTAGTCATGAATATTCGCTAAATTGTCATAGTTGGGAGGATTAAGAGCATCATTATTGGCCATAAATTGTTATTAAAATGTACTAATCTGACTTAACTATCTATCGATCCCTCTGTCGAGGAGAGAGAGGAGAGTTCATAAAGCTTTATAATGCTATTTAAAGCATCATAAAGGCATTTAAAGGTTTAATGTTAAGAATCATTAAGGCTCTATAATGCTATTTTAATGAACATGCAGGTGAAAATACAATAACCACAAGCGCCAAGCCTCGGCGTTGACGCACCGCAATCACTCGTCATGATAGCGCATTTCATCTCTCTCTCTCTCTCTCTCTCTCTCTAGATTGACTGGCGCGGTCTGTCAATCCGAGGGGAGACGGAAAAGGTGTGTATGAATGTTGTGTGTACAGATCAGCGGACCTTCCTGCCCCAGACGAGGCCAACGATCTCCTCCCAGTGGCGGGCGCTGTCCATGGCAAGGACGACGCTGGGGCTGCAGGCGACCGCCGCCCAGTACCCCGCTCTGATCTCCTCCCTGAGCTGCTGCCCCTCCCATCCGCAGCGACCGTCGAAGAACCGGAAGTCCCCCGCCGCGACGGCGTCCCTCTTCACCATCTCGGCGGCGCAGCCGACGCTCTCCTTGGTGCCGAAGTAGAGCCCCTCCATCACCTCCTCGAAGACACCGCTGCTCCTCCCCTCTTTGGGTCCGCTCACCAGGAAGAGCCCTTCCTCGAGCGGGCCACCGAAGAAGAGCGGCCGGTCGGAGAAGACGCCGGCGTGGTCCAGCGCCACCGACCTCGTCTCCTTGATGGACATGAGCGACGGTCGGTTGAGGATGATCCCCGTGGGGCCGACGGGCCCGGTGGAGAGGATCAGCACGACGGTGCGCTCGAAGATGTGCACGCCGTCCAGCCGCTCGGTGGCCACCAGCAGGCAGCCCCTCTCCGGTTCGTGGAGCGGGTGCGCCCACCGGTCCCCCAGCGGGGACTCCGCCACGCCGAGGATCGGATCGAAAGGCGCCGCCGTCGCCGCAGCTGCCGTGGTGCGCTCGCCGGCGACCAGCTTCGCGCGGAAGGACCGCCAATCGGAATCAAGCGCCGCCGGCCCACGTTCCTCTCCCGGCGGCGAGGACGATCTGAGGCTGCAACCTGCCACGGCAAGCAGAAACTCCTCCGGCTCAGAATCGAACCACCATTGAGGACCAGAGCTCTCTGCAAAACTCACGCGGGACCGGTGAGGAGGAGGAACTAGTGGGCTGGCGGAGGCTGCCGGAGACGAGCGCCGCCGCCCTCGCCGGGGAGACCACGTCGAGGGGCTTGCAGAAAGACTTGGCGGTGACGAAGCAGGAGGCCTCCATTGATCTGGGTCGGGAGCAGAAACCAAGAGTGGGTGGGTGGTGGCGGCCGCCGTTGACGCGACGAATATAAATCGAGAGGGGAATCGAATCTCCGCCACAAGCTCTTCCCGCTCTCTACCGCTTTTGTGACGTGGAACGGGTGGGGGGCGGAGCGGCGGCGGAGCTCGGCTCGGTGGGGATGGCAGGTGGGGCCGCCGACGGCAGCCCATTTGTGGCCGTGCTTTTTCCAGGACGACGACTAAGCTTTCTCGTCGAAGCCCACGCAAAAGGTCCCTCCTTTGACTGTCTTCTTCCTCCCAGATGAGCGGCTCTCCCCGGCTCCAGCGCACTCCCGGGCTCCAGCGCAGCGGAGACTGCGGAGAAGAAGAGCTCCACATTTATGCATATCCATATTCATATCCGCATGGTACATATGAACAAAAAAACCCCACGAATGACGAAATATGTTGGACATTTTAAATCTGCGCAAGGAGAAATCGTGAAAAAAAAACACGAATGTTTAGCCCTAAAACATGGATTTGCTGTAAAAATAATACGCCCTGATGTTTCCCGGAAAATCACGGCCACGGAGAAATTATGCTGTGAAGAAAGGTGAATTTGTGACTCGTACCCGGTTCTAAAAATGGACGAGCCGATAGAAATCCGCAGTGATTAAGAACCTTTGAGACAAACCCAGTTGGGATTCTATAATCCTGCTTGTTCCTGAACCATAGTTATGAAGAAAAGGATGCGAAATGTCGGTCATGGAGGTTGACTGATAGATACGCAGTTCTGGTTTGAGATGTCTCTCATAGTGTCACTGTGGCAATTGCAGATTCAATGGTGTTATATCCAACATGCATTCTCTCCGAGCGACGGCAACAACCGGAAGTCGAGTGATTTCCTAGCAGGTCAAAGACAGCGGCCGAGTGTGGTTTTTCCCTTCAGTCAGAAATGTCATAAAACAGAGAGGGATCTGGAGGAATGGATCAAGCTACAATCCCATCAAGTTAGCAATGCCATCACCCAATAAAAAGATGCATATCTTCTCAAGGCCTGGTTGATAAATAAAGAAAATGGAGCAAGATTTATGTCGGTATTTGACGGTAATTCCTGGAATTATGGAAATTTACGGCCGTAGAACAAGGAAATCCGATTGCATATCACTCCACAAGGATGACCCAACATGTCAGAAGGCACAATCCCCCTTTTCCAACGGTACATCCAGTTTACTCAGAAATGAAATAGTCATGCATAAAGGATTTCAGTGCATGAATTGGAGAAGATGGATGAACAAATTGATTTCAAAGAGGTATATCATAGGAACTGATTAATGAAGAAAAATGGTATCGGCTCTCCACAGGCTGATGAACATAATGCTAGTGGAAAATTGAGGGAAAATCAGCATTTCGCGTGTAATAAAATTACATGAAATTGCTCCAAAGATTATGTCAAATCTTTCACCTTCCAAAAAGTTAAAAACTTCGAAAGATGAGATTCAACAAGTAACCAATTGATTCTGTCGGCTGGTAAAAATTTATCCATCGACCATCAAATCATTATTTTTTGGGGGAGAAAGTTAATAATGATCTCATCACCTTCGCAATATTCATGGAAGACTTTCTGCATCGTCGAGTTAGATGTCAAGGTTCGGAACTGATCGCAAAGGTAGTTTGAATCCCACCTGGTAGGAACCACAAAAATTACATGATATTGATGGTAGGAAATACAAGCTGAGTATCCTGCTGATTTTGGGGGTATGACATCAAATAAACAACTTTTAGGTTTCAGGGAGAATAAGCTGTTTTTTTGGGATATTTAACCAAAATAGATATTTTTGAAAAAACAAGCGTAAAAATCACTGGAAATAATGCTCTTCGGTAGGCAGAGGTTTTTGGAAAAGGGAAGCATTGCTCCATGGAGGTAGGTCACAATCTTCCTTCCGTTTTTCCTGGCCATTTACAATCAGTATTGAATAGGAAAAATGCTTCCACCACCTCAATAAACGATATATAATTATTCCACTGGCTGCTTCAAAACATTTCCACATTCCCTGATAAATCATGTGCCTTGGCAGAAGTCAACGGCAAACACTGACATTTACCCATCATTCCCAACCTCAGAGAATTAGAGAGTGCAATGATGCCAAGGCACATCAATTTTCTTCTTAGGATAAAACACTCCCAAATGCGTTAGATGAACACAGACACGGACTCTTAGCCGAACATCAAGTATAACGGCGCAAAAACATCACTTGGATGGAACACTTAATTTACATCCAGTAAAGTGTTGACATCTTTCCTGAGCCCCCAGCATACATTTCACTGCGAATTATAGAAAAAAAAAAAAAGCTCTTCTAACAAAACTTCAGCCACGTTTCATCCAACAGAACTAAACTCCCATCCAGGGCCAGACCGCCTTCCCCGCAGTCTGATGTCGATTTCATAAACATGTATAACTCAGTTGGGTTTGGCTGTAAAGCAGGTAAGTAAGAGGAGTAGCACGTTGAGCCCCCGCAATCATGTGCCCAAGCATGTGTTTTTAGGATGTACGATGGCCGATGACAGATCCACGATGGAAATAGACTGCAAACGACGGTAGCTTTTAGGCGCATATATGATCATTTGATCGGCTCGTAAGTGAACTGCGCGAGCAAATCACGTTTAAAAGAGAAAGATCACGACGCATTCCCTTCGTGGAACGAAAGGTTTTCACAAAATACCGGCGGATTTTAAAAATCATCGACGCTTCAGAGCACTGCGGGGTGGTAAGATCCATGAAACTTGTTTCTTCTTCGCGAGGAAGAAAGGAGGAGGAAAGAAGACGGATCGGCATGGATCGATTCACGAAAAAATATACACAGGTAATGAATGATGAGAAGGAGAACGAGGAGGGCAGCATGCCTGCATTGACCTTTTCCCACGCCGTGTCCTTTCCGTCGCAAGAGCCGAGACCGTTTGACTCCCGATCGCCGCCATCGTTGAGCCCTGGAGAACAGAAAATCTCGCGCTTCCTTGGCCTGGGCCCACGGGATCCAATGATGGGCCATTTGAGCGACCCGCCAACTCCCTGGATGGACGATCAGCAGTGACTGCGGAGACTGACACCGAGAACGGGCTTCAAAATCTTAGGTTCCTCATGTCAACGTTGGCCGAGGCTTCGATTAAACTGTACAAGCAAGAATGTCGTAGCCCCGGCCACCGCCGTCACGACCGGAGACGGCGAGGGAGATCTCCGGCGGCTTCCCCGGGGGAGACGGATGGATGATGTCCAGCAGATCTTCCAGAACTTGCTTCATGTTGGGCCGCGCCTGAGGGGACTCATCGGTGCACCGCATCCCCAGGCCGAGAAGCTTCCCCATCGCCCACAGCCCCTCCGTCGGCGACCCGTCACCGGGGTCCATCCCCGGTAACCTCACCGGAACAACCACCGCCGCGCCCTGCCGGCCTTCGCGGCTTACCCGCCGCACCAACTCCACCAGGCACTCCTCGCCGCCGTCCAAGGCTCGCCGCCCAGTCGCCAGCTCCATCGCCAGCACGCCGAAGCTGTACACGTCCCCCTTCGTGGTGGCCTGCCACGTATGCCCGTACTCGGGGGCCACGTAACCCACCGTGCCCGCCACCACCGTGCTGACGTGGCTGTCCCCGGGGCGGACCACCCTGGCCAGGCCGAAGTCGGTCACCCTGGCGCGCCCGGCCCCGTCGAGCAGCACGTTGCTGGCCTTCACGTCCCGGTGAACCACCGCGGGGAAGCACTCGTGGTGAAGGAAGACCAGCGCCCTCGCCACGCCGGCCGCCACCGCGAGCCGCCTCTCCCAGCCGAGCCGCGCCCAGTCGGCGATCACGTCCTCCAGGCTGCCGCCCTGCATGTACTCGTAGACCAGCAGCTTCTGGGATCCGAGCAGGCACCACCCGAAGAGCGCCACCAGGTTGGGGTGGGGCCACCCGCCGGCGCCGCCGCGGCAGAGCACCTCCATCTCCGCTTGGAACTCCCGCTCCCCTTCCAGGCCCTGCCGCTGCAGCTTCTTCACCGCCACGGGGCGACCGTCGGGGAGCACCCCCCGGTACACCACTCCGAAGCCGCCTCGCCCGAGCACCATGTCGTCGGAGAAGCCGCGGGTCGCCGCCACTATGTCCAGGTAGGTGAAGGAGGCCGCCTTGTCCAGGCGGATCACCTTCGCGGCCTCGAAGGACATACCGGAGGTCGCCGTGGACGACGACGACGATGCCTCCACGTCGTGCCGACGTTTAGAGGAGGATGATCCCTCCCGGAGAAACGGATCGTCCGGCGGGGCCGCGTCGGACGAGGGCCGGCGGCCGACGACGCAGAAGGCGAGAAACAGGAATCCCGAGACGAAGAAGGCGACGGATATAGAGAAGAAGATCCAGAACGCCACCATCCGTCGCGAGAGTGCGGCGGCTCCTTTGTCCTGCTGCAAACTGGTGCCCGTTGGAGGGAAAGACTGGTTCGTGTTTAGCCGCTTGATGAGAGGGTCGCCGAGGAAGGAGTTGTCGTCGAACGTGGACAGCTGCCCCATAGTGGGAATCACTCCGCCGAGGAGTGGGTTGAAGGAGACGTTGAACGTGTTCAGCTCCGAGAGGCCGTTCAAAGTCTGAGGAATTTCGCCGGAGAAGTTGTTCCGGGAGAGGTCCAAGCCCTGCAGGCACCTTATGTCGCCGACCGTCGGGGGGATTGGTCCCGAGAGGAGGTTTGTCGACACATTGAGCACGACCAGCGGGAGTTTTCCGATCTCGGCCGGCAGTCGACCAGAGAGCCTGTTGTGGTTGAGATGGATCAGACTGAGCCAGGTCATCTTTCCGATCTGAACGGGGATCTCGCCGGTGAATTTGTTTCCTGATAGCTGGATGTAGCCGGAGATGGTCAGAGTCCGTGAGGGCGACGACCGATTGAGGCATATTGGGATGATGCCGTGCCCCATCAGCAGATTGTCCCAGATGCGCCGGCAGTTTTTCCTATTCATGAGGGTGTACACGAAGCTGAACGGCGGATAGTCCACCGGCAGCCACCGCCTCATGGCGAGGCATTCGCCGGAGCTAGCGGACAAACGGCTGTTCCTCCGGTTGAGCTCAAACGTTGCATTGGGGGAACTCCCCATCTCCGCGATGGATAGCGGGATCTCTCCAGAAAGCTGATTATTAGCGAGATTCAGCCATAGTAGGCTCCTGCAATTACCGATCTCCGGTGGTATCTGGCCGGACAGAGAGTTGTCGGCGAGCGTCAGCCAGAGCAGAGACGTCAGCTTCCCGACGGACGGGGGGATCGGACCGGACAGCATGTTGTGGGAGAGGTCCAGCGCTTGGAGGGTGGTCATGTTCCCGAAATCTGTCGGTATGACTCCGGAGAAATTATTGTACGCCAGTATGAGGAACTTGAGCTGTGGCATCTGGGTAATCTCGACCGGCAGTTGGCCGGAGAAGTTGTTGAAGCTGAGGTCCAATCTCACGATGTTCTTCAGCTTCAGGATTCCGGACGACTCGATCCCTCGGCTGTAGTTATTACTGTGCAGAATGAGAAACTTCACCTGCGTGAAGCGCCCGAAGATGTCTTGGACCTCCGGCCCAAAGTTGTTCTTGCTGATGTCGAGGGAGGCCAGCTTGGAGCAGTTGAGGAGCTGCTCTGGGATGAGGCGGTCGAAGTTGTTGTTGCCGAGGAACAGGTACTCCAACTCCGACAGAGATCCGATGCCCGAGGGTATCCTCCCACCGAATTCGTTCCCCCACAAGTTCAGATTAGTCAGATTCCTACAATTGGAGATGCTGTTGGGGAAGGTTCCGTAGAGATTATTCTGCGACAAATCTAGCAAGCTGAGGCTGCAATTCGAGGGGAAAGTGTCCGCCATGACTTCGCCGGTGATCTTATTCCCCGACATGGAGAACTCCTGAAGATTAGAAAATCCCTGCCAAATATCTCCGTCGAACATGTTGGCACTGAGATCCAGGAATTTCAACCTTGGGCATCGGTCAAAGAGGTCCCTTATCCCGCCGCGGAAGCGGTTAACGGAGATGTTGAAGACAACCAGATTAGTGCAGAATTCGGCGAAATTCGACTGGATGCTGCCGTTGAGACGATTGAGAGTTACGTCCAACACCTCCAATCTGCTCAACCCGGAGAGATTCAGCGGTCCCTCGATGATGTTGTGGGAAAGGTTGAGGTATTTGAGGCGACGGCACTGGTTCAGACCGGTCGGGATGGCGCCGCATATGGTGTTTTTGGAGAGGTCCAGGCGGGAGAGCTCGGTGAGCTCGGAGAAACCGTCGAAGATTTTTCCGGAGATGCTGGATTCCGTGAGATTTACCTCGGTGACGCGTCCGTTGTGGCAGCTGATCCCCGTCCAGTTGCAGGGGGAGGGATCGGACGCATTCCATAGGGCATAGGGGCCTCTGTTGAATTGGTTTCCCTTCAGGAGGTACTCCCTGAGCCTGAGCAGAACCTCCTGATCCCTCTCCAGGGAGATACCGACCACGAGGTCCGGGACTGCAAATTTGGACGCCAGAAGAATTAATCACAGGCAGGGAAGATAGAGGGGAACTTAACCAGGAGAAATAGATCATCAGATCGTTGCGCTACCTGGAACTAAGAACCAGCATATGATTAGGAAGAGACAGTTGCGGGGGAAGAACGTGCGTCTGTGCTGGTGCTCCGTTCCTCCGTCCGACATGCTATTTCTTCCCTCATGACCCCTCACCGCCTCCGGATCAACAGAATAAAACCAAAAGCCAGAAACCCGCGCCCAGGGCCTCGCCCGTTTCCTCGGCCTCCTCGCTCCCTCCCTTAAACCGTGGCTGCTGCTTCAACCTTTTCTTATTGTCTACGGAGAAACCGCATACCGAAGGAGACGATGATTCCGGCGCACGGTTCCCTTTCAAACGTCAACGGACAACGACGACTCGTGTTCCGGAACACGCCGAGAGGTGCTTCTCTCTTTCTCGCGCGATATATGCACGGGGCTGCATTCTGTCCGAGAAAGATAATACTTCACATGATTAGCATTGAATTCCTCTACTCATTTTTCCATGAATCGTTCCACAGGAATCCTTCAGGAAAATGAGCGGAGGATTTAGTTCTCCGCAGGGACGGCTGATCTCCCCCAAATCCCGTTCCTGATGTGGCTTCTCCTGGTCAGCAACGCTGGAAGAAGAAGAAGAAGAAGAAGAAGAAGAAGAAGAAGAAGCAGTGACGCCGCCGCCCTTGTTGACTGATTCCTCGATCAAATCCCCCGCGCTCACTTCTTCGTCCCCGGTTTTGGGGAGGGCGGCTGATCGAGGAAGGAGAGAAGGACGACTGAGCAAGCAACCTCGTCCCCGCCTCTCCCCCCCCTCCCTTCCTCCTACTCCTCCTGGTCAGCGTTCTAGAAAGGGAAGAACCGACCTGAGCCGTTTGAACGACCGCCCAATTCGCCGTGTGGTGGAAAAAAATGGAATGATCCTGACGAAAATGCCCTAGTACAGAAAAAGAACTCGCAGAGGTGGACCAGCCCGCTTGGTGGTCGTAACGACCAGACGGGTACGCGTGGCGTCGGGGGGCTTCGGTCTTGACCGCGGCTATCTCCGATCGCGACTCCCTAAGACGCACGGCGCTCGGGATCACCGTCCACAGTCGAATAGACGGTTGATCGCGAACCAGATCAGATGTGATGGGCGTTGTCTCCCCGGACCGGGTCGGCCGTGGTCCACCAAATCTGTACGAACGCGTTCGGGATTCTCTGTGGACCCCACGCGCGAGAAATTTCCTCGACCTTCGTGGGCCCCACTAGAAAGATCTAAGATCTGATCGCCGGGGTGGTACTTTACATAATGGGCTTGAGGAAAGGGTCTTGTTGAAGCCTAATTCAGTTGGTAGTGTTTATCATCCGGATAATCCTCATTCAATGTGATTAATATTTATCGATCACTATATTCTGTGCATGATTATTCACCATATTTTTTAAAAAATAAATTTACGTAACAAAAAAGAAACCACTCACTTTTGCCCGTCACAGATAAATAGGAGCTTTGCTATAAAGCTTGTAGCATTTAATGCAATTATAATAATAATAATTCATTTAATACACTTTCTTGTCGATGTGTCTTCTTGACCATTTAAGCCTCTAATTTTCCACAAAGACAAGAACAACCCGCTATAGTGTTTTATTTATTTATTTATTATCATTATTAATTATGATTTAGTAGCTTATCTTCTCCAGGCCATGATTTTCTACCTCAAATCAGCTAGGAAGGTCGTGCTTAATGAATGAAATTTTATGCAAGGTTGTAGTATCTTCAAAATTCCTCGTAACTATAGGTGCAATAGTTAGTTAAATTTATTATTAGCATCAATGGTTGTATAACTAGCCATCCCTTGTTAGTCCTACGAGTGGATGGTTGCAACAGAAAATAATGCAAGATTTATTACCAAAAATAAATTGCAAATTTCTATATCGAGTAATAAAGTCAACTACAATCATTCTCGTCGTCCTACATCATGTAAATACTGCGTATGGTCATTTTGCGTGGATCTTGAGTTGATAAAGCATAGTTGTCACATGCGAGCTATTCAAAACCAATGGTTATGATAGGTTGACTACGTTGTTGTGGGCAATTGAGTCGTCATTTGACTTTTTCTTTTGACTCTTTCGTTAGAAAAAAAAGAGGAACAAATGGCACAATACATTGACTCGAGTAAAAAACTTTTCAAGTGATTTCCAAAACTCTCTTAGTTGACCTCGATATTTTTCACAAATAAGTATATTTTTTCATTTTAGTTTAAAATAAAAGATTAACTTGTATTTCATAATATTTTATGTAAAATAATAATTTAACACATATTTTTCTTCATACAGTTGAATAGATCTCTCCGAAGAACGTGCATTGTAGAATTTCTAACGCTCATTTGAGGACACGTGTAATTCATGAGATAATGTCGCCGACAGTTGACTCGCACCAACTTGGTCTTTGGTAAGACGACGATCTTCATCGTTCTTATCGCCTGGTTGTTTATAGCAAAACCAACTTTCGATCGTCTCACGTGGTGCACGGTGAAGATGGTGACACGTAGCTCTTTAAATTTTTTTGGATATCATTTAAACAATCACGTGGTATTTTTTGTAACCACGATGCAAATTTAGAGAGTTATTGGATTTAATGAAATAGTGAGATTTTCTGAGGGGCTATATTGTCAGGGAAAATCCCAGAAAGTTGCCGGGGGGAGGACGGTGGGAGGGGGGTTAGTACCCACCCACCCTTCTCTTTCCCATCATCCCCACCCCCACCTGCCGGAGTGGCGACAGTCTCTGTTTTGGCCGCGTCCCCACGCCTCAGGTCTCTCCCTCGTCCTCGTCCTCGTCCTTGTCCTCGTGTTATAAGATGGCTACTCACTTTCCTTCCTCGTCCGTCTTGATCGCCATCACACGCTTACTCTCTCCTTGGGTGCTTTCCCTTCTCACCTACCTTCCTTCCGGGTCTCCTGTGCGTTCCGCCTGGTCCTTGCCACAATGGAGGGGATGCTCCTCAAGGTCTCCCCCTGCGTGCCGGCGGGCCGTCTTCTCAGACAACGCGTCGTCACTGGCGGCTACAGCCCGAAGCTCCCGCGAACGCTCGTTGTCTCTACTGCGGCACAGGGGAAGATCCAGTCGGCCCAGAACCCTGCTCGTTGTCGTGCTGGGTATATTTCACTCCTTCGCCCAAAGTCGCCTGTCTGTGTTCGCTGGCTGTTTCGACGAACTAGTTTTGAATGTTTTTTTACCGCTCCACCTATTTTTTTTTCTCCACGGATTGTTCTTCTTTGCGGTTTATACGCAGGATTCCTCTGACAGAGCCATCTTTCACGACTCCCCGTCGTTGAATTTTTGTGGGTGCCTATGAATTTTCTTCAAGCGCCGATGCTTTCTGATATTTCGAACAGGGCCTCGGTGTCGGTAACGTGGCGCTCCGTTATCAATTTCGTTTTAGCTATCGCCATTGATGAAGCTTTCTTTAAACCTTTCTCTGTGCCGGGGGCGATCGGCAGCTCTTGCTTCGCCCAGATCTCGGCCTCACTATTTGGGGAAGGTGCCATCGAGTTTTCTCGAAGAGAAGAATCGGGGGAGGCCTGGTAATTCTCAGGTTCGTCGCCGTTGCTCTTCGCGCTGTGAGTCTGACTGCAATATTGCAGTCCTCAGAAATTAATGTCCTAAAATAGAATGTTTTAAGTTGATTTGATCATGCATGAATGGAAGAATTAAACATTATCTCGTTTCAGGCGTGATTTCTGTTCCAGACATCTGTCATTGTACATCCGAAGATGCTTGCTTGCTGAAATCTCATCTTCGCCTGGCATTTCAGCTGAAAATTTATTTGTATATATATATATATATCTATCATGCAACTCATCCGATCGAAATTCTTATCGCTGTTTGAGAAGCGCCATGCTGATACTTACTGATCCTAAGAGTTCTCCCCTGCTTATAGACTGGCGAACAGAAGAGTGGATGAGAGCCACGGATTGACTCTCGATGGCATCAGACACTCTCTGATTCGGCAAGAAGATAGCATAATATTCAGTCTCTTGGAAAGGGCTCAGTATGCTTATAATCCCGACACATATGACCCGGATGCGTTCGGCATGGATGGTTTCCACTGTTCCTTGATCGAGTTCATGCTTCATAAGACCGAGAGGCTTCATTCTCTGGTAGATCTCCGTTTCAGAGTAAATTAGGGTCAATTGGTGTTGGAAAAATCCTCTCTTTTCTGGGCTAATACTTGCTTTGTTCAACTCAGGTTGGTAGATATAATAGCCCGGATGAGCATCCCTTCTTCAAGGAAGATCTGCCCGAGCCCATCTTGCCACCTATTCAGTATCCAAATGTAAATTTCTTGTGAAGGAAGACCAGTGGAGCATTGAATGTTCTTCCCTCGCATGATGCCAACGATATTCATGAACTATATTGGAAAAAATATGAACTATATTAGAGATTACAAGGGTATCAACTATATTTTTAGGAACCCAGTCACGGATATGTATTTCTTGGCGTATAACATTATTGGACAATTAATGCACTGGGTTCGTGAAACTAGAGTTGATGATCAATAAGGTCTTAAACATAATTTAATTTAATTTTTTAATATTGAGCTTTTCATGTTTCTTTATATTATCTGTTAATCGACCATACATTATTAATACATTTATTTAGTTAAACAATACATTAACAGAAAAAAATGATTTTAGTTGATATCTTATTTTCAATTAAACTCTGATTCATACCCTTTTTTCTTTATACTGAACTAGAGTTGATGATCAATAAGGTCTTAAAAATAATTTTATTTTATTTTTAATATTGTGGTTTTCATGTTTCGTTATATTATCTGTTAATTGACAATGCATTATTAATAAAATTATTTAGTTAAACAAGACATTACCAGAAAAAAATATTTTAATTGATATATATTTTTCAATTAAACTCTGATTCATACCCTTTTTTCTGTCTTCTTCCTTCAAACTGACTGACCTTGCATTCGTGACGATGGAACCAGGTTCTGCATCCGATTGCTGATTCCATAAACATAAACAGGAAGATCTGGGACATGTACTTCACGGACCTTCTCCCCAGATTTGCCAAAAAGGGGAGTGATGGTAATTGCGGGTCCAGCGCTGTTTGTGACACTATCTGCTTGCAGGTGAGCATTTCTTATTTTAGCATGAACCCTATGATTTTTTATTTTTTTATTTTTTTATTTTTTTATTTTTTTATTTTTTTATTTTGTGTGGATTTTTCTGCCCAGATCATCTGAAAGTTCCTAATATGGGTACAAAAAAGTTTAGTTTTTTCCTGAAATAGTCAGAATCTAACGGCAGCTTTCTGATGAAGGCGCTTTCCAAGAGGATCCACTATGGAAAGTTCGTCGCAGAAGCTAAGTTCCAGGCCACCCCGGACACCTACGTAGCTGCGATCAGAGCCCAGGTAACCACCGCCGCCGACATTTGACTTTGAGATCACGACCCCATTCAATATGGTTTTGACGCCAGATTCGGCTCATCTTGCAGGATAGGGACCGGATAATGCGTCTGCTGACGTATGAAATTGTTGAGTCCAAGGTCAAAGAGAGGGTGGAGACGAAGGCGAAAATCTATGGCCAGGAGATCCATGAGGAGGGCGACTGTAAGCCCCCGGTGTACAAGATTAAGGCAGGATTGGTGGCCGATCTCTATGGAGACTGGATAATGCCGTTGACCAAGGAGGTCCAGGTGGAGTACCTGCTGAGGAGACTAGACTGAGGCTAACCCCCCGTCCATCCATCCATCCGCCGTTGACTTAGACCCCTAGAGCTCCTGCCTGTTCACACTATGACGGGAAGACAAAAACCCATAGAATAGGACGTGGGGTGCCGATATGTTGACAAATGTACGCATTTCGTTCATGGGTTAATGGATTTGTATTTGCTGTTCGACGAAATGGTTGACCAGGAGAGGTTGGAGTGTCATCGTCGCCGGGGGCGGTGGCCTTCGGACAGATCCTCCGCGGGCGTACTCCAGGCGCCGCTTTTCTTCGTCAACCGTCGGCACCTCTGGGATCTTTGCCATTTGTGGAATCCGTATCCACCGCCGTTCAGGGGCCACGTGAGCTGGCTGCCGGCGCCGGCGGGGCTCAATCGTTTGCCTCTTTCCCACCGACGCGCAGCTAGATCTGGTCCTCTGGCTGTCTCCCCCTGTCTACCTCTCTCTCTCTCTCTCCTGTCTCTGACTGGAGCTCCAATGAGCTGGCTGCCAGCTCAGCTCAGCGCAGGAGGGGTTTCCAGTTGGGAATTAAGAAAGGCATTGCTCCTCATCGAGCGCTACAGTCTGTATTGGCCGTCTGATCTTAGCTTGAGTCCACCTTGCGATAGATCTTAGCTTGACTGTGACCACGGCGGGTCAAACAGGGTAGATTCCATACTGGTAAAGCTACCCCCCCCCCCCTCTCCCTCTCTCTCACTCACTCTTACTTTTGTCTACCGGCCAACCCATGTGGTTTGCTTGCACTGCACCGGTAAGATCACAGAGAGAGAGAGAGAGAGAGAGAGAGACAGGGGGGGGCGGAAAACTCTAGATAAGTCGGGCTTACTACCTCCGGCTGGCCAGGAGTGCAGACCCTGAGAGAGGAAGGGGAGGAAGGAAGAAGGAGCAGAAGCGAGGCAATGAGGCCATTCCATAAGTTCCTTCTGGCGGCGGTGCTGGCCTGCGTCTCCCTGTTGCAGAACCCCCCCGTCGTCTCCGCCAACAGGTTCACCGTCGGCAACTCCAAGGGCTGGAACCCTGGCGTCAACTACACCATCTGGGCCCAGAACAAGTCCTTCTACGTCGGCGACTGGCTCGGTACTCCCCTCTCGCTCTTTCCCTCTCTTCTTTCTCTCTCCTTTTCTCCTTCGCTGGTGCTGGGTAGATCTGAAGGGCCTTCTTCTGTGCGGCAATGGCGGCAGTGTTCCTGTACCAGCCGGGGCAGGCGGACGTGCTGCAGGTGAACGAGACGGCGTACAACCAGTGCCTCTACGACAGCCCCATCACCAACTGGTCCAGGGGGCGGAGCTTCGCCTTCGAGCTCAACAAGACGGGCCACTACTACTTCATCTGCAGCCGAGGCTACTGCTACAACGGCATGAAGCTCGCCATCAAGGTCGAGAAGATCCCCCCGCCGCCGCCACCGGCCCAGTCCGCCAAGGCCTCCGCCGCCGCGCCCTCCCTTCCCGGAGCCGGCGGCGCCGCCGGCTTCCTCCGGGTGGCCGCCGCCATCGGAGCTGCTATGCTGGCGTCGATCTAGGGGCAGCGAGGGGTTTGGTCTGCCTTCCCCTCTTTTGCATTATTTCCGAGAGTATCCGACCGAGAGTCTTGTATTTACATGGGATACCCTTGTTGCTTCGTCGTTGCAAACGTGGCCATTGGATCGCTCTTTGACTCTCCTCGCTGGGTCCCCTCCTGATTACCCCTTCTTTATGGGGGCATTCTAGTCATCTCGTCTGAACCTCCGTGGGTTCCGGATTCGATCCATGGGGTACGTTACGCGATCAAATCGTTTTATGATTATTGATTCTGGGCTGGACAGGTTGTCTAGCTACGATGCTCCGCGGGTGAGCGCACCGAGTTTGCGCCTACCGAGAAAGAGAGTAAATGAGCCGAGTCGATGTGCTTGCTGGGTTGGCCGTCACGTGGGTTCACTTCAAGACATACTCTGCTCGTAAATTACAATTTTGCCACCCATCATCACACAATGAGAGCCCAAGTTGTGCAAATATGCAAAAAAATGTATCGGAAGATGCAAAAAATAATAAATCCCGACCAAAATTGTGTCTTGGAATCGCAACATTATTGGAACTTCACCCCGGATTTACCCCCTTGCAAGCAGGGAAACAGCAGCTGGAGCTGGGTCACTTCATTTTTCTGTAGAGAGAGAGAGAGAGGAAGAGAGAGAGAGAGAGAGAGAGAGAGAGAGAGAGAGAGAGAGAGAGAGAGAGAGAGAGAGAAACCTGATGTAAGAAAGGAAAGATGTGAACTTTAGGATTCGGAACATCCTAGAGAGAGGAAGCTGAGAGGAGTGTGGGGAAGGAGGGCAGAGCAGCATACCCAAATCTTTCGATGTCAACGCATGGGTGTTTGACCGAGTTGAGATTCTTTCTCATGGAGAAGGGACGGCGGACTCTTGAACGATCTCGTATATCGATATCATATTGTCCACGGCTAAGAGGACGATGATGCACCACTCCAGGAAGTCTGATCTTCTCTTCTGGAGGACTTCTTGAAGAAAATGGATGTTGTGCTGCAGGTTGACCAGCATCGGAGTGAAAAATCGTCGATGGGTCAGTCCAAAGGATGATGATCCAAGGAGAATAAGAACACCTCCACGAATTTCAGCTTGAAGTCTAGGCTCCCGAAACGCTGAGTGAGCTCGAACTCCTCGCGAAGGTACTCCAAGATCTGATCATAATGTGCGTTTCTCCAGGCGATTTCAGATCTGCAGATGCCAGAAATGGAAATCTGAAGATCTACTTAATGCCCACGTAGGATGAATAAGCCCATAAAAGGAAACATTGCTCGATTCTGCATTTGGCAATATGCCCACGTAGGATTTTGACTTCTGATGAACAAGTTCCAGTGATACCTTGGGGAGTTACCTGTCGAAGAGACCGAGTTTCAGGATCACATCTGCAAGGTTCGAGTTCGCCTTCCCCACAAGCTGAAAGAGCTTCTTTCTTTCCATGGTGAAGGTGCCGGTCTTTTCCATAACACGATTTATGTCGGTGAATTCTTCGATCATATCATCGACCTGCATAGAAAAAAGCTCAAGAAATGTCCCTTTTCAATGTTCTTCGTTATTGGGGGGTATCTGTGTATAATACCTGTCGTATGTAATGATCAAGGGCAATACTTTGGCCAAGAACACTTCCTATTATTCGGATGCCATCTCCATCCAAATTTTTAAGAACTATGTGATCCGGCCCTCCTTGCATCCATGTCATCAGCAGAGGTTTTTCAACAACCGCATAGTCTACGAATACAAGATGGAAGTAAAATTAACAGAAGTGCCGCTTCATAAGGGAAAAAATCATCCCATATACTGAAGAAAAATATCAAAGAGGGAGATTTCATAAGCTTTATCAACTCTATCTGGAAGAATATGATTCGCATCTATTAACAGGGTGAGGGGAGTAAAACTCGGCAATATCAGGTAATAATGTGAGACATTCCAAATCATTTTTTTTCAGAAGAACAAATAGACCCATCTTGTAGGCTCCTCTATAGCATGATATTAAAATTTAGATGTAGAAGGTAAAAAATGGGAATTCAGCTCCACTGTAGTACACACACGGGCTGGTTTTCTTTTTTCTTTTTTGGAGGGGCAGAGGGAGTGGATAGAGTAGCAGTGTCCATCGCTAAAAGAAAATCCAAAAATATGCTTCTTCGCTCCATGAATCAACTCCAATTTTATGGGATAAGATTCATGGCGCTAATGCTAAGAAATTAATTGGTCGATTGGATATAAATTTTCAGGAAAGATGTATATGATGGAAGAAATTTTGAATCGGAAATACTATATGAAGATTTCAGAAAAAACGTATATAACAGAAGAAAATTTTCAGAAAAGACATATATAACAAAAGAAAATATGAAAAATGACGGTATGCTTCCAATCATTAATTTCACATAGCTTCTTTGATACCTCAGTCTTCAGATTTTGAGATACTGGTTATACCTCTACAATTAAGAAAGTTAGGAGTCTTTTCGCACGTGTGAGCTATCCAAGTTCAATCTCTCTCTTCCTCTCTCTCTCTCTCCACACACACACACGTACACAACAAGATCAATCAAGGATTAAAAGAAGGTTACCATCTTTTCTCATATCTGGAAGTAATCCAGATGCATACTTGCGAATGATTTTCAAATAACCTTCGGCTTCATCTTCTGAAACATTAAACAGGACCGCAGATCCGTATTGAAATACAACCACGTAACGGTGAAAATTCTCAATGACGCCCATATCCTGAAAGAAAAATGGTTTAAACGTCAGAAGCAGTACTGACTGTTTAAATGACAAGGCAAAATAAATAAAAGTTTCTGCTTTGCTGGTCACAAGACAGGCGGTGCTTGGCTTTGATGTTCGGATTTTTAACTAGAAAAATGTCATGTTAGAAGGAAGCTAACACCACTAGAAAATTGCAAAAACCATACCATAAGCACGTAAACATTATCCTCTCAAAATCTCTGCTCTTATAAGCTGATGTCTACAGCGGATAATCTCACTAGCTGTAAGGACGCTATACAGAACAGGCCACTTACATCAAGAATATTGCTTCAATTCAATTCATTAAACGTTGATAACCCACTGTTAGACATTACGCATCCTGCCTTCACTATCTTGCTCCCCTGGAAAAATCTAGCGTTTATCCTCCGAGTCAGTGGCCCCAATGTCATCTTAGGATTCATCATTATCGGCTAAGTTTTCATCAACGCCTAAAAGTGCTAATTCCTTCACCGTATTGTGTGGGGGAAGAGCAGGAGAAGCCTCAGTCCATTTCTAAAGAGCGTATCACAAGCTGGTACATGTAAAAACGTAAACCTTTGAATGGCATCACTGCGATTTTCTTTGGTTGAACAAAACAGTCTGGTTCAGCCTTTAAAAGTATTGACGTCAGTCAGTCCCCCCCCCTTGACAATTCCTAACATTCACGAAGAAAACTACGACGAGATAAAAAGATTAGACCATAGGCCTTATCCAAAAATGTACTTTTCAAAACCTTCCGAGGCGGTGAACCTCATCTACGTATAGAATGGATGCCTCATCCATGGTATCCTATGGTGTTTCAGATGTTCTCAGGTGAAGAATTCATCTTTTTGCCACACATGTGAAAAATATATAGTACTATTCCCTCTTTACTTCTCACTTGATCTCCATTTTCAACTTTTTCTTCGATTTCATAAATTTATAAATTTCCAATTTGAGCCATGCTTTCTTACAGAGTTATGTCCCCTGACAGGATCCAATTCAACTTTCCCCTAAAGCAATCCAGCACTGGCTTTGGAAGATCCACATATATGGTCTTCTCCACATGTTTCCTCTATTTTCACACCGACACCACCTTCAACTTCGTAGAAACATGAGCAAATATTTAATCAATTCAATATCAGTAATTCATCATCTAGCACAGAATTAGGATTTGCGCAGGATGAGCATCACCTGACGATAGATAACATGCTTTGAAATCCAAGAATAACAAATACTCCACCCCTATGATTGCATGATTGTTACTGATTGTCAAAAAAATCCTAGGGAGCAGGCAGAGGGCTGGCTTTAAAATTATGCTTGCTTCTTGAATCATGTCAATCATGTCTAAATGCAGAATTAAACTTTGGAAGGTTGGAGTCACTGGGAAGGCCTTAAAGGATGCCGTGTCAGTTGGAATCGGTGGAAGCTTTTTGGGTCCACTGTTTGTTCATACAGCTCTTCAGACAGGTTCTTACACGGGCAATAAATTTGATGTTGCAGAAACCTTTTTTGCTCAATTAATTTTGACTATAATTGTTCAGCATCTGTGGTTAATACGAAAATCTTACAGATGGAGAGGCTTCTGAAAGTGCAAAGGAACGGCAAATCTTACAGATTGTGAGTTTTTTTGTTTATGAGCACGCAGATTTCTGCCGTTTAACGCCTGCATTGCACTGATCGATTGAGCTACCTGATAAAAACTTCTTCAGATTTTTTTCAACACCTGCATCCTTCTGCTGTGTAGCCATTTTTTATCTCATGATTGCTCCACGTTTGTGGACTGATAGAATTTAATTATGCATTTAGACATGATTGAATTTGAAATACCCCAAATGTATTAGATAAGGGTGACAACGTCAGGCATCTGCATTAATCTTCACGCTATGCTTTAATCTACGTAAGGAGCAGGCGTCTTCTTTCCACCGATGAGCTCTTGACAATGGTGCAGACCGCAAAATCGAATAAGATAGAATCTCCATTACAGAAGAAGCCTCCCTTACCGCAATCTCCGAGGGGTAATCGCAGTATCGCAATGCGACGTAGTTTGTGGAGCGAGAGGTAGGAGGAACAACGTTGTATGCATGTTCAGCCTGCATGGTCTTGAGATCAATGCTGCCAAATACCATCAGCTCGTGAACTCCAACCACGTGGACAGAACAAATCCAAAGAAAACATTAACCTATCCACAGGAAAACGGCGGTTCAAACGAGAGGCGGCTCCAGGAACCAATTCCCCCCCAAAAACAGATGCAATGAGAATGTCAAGGAGGATCAGGAAGCAAAAACCTGGTGCAGAAGAAGTAGGCTTTGATTGGGATGTGCCTCACCGCCTGTTCATCTTCGGGGGGAAGCAACGCCTTCCTCTGATCGGCATACGCCATGTGCCGGCCGGAGAATTCATCGCCACAATCAGTGTTAATCTCGGGACTGGCTGAGGCGCCCCTGAGATAACGTGAGAACGGCGGCCCTACCCGCCCCGGCGAACTGCCTAGGTATCGGAGAAGAAATCGGGCCCCCAACCCCCTCATTCCGGAGGGAAACAGAGGACAAGGAAAGCTTCTTCCTGGCTAGTCCACCATGAAACCGCCCCCCCTCCCCCTCCCCCTCTCTCCACCCACCTCCGCCCTTCCCTTCTTCGACGGCAACCTTCTCTTTCCCCTCCCTCCAACGTGCCCTCTCTCTGCCGCCTCAGAGCGCGCCGATTTTTTGTGCGAGCTGAGATACGTTAATTACGTAAATACCCTCATCCGGTGTTCTGGTTCTATTCGCCCTCGTCTGCGACAAGATGAGACTTGAGAGTGGAGGGAAGAGGAGCTGCGGAATGGGACTTGGCGGCGGGTGACTCGGAGGTGGGGGGCTGAAATGGCGGTCTCCGGTGACCTGAAGGTGCTGCTGGGCGCGTCTGCTGCTCATCCCAAGCGCACGTTTCGTCCGGCGCTTCGCCTGTTCCCTTGTTCTTCCTCTCCTTCCTGTAAGGTCAGTAAGATTTATGGGATCTGTCTTGTCTGCTTGGAAACTGGAGCTCGAATGGGCATCTGTGGACGACTGCATTGGCCGAAATCGCCTCATTCTTAGCGAGGAAGGCCATCGGGGAGTTATTTCGCCGACGATTCCCGTATTTCTTAGATTTCTGTGGGCATTTGCTTTCATCGTGTTATTTCGCCGGTATGGGAGTAGATGACGGTTCGATCGATGCCTCTCTGCAACATCCCTGCGCCGACTGTGAATGCCAGTATCCCATCCCCAAACCCTAGGAAATGGAGAGTGAGCGCCAACGACAAACCCTCCCGAGCCTCCCATTCCTGTCACCTTCGTCTTCGAAAAGGGTTGATGGCTGCTGGTAATATAGTAATGGCTCTCACGAAGAATGTGCTGTTGGCCTGAAGTTCTTATGATTTTGACCATGTTTTCAGTGATCATAATCTAATTCAGTCGGAAAACACAGGAGCCAATCCCAATTTGAACAGCTTTCATCTGTGCAGTCCCAGTTGACCTAACTAGAGGGCGACCTGATCAGGGGACGCATGTGGATTCCGGTGACCTAAACCCTAATATCACGGGCCCGCCAAGATCTTCAGTTCAAACTGGGTTTGTGAATAGCCAGTAGATCAGAATAGTTCCTTTTCAGTGCCATGATTTAGTTCTTAAAGGCGGACAGTTATTGGATTTAGTATCTCAGAAAAGCATTGAGTCATACGAAATTTTATATCATGTTACCATCTCATGATATAAAAATAGTCCCTTCTATTTTTCTGTTGATGTGTATTTGCAGCAAAGGATTAAAATCCAAAACCGATCATCAAGATTAAATTGAAAAAGGTATAGATTAGGCTATGTAGAATACATTGCATTTTATTGGATATTTTGCGGATGTGTATGGGCTACTTGATTATCAGTAACGGGAATGCTTGCAGGTTTTTTTTTCCATCAGATTCAGTATTCGGTACCATTTCTATGCAATAAATATACCCATTGAAATGTTTCTTGAGCTCTGTTCTTGGGATATGATCGGTCTTTACGATTATATGATGATGATGAATTGCTTTTCTTGAGCACGAGTTTCCTTTCTCTTTTCTTTTTTGCATTCTCTGGAGCTTCTTCTTGATTCACCTCATGGGATTGGAGGTGTTCATCGAGTAATACCAAATGATGCAGGTGAGATTTGGCGGCATCCGTGGCGGGGGCTCGAGCTGTTTGGAGGTCGAGGGTCATCTCCGGCGGCGATGCTCCGGCAGCCGAAGAGATGAGCTCTTCCCCGCCGGCGTGAACCAGGAAGCGGAGGGCTTCGTGCTGAGCGCGGTGACCATGAGCTTCTTCGAGCGGCTGAGCCTGGCCTGGAGGATCCTCTTCCCGACGGCCGCCGCCGTGCGGAACTCCAACGCGAAGGTGGCGAAGCAGAGGCTGAAGATGATCCTCTTCTCCGACCGGTGCGCCGTCAGCGAGGAAGCCAAGCAGAAGATCGTCGGCAACATCGTCGACGCCCTGTCGGACTTCGTCGAGATCGATTCGCAGGAGAAGGTCCAGCTGAGCGTCTCCACAGAGCCCGACCTCGGGACCGTCTACTCTGTCACTGTTCCCGTCCGCCGAGTGAAGCCCGAGCACCAAGACTACGACGGGTACTTGGAAACGGCGGAGGCCGACGCCGGCGCCGCCGATCTGAGGTTCGGCTCTTCTGGCCTCTGAGCTACAATCTCTCCCTGGTCGTCCTTGCGTTCCCCCTTCACTTTTTTAAAAACTGGACGTTGACCTCTGACCGCCTCTTACTCAGAGAACACTCTCATCTTGAAGAGTATGGAAAATCTCTCTCTCCCCCTCTGTCTCTCCTCTCCCTCTTTCTCTCTCTCTCTCTCTCTCTCCTCTCTCTCTCCCTCTCTCTCCCTTTCTCTCCCTCTCTCTCCCTCTCCCCTCTCTCTCCCTCTCTCTCCCTCTCCCCTCTCTCTCCCTCTCTCTCCCTCTCCCTCTCTCTCTCTCTCTCTCTCTCTCTCTCTCTCTCCCTCTCCTCTCTCTCTCTCCTCTCTCACCTCTCTTTCTCTCTCCACCCTTCCCCTCTCTCTCCCCTCTCTTTCTCCCTCCCCCCTCTCTCTCTACGTCTCTCTTCCCTCTCTCTCCCCTCTCTCTCCCTCTCTCTCTACGTCTCTCTTCCCCTCTCTCTCCCCCCTCCTCTCTCCCTCTCTCTCTCTCTCTCTGAAGAGTGCGACGTTTTGTATAAACAAATATGCGCGTATATATCGCAATTTTTACCTATGTATATAATTATTTATTTTACATGATCAGTATCCGAGCACTGCGGCATTCTTTGTGAGGGCAGAAGTGTGAAATAAATAAATATTCGTAGAAAGTAAAGTTGCCGAAGATGCTCAGTGGACCGAGACTAAGTCGATGTTGGATTCGGATCGTACTGGTGGTTCGGGTAATAGGCGGATTCTGGTAGGCACGAAGTGATACGCCGCTGCCATCGCAGGAGCAAAATCGTAATCTTTGAGGTTCGCTTGGCCGTCATCCCATGGCGCCAAAGACGGCGGGGAGCTCCCTTCTGCAGATTGCGGAGCTCTGCCGCACGATGCTCACTTGCAGGGTTCTGCCCCTGGAGGGGTACTCTCTCCTTTCCGCCGCCGCAGCTCGCCGGAGCGTCGCCAGAATCCGGTGTGGATGGCCCTTGAGTTCATCCCAGCTTCCTGGCTCCTGCGCGGCCCCCTTCCCTCGTTTGGGGTACCCTGGGAGGGGGAGCTTATCCAGCTATTCGTCCTCGGAAGCCGCTGCTGCCGCCGATCAACTGGAGGAGGACTTGTCACAGGACACCGTCGAGGAGCTGCTCGTGAAGGCGGACAAGATCAAGGGGCTGATGAAGATGGAGAGGAGATCGGACGTGGATGGGGGAGGGGCGAGGAGGGGTAGCAGGTGGTTCCCGTATCTGGATGCGTACCGAGCGGGGACGGGGACGGTGACGAGCCGTGAGGTGGTCGAGGTCGTCGAGCCTTACATAATGGATTCGAGGAAGGAGAGAATGAAGAAGGTTGTGGGCGGCCGGAGCTACTCGATTTGCTTGGTCATCGAGGGTCTGACGGACTTCGGGAACGTCTCCGCCGCCTTCCGATCGGCGGATGCGTTAGGGATCCAGTCGGTGCACGTCATCTCCAACGTGCAAAGCAGAAGGTGCTCCTGTGAGGTGAAAAGCCTCGTGGGCATTCTCTCCCTTCCCTGGGTCTTTCTCGTTGATGGGTCTGGCTTAGAATCCGACCATCCCCCACCCCTGTTCTTCGGAATGATCGTATGATTGTGTGACTCCCGTCTGTGACACGTGCGTTCAGGTACCGTGACAATCGCCATGTTAGCATGGGAGCGGAGAAATGGCTCGATATAGAGATATGGAGCTCAGCCACGGAGTGCTTCAAGGTTTTGAAATCTCGCGGCTACCGCATTGCAACTACTCATCTGGGAACCGGCACGGTACCTTCTTCTCTCACACGTTCTAATGGCGTGGATCTTCTTCTGCTGGATCATTTAATATAGCCTGGTTGACAGTAATCCATCCCCGTGAGCATTTGGTAGCTAATATTTTTTTGTCAACTTTCAATCACTGCGGACTGGAGTGCATAAGATTGTTTGGCAATCATGCACATATTATACAATTATTATTAATTAATTTTATGATGTGTTCCGTGAGAATGCAACCTCTGCGGAATTGTGTGTGGACCTGCATTTATTGCTTACATTTTAGGATTATTGCTGGCATTTCCCAGCAACCATGGTGTGCTAAGCTTGGGACTTTGTCCATTTCAGAAATGCCAATAACTTGGGTCTGCTTCCAGTTCTTATACCTTGGTCTCCTCCTTTCATGCCTGTAATGCCTTTTTTACAGTCAGTTGAGTTGCATTCCCTGATCTTTTTGAAATATGCCTGATTTTCCTCATAAGTTCACGAAATTAGACTAATCTTTCTGTCTCGTGATTCACATATCTTTATCTTGATATTCAATTGAATTTTATTTCTTCTTGTTCTATGTGCTCTGCAGGCATCGATATATGACGTGGATTGGTCGAGTCCAATGGCGATAGTCATCGGAAACGAACAAATGCAAGTGCCATCTATCAGATAGATCTTTCTTTACCTTTAGTATTATGCGCAATAACCCTACCCCTTATTCACATCAATCTGGATCACCCCCACCCACCACCCAGCATTATTTTGATTCCGGTGTTAACTCGAAGTTGCTGATTTCAGGGGTATAAGCCAAGAGGCTTTAGAGATTTCAGACTTGCACTGCAGCATTCCCATGAATGGGATGGTGGATTCCTTCAATGTTTCAGTTGCAGCAGGCATCCTCATGCACCATGCTGTCTGTGATAAAGTTTCCCGTCTGGTAAGCCTCACTGAGCAATAAATGATTCAAACAAGTTACTATGCAATGAACCTGGGGAATTTTACGCAAATGTAAAACTGAAATTGATCCGATTAGGCTGCATTGATTCCCATTAGTGATCACGGAATCAAGCCTAGTGTGTCATGTGCTAGATGAACTGGATCTTAATAGGTTGCATTTCCTGGACTCATAAAAGGTAAGAATAGTCCCATATTGATTATTTAAGACATGCCCGCATATGCTTGTTGGTTTTGAGTCGGATAGCTCAACGATTCTATCATGGCATCAGAGCAGATCGTGGCAAAACCTAAAATTCAGGGGGGGCATGTTGATATTAGTCCCCCGTTGGTCGCGTTAGTATTGAGTAGGATGTGGGGGTTTAATGTTCCAAAAAATGTGGAAATTTGTATGATATCCTTCTTGGTATGATCTCACATCTCCATACGGGTGGCATAGAGAGAAGGATCTGTTCTTTTCTTCTCTTAGACGGACAGAGCTTCTTCCTCAGCTGAATGGAGGGCAACAGACTTCTGCCTAGATATCTATCCCCTGGCATTTGAACTCGAACTGCCTTTGCAGTGCAGACCCTACATTCACATCAATTCACACATATTTATGTGTATATGCATAATTATGTATATATGGTGAGATGGTTTTTAGGTGGTGGAAGATGAATCAGGGAAACGTGTAGGATCTGTTTGTTTTGCTGATGGGTTTCTTATTATCTAATTTTTTGTGGAACAAATCCAGCGATTAGTGCTTGTAGACTGTTTCTTTGATCTCAATGATTTTGCCCAGAAGATATAGAACCAGTGGTTTGATCTACACATTCCCCACTGAAGCTCCAATGCCAAATGCAGGGTTCTCACGGTGATCTGACGTCCGCTGAAAGAGAAATCTTGCTGGCAGAGTTCTTCCTGAGACACAGGGACAGCACAGCCAACATCGTTGAGCAGTATGCCAGACACAGGCGAGGCTAGCCCATCCCCAGGATCTGAATCAGAGGCAAGGAAGTTGAGGGACTAGAGCGGTGCTTTTCCTTAATCGGAAAAGTTCATACAGGTACCTCATACCGATGTATTTTTTTCCCTTCATTTTTATCTATTGGTGGGGAATTACGGCAGAGTTCGTCCATTACTGAAGCAAGAAAAATAAAAAGACGAGTTTTAGTGATCCGATGTCCGTGTGCTTCCATTGATTTTCTCTTTCAAGTTTTAAAAGACAATCTCGGAAAACCCAGGTGATCCGGAATGATTGGGCCTCAGGGATTTGTCTCGAATGGGGATTTAGGAATCAAACTAGAAACTGGGTTACTATTTCTCTGGAGAGAGAGAGAGAGAGATGGATGGATGGATGGATGGATGGATGGATGGATAGATAGATAGATAGATAGATATATATAGATATATATATATCAAGAGGGAGAGAGAGAGAGAAAGAGAGAGAGAGAGAGAGAGAGACGGTGCTGTCTCCCCAGCTCTTTTTCCTAGAGGATGGGTGGATAGGGTTAGCCGTGCCCTGTAATGGATTCCATACTTGCTAGAAATTCTACTGGTTGATAGTCCTTAGAACACGTGACTAAAGTCAACTGTTCCATGGTATGTCAACTCTTTCATGCTTTCACCGGTTTAGTCTGGGTATTCACTGTCGGCTGCTGATCGGTTCGCATGATCTTCGGTCCTCTCTGAGATCCCGGAGAAGAAAACGGAGCCTTACTAAGTGGTGATTAACCTCCCTTTTTTCTTGGTTCTATCCGTCATACTTAATTATATTTTTATGTTCATTTATTAGCGATTTTTCTTTATTAAAAACTTGTTATAAAAAATATAATTTATATCATATTTTTTATTATCACATGTTATCATGTAGAACTGTGTACATTTAGAACGTGATTTAATGGGTCGGGCCCACTCCTCCCCGTTGACTCTCGTAGGGGAGATGAGCGGCGTCGATTTCCTAGCAATACGTGCCGACACCCGAAAAAAATATTGTATCCAACCCTTTCGGACACGTTCGCAGTGCGCTGAACCGTGAGGTGGGTAATCCGTGGCCCTGTGGGCCCCACATAGGTCCACCGACAACCGACGAGGCCGAGGATTCGACACGTAACCAACTGCCGACGTAAATAGATTAAGGGAAACTCCCAAGGATAAGGTCTGCCCCGCCGGGATATTTTGCCTAATTCTAGCAAATTGTGGGCCCCACGCTCCCCCTCTTATAAACGCCCCATTGGGCGAGGAAGGGGTATCTACAATTATCCATTGCCATGGATCCCCCGGCCGAGAACAAGATCGTCGGCAACTCCGCGGCCGGCCCGCCGCCCACGGCGGAGTTACTCTCCGGCGGCAAGGTGATGGCGGAGGCGACGCAGGCCTTCTTCCAGGGCCAGGTAAGCACGGTGGACAAGAAAAAGGTGGCCGCGGCGGCGGGCGACATGCTCGGCGCCGGCGCGTACTACGGCAAGGCCAACGAGAAAGGCTACGGGGAGTACGTGAAGAAAGCCGAGGTGTACCTAGAACAGTACGGCTCCGGCGGCGCCGCCGCCGCCCCTGCTGCCGCCGCCCCGGCTGCCGCAGGAGACTCGCCGGCGACTGATGCCGGCGGCGGGGGATACATGAAGGTGGCGGAGGGCCTCCTGGGCGGCGGCAGCGACGCCGGAAAGAGCGAGGGGGGCGGGCTTGGCGGAGATGTCATGAAGATGGCCGGAGGGTTCTTCAAGTAGGATGATCAGGCCGTCGTCTTCCTTCCCAGTTCTCTCCTCCATGAGCGGGGCTGTAATCTATTTGCGTCTTCTATGTGGAGTTAAACTCCCTGCCGAAATATGAGCGCATACATAGATAAATAAATTATATGGGCTGATGAATATTTCCTATCTAAAACCATGGTCTTCCTTCTCAGAATCTACCCTAAATTGACATTATTTTTCCTCGGATACTATCATGCCCCCCTCCTCCCCCATGCTAATGGTTTACGTGAGGGCCTGAATAATAGGAACGTAAAAAATGATGGAAATTATTTTTAATCAAACCGATGTCATATCGAATGTGACATCCACGTACTACTACGTGCGTAGGGATTTTTTTAATTCATTTTATGTTTTTTTCACATATAATAAATTGTTTTATTAATTTTTTTATTTTTTGCATGCTTGAATATATATTTTTAAGGTAAACGATAATAATTTTAATTACTACTTCTAGTTAATTAACTCACACGTGAGAACAAGTAGATGAGGGATAGGTGACGAGCCCTGAAGCCAACATACGAAGTATTTAGGCAGTCAGATATTGATTTTTTTCATTTAAGTAAATTAGGTGGATTTTATTACCTATATCTAGAATAAATTAACCATGACTTCTGTATGGTCTGAGGGCCGTGTAATTTCGATACAGCTGCTATGAAAATTATATTAAAAGCATTTGGGTATTTTATATTAATATAGGAACTCATTCCTTATTAAATTAATGAGAACTATATAACAGCACATTAAAAATATATTATTTTAAATATCTTACATTCTAGTAAAAGCTAGCGTAGTTATTGACCGATCCCCTGTTTTCATACTACCTGTCTACAAATCTCTACGGACTCTGTTTTTAGTCTCCATAAATCTTCCTAGCTGTCATTATAGCGTCTAGTATGTTATCAGATCAGAATATCCCGTTACTATTTTAAGCCGTATTTTTTGAATTATTAAAAGAGAATAATACTTCCATATTGGAAAATGGAGTAAACATTGTCAACGATGACGGTTCGAGGATAATTATTTTTTTGAAAGAAATATAATAAAAAACCGATATCCTTTTTATAATAAAATAAAGTGTAGTTTTATTGCTGTAATTTACGAATAATGTATAAACAACTTAAATGCAGCATTGAAAGTGGAGTGTCACGGACGCTTGGACGAAAGAGAGGTGGAGTAGGGCTGTGGGCACGTGTTGAGTGGTTGAAAGGGAGAGAGAGAGAGAAAGAGAGAGGGGGAGAGAGGGAGAGAGAGAGGGAGAGAGAGAGGGAGAGAGATAGAGAGAGGGAGGGGGGGGGAGAGAGAGAGAGAGGCCATATTTCTGTGAAAAAGGCTTATTTTATTTTATCGTCATTTGTTAAGAGTCAAACGTGGGTGATCGTCACTTAGCTCTGGTAGTCGTCGGTTTGGAGTTAAAACTGGGTGATCGTCTCTTAACTCTGGTCGTCATTTGTTAGGAGTTAGCTAAACCCGGGTGAGGAAGTCAATGGGGGCTTTAAGACAAATCACAGAGTCAGAGGTCTACGGACAATTAAATGAGTTCAGACGGACCCATATCCAAAAAGACCCCGTAAAAAAGAAGAAGTGAAATCTACCTTGGTTCGTTCAATCAGCTCTCGGTCAACGTCATGGCAAGGACTCAGCGCCGTCGTGGGGCTTCTTACGCAGTTTCCGGTCCCCTCCTAGTCGGGGGACGACTAAGCAACCACCGGAAACCCGAGGATAGAAGAAAGGCGACGCGCCTACTTCTCCATGACGCGCGAGTAACGCGCCGGCGACGGCGGAGAACCGGATTCGTCCTCGCACGGGCCCCCCCGCCTACCTTCAACGCCATTAAATCGACTCGTGTGGGCGATCGGCTTCTTGCGCTCTGTCCAGTCTCCTCTGATCGAAATTCGAGTCCCCCATCGCCGGAATCTTCTTCCTCCTCATGGATCCCTCTGCCCACAAGGAAGATGGGCGAACCCACAAGCCCCGGCCACACGCCAGCGAGCTCCTCGGCAGCGCCAAGGTGGTGGCTGGCGCCGCTAAGGCCTCCCTCCGCCACGAACCTGGCGGCGTGGACAAGGGCAGGGTCGCCGGCGCCGCCGCTGACCTTCTAGACGCCGCCGCCCACTACACCAAAGTCGAGGAGAAGGGCGCGGGGAAGTACATCGAGAAGGCCGAGGGATACCTGCGCACGTACCACTCTACCCATTCGGTACCCGGCGGCGCGGCGCCGCCCACGTCTGCCGCCGCCCACCATGGCGCCGCCGGTAGCGGGGGCCATGGGGAGTACTTGAAGATGGCCCAGGGTCTGCTTGGTGGCCACTCCAGTGGGGGAGGCAGCGGAGCCGGCGGGCACTCCGGCGGAGGAGGTTACGGAGATTACATCAAGATGGCCGAGGGATTGTTGAAGAAGAAATGAGACTGAAAGGATTTCCCCCTCGTCCCGCTTGCTTGGTTACTTTCTTTTATTTGCCAGCAAGTCAGATTCATCAGCTGAATCTACCCTGTCTTTTCGTTTAGTTCCTTAAATTTCCGAATAAAAAAGTGAATTCAGATCAGATTTACCGTCACTACTAGAGAGAGAGAGAGAGAGAGAGAGAGAGAGAGAGAGAGAGAGAGGATCTCCTAGAATTAGCTGGATTCATTGCCAGCTGAAAAAGCTGGGTTCTATGCATTGGCGGGTCCAAAGAGCAGCTCCACGCAGAAATCTCTCCCTGAAATGGATTTACCTTTACAGCTGACCTTATCAAGATCTTCAAGCTTCAACTGCACGCCCAAGGCCAATCAAAGAGAGGAATAATTTGACAACACGTAGAATTTAAAGGAAAAAGACCATATAATTCTATACAGTGTACCTAGATTATGACCCCACATGCATTCGATCATTGAATAAAAACATTCTAATCATGAGGCAAACATAGATGATACCTGTAAGAGACTGCCTTTGATGAAAGTCGTGTTGAAGCAGGCATAGAAGAGGCGCCCGCCGATCATCTTCTCATAAAAGATGACTCTCATGTCGCCAGAAACCTTGAAAAAAAATAAAAATAATGCAGGTTACTATGTAGATAGAAAGTCAGGGTGACTGGACAAGATGATAAAGTCGAGAAAGAATGCACACATGTACAGGTTTCTCAAAGTGGTAATCCAGGCACTTTTTCTGATAGATAGTCGAACTCTCTGTATCCATCTGAACCACCATTCGTGGACCATCTGATCCTCCTTTCGTCTTTTCATCATCCTCATCGACGAAGGATAGGTAATAACGTGAACTGTAGGTTCTATGATAACCTTGTTTGACTTGCCGACAGTAACCTCTGGCAACTTCCACCTGTGGTTGGTATGCTTGACCTGGAACCTGTTTGTACAAGAAAATAAATAAATAAATAAAATCCTTTTTTTTTTTTTTTTGGTAAAGGGCATGAAACAGGTGATTAACCAGTTGGAAAATTCATCTTCATTAGTTTCCACAATGAGGCAAACCATTCCCTGTACCAAGTCATTGACAATGTTTAATCAACCTTGTAATAATCATTGAACGATTTTAGTCTCTGAAGAGAGCTCACACTCAGATATTAATCTTGAGTTATACTTTATTATCATGCATATACGGCAAAGTCGTGGACGGTATTCTTAGTCAAACACATATTTGCTCAGAGATAACGTTCAGAGAAACGATGGACATTTAGCTGAAGATCCAAGCTGACCCTTTTGCCAGGAAACAGCTTCATGATTCCTGATGTTGTATCAGTACCTGACCACGCGGTGGGGCAAGAAGATGAGCTGAGATAAGCTCAGCGCCAATCGAGCCTAAATAATCATAAAAAATGATGAAACTTCGTTTACAATACATTGACACTCTGTATAATAACTCAGGTTCTTCACAGATGATCTGGAAAAGACAGCACTAGAAAATCCTCACGGTCTAGGCCTTCATTTCAAAAATAAAATTGTGAACTAAAGTCAACGGTAGTAGATGTCAAGTTAAAGCTGGTTGGCATATAAGATTTTTTTTTTCGAGGCATTGACCAGCACAAGTGAGATAAAACAGTTTCATGTTTTTCTCAGAGCATTCAAGCATAAAACCAAATTCTTCACTTATGATGAATTAAAAATATTGTATATCGAGGATTATTGGCAAAAAAAAAAAACTTGAAAGAGCATAACCTCACACGACACCCATGCACAAATTTACATGGGGATCATCTTATATAAATCTTGGGTAGTCACCAGGTCACCCCCCCTCGAAGGCCCCATACCAAGGTGCCTCCCTCACCCGCATCTATCTATTTGAGTCACGACTGGATAAGAACTACAAGGGTTAACAGTAGGAATTATGCGGATGTGAAAATAATTAGGTTGATGGATTACCTCTTGCATTTCAGAGACCACAAAAAAGATAGAGTCAACGTTGACTGTGTCGTAAAGACGGATCCGCCGGAGTTCTCTGGTACTTCGTGGAGGCAAATGTACTACGGGACGTTGACTACTGATTCCCACAGGAAACTCGAGCAATTCAGACCAATACCCGACATAACGCCGCTGGCTTGGAATGGAAACCTGAGGAAAATTGACTGATGAGCCAGGTAAAAATGGAGTTTCAATTTGATAGAGGATTAAAACATGCTAGAATCACAATCTGACGACTAAAAGAGATACCTTTGGATATCATTTCTACATTACTTTGATAAGCCCTCACCCATTTTGCACCTTAAACCTCCTTTTTGCATCGTTAAAGGAAGAAAAAAACTCCTTTGTTAACATTTATTTTATTTAAATTTTTGATTGAATCCGAGACTCTTATCATTACAATCCACATAAGATAAAAGTGGCTATAATCACGTCAAGATTCAGCATAATTACTGGACGATTCAGCATCTATACCGATTATTTTTTTTCACACTGTTTTATACCATCACAATGGTCACAAAGTAAAGAGATCATTAGTTCATAATGGATACGGTTTTACAAATAGATGGCTGCTTCAAGCAAAGTACTTACTCCTTGATTGTTGGTTGTTCTCCTTTCTGCATATAGTTGAAGAGCTTCGTCAGCTGTCATGCCAGTGTAAACTAGATAAGCACTTATCATCAAACCTGTTCGACCTTTGCCAGCCTACAAGTTACAGATCAATGTAAAATTTCATGAAGTTTAATCCCTTTTGGCAGAGATATGCTGTATTCAACGGTTACTGCACTACATATGACCCAAAGGAAGATGAACACATTTGCAAATAAATATTTCATAGAAAAGGCTCAATCAATATGTTTCAGTAACATGGCCCATGAAGAAACCATAGAAACGCAGCAGGTACGGCAGAATATATCTCTGAAGTGGAAAAAGAACATCCAGAAAAGCTAAGACTTCTACGACCAATCGGATACCATCAGACAGAAATTCTTAGGTGCACTTTTTGCGAAGTCTTTGCTGTTTTGAATTCAGATAATGAAGATATTACCGTGCAATGGACAACCGCAATACTTTGTGGATGCTGGGACAGCCATGAATGAACACTTTCACAGAACTGCTTGATCATCGAAAGTGATGGAACATGGTTGTCATCAAACGGAAACACCTCCACACGTCCATGAAAATGATGTACGTCATAGGATTCTTCTGCACACAAATTATAGACCTGAAACAATAAATAGCATTAAAGTTTTAGACGTCTGGGGAAAACTAAGAAATCAAAATATTAAAGATAAATCTACGACCGATGCATACCACAAAGAGAAATATTATGTTTCACAAGGGTTTTAAAAAAAAATATGGAGGAGCATGAGCTCCCATCAAATTCAGGGCAGTGGGTGGACAATTGTCTATCACTATGAAAGGAATGCAAGGGAGACAAAGGAATGAGAGAAATGAGCTTCGAGCATGACGAGCACCTTGTAGTGTCCAGAGTGTCTCATATCTAGAACAGTCTTGACCTGCCAGAGGGGATTCCGATACATGGCACGCATTTGTTCAGCAGGAAATGACATCGCCAGCAAGCGGTCAGTGATATACGACATGTCAAGATCATATCCACACACAAGCATTCGTCTCCTTTTCTTTGACACCAAGTTTCGGATGTAGAAAAAATTGGTGAGATAACTGAGCATCTTATGATGGTCATTGACCTCTTCAACAGTCCCGACCCTTGCAGGTCCTTGATATGATAATTTCGCCCCCAGCTTGACTGAATTAATAAATGACCTCTATGTATGCTAATCGAGACGGAAGTCCACCTGCATAAATCAGAATATCGAGGAATCTGTTCTTCAGATGATTCTACAAACGTGTTGCTTCAAGAGGGTTTTGGAGCACTGACCATCACCATTCAATGCACAGATATAGGATTAGAATAACTCTACTGCACCATCATTTATGAATTAATGGCAATCACCGCAATCAGGACACACTATAGTTCTACCTTTCGCATGAATATTCAACCGAGTTGGTCAGCAGCTTCCATTTATTAACAGTACTCAAAAGCCATTGTTTATAGAACAGAAGAGGCTAAATTATGCGCCAGTTCTGCAAAAACACTGGAAAACTCGAACATTTTGGAACCAGTGAGTTCTTCGTCTGAAAAAATGGATTTGAACCCGTTTTCACGCCTACAATTATAAATATATGATATCCTAAAAATCCCTGTTCTTCTCCAATGAAGTACAGTTGATGTTTGGATCTGACACTGAAGATTTGAGTGCCATGTTACTCAGAAAGGTTAAACCAAAACCAAGTGCGGAGAAAAACATACCGAATGATGTCATCACTGCATAATTATGCCCATCATATATATTTAAACGACTATCAAACATCTATGAACCCATCAAAAAGCAAAAGAAATATGGGGAAAGACAGGACAGTCGTTAATCACGTAATTTTACCTGGCATGCCCAGATTTTTCCTTCAAAAGTTTGCAAGTAATTTTCTCATTCTTAACGACCTTAAGATATGGAGATTATACCTAAGGAATGATTTAAAGCCAATGGTAAGACTATTTGATCCGGCCGCCAATCAAAACGAGACGACTTCTTCGAATGTGCTACGAATGTCAATCGCACGTTCTAATTCTTCTCTGCCAACCATCAGGATAAACATATTTATGCCATTTCGGATTGGACTAGCCATTCCCGTCGCGATTTCCAGTTCCCATCATATGTATCGGGAATAGAAAAAACACTAGAACGGCAAATAGGACCGGTACCGAGTTCGAAGCTCAAGAAAGAGATCATAATGCAAACCTTCTCTACGGAAGCGACGCCCTTCCGACCGTATCTGTTTACCCTAAACAACGGAAGCCTGGCACTCAAGGCGGAACCTATTGCATGGCGAGGAGCGGGGAGAGTAGAAGGGAGCCCCTAGGAATAGCCCCCAGAAAATAAATTATCCGTCCTTGAGTAGCGCAGACGAGAAAAGTGGCAGTGAATTAGATGATCCCCAGTGTTCTTATCTTCCCAAATTCGCCGCATTTTCCATGACCCCAGCTTTGGATAAAAAACAGGGCGAGATTCAAGGGGTTTCTGTTTAATTGTAGGAGTCCGTTCCTACATCTCCGCATCGTCGTCCTACGTAGCTCCTCCTCTTGCGCCGATCAGGGGCCACCAAAGCTCGGGGACGCGCGTCAATGGCGGCCGCCCCCCATGCGCCGGAGACGGAGCCGCCCGGCGAGAGAGCTCCCCCGAGCGAGAGCTATTTCCATGATCCAGAGGCCGTTTGGCTTCCCCCGCCTCGTTCAACCCGTCTTCGCGCCTTTCCTGCCGTATCTCTTAAACCGAAAAACAGAAAACTTCACTTTAAAATCCCTTTAAATTAACCATTTTACATATACCCTTATTTGAAAAACAAAAATCTGTACATACCCAGGCTTTCAATCCTTATCTTCTAAATTCCCCCTTACTTATCTTCCACTTGCTAATTGGGTAAAATATAAGGACTTATTTTTAAAAATCGAGGCCCGTCAAACCATCGATAAAGTCAGCTCTAAGATAATATTTTTTTAATTAATGAAAATAATCCTTCTTTTTGATGACCATATCGCTTCCAAATATGATAAAAATGGCATTTTGAAGAGAAGAAATGATTACCTTTTCTGCGGTAAGCATGAAGCTATGCAAAAGCTGGCCCTCTGAATCGCACCGCCGGGGCCCGCCACCGCCGCCGGCAGCCCCCAGAAGCTTCGCGTCGACAGGAACGCTTCATCTCCCAACTCGTCGTCAACCTGATCGGCGCTTCTTCCTGTCGCTTGTTCTTAGACGACTGTCCCCCGTGAGAACATCAGTCATATACGATCTTTTGTGACCGTAATCCGATGGCTCTTTCCGGACAAGCGAGGGGCGGGGGGGGACCGCGTCGTCTTTCGATTTAAAGTCAACCTTTGCTACATGGAAGTCAACTGTTCACCGACCAACCGGAGAAGAGAGTAGACAGAGCGGAGTCAACCGCGGAGATTCCTCCTCCAGATCCTCTCTGGATCGTTCTCGCGCGCTTCGTACGCGTGTACTGAGAGGCCTTCTTCGTAGCTTCCCGGAATCCTCCATGGAAGCAGCCCGCTCTGTGATCTCCTCCCCCGGCTTCCGCCGTCCTCTCCTTTCTCCGAACTAGGATGGGCATCTCCATCGCCCCCGGCTGGCTCGCTCCGACGCTTGCTATCTCGCGAGCTCGAAGGTCTGGAAGAAGACCGGCGGACCTGCCGCGAGGGCTTCGCCGTCGCAGCAGGCGTTCTCCCTGAGACGGGGAGGATCATCGGCTCCGCCGCCCGGAGGTGGAAGTCTGCCGCCGCCGCTAGGGAGCTGCTCGAGGAACTGCTGCTCAAGGTGAGAGGACCGTCCCTGAAGCATCCGAAGACCATCTCCCAAACCCACTTGGAGATTTTCGTGAGTCTTTGTTCCTCAATGTCTAGCATATATTAAAGCTAAAGCACTTTAAAAAAATAATTACGTGTTTGAACGTGCCATCATATCTGGAAATCTATCTGCCGTTTGCCGTTGTTCATCAGATGCGTTTTATGCTTCCAAAATATGCCGTTAGTTGTGAATTTTCAGTGTATTATGTAGAAAAGTGGGTTTACAATACGAAATCTTGGGATCGACTTCTTCACTGCACTTGTAGTACCTGCGCGTGCATAAATTAGTGTGTATCTATCATGGAGATAGAGAAAGAGAGAGGGATGGATGGAGACAGTAGAGAGAGAGAGAGAGAGAGAGAGAGAGAGAGAGAGAGAGAGAGAGAGAGAGAGAAGCTGACTGACATGGTCAGGGTGTAGTGGACTAATACTCTTATACGACTTGGTTTTGGAACCCAGTCTGCGAAAAATCAGGCAGAGTTGGGGTATGGGAGATCTATGCCTAGGAATACTCGTGTTAGGATAATCAGTTCGATTTTTTTTCTATTTGACAGAGAAATTCATGCTTATTATCACATTTTTAACGCAGGGTTTCGTTTTTCCTGCTACTCAACTGGCAATGGCGAGGCACTGCATGAAACCCCCATCAAGCGAACTGTTTTAGATCTCATGGGGGAACCCAGACCAGGCCTCTGGGCGTCCTCCACACCTCTTACCGCCATCGCTGTCGCTGCCTTCAGGGGGTGAAATCAAGAGGTAACCGGGTCATGAAATTAGGGCTCTACAGGGTGAGAAAGACGACGAGGGAGAAGAAAGCCAGCGTCTAGAAGGTTCGGCGACTGAAGTGTAAGAGCCTGCATCAACATTAGGTTTTCTATCTTTTTATGAGCTCCTCGCCTGCTAGTCCGGTACGAAAGCAACAGAGCGGGGGAGAGAGAGAGGACCCTGATGTCTCCTCTCGCCCATCGAGAAAGAGACGGAGAACCCACCGCACCGCTCCTCATTCCTGTCTTAAGATGCCTCTCTCCTCTCTCTCTCTCTCTCTCTCTCTCAGGAAGACGCATTGCCGATGAGAAGAGTTTCGGAAACGTTTCTACGAGAAAACATGCCGGGGATCGCCGGAGCCGGACGGAGAAGGAATAATGCTCGTGGTGGGGAGACGGGGAAAATATGTAAAATAACGAAATTCAAAAGAAGGCGGGGGCGCCTTCCACTGGGGTCCACCTCAGATCGAGATGTCCTACGTGTTGAGGAGGAAGAAGGACACCCAAGGCGTGCCACGGCAGACAGTTGCACAATGGGGCCCACTGAAAAACCATACGTTTTGCATTGCACGCATTAATATGTGCGTGACAGAGAGAGCGAGAGAGTGAGAGGCGCGCCACTCGTTTGGACACTTGTGGGGGAGCCCTCCGCTCTTCTCGTCCTTTTGACGGAAACACACCGCTTCCCCTCCGGCACCGGCGGTTTCATCTTCCCTGTCGCATCCTTCTCTGAGCTGGCAAGGACCCTCTCCCTGCTTCTCCAATGGAGGCGGACCGCGTCGGCTTCTTCGGCTGATCTCTCTCCGTACCCTCCTTCCTCTCTCTCTCTCTCTCTCTCTCTCTCGGTCTCTCTCTCTCTCTCTGTCGCTCGCTCCCGCTCTCGCTGTTCGCTCGTCCTACGCCGCTGTCCCAGAGAGGAGGGGAGGGGAGGGGAGGGGAGGGGAGGGGAGGGCAGGGCAGGGCAGGAAGGGAGAGGCAGGTATATGTTCAGAAGGGCGTGCGACGAGGCTGGGCGCCTCTCGCTCCTCCGTTGATGGTCGTCTCTTTTATCGGGTGCTGCTCTGGTGGGAGGTCGGAGCTCTCACTCTCCCACACCCTCCTCCCTCTCCTCTGATGGTTCCCAGAGAATGGCCTCAGTCTCTCGGCTCCTCGTTTCCCTCTCAAGGTTAGGCTTCTTTTGCTCGAGGAGGAGGAAGACAGACCTCCACTCCACAGCCCAGAGTCGCGGCCTCCTATCTTTCTCGTCTGGTTTTAATTTTAAACTCTCCCGAGGGCCCGTTTCCGATCACCGACTGAGGATTTCGCCAGAGTGATGCAGGTGGATCGGAGCTTTCAGTGATGGGGGGAGGAAGAAGCTCTGCGCCCACGAGCAAGACGACGGAAGCAACAGCAGCAGGGAGGGTAGCACCTCCTTGCACTCGCCGGGGGAGTGCTACGCCTGTACTCAGGTGGGCGCCCCTGCATTCCACTCCACCAGCTGCGACCACGCGCACCCGCCGGAGTGGGAGGCCAACGCCGGCTCCTCCTTGATCCCCATCCAGAACCTCCCCACCGCCCACTCCGCCAGGCCCGGCGGCGCCGCCAAGCTTGGGAAGGGAGGGGCCGACCCACGTTCCACCTGGATCTTCGGGCGAGTGCTCGACCCTCGCAGCAAGCGGGTGCACCGATGGAACCGGGGCTTCTTGCTGGCGCGAGCGCTAGCGTTGGCCATCGACCCGCTCTTCTTCTACGCCCTCTCCATCGGGAGCGGCGGCGCCACCTGCTTCTTCATGGACGCGGGAATAGCCCTCATCGTCACCGCCCTCCGCACCTTTGCCGACGTGGTCCATGTCTTCCACATCTGGCTCCAGTTCCGTCTCGCCTACATCTCAAAGGAATCGCTAGTGGTTGGCTGCGGGAAGCTCGTCTGGGACGCCCGCGCCGTCGCCGCTCACTACGTCCTCTCGCCGAAGCGCTTCTGGTTCGACATCTTCGTCATCCTCCCGATGCCCCAGGTATCTGTCGCTCCGCCCTCCCGCAGGTCCTTGGCGGCGCCTGCTGCGCGTTTGCTCTTCAATATCGAACGTCTTGTAGGTGGTCCTCTGGCTGATCGTGCCGAAGTTGATCCGAGAAGGGAGGATCAAGCTCGTGGTGACGATCCTCCTCTTCATCTTCCTGTTCCAGTTCCTCCCCAAGGTCTACCACAGCATCGCCACCATGCGGAGGATGCAGAAGGTTACGGGGTACATTTTCGGGACCATCTGGTGGGGCTTCGCCCTCAACCTTGCCGCCTACTTCATCGCTTCCCATGTGAGTAGAGCCTCGAATCGCCGAAAAAGGTGGATCAATTCAGGTATCTGGGCCTCTAAATCTTTTCTGTTCAGGTGGCCGGCGGCTGCTGGTACGTTCTAGCGATCCAGCGGGTGGCTTCGTGCCTCCGGCATGAATGCGAGGGCAAAAACAGTTGCGGCCTCGTCCCGTTGGCCTGCTCCAAGGAGCTCTGCTATCGGATACCCTTACCGAGGGGTTTGGGCGAGTACTCCTGCAACAGCAACCTGACGATGGCCGCTGCTAGGAAGAGCTTTCCCGAATGTCTGCAACCAGAGGGGGCCTTCCCGTACGGGATCTACAGTTGGGCTCTCCCCGTTGTCTCTGCTGACTCGGTCTCCGTGAAGATACTCTACCCCATATTCTGGGGCCTAATGACCCTCAGGTTATTGTTTTGAAAAACTTCGGAACTTATCTTGTTTTCGAACTTTTCGCATCCAGGAATGTCTCTGATCCATTCCCTAGATCCGCAGCACCTTTGGCAATGTTCTCGAGCCCACCAGTCAGTGGATGGAGGTGGTCTTCAGCATAATCATCACTCTCAGCGGTCTGATGCTCTTCACATTGCTGATCGGAAACATCCAGGTGGGCTGTAGCTTCAAAAATCTCCTCCTCCCTCCATCGTCTTCCCTCGTCTCCTCAGGCCGACGAACTTATCCCCGACGGTGCAGGTCTTCCTGCATGCCGTCATGGCCAGGAAAAGGAAGATGCAGCTGCGTTGCCGGGACATGGAGTGGTGGATGCGGCGGCGGCAGCTGCCGTCGCGGCTCCGGCAGAGGGTCCGCCAGTACGAGCACCAGAGATGGGCCGCCATGAGGGGCGAGGAGGAGATGGAGATGATCCGGGACCTGCCGCAGGGCCTGAGGCGCGACATAAAGCGCCACCTATGCCTCGATCTCATCAAGCAGGTGGTCCAAATCAACCCCTGTGTCGCTCCTCCTCCGTCCCCACGGTCCCTGACGCTGTTCATCTGTCGTCTGCTCCTTGGATCATCGCAGGTGCCACTGTTCAATAACTTGGACGACCTCATCCTTGACAACATCTGCGACCGGGTCAAGCCCATCGTCTTCTCCAAGGGAGAGAAGGTGACGTAGAACGATAATCCCTCACCACCCTTCGCTGTGCTCATTCTTCTTCTTATTCTTCTTCTTATTCTTCTTCTTCTTCCTCCAGGTGATCAGGGAAGGCGACCCGGTTCAGCGCATGGTGTTCATCGTCCGTGGGCGCCTGCGGAGCAGCCAGTGCCTCAGCAAGGGCACGGTGGCGACCTGCATGCTGGGGCCGGGGAATTTCCTTGGCGACGAGCTCCTCTCATGGTGCCTCCGCCGGCCGTTCGTCGACCGCCTGCCGACCTCCTCCGCCACCTTCGAGTGCGTTGATCCGGCCTACGGCTTCTCCCTCGACGCTCACGACTTCAGGTACCTGACCGAGCACTTCCGGTACAAGTTCGCCAACGAGAGGCTCAAGAAGACGGCCAGGCACTATTCCTCCAACTGGCGCACCTGGGCGGCGGTCAACATCCAGCTCGCCTGGCGGCGCCACCGCGTGAGGACGAGGGGCGCCGCCCCTCCTCCCCCCCCGGAAAGCGGCTGTAGCGACGCCGAACGCCGCCTCCGGCAGTACGCCGCCGTGTTCATGGCCATCCGGCCTCACGACCACCTCGAATAAACCCACCAGATCGCCCAAAAGCTCGAATAAAAAGGGGGAGGGGGGGCGGGTGGCCGTGGTAAATAAGACTCGCTGGTTTAGTCCGCAGCGTTGACATTTTATCCGCCGCCGTTACATTGGGGAACCCACGAAGAGGTGATAACTTACTTACACAACCAGTGATTATTTATATAACATGTGCCACTAACTGCAAGTCAACTATCTACCCCGACGAGAGGCAATTCCACGTCATCGCGCCACTCCACGCAGCGAGTCTCCACGTAGGACGATTTGAGCTCGTTGGGCCAGTATGTTACCCAGATCTTGGCGCCAACACGCCACCTCATCACCTTCCCCTCCATCTCCCTCCCGACCCTCCAGCTTGCCCATTGTCCGTGCTCTTCCCCGGCCACCACCAGCCCGCCGCCCTTGTTGAAGACCCGCCCGGGTCCGGTGTAGCGCCGCCGCATCGCGCCCCTCGGGTCGGGCCCGCCGGCGGCGGCGCCGGGTCTCCAGGCGGCGGCCTCCGCCCCTGTCGCGGGGTCGCACAGTACACCCTCAAACACGGCAAGGTTCCCCTCCGCCGCCTGCTCCCACCGCCAGGCGCGGGTCCGCGACCGAGCCGTGGTCCGAGCCACCGCCTTCACTCTGGGGAACTTGGAGTCGCCGAGGCCCGCCTTGACCGTCTGTTCCCTCTCCATCTCCCTCTCCGGGTTCTCCGTGGAGCGACCAAGACTCAGGCAAGAGACGCCGGCGGAGCCGAGCTCCGGGCCCACCCAGACGCGGACCCGGGACGGGAAGTGCCGCTCGTCCGGCGGCGGTGCCACGGCGGCGCCGCCGGCGGGATCGTCCTCCTCCGTCTCACCCTTCCCAAAGCCGAGTCGCGCGACGAGCAGTCGCAAGTTGTCGACCCGGACGGCGACTCGGAGGAATCGGTCGCCGGGCCGTGAGGCCGCCACGGAGTACTCCAGCTGGAGCACCGATTCCAGCTGCTGGTGCGCGAGGGCGTAGCGGAGAAGTGCCTCCTTGGCCTCCAGGTGGTCGCCAGCGGGGGCGTGGTTCGTGCGGGCCATGGACAGGATAGGGGCGTAGCCTCTAAGCACCCAGAGCCCGTGCGACTCGGCGGCGTAGGAGAATGATCCGAGACTGGGACGGGAGTCGCCCGACTCAGAAGGAGGCGACAGCTCCCTCAAAATGGACCTCTTGGCCAGCAGGTAGCCCAGCGACCGCATAAAAAGCATCTCCCAGTCGACGCCCCCCGAGAGGAGGAACTCCCTCATGACCTCCCTGCAGTCGAGGCTACTCTCCAGGCGCGCGTTCATGGCCTGGAAGAAGAGGTAGCCCACCTCCGCGGGGGAGTCGCAGGCGCAGAGCCAGAAGAGCCTGGAGAGGAAGACGAGATCGAAGAAGTGGGCGAACTCCGAGCGGGGGCTCCAGCTCGTGAAGAAGCGGCGCAGATCGAGCTTCGGCGGGACACCCGCGGCGGCGCCGCTGGAGGGGGCCCTGGAAATGACTTCCTGGACGAGCTGGAGGAGGAGAGGGTAGAGGCCATAGCGGCCGTCGGAGGAGATGGGGCATGGGTTTGATACCCACAGCGTCTTGGAGGGGATGGAGGGGTGGAACCCTTGCAGGCACACCGAGAAGGTCGCAAGGGCCTCCGAGTTGGAGCCCGCCGTCCTCTCGGCCTTAAGGGCGACGGACTTGGCCGGCGACCCCGCCACCTCCAGGATGAACCGCGAGTCCGCCGTCTCCGGCCACTCCTCGGGGTCCGGCAGGTCGGTAATCCATGACCAGACCCCCTTCATCCTACCTCCTCTCTCTCTCTCTGAGATTCTCTCCTTCCCTCTCTGTATAGAGTTAGATGGCGTAAGTGGCGTGTGTTAAAGGGAAGAGGCAGTGGCGGGGGAGGGGCCTACTTGGAGGAAGCTATGGCCGCTGGAATCAAGTGGGGAATTGCAGCCAGAAAGAGCGGCAGGCAGCGCCGAAGGAGACACGGTCGTCCATTCGCGTCCTCTTCTCGCCCGGAGACCACCAGGACCACTCAAACGTGTAGCGCCGGCGGGTCGACAAACCTCGGCCTTTAAAAATTCTGAAACACGACGGCAGTAAGGATCTCATTAATACAATAAAATCATGGCTCGCCGCAAATCTGCCCCATCTGCCAGGAGAGAGAAAGAAAGAAAGAAAGAAAGGAAATAGATAATTAGTAAAAGAATCCTGACCGAGGAGGCAAGCGGCGGCAGCGCCCGCAGGCACCGGAGGCGGCCGTCGAACGTGAAAACGTAGCCGCGGGTCAGCTCGGCGGAGACGACGGTGCCCCTGTAGTGCAGGTTCTTGACCACCGTCTGGGTCTTGGACCAGAGGCGAGCTTCGTGGAGTTCCCCTTCCTTCCAGCTGATGTTCACCGTCACGCCGCCGCGGGCCTTTAGGCCTTGGACGCTGCCGCTGGCCCACTTATCCCTCGGCAGCGCCGGGAGCAGGTGCAGGTCGGTTTCGGTGCTCTGGGCCAGCATCTCTGCGACGCCGGCGGTGAAGCTGCGAAGGGGAGCGTCGACAGCGCCGTCAGAAGGGTCCCCACGAGAGGAGCGAATGCGTCGACCGGCGGCGGCTCTGCGTTAGAAACAGTGAAGAGAGACATACCCGAAGTTCCCGTCGATCTGGAAGGGCGGGTGGGCGGTGAACAGGTTGCTGTAGAGCCCCCCTTCGTAGCTAGATTCGTGTTCTGGATCGATCAGGTTGATCAACTGCAGGACCATCTTGTAGGCGTGGCCACTGTTGTGGAGGTGCGCCCACAGCGCCATCTTCCATGTGGTCGACCAACCGGGCCCTTCGTCCCCTGCACATACCCACACTGGTTCAGTCGCTTCAAGCTATTCTGAATCGTCAGTAGCTACCGGCATCTATGACCTTAAAATAAATCACATAAGATCTCCACTTTTCATAGCCTGTCATTCACTTCAGGAGATGTTCCAACACAAACAGGATCAGGTTGGAAGGTAATCTTCCCAAGATAATTCCACGTATTTTCTTTTGCCGATTGTTCAAATCAATTCCTGTATGCTTCGTGTGTGTGTTTTTAGTGATTTTTCTTCATTCTCATCCACACTAGTCTGTAGATCACCCTTCTTCATTAGTATCTATAAATTATAGGATACTGCTACCACCAGGATTTTTATCATCTACTGTGTGAGTCAGAAGAAACATCACGTTAGCGGAGAAATTTAATTATGTATGCACAATATTCTAACCTAACAGTAGAATTTTCGCACGAAAAATGAAAAAAAAAGACCAAGTTTTGATCTACATAAATTTTCTGACCTCTTTTGTACAGGGTGTAATCAGCAGCTCTGCATAAGTCTGGGTTCTTTTCCATAGTAATCGTATGCCCGGGAAAAAGGCCAAACAAATGCGACAAATGGCGATGATGCACTTCAGGATCCTGAAAATCTTGTGCCTGCTCGAGTAAGGGGAAGAGAAGGCTATGAGACCTCGTGAGCTGTGCAGAACATGATTTGAGTAATTTAGGGTGAGAGTGAAGAACTAGGTACCCATTCCATTATAGAACCATCCCTGGCGATTCTTGTTGGAGGAAGCCTTGATAGTGCCTTTCTAACTTTTTGTATAAAATCATCCTCTGTTCTTCCCAGAACCTAGGTTGTACACAGAAAACGAGATAATCCATTATAAGTATGCAGAAATCTAGCTGGAATCTCTCTCTCTCTCTCTCTCTCTATCTAATATCCAGTATGAGGTTTACCTCAGAAGCCGAAATAACAGCAGAAAAAACCTCTTTCGTGATTGCAATGTCCATGGTCGAAGAATAGCTGACACTCGCAGTCTTACCGTCAGGTGCAATGAAAGCATGCTCAGGCGAAGTCGATGGGTTGGTTTCTAGGAATCCTCCTTGTCCTTCAATCATCCAGTCCAAGAGAAAAGATGCGCAACCTTGGAGCAAAGGGTAAGCTCTATTCTGAAGAAAAACCTGGACGTGCATAACAGGGAGGGTTAGAGAATCTCATATCTGCTGAGGATAAATCCTTAGCAATCTGCACCGTACTAAATTATCCATCCACATATGAACCCCATACTGACGCAAGGGAGATGCAGTTAGAGATAGTATATGGCATGATGCCCTTTATACAATCTTAGCCCAAATTTACTGCAGCACATGGACACATCATAATCACAAGAACCAGCATATTTCCCTTCCCATTTCAGTAAATGTATGAAATTTTCTTAGTTTTGAATGCCCTGGGATAATTATTTTTACCACATATTTCTACACGTTCCCAACAGAAAATGCCATTTTCATAGATTTGGTCCTCGTACAACTTTTAAATTGTTTCCTTTCAATAGAGTAGCGTTTATTGATCTTTAGGGAACTCGCATACCATCAAGCCAAAATTTATATGCTTTCTTCAGAATGACGGATGTCCACCCTCCTCAGAAAGGTGAAGATTGTATTCATAAAAAACAAATTAACACAAGTTAAATTTCGGATAAATAACTAAAATGTAATCTAAATAATAAAATTAGTCATTGTCAAAGCGCTTTAACACGATACCTTGTCCATAGAAAAAGTATAATGCTCCCATAGATGAGTACAAATCCATGCTCCTCCCATTGGCCACAATGCCCAGACAGGATCACCGTTATCTGGTGATGTTTTTGCCCATATATCTGAGACTTGATGTGCCACCCAACCACTACACTCGTAGTTCACCTGTATACTAGCAGTCAAATGACCAAACTTGAATAATATAAAAAAATTCCTATTTTCATATTACAAAAGACAATGATTGAAACATGTATCTTGAGAAAAGAAAATTAGGCGGTTTAATCAACGTGTTAAAGTTAACGAATAGCTCATCCAAGTAAAGCATAAAAGCATTCTCTGTGAATGAATTTCAAGGATATTGATAACAGATTCATTGGTACCAAGTAAACAGTTCGAGTAAGTAGGATAAACTCATTCCTGCCTTTTGGTGAATGAAGATGACGCTAATCGACACCCAACATTCCTTTTGGTTTTCGTGTAACAATGGACCTTGATTCCCTTAAATTTTCCATGATAAAACAGAAGTAGAACTACGCTCCACGGTAAATGACATGTATATTCATTTCATAAACATCTTTCTTCCATTGAAAATTTACTTGTCTCTTGTACGTCAATTTTTCTGCACTGAAATGTCTGAGCACGCAACAATGCCTACCAGGATGGCCTCCATAACTATTTTCTATCAGAAGGACGATCTGTCGATAATACTGGTCACAAAACAATAAGTCGTTATGTAAGAAGAACTATGATCTTACCTTTGCCGTTTTAGCTCCATTGATCGCTAGAGAAGAGATGTAATCAAACAATGGTTCCTGGCATTCGCTGAGATTGCAAGAAAGTGAGGGCCAGTAGTTCATCTGGAGATTGATATTTAGGTGAGGAGCTGCACTGAAAGATTAAAAAACAACAGTGAGATTTTTGGGCAGATGTCAAATGACAGCTTTTATTTTGAAAAGTAAATGTTGAATCCATTTCCTGCACTGACTGTCATGTTTAAAGGAATGCAACATCTTGCATTCCGAAGATCAGATGACCATGCAGGTTAAAAATAATATAGAGCATGGAAGAAAATCAAACATTAATAATATTTTCTAATCAATAAGTCTGAAACCCGGAGAAGACTTAAACCAATATTAGCGAAGGAATCAGTAAATACAGTATAGCAGGCATGACGTGTTTAAAGCAGTTGAATAATGGAAAACAATGTGGCCCCAGATGCGAGCAAGTAATTTTCGTTCTTCGGTCCTAATAGTTCCTTTAGAAATGAGCACCACTAGAGGCGTTTTACTATTTCATCTAATAACCGTTTCAAATTCTCTTCTTAAGATGATTGAGATAAACGGGATGATGATCCAAGAGTTTTTTGTTGTTGCAATAAGCAGAATTAAAGGTAGCCCAAAAAGTAGAGAAAAGTAAGAAATGGCATTAGCACCAGTCATTTTTCCCCTTCCTCACAAGTCCACACATAAATGGCTATGACCGAATGAAAAAACTAGTAATCCGTGTCTGACATGAATGTATTTTCGAAGTCGGTTTTTTTTTCTTCCCACTCCCCCTCCTTTATGTAGTGCGAAAAGTATCATCGTAAAAGGAAAACGATTATAACATATATCGAGAATCATACTCCCATGGTGGTTCGAGATCTTTGCTCCATATTCCTTGTAAATTTGCGGCCTGAGTTCCAGGCCGTGAACAAGATATAAGCAAATAACGACCATATTGAAACAGAAGTTCAACCAAAGAAGGATCTTCATCTGATCTGAAAGATTTCACTCTCTCAGCAGTGGAAATCAAAGCATCATCAAAAAAACTGGCTGAGGTCATATTGACCGGAGGAAGTCCAATATTCCCATCCAAATGGACATCAAAAGGATTCCTCTTGGAAAAGGATGATATATTTCCTCTGGATCCACTCTTGGAGCTATTTGGCAATCTCAATGTGACTCGATGAAAGAGTTCCTGATAATCATTCAAGTGATTCGCAAATAACTGCGCAAAAGAATTTTTTTTCACAACACTCATGGTACCAATTAATGCAGCAGTCAGATCCTTCCTGGAACTTGATGGATTGGCAAATGGCCCGTCAAAAGAAGATGATGCCACCAGAAGCAGAACAGCCCAGCTTGAATTTTCAACCCTCAACTTTCTACCGTCTTGAACTTGCACTAGGCCAGAATCACCACTAATCTGTAAATCAAGAATTGCAGAAAACTTAATTCCCTTTGGATCAGAAGAGGAATTTCCCTTTGGTGCGATTCTCGTCCAAGGACAACTGCCTTCTAGGATGATCTGATTCTCACCATTTACACTTGAATGATGATGTAATTTACTGTCCAAAGATACTGTAAAAGACAAAGAGCCCATTTTACTTGCAGAAATCTTGGTCACTATCACTTGATGTGGATATGAGGAGAAGGATTCTCTTGTGTAATCTACATCTCCGAGAGCATACTTCACCTTGACCACTGCCGTATCCAGATCAAGTTCTCTTTGATAAGCTGTATACGTGCCATGAGACTCATCAAATTCTAACTTGATATCCCCAAGCTGTTGATAAGCCTTCATAAACAAATAAACATGATCAGAACAGAAGGCTGCATAGGTATACTTCAGTTAGAAAATTCTCACCACAATTTTCTTGTAAATTTTTTATTCGATCCGTACGTTCAAGAACAATTCACAAAAACGATTGAAATAATCTACTAGTAAACTCTTAACGGTTGAAAATGAATACTATAAGAATAAAGTTTCCATTTCAGTTCATTATTGTTCTACTCGTTTCCTTCGCTGCCCCTTAGGAACCCTTGAGCTAGATTCCTGGGTAAAAATCCCGAATGTGATATCATATGCTTTCAAGATGTGCCCCTAACAAGATTTCATATTTTTGAAAAATGATTCATTTAGCTCATCATGAAGTCAGCTCAATTAGATCAATGAAATGAAAGAGAATTCTCTGGTAATGTATTTCCATCGACATAAGCTCGTCTCCCAATTGCACTCATGGCCTGATTTTTGTTTCTTCAGAGCGGAAAACTGTTCGCAATTCAGTCACTTCACATTCCCAATACTGATCTCACAAAAATGCCACATCCATAATAAACAAAGTTACCGCCACATTAACCAATATCAACATATCATCAAATTCAATTAAATGGACACTGTCATAACACTTCTCCATCCAAATCACTGGCATAAATATTTCACCAACAGGCTATTGTACATAATAATAGCGTCGACAGCATTAAACTGTCCCCTTGGCATGGTGTAAACTGTAAAATCAATATTTTTACATCGATGTTCCTTCCATTCACTCTACACTTGGTCCCGATCATATATACTCAATATTGCAAAAGAACGTTATGCGTTTGCATCAGGTACTTGTTGCTTGATTCCCGCCATTCAAAACACTAGAAAAATAATTAAAATTAAAGAAGTTTTTGTGATATTTATGCGATCACTTATTAAAGAAAAATGTGATATTTATGCAAATTCTTTGTGATGACAATAAATATAAATCAAACTACGATTCTATTCTGGAGCAACACTAATACATACATCAGGAGAACGGTCTGACAAGCCATATGCTAGCGATGTGGCTTCTGCATATTTTCCATCGTCAACGAGCTTCCTGACCTTTGATAGGATACCAGGAGCTTCTGGATTTGTGAAGTTGCCGGGCTTTCCAGTCCAAAGAGTATCATCTGCACGAGATCCCATGAGTTTTATTGGGAAAATATATCTCACGAATCTACCAAAGAAATGATTCAAAAACACCAAATTATACTTTAAGAGCACTCTTCATGGTTATCAGAAGACCTGTTGAAATACTAAAAAGATAAATAGGAGAGTCTGGGCCACTAAGAGCGCTTTTAGATATAAATTGCTACTGATATATTTCTGATCATTTCACATATTATAGGTGTACTGTCGTGCAGTGGAACCGTCCATGGACTCGTCATAAAAACATTATAAGTTATAATTCAAATACACTAGCCCACCTGACCAAAGCAAATGAAGTGCGGCAAGCTCTATCTCCTCACTTAAGGTTCACACACTAGGGAGGGCAGCCATTGCTCAACTCCTAGATATATCGGTCATAGGACATGAAGGAGGAAGAGATTCAATCCTTATCATGAAAAGTACTATCTAGTGTAACCTGGATCTTAGTTTCGTCGAAAAAATGTCTAGTATGTTCTCGTGCTTCAATAACCATTAGATTGGTGACCCAATCAAGATCAAGTAGAAGTTGGCCAAGAACCAAAAAAAGCCAAGAAGCAGGTTGATCTTCTTCACTCCCATAGAGAATCACACAGTACTTTAATGGCAGCAGACGCAACTGGCACGAACACACGCTGAAATTTTCGTGTTATGGAAGCCAGCAAGTGGATTCCCGATTTTAGAGTGAGGAAGAGGGCCTAAGGCAGCAAAATACGGCGATGACTACGGCACTTACGGTTGAGTTGTATAGTCTCTGTGGGTACGCTCCCCCACACCATGGCTCCGAGGCTACCGTTGCCGATGGGAGAGGCGTCGGTCCAGTACTTTGCCGGTGCCTCGAACACGACCTTGAGAGGCGGCCGCTCGTCCGTGAAGCCGGTCCACTCCCCACCGGACGACGCCATAATCTCCGCCTCGGTGGGGCGGCGGACCAGCACCCAATCGTCACACTCCGCCTCATCCATGATCCCGACCGGCGATAGTGAGGACCGCAGGGCCCGCCGTTCACCGGAACAGAATCGAAGTAGAGCTGATGAACGCGGAGGAGAGGAGATGGAGACGGCGGCGGGATTGCCGTCACGTGAACGGACCGATGGCGCTGGCTATGATCACCGTCGGATCCGGTTGCAGAGGCAGCCGGCACGCCCTCCAACCCCGCAGCAGTCCTCTTTGTCTTTCTCTCGCCGACCGACGATCGGAGACAGGTCGCCTGATCAGCTTCCGGTTTCACGTAGTAGTACGCCAGTTTTCGGAGTCTTTCGCATATACTTTTCTTTTGGGATAAATTTGCTTAAATAATGTTTCCACAGAGTTTGCATAAAATTTATTTCATAGCTAAGAACCGTGTGGGGCCCGCCAAATCCGATTGGCGCCATTTAAAAACGACGGGGGCGTTACATTCGAAGTGTGGTCCCTACAGAGGTATATCGTTTCCGTGGGGTCCACTGTTCACGGATCACGTTACCGGACCATCGGAAGTAAAAGATTCAGGGGGGAGCCTGTTGGGCCTCCAGTTAATGAGCCGGATCTTTCTGGGCTGGTATCGTACATCTACCCATGGATGAGTCAGACACTACGTCACAGGCTCAAGTATTTTAAATAATCAGATTTATGCAATTACGACATTTATTTGATTTTCCGAAATATTTAATGTCGTAATATATTCTACGTCAGACTCAGCAGGCGCGCTTCTCGTCTCTTGTTCTGAGCATTGTTCTCTGTTGTCAGGATCGGATGCCGAACCCTACTTGGGGGGGTGTCCGCATGTAGAGAGGGGAGGAGGAGGAGATGACCGCGGCGGCTTCAGCAAGCATCGCAGCGGCAAAGGCCGTGTGGGACGATATTGCGTCCACTCGCTCAGGTGCTGCTTCTTTCCCTGTCTCTCTCGGTCTATCTGTTTCTCCCTGCACGCCTTCCTGACGTTCTTTTGGTGTAATGTGTGCGGGGACAGTATCAGACGATCACCTGTCGATGTGAGTATGTATTTCTCATTTCACTTTGACGGACTTCTGCCCGCAGTTCTCTGAATAAATTCCAGAAGGAGAAGAAATGCGGGTGAAGCTCAGAAGCCAAATCGTTCTGTGTTAATCCAGATTGCATTTCCTGTTCGGGAAGAACTTTGAACGCGCAACAAGGATTGTCGACCAAGGCGGCGTAAGGAAGCTCTGTGGCACGCCCAGTGGCCGCTCGCTTTTCCTGGTTTGTGTCGTTCGCTCGCTTTTCCTGATGATGTTTCTATTTCTGGTCATGTTGTTTATTCCCTGGGTTTTCTGACCTTTTTTGTCTTTTTTTTTCGAGGAAAGCCAGGTGATTGGAGAATCTAGAAGAAAAGAGGAGTATATATGCGTCCCCGAAAATTGTTGCACATGTTATTCGTTCTTCTATGACATTGTGAGCAGGGGAGAAGAGCTCTGTGTACGCCCTCTGCGTCTTATTTTTGTGTATTTTTTTAAAGATCTCCCTTAAAATCCTGATTTACTATTTGCTTCACTTTTGTTCTGCTTCTTCTTTTTGTTTTCTCTGCCCTTAGTGCAAGCACCAGTTAGCGGCTAGGCTTGCAGAGGCGGCTGGGGCACATTCAGAAGTTACGGTGTCTGATGAACGGTTAGCGCTACTTCTCTCCAGCATCTGACAAGTTCATGCGCTGGAAGAGTGCTTGATTTTCCGAAAAGAAGAGGTATCGGTATGCAATCTCCACCATTTGCTTTGCACTTTCCCTCATTCGTTGTCAAGTAAAAGTAACGTCCAAAGTCAAATAGTTTCCTTTAATTAGTTCCAAAAACATTAATGAAATAAATAGCTAGGATAATAGGGATTCTTCCCTTGGCAACTTTACTCTCTTTTTGCGGGGATCACTTTTTCTTACTGTGTGCATACTTTATTGAGGCCATATCGTGCTATCTATTATCTCATGAACCGGGAATGCCAAACAATCTGCCCTTCCATCCGGAGGATAGATAGAGAGGGAGGAAAGAGTTTTCGTTTTTTTTTCATGTCGTCAAATAATTGAGCAATTAAAATAGATGGCTGGTTCCTGATCGAATTGATCAGGTCACGTAGGAACAAGGTTCGAATATTGGGGTCTATTTGGATGCATCGGCTGCATACACTGCTGCACTTATGCTTTACACATCCAAATAATAGATGGGCATCATATTCTTTTTACCGCTATTTCATTCTCAATATTTCCATTGATTGTTCCATACATTCTACTGTGAAAACTGTAAAGAACCTTGCAAACAAGTTTCCTTATCTTGATACCGAAGATGTGTATTTATCGTCCATGTGTTTCTTCAAATTCGTCATTTATTTTTAATTTTTTTCACATACACCACATTATAATTTGTAGTGTACTGTGTCGGGTATGCATGTGTACAATGGGGATACACGGGTAAAAATTGCTAGTGTTTTTAGTTACTTTAGGCATAGGTTACTATATTTCTCATGGAAAAGTAGATATTTCCTGAAAGACATTATTTTCTGGCATCGATGCCTGATAGCAGCAGTTTTTGTGTGATATGGGAGGTATTCATGTGTTACTTTTCTTCATTACCATGTTTCACGTGTTCTGTGAACGTGGTCTTTTAGTTGTGAATCTGATTTTGTTTCTATAACTCACAGATGAAGCTTGTCAAACCAATTGATTTATTTAATAATGTCATGAAAGCTACATCAAAACAACAACGGCTGCTTGGGTTAGATGTTGGTAATAAATATATTGGGCTCTCTGTTTCAGATACTAACAAAAGAATCGCATCACCCTTAAGGTATGGAAGCCTGTACTACACCTAAATTTGAGATACGTCCTGCTTGTTTTCCTGTTGCTTAACTGAGAAATGCATTTCAGGTTCTATTTGCATGTGTGCATCTCTGTCATAAGCTGTTAGAAACATTTATAAATGGCTAAGCTAGTAAAGTAGGCAAGAAGCAATAACTACCTCAGCATCCACTCTTGTTTAGAAACTTGAGCTTATAAGACGTGGCAACACTTTTGCCTTTGCATAGATGTGAGTACAATTTTGTTTACAAATATCTTTGAAAATGGAAGTTAATGAAATTTGAGTTTGTCATGTTTGATGCAGATACATGCTTCTCTACACATATAACCACCAAAGTTACGCTTTGGCATCCCAATGGAATCACAACTTTATATTGTTCCAGGACTTTTAGACTTTTTATGTACGGATCATGGAGTTGGAGATTGTCAGGGGGAAGGAAAAATTATTTTTTGGATCTGGAGAATAAAGTCGCAGAAGTCCAAGCAAACATAACAAAGTAGTAAATATCAAGAAAAAAAATTCTGGAGCCCAGGATATAAATCATTTTTATACATATCTTGTGGGGGAAAGGAAATGCGATCTAAAACTTTTCAGTTATGTTGACAATTGGCTCTCTTTGAGGGAGATTTAGTAGTGAATGTTTGTTATGCTCTCAAGGAGAACAAGGGGAGATAATAGAGCTAACTCCCGATTTTACCTCAGAAAGCTTACGTGGGAATTATTAGAAAAAGTTAAATCATCAATACGTCCTTTTATCTACTTGAATGATATGAAGATTATTCAATTGGTTTTCTTTGCTCTTTCCAGCGGTTAGTTGGAAACTAGAGATGGCAAATGTCAAAGGAACCAAAAGTTCAACATCGATTAGCATGAAACGTTGAGGTTTTCGTTTACTTCATTTTTAAAGAACCCAGTTGAGTCTACTATACTATCTCCGGGCTGTATGTACCTTGAACCCTTCAAAAAGAAAATGTATAGTGCTCCTTGTGGCTTGGAGGCTCAACTCATCGATTGTTTGGAAAGATAGGATCATGTGCATCTCTACCAGTAATTTAGGATGAGGGACCTAGCGAAATTAGAGGGAGTAAGTTCAAGCTTTCTATTTAAATCTTCAAATAACTCGATTGCTATGATTACTTTTGATCTGTACGGTCTGTCACCTTTTGAATGTTTTTTTCCTGTTGATTTGTTTCCCATTATGTTTTCTTCATGTGTGAATGGTATTATGAGCCTGATATTGGCGTTGCAGTGTCTTGGTTCGTAAAAAGTCAAATATCGAATTGATTGCCGGTGATTTTCAGAGATTGGTAATTATTACTCCTTTTTCCTTTTTTTAATTCTCATTCTCTAAATTATATCATGATTCTCATCAGATTTTAGGGCGTGGCTAACTCTGAATCTAGGCTAGTTGATACCCCTTATCCCAGTTATGATTGTTAAAACCTACGTAGATCTCTCTACTAAGTTGTATGACTATTACCTTAAAATTATACAGGAATGTCAATATTGGGGAAGAGGCTGATGTGATATCGGGCATAAATTCAGTGACTAATAAAAGCCATATCAGCACACACCATATTGACTTGAAATGATTATTAGCCTCCTGGTATCCCATACTGAAAATCCTTGATAGTCATTTCCATTCTGACATAATAGTTTTCTCTTAGGTATCAGAACTTTCTTTGGCTGGCCTTATTGTTGGATACCCTTTCCGCAAGCAGAGCAAGCTCAGTCTGGAGGTCTGTTGGCTACTTATAAGCATTTGAAATCCATTACTCGTTTTTATACCTTTTTTTTACCTTATTTTGCAGAATTCACAGCTGCATGTGGAGTATTTCGTGAAGGAACTTGGTGAAACGGGGAAATTGGATGGTCTATGCTACACATATTGGGATGAACACTACACATCAAAGGTGATCGATTGAATATAATTCAGGAGAATAACGTCTTTTAGAACCATGTTTCCCATTAATTTTTTTTATATATTTCCAGTGTGTGGAATCTCTATTACACCCTTTAGATTTGCATCCTGTGGAAGCTAAAACGATGATGGATAAGTTTGCTGCTGTGGGGATTTTACAGGTGACACACTTACTGGGTCGTACTTCATTGTTTTTCCTTCAATAAGGTCGATACTCCTCTGAGTCTCATCTGTTTTCGCCCCAATGTAAAACTGCCCGGCTGCAGATTCCGCACAAATTATCAATAACTCTCTTTTTTATGTTCATGATCTGCAATCTTTTCCGTGATCATTAATGCATCATCCGAACTTTAATTTCCCCGGAATGTAATTGGATTATGTGGATGAAGATTCTTACCATATTCAATTTTAATGAATTTTCAGGGCTACCTGGATTCCATGCAAAGAAATCAGAGGTCAAAGACCGGCAAGGAAGGTGATTCATGCTGACTTAGTTCCAGAAGCTGAGAATTAGTGCTTGACAGATACAACTCTTGGCGGCACTGGTGCCTTTCCTTATAAGGAGAGGAGAGAATTTGTAACAGAAAATCGATGATATTTATCTATTATAGATCTCTTCCAACATATTCTTTAACATCGCATTCATTTTATATGACCCATAACTTCGCCTTGCTGATGTATAAACTAAACAATGATCAGAAGGTTGTGCACAGATTGTTCGGGATGGCAATGCAGGCATCTCCCAATATCAGGTGTGAAGTTATTTTCAGGGGGGTCCATCATGTTTCTTCCATCCAAATGGCAAACTGGCAGATGCTTGAAGGCTCTCCGCGTGAACAGAATGGCAGCATGAGATGATCTTCGGCGTGATCAGGTAGCAATTCTCCAAGGGAAAGAACAGAAGGATCAGTACCATATGGGTGGCTCTAATCTTATGTGGAATTTCGTCCTCAGTTTCCTCCCATTTAAGTTTTCGTGAGGCATCGTAATCTTTTGTGGGCTCCTGTTCAGGTGCCAACCCCATCTGCAATGCGGATGATTTGACAGAGCCTGCGTCGGATGGAATCCCTCCTAGCCCCGCCCAACAGTGCGCCCTCATCCCGATCATTTGCCTGCACCTTCTGTTTCTCCAGTGCCCAGTGACTGTTACCTCTCTCTCTCTCTCTCTCTCTCTCTTTCTCTCTCTAGAGGCGCCCAAGGGCTACATTTACGCGCAGATTCGTCGGAGAGTGCTGGAGGAATCAGCTAGCGAGCCCACAGTGGGGGGCTGTTCGCCCGGCACCTACGCCGGCAGCTCACGCCCAATCGCCTCCGGCGGTGTCGGGAAGAGCGAGCCGCCCGCCGGGGGGGGTCCAAGTCTTAATGATCATGCCCAGAAGGCAGGACGGCGTGTTAATATCTGAAAGAAATGGGTCCGTGGTCGGCATAAATGGTGCCATTTTGTATGTTGCAGGCCTCGGATTTTCGTCACCTCCGTTGCATGGGTGCACGCTGTTCGACGGGCCCCACCTTCCTCCTCCAATGGAGGAGGAAGAAGCGCCGTCCGGCGCACATCCCGGCGTAGCGAGCCGTCGCTCTTCAGAGCTGAGGTAGCAACAGAGCTCCCGGCGACTTTCGGTCTCCCTGGTCAGGGGACCTCACAGTGGCCGAGAGCTCCCTGTTCACTGCTGGCTTCCCCGGTTTCATGCACACATATGCATACTGCTACGTAGACACTGTGCGATCTCTACACATATATAGAAAGATTTAATGCCGGAGATCAGAGGTGGGGATCCCCTGCCTTCTTTCCAGGAAAGGAGAGGAAGAGGAGGAACAAGGAACAAGGTCGCGACGTGACGTTATGGAGCAGCAGTGGCTTCATCAACCTTGTATTATTGTCCTCGCAGGGCAGGAGCGACACAGTGGAGATACAAAGAGAACCCGAAGATCGACATGGGAAACAGTGTTTACGTTGTAGAAGGATCGACCGGAGGGAACAACATGCGCCTGCGTGTGGGCCAAGTGATAATGGAGTGGGCGAGGATGTTACTGCTCAGAGATGTCCATCCTCCCATTTATTCCCCGTCGTCGCCCCTCTTGGGCATCAGTTTCCTACCCCTCGCCGGTGGAGATGGGGCAGAGCCATGGAGGAGGAGAGGGGGAAGACAGTGAACATGGGGAGGATGGCTCTGGAGAGTGGCTGAGCCTGACCGTGGGCAGGAGCGCCTCGCCGGACGGTGGGGGGCCGCCGGAACCCGCTGCCAAGCGCGGAACCGACAAGATGTTCTCCTGCAACTTCTGCGCGAGGAAGTTCTTCAGCTCGCAGGCGCTGGGAGGCCATCAGAACGCCCACAAGAGGGAGAGGGGAGCGGCCCGGAGACCTCATCAGTCGCAGAGAGTGCCAGTGGGTCTGCCCGTCAAGCCGCCGATCGCGCCGCCCCAGCGGGTCCAGCCTTACTCGCTGGTCCACAAACCGCAGAGGACTACAGCCGCCATGGCGGAGAGATCCCGACGTCTTGCTCCGGTATCTGCGACGAGCTGGGGAGCCTTCTCTCTTCAGACGGCGATGGAGTTCGTGTTGCCGGGTAGCTTTCCGGCTGGTTTCCAGCCTTCCGAGAGAGCCAAACTCGACCTTAGTCTCCGGCTCTGATGTATCCATGGCATTTTCATTTCATTCAGCTTTCTCCTTCACCCGCGCCAAATTTTCTTCATCCATCCCCTGAAGCAACAGATAATTCTCTCATCACATTCAGTCGATAACCCTGAAGTACGTCCACTTCATGCATTGAACGACTGAAACTCCAGTACGCAAGTCCAAGTTCTTGGATCTCCTCCAACGAACGACTGAATCGAATCCGTCGACGGGTCGGCGATTCTTCCAGCAAGTTGTAGTCGGTTGGTTCAAGATATCAGCATGATTAAAACCGCCATTATTGATCGTAGACAAGGACAATCATTGAGAATTGCTCCCGCATGCGCGGGGTCTTGGGCCAGGAAGCATTGCTGTTTGAAGGTCAGGGGTCATCAATGCTGCTCCGTATCCCCACGTAGGGATGGGAGGCCCAGCAATGCATGGTGGAAAAACACTGTTTTCGACTCATCCGATTGTCTCCCGGTAACGTGAATCCCAGAACAGATTATGATCGAGGGATCTCAGGAACTGAAGATATCTGAAGAAATATCAAGAACCGAGGAAACCAGAATGATCTCAGGATTTTTCCGGGAAAAAACCCTTCTAAGAAGCTACTGTCTGACTTTCCATTCTTGGAACACCCCGAAAAAAATGAACTTTTTAAGCAATAAGCTGTGTAAAAAAAAAATTCTACCCATTTGCCCTCCTCCCGATCGCTGTGTAAAAAGACTCTGACGCCTGACCTACAGTGCCCACAGAGTTTCCAATATGGATAGTATTAGACAAGCTTAGGCTCCAGCAGGAAACCATCAGCAGTCCCTCGCAGAACTTGGCAAAATGAGGCAATTCTGTAAGTTGGGTCCTTCTCTTTGTCAGACTAAAGAAACAAAAATGGCATTATACACTGAGATCAAAAGGAGATAAAGATTCATATCCCAGATACAAGATTTGTTCCCCCCAGGCGCTATGCTGAAGAAGACCACGATGACCTGTAGGAGGGTCAGCAGCCACCGGTTCCCCAGCTGAAGCACTGGGAATGGAGTTCGTCCAGGATTCTCCATTTCAATTCATCCGGCTCCCGGGACACCCAACCGTAGCCCCTCCCCTTAAGAGTATGAAGATACCGGGAGAGATACACGGAGGGAACTCGATCGTCACAAAATTGAACCGAAGCCGCTCGCAGCAGCAATGGATCAGAGAAACTGTAATCTCAGACGGGTTTTCTATGTAAGCAAGTGTAGACAAGAGGTGTCGCCGTTCTGCGGCTCCAGACCATCTGGCTATGAGATGTTTTCGAAATATGAAGGAGGGATTTCCGAGGGGGAGAGCATCGTGCCCACACACTTGAACTGTGCAAGATTGAGGAGGATCAGTCGGTTTTCCAGATAATCGGCTTCAGATCGAGCAAGAAACAAAGAGAACATCAACCCAACTGACCTTGTGCTGCTTATATTTGTCTCTGATTGCCACCAGAGACGAAGCCTTCCTGTTGAGCTGCATATCGTGGATGGCTTGGACGCAATCGTCGAGCTCAGATGGCTTATAACCAGAGTAATGTTGAAGAGTAGGCGTCTGAAGATCAAATGCGCGAGAACTATGAACATTTTTTCAGAAGGAAATATGATGAGGATGAGCATGCAGCCCTGGTAAGCGCTTACCCAAGGGTGGGTGTCTGGATTCATGGTGAATCTTGCTAGAAAAACTGACGACGCAGCGACGACCGACGGCAGGAATCGGGTACAGCTGTAATCCAGTAAACTCAGCTCCGCAAGGTAATTGCTCATGAACTCCAACTGCAGACTTGGCGACTGCAAGATAGTTTAAGCTCAGTCAGATGATACGAGTGAAGGAACTGCACCAAAGCGCGCGTTGACCTTGATGTGGACCAGGGAAATGAATCGATAGGGTGCCATGGAAGGACCTTGCAGTCATCTTGACCCGCCCGTATGAATCTCCTGAGAAAAGTCTTAATCGTCGGATTGCCCATCTCAAACTTCAGAAACTTGAGGATTTCACTTTCCATCTTGACGACCTGCAGCGGCAGTCCACGATCACGCGGGTCCCCCCAAGTTCAGAGTTCACGAAAAGGCAAGAACTAGTTGCACAAGGAGATGAGCTCGGGATTAATCTATCCGATCAAACAGCATAAATAAATAAATCAGGGGAACTACCTCTTCCTTGGTGTACGTATTATCCGTAATGTAGCAGAAATCTTCAACATGAGGGGGGCTGATCTCCTCATATTTCCTGCAAAAAACCAGAAAAAAGAAAGGGGGTTTCTCATTTGACCCAAGAACAAGGGAGAAAATAACGGAAGCAGGACACAATCAGAAGCAATCGCAGATTCCGGTGTGTACTTACGACGCAATAAGCATGCAGGAAACGCCCAGGAGCTGAAGCCTTTGCCTATTAATGGGGTTCGATGATAGAAACCTGTCGATGTAGGAGATTGTGAGATAGAGAGTGTCGGAGATTAGCTTGTATTCCTCCGCCACCTCCACAAGCCAATCCACGAGAATGCCTCTCATGTTCGCCGTCACGTCCTTCTGCACCGCCTCGATGAAGTCAGCCAGCGGCCGCCTCTTCGATTCCACCTGAGTCGGAGCAAAAAGATTGGCGAATCAGAGATCAGAAGAGAACAAGATCTGCCCCGACCACACGGCGGCTGGGAAAGGCACGTCGACTACCTCCATGGAGCGGAGGTAGCGGTAGATATCTGGTGCATAATGGGCGCAGAGCTGAGGATCACCGATACTCGAGTCGATATCGACGACGGCGGTGCCATTCACCAGAGGCTTCTCTCTCTCTTCTCCCTTCTGCTCATCAGGCTGCACCTGGGGCCTCTTCTTCCGTCCCCGGGACTTGGGCTTGTCACCCTCCTCCTTGAGCCCCAACGGCGGACGGGACCCGGCGGTCGCATTCGACAGGTTCCGCAGCTCGCCGAGGACAACCCGCTGCCGCTTATCGGCCGCATGGGCCGTCCTCGGGCCGTCCTCGGGCACCCTCTTCCTCGCCGCGGAGCGGGTGACGCGAGCGCAGTTCTCCTTATCAGCCATGGCAGAAAGCAGGACCCCCCCCTAGCGGCAAAGGAAGAGGGAGAGAAATGAGGAAGGATCCCGCAGAAGGAGGCAGCAGAGGAAGAAGCACCGTGGAGGGAGGGGGCCCTTATGAGGGAGGTTGGAGGGGGAGAGGGAGTCCGCCATTTTTTCAAGTTTTTCGAATTTCAGTCTTTTTACACTTTCACAGCGCCGCGCCCCTCCGATGGGAGGGAGCGGGGAGGAGGGAGGAGGGCCGCCATCGTCTTTCGTTTTTATCCGTCTGATTCTGCTCTCCTGATGGCGGCGCCAGCGGCGGTTTCAAAATTCGGGCTCATCGACTTTCCCTCATCAACGGCTTGGCGGGTCTCTGAAAGCGGCCATTTTTGATCTCCCTCCATCCATATTCCCCCCCCCCCCCCCCGCTGCGACCTACCCTTTTAGAGAGAGAGAGAGAGACCCAAAACGTGAGCGCGGTGAGGTTAAGTCGCGCTATTGTTTTCACCGTGAAAAACGGGCCTTCGATCAGGTCAACGTGCTGAACGGGCGGTTCACATCCTTTCGAAGAGAGATCAGGAGAAAAAGATTATTCTTTTCGGAGGAAGGATGCGCTCCCAGGATCGCCCATCTAACGGATATTAGGTGCCCATCTCGTATTATTTTCCCCCCGGTGAAAGATTATGCGCCCTTTATCAAATCCTCAAGAAAAAAAATGTTTCTTGGAGAGGAATCGTCCCCTGTACCGCGCTAATCAAAAGTCTTTGACTCGAGCGAGACTACATTGGGACCATACCCATCTAGAGAGAGAGAGAGAGAGAGAGAGAGAGAGAGAGAGAGAGATGGCGATTAGCGATCAGATTGATGGTTCTGAAACAGTAAGCGATATCAAAACCAGGAAGAGTTTGTTGTTCATACTACTAGTCGTTGCGAGTGAGTTCATGCGGTCAAATTACTTGCATGAGTCAAACAAACAGAAATCTCCATCATCTACCGGCGTTTGATGCTCTGCTGGTCTTGGGCTTTGACCTGCCTGATATGGGTCAAAGTTCCCGTATCAATTAATCCTGAAATGACTATTTATATTCTTGTTAATTCACGAAAATATGTACTTTGGATGGTCAGATGCTTGGTTAAGTCATCATCTTGTCCCAACAGGGAGATTTCCTTCAAGAAAGCACATTTCAATGTGAACATCAAGATCCACTGCACCGGGTCTAATCGGGAATTAAATTTTTTTTATCAAGAATGGTGGAAGTTTTTTTTTGAGAAACAATGTTTCTACGATACATCCGACCTCTGATTATCTGGTATTCTCTCCCGTTCTTGCAGAGTTTCCACCCGGTCAAAGCATCATAAACCTCTGACTTTTGGATCTGCTCCAGAGTTGGTTGGTCAACCACGGTACAGATCAGAACATCAGCATTCTTCATTCTGCATTCGTTCCATAGCGAACTGAATCCAACAGCTGGCCGCTCAATAACAGGCGTTGACGCCCAACTGGACTTACTCGGTGCTGAGGCCGAATGTGAAGCTATTTCCGACCCAGGAAGGTCTGACAGAAAAACAAGAATCATGCCATTGACTGACAGAACTGGAAGCTCTGTCATGCACGGCTGGACTCTGATGCTGGAATAGAAGCAATCGTAGCCGACGATGAGCCCACATCTCTAGTTCTGTAGCATGCATTAGACCAAGGAAAGAAGAGCTTCAGGCACACTCAGACCGTCATCCCCACCAAAGATGATGAGAAAAAAATCACTCAGCATCGATGGGTTCCCTCTAGACATCAGCAGAAGTTCCCCATTCCAGTTCCAGCTCGAATCCAATGCACAATTGGAACTCATCTGAGAGGATTCAGAGCCGTGCAGCGTTCTCACAGATGGTAGCAACAGATGGCCTGTTGCCTCACTTGCTCCTTCTCTTCCTCAGCTCTCGCTTCAGTAATACCTGTCGATCGATCGGTGGTTCTCCGGCCAGCTTTTCCCTTCTAGCACCACTGTCGCCGTTATCTCCAGCTTCACAAGGGTTAACATGGTGCGATTCAGCCAGTGTTCCAAGGTTATTATAGCCTTTGCTGGAGCTCTTCCCACTGCCTCTGGCTGGACCCACTTGCCTGGTTGAGGCACGAGAACTATGACGGGCATTTTCAAACCATTTACCCACCTGGAATTGCAACATTGGTTACCAAATGGCAAGGCATATTTGGTGAACACTTTCTTTTCAAATGAAAAACATGTCAGATATCAAACCTTCCGTACAGTCATCCCAAGTTCTCTTGCCAGGCTCTCTTTAGCGTCACGAGTGGGGTATTGGTTTGATCTAAAAGATTCCTGAAGTTTCTGCAACATGTTTGAAGATCAGAGGCGCCATCAGTGAAAAGAGCTTACTGAACGGAAAAGAATGTCAACAATTTAACAGTAAAAAAACTATATATATACGTTCTGGATTAGGATTCTCTGCGGCACTAAACAATTAGTGAAGAGCTAATCATTAATCCATTTTTGTTATCATTGCCTCAATCAGGGGTAAATGACAGGATATTGCCCAAGAATGTTAGGCACCCTATGAATTACCATTGTGGAAGGAGAATCTGAGGTATATACCCATAGAAAGTAGAGAAAAAACATGTACCCAGGTAAATATAAATCCAAAGGGAAGAAAACTAAGCTGCCAGCAGAATCACTAGTCAGCCATGAAATATTCGAATACCTGGTAAACGGCTGCACCATACTTAGATCGAGACGACAGGGAGGGCCGCTTCCCCTTAGAATCAGGTTGCTCGGAGTCCGTTTTTGGTCTAGTCGCTGAAGGAGTTATCAGTTCTGTCTGCACCTTTCTGCGGGATTTTGCTTTCTGACTACTATTAATGTCAGAACAAACAGGAGACGTCACTATGCGTTCCCCGTCCAACTTCTTTTTGCGCTTGGAGTTACTTTCATTTTCAACAACTTCACTACCACTTTTAATTAATCCTTCAGTATCATTGTCATTTGTATCAGCAGTCAAATTCGCTGGTGTACTCGTATCAGCCCACTCTTCATCATCACTGGAATCTGACGAATTGTTCCCATATACTTCCTTTTAAATTACAAAAAGCATAATCTATCAGATTCTAGATCAAAACATGATTATCATCAGATGAAATTTCAATGACTAAAGCAATAGAATTATAACCATTTATATAAGATTATTGCCAAAAAATTTGCACAAAAATTAACAGTATTGAATCAATTTGAAACCACATAATCTCCCTATATCCTTGCTTCTAAGAAGTTCGTGAACATGGAAAGTTGCGCCATTTCTAATGAAAATTTAGACTATTTCGGTATGGAGTTGGGATAACCCGTGGCTCAGATTTTTGGCTTTACCAGTCACGTGAGAGAATCAGCTACTTCCGATAAACCATAGTCGGATCAAATCAAAGAGCCTCAAGCTACTTTTTTTTCTGGTACTGGTGCCACTAATACGGGAATGAATTGGCATCACAGTTGTCATAAAAGAGCCACCATCGCATAGAAACCCCTTAAAAAGGGACCGCCATGAATCTGGCTTGATAGATTTGTATTATTATAACCGATATGGCGAGAGCCAACAAGATTTTTGAGGGTTCTACGTTGGACTTCAACCCGAGATTGTCAATCCAGTGAGAGAGAAAAACCTGACTTGTCTTTCAAAAAATGCTAATGAAATGCATTGTTTTAGGCACTTAGATGCTCCCAAGTGACTCACTTAGATCAACTCAAAATTATTCACTTATTGTGTATCTGTTCTTCAGGAAGCTACCATGAGGCCGAATCTAGTTGTTTAACAAAAAAACGTGCGCGCAGACTGCTGACCATGCGCAACTTCCAAGCAGCAACTACAGAATCACCATAATTCCTTAAAGTCTAAGCTGACGATCCGATCCTTGATATTCCTGGGGAATCCCTAAAAACGACTACCTCTGCCCCCTCCCCCAAACACTCCATTCTTTCATACATGAATGGCGCTGATGCAGAACAAACATGCCAATCTGACCCTGGCAGACCCAAGTTGCCGATTGAATGCAGTTTTCAGAGACCATGGATCAACCCACTGGCTGATCTGGGCGGGATTAGAAACGGATTGGGTCTGGCCAACGAGGCCAACTGATTGGGCATTAGATGCCATGTCCTCAACTCTCTTCTTAATAAGCCCGAAGGACATTTGGAATTTCTTCCAAACTAACACCAGGTTCCCCCCCCCCCCAACCAAAATGCAACTATACTGCCGCCCAGCATTCCATTTCTTCTTTATTAGGCCATATCTTCCTCCACCATGCCAGCATCTCTTGCATGTCCCACGGTTCCATCCACCACACTTGTAAATACTTGTTGATGCCTCAATTGTATATATTTCAATTTCACAAGAGGATTTTGTCCATGTACTTCCACCATACTCTTCAACACAATCGCTGTAGGCTGACAAAAAATATGAGAATGCAATTGCTCATTGCCTTCCATTCCCAGCTACTCATTTCCTCACCAATGTGCTACACAACACCAAGGGATCTTATATCATCGACAACCGCACAAGTTCTAGCTAAAATACAGCAAAGAACCCATGAAATGTATCTTTCATATCCTCCTGGTTACAATGTCTCAATAAGAGTTGTATAGAATAGGTAAAAGTTCTAGCTAAAATATGCAACTTTTCATTAATAATAATATGTATAGATCATGGAACTGTTCGAACACAACAATTAACGGGAAGATCTGATCAGAATAAGTAATAAAAATATGAGCCAACTGGTATCTCCCGGATGACACGTAACTGCATGTAAACTCGTTCTTATTAACAATACCTCACAGCGGAGAGGCTAGAAGTACTCTGGCACCACTCACGATCTCTTGCAGACCAGGGATTTCCTCCACCTGAACGAAGTTAGTCGATTATGTTGTGAGACCTCACATAAAGTCCCCCTCTACCTAGAGGAATCTGATAGTATATTCACCAAAAAGTCAAGCCTATCATGTCAATGTTTAATCATCCCGTAGCTCAGAGCCTGACTTTAATCCTACCAAGACATATCTTATTTTCCCAAGAGTTACATTCCTACTAAAACTTGTAAGACTTTAATTCTTGTCCACATTTGCTCATCGCCCCAACGCAACAAAAGAGTAACTACGTAGACATGTAGCACCAAATAACACATCTTAATGTAATGAAACAATTGTCATACCACTGATTTTGACCCGACAACCAATGAATACATACCCGTAAGTATGACCAACAAGAAAAGAACAAGGATAGCACTCATTTGGCATTCTGAGATATTCTGGCACATCATCACCAATGTACTGTCTATTACAAAGTCCTATTATCACTGAAAGCAGCACAGTGTGTTTACCATTTCTAAGTTAAAGTTATTCGGCCCTCCCAGTAAAACCAATTGACTATTCATGGAGTAGGTTCTCTGCACAATCACGCACTCAGCTTTACAATAATAAAAATTCGTAAAAAGTTCCTTCACACAACGGCAAATTATTGGGCATCCACCTAAAAAATCTGTACGTAATAAATGAAAATTACCCATCCTCACAATTGTTGATTCACTTTCATAGTAAATAATACAGGACTATTCTTGATATTTTAACCATACAGAGAACTGCTACCAGAATCTCCCTCGGAAATTGTTATTCCTGAGAACAGCTATTTCGACGCACAACAAGGGAGATGATGTACACCCACAACCTGAAGATACTCAATATAGAATGCCTGGAGAAAATACTGATGGAATGCTTACTGATAGGATTGAGATGTTGTCTTAGCCATTAAAAAACGTGCACCAAACTTCTAAAACGACTCCTTTTGCTACCTCATGCCCTCTACTTGGCACCACAGGATACCTCAGGAGGACCTGTAAGAAGCAGCAACACTAAATATATCCCTTCTGCCCCTGACTATGCTCTGTCCCTAAACGAAAAACACATCTCCATCAATCTAAAATCGCCCAGACTATCTCACCACGGATCTCAATCCCAGCTCTCATGTGCACAGAGAATGAACTTGAAGGCTTCCCACACATCCAGTTCAGCTAATGGAAAAAATGATTCTCCATCCTTTTCCCAATCAGATATAGTTTTCGAAAAAGAAAAATAAAGTACAAGAAACACGCTTGCCATTAAATTTTCATGATGAGAACTTACTTCGTATAACTTCTTGTAGTCCAGATGCTCTCGCTGCCTTTTACTTGACAGTGGGACAACATTTTCTTGGCCCCGTTCTGACTCTAAAGAGAAAAGTGCAGACTTAACAGACAAAGGACCTGTGTCACTTCCTTCACCAAGACTTGGATGCTTGGATATTGGGGATGCTGAAGCTTCATTAACAGACAAAGGACCTGTGTCACTTCCTTCACCAAGCCTTGGATACTTGGATATTGGGGATGCTGAAGCTTCGTTAGCATCAGAGATCTCATTACTCAGAGAATTTAAATCATCAGTATCTGATGTGAAATCTGATTCATCAGATCTTGAAGAATCTTTTGCAGAGTTCTCATTATGTTCTTGTCTCTCAGGGTCATACTCGTGGTCCTCAGAATCATCCGAGGGGAGTCCAAAGTTCTGATTATGAATATCACGATTTAAAGTTCCAAAATCCTCAGATGTAGATGTAAAATCTGATTCATCAGAGCTTGATCCTTCCTTCACCCCTTCATCGGCTTCAAAGGTTTCAGCTCCGAGGTCATCAGGATCATAATCATGATCTTCAGAATCATCTGATGGCAACCCCAGATTATCATGTTGACCATCTTCAGACCCAAAGCCAGCCACCTCAGGGAATACTTTCTGCAAGTCACAGAAGCAGACATACAGTTGATAAACGTCACTAGAGATTCATCTTGAAAATTCTACACAAGATAAAATGTGTCCATTTACCTTCCACTCGTCTTTGATCGAAAGGTCTGTTCCTTGTTTCTCGTTAATTAAGTCAATGCAATCTACTTTACAATCACAAGCAGGACACAACCAACCTTCATCATCAGGGGGAACTGAAAACAGCAATTCAGAAATAAGCACAAAATACATAAGAGTCACACCAGACCAAACATCATATCTTTAATCTGGGAAGAAAGTTAGTAATTACTGTCATCAGTTAACAAATGAGGATTCAGACACTTCTGGTGAAAACCTCGATCACAAATGCCATCACAAAGTATAATATCATTCTCTGCAGAGACATCCATCGATTTGCATTTGGCACAGAAAATCTGCAATGTTGTTCAGATAGAAATCAGCATTAGGTATTCTTCATGCTAATTGGAAAGCAACACGATACTGGTCTAGGAAAAAGAAGGATGTACAAAATTGAGATGTTTATATATAAATATATCAGGATAAGTTAAGTCAAAACCACACATACAGAAAACCTTGCATGAAAGATAAGGAGCCTCAGAAGACAGTAGCATAAAACAGAAGCAAACTATGTGACTTATTCCTACGACGGTTCCCTGTCTTATTTATGCAGAACTTCAGTATTATTTAACTTGTTATTTTCATTGTACTTTCGTGTAAGTTATTTTCTCATTATGTATTTCAATGTTTGACATAGCATTTTTTCACTTCAACGGGTAAAACCTTCTTGGATGTGGCTTTAGTTGATATGTTAAGATACCAATTATGCATTGCTTTTTCTAGAATTCCGATATTTTCCCTTGCCATCCAACAAACAAAAACTAGTATCCGTCACGTGGCCCCCACTCCAAAGATGGTTCTTTCCTGGCAACTCATATGTAGAAGGCATTCACATATCAGGCTGACAGCCCACAAAACCCTCTTTAGACTTCAGGAAGGATTCTCAAAGGTACTAACCGGCCCTAGACTGATGGCGAGAAAGAGTTACCTAGTGATAAATATTGAATCTTCAGGTTTCCACTGTCGTGCTTTTTGTTCTGTTTACAAATACTAAATAAAAAGTCACCGGGCACCAACCCATATACTCAGACAAACAAAAAACCAAACACAGACTGATTTAAGTAAAACAGAGATTACATACATCTTCACTGCAGATTTCCCCTTCAGAATCGAATAAAGAATCATCCAGCTTTCCCTCATAAATCGAAAACTCTAGTTGCTGAAATAGACTACGAATTTTCATTTTGCAGCGTACGATTTCAGATTTAGCTCTCTGAAGTTCCATCTCAGGCTTAATCTTTTCCGAGCTGCAAAAACACAATAGTTACAAAAAAAAAGAAGAGTAGCACACTATATACAGTTTTGTGATGGCAACACATATCTAACATATGTATCACAAGCAGATCCAGACAAACAACAGGCTATAGTTTTTTTATGCAGTTTCTTAAATGTGTAGTAAATCAGCAATGTCTTTCACCAAAGTAAAAAATTAAAATCCAACAGAGAAATTTACACAAATAATGGTCTAGCTCTACACCACAAAGAAGAAAATGACAGTGTTAAAGCACGGGAAATTTCTTCTCAGCTCATTTAATAGATTCTATGGAGATGGAGAATGCAGATGTTGGTGGTAAGTTTGGTATGGAAGACACGGCACAGTCCAAAATGAGAACTTTATATAGAAATTAATCCACAAATTTCAACCTATCGGAGATGGAATTCAAAAATTTATGCACAATAAAAGCAATAAGATTTCAAAGGAGTAAATAGCGATTACGAATCATATTGCAGTGGATTCTGGGATGGTGGATACAGTATGTAAGATTAAACTTCAAATAGTAGAAAATTATGATGATGAATATACCTACAGATATCAAGGATTTAATGTTACATCAGGAAGACATCTGTCCATTGACTGAAGAGATTAAATGGTGGAAAGCACTAATCAACATTGATTAGGTCCATTGAAAGGAGGAAGAGAAACATTAGAATATTCAAACAAGAGTTCAAAAACCTACAGATGATTGTCAACATAGCTATGATGCGGGAAGAGTGATGAGACGAAGGAATATAGACTGAGGATGATACCTACTCTATTTTCCTGACTACGATTAAGGAGAGAAAGAATACTTAGAATAACGTTACCTGAGTTAAGAGGGTATTCTTTTTTTCTTTCTTTTGTTTTCAGGATTTTAATTTTGTGCCGCTTCTTTATTTACACACTTCTCCTTTTGTGTATAATAGAGAACTTGTTCGCTCAAAAAACAAAGCAGAAGAAAACATCGCATATACCAGTTTCAAGCCCATTTCAAAGACAGGAACTGGAGACACTGAAGTTTCACACTGAACTTTGAGAAGGATAATGCAATTCATATTTGAGATGTGAAGCCACATACTTTTCCTTGGGTTTACAACTACATTCATTTTTTTCTGGAGATATTCTAAACATATGTCAGAGACTCGAAAGATAATTGTCTATTTCTGATACATCATAAACCAGAGCCAATGAACATCTTTGCCGTAGCTTCCATTTTATGTCAATTAACCCGACGTTCATTTTATATCATAATCTCCATAGTTTATGCTAATTAACATAACCTCCTCTTTTGTCAAAAAAATTAAAGTTTCCCGTGTTTCAAACAACCAAAGCACGCCTGTTCGCTTCTTGAGCAAACCAAAGGACATAACACCTCAAATCCACCTTCCCTAGAATAAACATCCGTACCGCCAAAAATGAGGTTCAACAATTGATTCAATTTTCCTCGTTATCAGTAACAAAATTCAATCTCTAACACTCCTGTTCATACTTTACATAAATACTCGAATGTTTTAAACTACCAAAGCTTTTAAACTTCAGCTGGGAATTTAATATAGAAAATTGTAAACTATTCGAATGTTTTACGTTGAATAAACACCATCACTAATTTTCATAAGTTGAGAAACTTTGACAGGGATAGTATTCATGGTATTGAACAAAATAAAATATTACGGTGTGTAAATTGCTAGAAAAGGTGATTCAGTGTCTAACATGTCTTAACATTATGACTAATGATTTCTATAATTCACATAATCCATTAAACTTGCTCATCTACCTACCCAGACATTACACCCTACTTGCTTTTTCACCCACCCTAAACATGCTTGTATATGAAATTTTCAAATGGCAACGGCAAAGATACATTTATGCCAGTTGTAACCATTTTAATGGGGCCGCAAGTGTATCCTGAATGATACCGTTCATCGCACAACTTACTTTACACCAAACTATCTAACTTGAATATAAACCATTTTAAAAATTACAAATCAACTAGGGTGTGAAAGCGTTATATCAAGGTATAAAATGTAACCATTAAATTCCCCAGGGGACAAGTATGAAGGAGTCTTCAATAAAAAAAAAATAGAAGACAAGAATCAACAGTCGGAGACAGGCATACAGAATAGGCTAACCTCTGTCCTTTCCAGCCTTCACCAGCATATGCATCAATAAGATTCTGCTCATAGCTCATGCGATGCAGTAAATATCTCACACTTTTCCTGGTTCTCGAAAATTCATCATTTGATGCACTCTGTGTTTTTCTCCTTCTTTTACGCTTGTCTTTAACGAAATTCACTGGACTGCTGGTCAATGGAGGCAGAGATCTAGTAGCAGACTTTGACATCGAGCGAAGGACTCTAGAACTGCTAAATGAAGATCTTAAAAGGTATGTTCTGCCCCTCCTTATTGCAACCTTCTTCCCATATCGGGACAATCTTCCAGCACTCTTTGTCAGTACTTTTTGTTTCTCCAACGCCTCAGGTGTAGGACTAGTTTCATTAGGACCTTGAGGTGTTTCAGAATCGGAGTGCACACTCCGCCCTGTTGATTGGCTACCAACACTTTGAGGCTCGAAGCCATACTCCGGTTTTTCCACACATGTTGAGCTTAAATCATTGACTTGGAGATTATCTTCTTCCATTAAATATATACAAAGATCCGAATGCGTAATAAAACGGGCTACGGAGGGATCGATCAAGTTAGATAATTGAATATCTACAAGTCATGCGAACCACCAACAGCTCCACCCTATAAAATAAAGTTCAAAGTAATAAATAAAGCACGCACTGGAAGAAAAAAAGAAAGACAAATTACAAAAAGATATGGATGCATATGGATAATCAAGAATGTTACATTCCGAGGTGCTGTAAATCAAAACCAAACAAAATCAAGCAAATAAAAGGTCTTCAATCCGTGTATAGACTTTGTTTGACATTTTTTTGTCCTCTGGTACGTTAAGAGCGTTAAAATGACTACAGTAATAAATAGAGTAACATCACGAGTAGTTTGACAATGGATATATCACAGCTCCCTTATCTGTTTATCTGAGCGGTCTGCATTATTTATAATGGGTCACGTACTTTTCAATTTACTGACAATGCTCCCGTACCTGTCGGCAACCCTGTGAGAAAAGTACAGGAACAGTGGGACGACCCGTATTCTGCTATCCCACGGAAGACAAAATTAGCAACTTCGGCGCCTAATACACAAATTGGTCACCAAAGAAGACAAAAGGACCTCTGTTGACATTTATTTTCTACATTCCATCGCGAATACAAAAGATAAGGTGGATATGTCGTTAAAAAAAAGGGAAAGTGGTGGAAACCTGACTCTAGATGAAATATTCTTGGAGGAACAAAATTTAAGCCCTACACTTGTTTTTTGCGCTCCCCACTAAAATCATGCCATCATGCCTAACGAGGTTTCTATCACCCTCATTTATTTCAGTGGAGCAGGATAAACAAAGAGCCCAGATGAACGAAAAATATTTGCTCGTGTTATTCAATAATGACCCAGAAACCATGCAGAGCATATTAGTAGAATAGCTGAGCTTTATGACGCATAACATTCAACAGAATCCGATAGAGTCGTGCCAATGCGTTTATATTGATCACAGATCATCCACATCTGCTTCCAGTTCAAAAGGAATCTGCTCACTGAACAAGATTCTTAGAGAAAGCCGGCCAAAAGAATGGGAGGCGCGGGCGCACTCAACTTATCAAGTCCCCGTGCTAGGAAAAAAATGCACTCGCTAGCCAAGAATCATCATCCAAAAAGGCAGAACAAAAACCGACGATCATCCAACTTTTAGAGAACACCAAAGCACCGACCGAATAAATCATTCCCTGATACACTGTCCTGGCTCCAACTTCTGCGACCTTTTCGCTATTCACTAGGACACGGGACGTGATAACACCGGAGGAGAAGTGGGGAAAGAGATACACGTTACAGGCAGATAGGTGGGGAGGAGACGGAAAGCCAGTTACCCTTCTCGAGCTCCGGGTTTAGGCGGCTTATGTTGCCTTCTGCCAGCGCGGAGAGGACAGGGGAGTACCGCATTTCGAAGGTGGGCTGCTAGGGGGCAGGAACAAGCGATCCCCCTGGGTCCGTTCCCCGTTCGTCGCTATGGCGGTGAGGGAGATGGAGGAGACGGCAGCTGGAGCTGGCGACCCCAGCTTCCTCTTCTTCTTCTTGGGCCAGCCGCCTTTCGTGCTCGTTGACAACGTCTCTCTTCTTCTTTCCGGCTCCGAGCCCTGCATCTGCCCTCCTCGAAAACACACTTCCGAGAAACCCACGATCGGCCCAATAAAAACTCGGCCCGATAAGTAGCTCACTTGGGCCCATCGGTCTTTAGCGCAAGACGGGCCTCGATCCATTTTTCTAGGTCATCTCCAGGCTCCATCTTCTGCAACTCGTCGTTGTCTATCCTTTTCGGGGCATATTTTATTTATTTCATATATTCCTAAAACTAACATTTTGGCTGTTTATGTCGCGGAAAAATAGTGCCCATTACAAATCTAATGCCAGACGAGAGTTACACGAGTAGAAAGAGACAATTGTGTCCATCAAAATCCGCCATGGCTTGACTCTTTCTCGCCGAATAGTTGACCCTCACCGGGAACAACCCTTTGACAACAAATCGTCAACTCGTTGACCTCCACCCGCCCGTAAGAAGAGCCCATAAGTTCAAATCGGGAAGGGAGAGAAAAATGAAAGCCCTTTTTTCGGGTGCAGGATCTGCACCCCGCTGTAGATCTTGGCGTTGTACCGGCAGCCGCCCGACCGCATGCCAGCAGACCCAGAACTTCCGGGACGCTGTGGGACTCTGCAGGCCGACAGTCCCTGCCCGGGCCACGGCCCGCGTGGGGCGATCGTCAACCGGTTTCTCCGTGCCGTTTAATCCTCCCCCACAAACACCCACCAACCACGTTCCCTTACGGCCCTCGTTGCACCCAGAAAAAATCAAACTTGGGCAGAATTGTGGTCAGTCGATTATTGTGCCACCCCGCCCAGATTTCGGAGCCGCCCCCGCGCTGGACCACGGCCGCCATCTTGGCCCATGCGGTACAGCTCACGGCCATGTGCTGCGGCGGGCGAGCTGCTCCGGCGGCGCAGAGAGGTAAAATAAAACCTGGAGGGCGATTCGGTTTCACCCGCCGTCGATTGAAGAGGCCTGCCCTTGTCGGGACGAAGGAGAGAGAGCCCGGCGCCGCAGAAACCGCGGCTTCGGGAAAGAGAAGCTGCGGGGACAGCGGCGCAGGTGAATGTCCTAGCAGCGCGGGGGCGGCTACCACGTGACTGCCGCAGCGCTGGTCCGCGGGTCGGGCGACCGCACCTGTCCCTGTTTGACTCGATTACGCGACCGGGCGCATAATTGGAACCAATCGAGGTGGAGCCACCAGCGTACACCAAGAGGCGCGTGTGGTGCACAGCGGGCGGCGTGGCGCGGCAGGGAGCTCGAATTGTCCTGCTCTCCCAATCTCCTTGTTGGGTCCTTGTTGTGATGGTTATCATTAAATGCCTGTCATAGCTGAGCGGGAAACGCGAGGCCATTTTTCACGGTTCTATCCTCCGAGACTTAATGGCTGGTCTTGCGAAAAAGGCAGAGGTACCATCATTGACTTCAGTCACAAGATGAGAGTCTGCGGCCGCCACGTGAGTAGGTGATGAGGCTACATCGGGGGGGCATATATGCCGAGATATTGTTGCAACGATGCCCACGTCTGGTGCACTCGCCGTTGGAGACCACGTCGGATGGATATAATAATGATCATAATAATCATACGCCAAGTGGCAGGACATATGACGCATGCATGCGAAGACGGAGCATTCCGGGGGGCTCCCCCCCTCCCCGGCAGACTTCCTTGTGCGTGCGGAACTCTACTTGGCCGACCCAGCGGACCCTGCCTAACTCCACGCAGCTCAATGTTCATGGGCATCCCAACGCGCCACGTGATCCCCGGGGTGGTTGAGTCCGAGCCGAGCCAATCGGCTCAGATTGGCGGGCAGCAGCTGCGCCCGCGTGTGCCCCAGCGGTGGGGACTGTCCGGCCGAAAGGACGACGACTCCAGGAAATTACAAGTGGGCGGGCGCGGTTGGCGGATGATTATTCGTGGCTCTTTATCCCGTGGCACGTGGCAGGGCATCGCATTTAAGATTAAAAAAACGAGGCATTTAATAGATCATTTTTATCGCCCCAATAATGAGCTCTCTGCTAGCGTTTGCTCTCGCTCGCGATCTCAGTAGGCTTACCTGGACGACAAGCCCTGAAAGCGACGCAAAAAGGACCGACTGGATGGAGGTTAACCGAGATCTCGACCCACGTAACCCCCCACCCCCCCCCCGGGTGCGAGCCGCCCAATCTCCGCCGGTTCATCGTTATCCCGACTTCCCAGGCGTCTGGATGTGCCACGTGGACTTGACATGACCGGTTGACAAGCTGACGAAGACCGACATGTTGGGCCCACATGTCCCGGAACGGCTCGACCGTGAGGAGGTCTCGGGGCCCCCTGCTCCTCCCCAGTCCTACATGGTAAACGACGGAGCCGGTGGCAAGGACGTGCATGGTGCTATCCTGCTCCAATCGGTCGTCTAGCTGGGCACTCAGCGTCATTGATAGCAAGGCAGGCGGATGACGCTATGGATGACCTTGCGAGTGGCCATCCCCTCCCTTCCTCCCTCCCTCTCCCTATAAATTCGGACCCTACCCCATTCCCTCTTAACCATTGCTACCGTCTCTCTCTACGTCTCTCTCTCTCTCTCTCTCTCTCTCTCTCTCTCTCTCTCTCTCTCTCTCACTCACTTTCTCTCTCAGAGCACCGTCTTTCCCTCCTCTCCGTCGATTCCGGGAACCGGTCTTCGAGTTCCCAACTGTTGCCATGGCCGTCGACTCGACCATTTCATCTCCTCTGGGCCCGCCTGCGTGCGAGAACGATGCCAAGAAGCTCCAATTCATAGAAGAGATGACCAGAAACACCGACCGGGTGCAGGAGACCGTACTGGCGGAGATTTTGAACCAGAACGCGGAGGCGGAGTACCTGAAGCGGTACAGTCTCGCCGGAGATACTGACCGAAAGACGTTCAAGGCCAAACTCCCGGTGATCACTTACGAGGACCTCCAGCCGGAGATCCAGCGCATCGCCAACGGGGACCGGTCGCCCATCCTCTCTTCTCATCCCATTACCGAATTCCTGACCAGGTACGAAAATTATCTCCCACCAGCGATCAAAAAATATTCGGGTGGGCTCGACAATCGTTAGAATATCATCCTCGATGACGTTCATGTGATCTCGCAGCTCTGGGACCTCGGCCGGTGAGCGGAAGCTAATGCCGACAATTAGAGAAGAGCTGGATCGCCGACAGCTCCTGTACAGCTTACTGATGCCCGTGATGAACATGTAAGCCTCGGGGTTTGATCCATATTCAATCTATTTCTTCCGATCTTTCGATTGGCAAAAAGGCTGTGTTCGTCCAAATCGTTAGCACTTTCTGATGGACACAAGCCATGGTATGTGTTGTCGCAGTTTCGTGCCGGGTCTCGACAAAGGCAAAGGGCTGTACTTTCTGTTTGTGAAGTCCGAGAGCAGGACACCGGGTGGCCTCCTCGCCAGGCCCGTGCTCACCAGCTACTACAAGAGCGACCATTTCCGCACGCGTCCCTTCGACCCGTACAACGTCTACACCAGCACTACGGAGGCCATCCTCTGCGCCGACTCCTTCCAGAGCATGTACGTCCAGATGATCTGCGGCCTCTACCAGCGAGAGGAAGTCCTCCGGGTCGGGGCGGTATTCGCCTCTGGCCTCCTCCGAGCTATCCGGTTCCTCCAGGTCCACTGGGAGCAGCTCTCACAGGACATCGCCATGGGGGCGCTCAACGAGAAGATCACTGACGCCGCCGTCCGGGCGTCCGTATCTGGCCTGCTGAAGCCCGATTGGGAGCTGTCCCAGTTCGTGATCGAACAGTGCTCGGACGGAGATTGGGGCGGCATCGTCCGAAGGATCTGGCCCAACACCAAGTACCTCGATGTGATCGTCACCGGCGCAATGGCTCAGTACATCCCCACGCTTGAATACCTCAGCGGGGGGCTGCCGATGGCCTGCACCATGTACGCCTCCTCCGAGTGCTACTTCGGCCTCAACCTCAGGCCCATGTGCAAGCCTTCGGAGGTCTCCTACACCATCATGCCCAACATGGCGTACTTCGAGTTCCTCCCCTACGAATCCTCCAACATCAACTCCAGAGACCCTCCGCCCAAGCTCGTCGAACTGGCCGACGTCGAGGTGGGCAAGGAGTACGAGCTGGTGGTCACCACCTACGCGGGGCTGTACCGCTACCGCGTTGGTGACATCCTCCGGGTCACGGGATTTCACAACGCCGCCCCTCAGTTCCATTTCGTGCGGCGCAAGAACGTGCTGCTCAGCATCGAGTCGGACAAGACGGACGAGGCCGAGCTGCAGAAGGCGGTGGAGAACGCCGCCGAGCTCCTGAAGCCCTACGGCGGGAGCGTCGTGGAGTACACGAGCCACGCTGAGTCGAAAACCATTCCGGGCCACTACGTCATCTACTGGGAGCTCATGTTTAAGGACCCGATGAGCGGCCCCGGCGCGGAGGTCCTGGAACAATGTTGCCTGGCGATCGAGGAGTCGCTGAACACCGTGTACAGGCAGAGCCGGGTCGCTGACGGCTCGATTGGGCCGCTGGAGATCCGGGTAGTGCGGGGAGGCACCTTCGAGGAGGTGATGGACTTCGCCATCTCCCGCGGGGCGTCCATCAACCAGTACAAGGCCCCCCGCTGCGTCAACGCCGCCCCCATCCTTGAGCTGCTCGATTCGCGGGTGGTCTCCGCCCACTTTAGCCCCTGCGCGCCCAAATGGAGCCCGCACCGCCGTTAGGCCACAGTCGCCTGTTTCTAACCTTCAGGCGGACAACGCAGCCCTCTCGCCGCAGCGGCGGAGGCAGAGGCGGACTCAGAAGCAGATGTTCCGGGATCCTCTAACCCCCCCAATTCACGGGAAGGATTGATAAAACAATTGGCCGCCACCTTGATGTTGCTCCGTTTCATCCTTCTTACTCACTCCATGTGTTAGTCTATGTTTGATTTGCCCAAAAATCGTTTCTTTCTCCATTCAGACATCGAATGCGTGACGGAAACGATAAGTCTTCGGGTCCTAGTCGTCGAACGCGTGATTCCACCGTTCAGACGACCTCGACGAGAGTCTCGGCTTGTGATCAGTCGCCCGTCCCTCTGGCCTCCCTCCCTTCATCCCACCAGGAACAACATGCAAATGGCCAAGTCAGTGGTCAAGAAAGTGGACTTCTCCTAGATGGCCCGTTCGTCCCTGCTCCCCCCATCTACGCTCGAGTCAGCAGCATGTTCCGCAGGACGAGTCGCAGACCCCATCTGGTCTCGTCCTTGCCACAGACAACCCTCATTGCATCAAAGGGCATCTTCCCCCAGCTCATCGTTGACGGAGTAAAACGCCCGGACAAAATTGTCGCAGACTTTGCAGACTAAGATACTGAAATGGTGGGGATCTCTCTTCCTCCCCGCGTCGTCGACACATTTGCCGTAACCAACGCGAAGAAGACCGGTTCCCATTGGCGGGCGGAGGTCCATAGTGATCGGCATCTACGTCTACCGACTCTCTAAATAGTGCCTTGTAATATATATATATATACATATATCTTCCATCGGAGACCTCTCCGCACATTACGTTCTACGCAGGCTGAGCCGAGTCTCATCCTCGATACGTGTCTTGGAGGGACTGGTTGGATTCGTCCCAGAGAGGACGTCATCGTGAGGTCTGAACTTTAGAACTTTGTTTTCGTTCGAAGAATATCCTCTTACGTCTGGAGATTAATGGCGGTCCGAAGCACTTGCCTCGACAGTAACCGTGTTGCCGGAGAAGACAACGACGTGTCCAGCGGTGGCTCTCGCGCGGTCTGGAAGAAGGAAGGAAACTAAGGCGCCACCGGCTGTCTTTCCCCGCTGGACCACTTTCGCCGCAAGAGCTCCAGGAGGCCCTCCATTGGTCTTCCAGACGGTCGCATCAGCCAAGCGAGGCCACGTCGGGTGAGAGAGAGGGCTCACATCTTCTCCTCAGGGGGCATTGACCCAGATCGTCCTCGCGAATCCCGGGCCGTGACGTAGCTTACGTCTCCATGGCTCAAATGCATGCCCCGGAAGTCTACTCCCGCCCACCCCCACTACGAAGCTAGCCCCTTTTGACCTCCCGGCCTGAACGAAAGTCTCCGACGCAGCAATATTCCGTGACGCAGAGAAAAACCCAGATCTCGCAGGAGATTGTGCAATCGGCGACTGGGATGTCCCAACTGAGTTGAAGAGTTCATCCTCGAATGATTGACAGAGCTTGTCCTCGCCGACTTTTGATAGTCTGCACTGAATAATCCGTTTCCAACTTTCAACAACCGCCGCAAAATAATCTTCCGCCGTTGGAATCAGATCGTCAACATCGAGCAGTCCCATAGAAAAACCGCTCCGTGGCTTGAACGACTATAATACGATCCAAGGGCCGCCGTCCCACAGATCGAATAACGCCGTCTCCGGTTATATAACAGGCGAATCCGAGACACTGTTCCGACTGCAGGGAGACCGGCATTTGATTATACTCGTCACCAATGCCTGTAGCGAAGGTCAGCGCCCCCCATATTCGTCCGGTCTTTCCTTACAAATGGACCGGCGGTGGACGAGGCTGAGAGATTCCTCCCATCGATGATGAGATCTTCCGTCCGGATTGAACGATTTCTATATCTGTTCTGTCCTCTTTGACCGGGGACACACCGAATTTTCTGTGGAACGCCCCCAGATACCGATTCCCCCAGGACTCCGCCACCTGTCCAGACGTCTGCAGCTCAAGCACAGAAGAAGAAGAAGGTGAAGACCCCGTTCTTGGTCTACCGCCAATCGCCTTGAGTGAGCATTCAGTTCGGGTCTTATCTCGAGCGACGTTCTTTCGAGTGTCTCGCGGTCAACACGTCGACGATGTCCACCGCATCACCATACTTCTCAGAATCGACCCGCGAGGGGCGAGCCATGCACGGGCTCACATGCATGGGTACGTCCAGTGACTAACACCCACCGAGTTTTTAAGTTATCCGGACAAAAAAAGAACGTTGACTTTTATCAACTTGATGGGTAACTGCATTTTCTAATTATGGGTAATAAAGATAAATATAACGCAGTTAATTGATGTTTTTCCTACGCTTGGGGAAGGAGAGCGTGAGATTTTTTACGTAATAGACCCTGAATTTTGCTTTTTTGCATGAATCCCAGTGTTCTCGCCTAAAAAGATATATTTTTAACCCCAGGCATTTTTTTCTTCTGACACGCTAATTAGCCGAAAAATAAAATAAAAAATTATCAGAGGAAGCTCACGGTCCCCGCCCCTGACGAATTTTTAATGGGCCTATCTGGGTTCAGATCAATTTTCTTTCTGGCCGTTTCTCCGAGCCAGGGCTGCACTGGATGTCATAAAATAGACCCAATATCATGGTGGACTTAGCAGGACCGCCTGTACGGCCCGTCATCATCTCAGATCCCTTATTCGGCCCATTATCATCGCCGCCATGTCCACGTCAAACAATGCCATCCATCCGTGGGATTCACCATCTTAGTACGCTGTTGGCCCTGTGTTGAATGAGCAGCCAATGAACGATCATGTGGTCCCCACCCAGTGGGCTTAATCTCCACATAAGTTGAGAGCATCGCCACTGCCTGCACATCCAGTGAACCCCCTTAGAAAGGGGGGAAGAGAGATTGTAGGGGGAGGGGAAGGTGGGTGAAGCGCCGGCATGCTGTGGCTTGCCTCTGTCCCGTCACTGTCGAAAATTACCATGCTCATGGGGCACTGTCGCCCTTGTGGTTTGTTACTGGAGTCACCTTGCAGGGACAAACCCTTGCACCAGCATACCTCACACAATAGATAAGTGTGGTATGGTAAGTGCACAGTGGCATGATGTGTGCGCATGGCAGCATGGCATGCAGACACAACAACATGGTAGAGGTGCACAGCGGCACGGCGTGAACTAGTAATACATAGGCGTAAGAAGACACGGTATAGAAACCAAAGGTTAGTGGGTCAGATTATGTACTAGTATGGTGTCATTCAATGATTAGAAAGTTAATTCCACATTGAAAGTGGAATTAATCACCCAAAGGGCTCTATCTACCTTTTAAAGTAATAAAGTTAACTTATTCGATCACATTTAAATAACTATGGGCTGATATGCCCAACACCAGGTAATGATCATGTGGAGCAACCAATAGAGAGAAGTCAAGATAAGAGGCCATTATAAAAGCAACAAGAGCTCCCACAAGTAGTGCCCATAAGTAGAGAATTAATCGATTATAAGACAAACAAGAGGCAATAATGAGATTTGTCAAGTCACTTGTAAATCATATAAAAAGAGAGAACCGATGTTATATGAGAATAAACAAAAGCTTAGTCAACACAAGTAGAGGAACAAGCTTGAGGGACAACAATAAGGATTAATACTCTATTTGGTCAATTAGATGAAGAGCTCAAATCCTTCTATAAATAAGTCCAGGATAGGAATATGTCATTTGTAACTCATAAGGCGGAGATCTTGTCACTCTAAGAAGAGCTCATATGAGAATTGACCAAGTTATAGAGGTAGTTAGAGAAAGTTGTGACTAACTTTTAAAACAAAATCAAAGGCATCCAAAGATAATAGGAGTATGTCTTGTCCATAGTGCCTTTGAAGACTACAAGGCCCAAACCCAAACCTTATTATAAAGAACATATGCAATGTTGATCAAATTTTTTTTAATGAGATTTGTAACGTTATTTGAATGTCAACACATATTTGGATAAGAAAGTATTTATTGAGATACTTGACTGAGAATGTAAATACTTAATGGTGACTAAGGTTCTAGGACTCGTCTCAATTCACTTAACCAACTTTAGTTAGATGACAAAAATTGTAATGAGATAATTAAAGTACATTAGGTCTATGGGTGAGTACATAGAGTAATTCTCAATATTGTTACTTGATGTACCAAAGATGGATGATGATGACAAATTCTATTATGCCAAAGAGATAGAAACATGGGTCTTAAATAAGCTTCACTATCAAGGTGTGCAGAACATCTGTATTGTTATAATAGTGACAAATGTACTAATAAACAAATAGTGTCAATAACTAGGGATAGGTAAATAAATTAACTAAAGAAGCCAAGGCCACAAAAATTAATAAGGCCATAGAGGATGAACTCTAAAAGGTATGAGATGAATAGAGCACACATACCAAGGCCATGGACCTTGGGAGGAGGTGTATTCCTGCAATTTGAGGGACCACAGTAGATAAGCTACTATGTATGTAGGAGTCCCCACATAAGTATGTAATGTTATGACTAAAAAGATGTATGACAAGGGCTTGAGTCAACATGGTGTTGGCACAAGAGTAACCCTCTCTGGATTTTTTTGAAGAGGTACCCAACTTGTACACCATATAGTTATTAAATGCTATGCAATCATTCAATTAGGGGAAAGAATGGCACTATTTGTGGTGACTAAGTATTAGTCAAATTGGGGTTCACTCATAATTTTTTGTCATAAAGGAAAGTTAAATGCCTTGGATTAAACTTGTTCAATTAAGCAATCGAGTCAATGTCATGAATTTAAAAGTAAGAACCTTTATTTGGATGACGCGATTGGTGGAGATACAAAGTGGCACATGACTATACTATTTTGACTTTCTAACCTTACAAATTGATGATTTTGATGTCATCTTTGGTGTAGATTTTACAATCAAGGCCATGGTAGAGTTCTTCCTTCAGTGTAAATAACTTATCATCTATGGGGACAAGTAATCTTACTTCATATAAAGATTGACACAAGAGTGAGTATAGTTGGAACTAATATTGACCAGACAACTCAAAACGAACTGCCAACATGATGTTGATACCTTTTTCATCACTTTCCGACAGGTGGAAGAAGACAAAAAGAAGAAATTGATATACCACCTTCATGTACAACATTTATTTAAGACATTTAAATATATTATGTTTGAGAAGTTATATGTTAGGCTTTCACTAAGATAAGAGATTAAACACATCATCGAGTTACTATCAAGAGAATGACTTTTGACTTGAAAATATCTTAAAAAATAGTTTTAACTCACTTTGAAGAATTGAGAAAATAGTTAGAAAAGTTGTTATAGATACGTCACATATGTCCTTGTATCGTACCATTTGACACACCTATATTTTTTCAGCAAAAGAACAGATCTCTAAGACTTTATATGGATTACTTGGATTACTGAGTGTTGAATAAGATCATAATGAAGAATAAATATTTAGTAGCTAACATCGATGAATTGTTTAATTAGTTGGGAGTAATACGGGTCTTCTCTAAATTATACATGAAAAACATATATCATCAAGGTTGAATTAAGGAATGGGATAAGTATAAAATTATTTATGTCACCTACTATGGATCTTATGAATTCATTGTCATGTCTTTTGGACTCACTATACCCATTGACTTTTTGCTCTTTGATGAATCATATATTTTGACCTTTTTTTTCTAGATTCGTGATAATTTATCTAAATTACAAACTTACATACAAGTGCTATATGGATGAGGACTCAATCCTTCAACTACTAAACTTCTCTCAAGCTTCAAAAGTATATATTAATGTATTAGAAATAGTTATTAGTAGGATCCTCATGTATGATGTACATCAAGTAATTTTAAAGGTTGAAAATTAAGTGACATAAGATAAGAGTATTAGATTCATGATAAAGTGATGACAAAGATCATATATTATTTTTTATTTATATTATTTTTAAACAAAGTTCATTGTATTCATGATAATAAAAGCTCATACAATATTTTGTTGTTCTATTTTCGAGTAACTTGTGATTATTATTTCTTTGAGGGAGGGGGGGTGGGGGGAATGCCCCAACTTCCATTCTTGGGCTAGATTGATTATAGATCAGTTTATTCATCCAATCCCATCACTAGTATTTTAGTTGGTCTACCTTGACTTGAGATAACTGGACTTCAGTCAATCTAACTTCAATAAACTCAAATGAGCTAATTGAGGGATTCACCTAACCTCTCCACCGCTTCACCTGTCTATAAAGAATGGGCCTCAAAGTGTACCTTGGTGACTTTTCTTCAACACCTAGTCTCGTGATGATTTGTCATCCATGTTCTCCTACTTTTAACCCTTGCTTACGTCTTCTTCCCACCAGTGTTCCTACTTTGATTCTTTAGATGAAAGAGGGTGTATAAGAAGTGATTAGATTTTTTCTCACATAGTCAATTTTTATTTTTCGTCTTTACCTCTTCTTTCTTTTTTTTTTGTTAAGAATTGAGGTAAGGGAAGAGGTAATTATTGACTTTTGGAACTTTAACTCTACTTCTTAGGGTTCACCTCTCTTTGTTTTTTTTATATTTTATTTTTAAGTCTTTTGCTTGATACCAAACTAAATGGTTTAAAGTACTAATATTTCTTAAAGAAAGACTTCAAGGATTTATAGTGCTCATTGATAAATTTTCATTGTCATGAGTTATATTTGTGTTAATTTGTAAAAAGTAGTTTTCAATTGGTTAATATGATTTTTTGGCTAATTATATGATTTTATATAATTTTTATTATCCTATTTTTGAGATAAATGAAGAAAAAGAAAAGAAAATAAAAAATAGAAAAAGGGGGGACCCACCAGCCAACTAGACCCGCAAGTGGGTCAAAAGCGTAGTTGGGGCGGAGCCGCGAGCATGGGCTTGAACGGCTATGGACCGATGAGGGCACGTGTGTGTCACTCACTTTCCACATCACTAGTGGCTAGCAAGATGTGGGGCAAGGAGTGGTCGTACACACGGGAGGAAGGGACTTATTGATTTCCAAAACTTGCATTACCATATATGCATCTCAACATTCAATGTATAATTGATGTGGGACTAAATCGACAGTTACACCTTCTCCATAAGTTTTTGAAGATTTTAATACCAAAAATACCCCTTATTTATAATAGTGAGATATCATGATGACATCACTAGATAAGGGTATTTGAGAACTTGTTCCCTCTCTCTCATGCAAGCAGACAATCAACACGGGTTTAAATCCTACTAGAGCCAAAATTCATATTTTTATCTGACTAAATTGCAACTTTCTTGCAGATCACCGGTGAAGGATTAAGTCGCCAGAATCATTTGACAATTGGCAAAAATTTCATCAATGTAATTTGCAAAGAATTATTATTATAATTACTGAATAATTTGTAATAAAAAGATCGCAAATCTATCAAGTAAATGATCTCTGCTTGATTGACGAATAAGTCATCATTGAAAAGAGGATGATTCGTGATGAAGAGCCTCTTCTTGCTACATGGACCTAAGGATGAAGTTTCCTGACACGTGCCTCACCTCCATCTAGCTCTTCTCTATTGAGTGATAGCTATTAAAGAACCAAAAAGTCGTCATTTTTCTACTCTATCAAGCAACAGTTGCTGAAGATAATTTGACAACCTATTTCATTAATCTCTAGACTTCGTAAAAAGATCTAGAGATTTTCCACGTCGTCTTTATTCAAGAAAAATCTTTGAGGTTGTGGACACTACATGACAATCCTCTCAAATGATCAGGATTCTAGTACATCACCAATATATCGCCGTCGTAATAACAGAATTCTATTTTCTTGCTTTCAACTTAATTTTTAATTTATTTAGTGATAATTTGTATGATTTAAATTTATCAAATTATTCTTCATTCAATTACGTTTCTTCTGACTTTTACAGATATTAATTTGATAAATTAAATCATTTTTAATCACTTACGTAAGAATCATCGAACTAAACTCTATCTATGCTCAATTCACGTTTGTCGAGTACTAACATCATCTTGACGTCTGCACCCTTATTTCTCTTTTTTATGAATTTTAAATATATTTCATTTTTATTTCTTAATCTAAAGTTTATAAAAAATTATATTCTTTTAGGTAAATTCTGAAAAAAAATTACTTAATTTTATATTACATCTAGAAAAATTCTGAAAAATTACTTGATTTTTAGAATTATAAAAAATTCTGAAAAATTATCCGACTTAGAAATTTCTACTATTTTTAGAAGTTTTATTGAATTATAATTGATATATTTGTTCAGAAATACTTCTAAATATTCAAAAATTAGTATTTTCTAGTTTTATAAATTTTAAATTTACGTGATTTACTATACAACGACTAAATCACGTCACTCATCATGCTACATTGATCGCTTTGATTAGGTTAACCTTTTTCACACCTTTATCCTACATTTATTATGACTTGAAAGAAAAGTTAGTGTAGTTAAGTTGTGTGTCAACCATTTTATTTGTCTTCATCCTTCTACAAAGTTCTATGGCAAAAACTCAATAACAAAATTGTATAAAGAAAGGACTCCACTTTTCTTAAAGAAATTTGTCGAGTGCAAATTCTTCTCTAGATCTTATCTTCTATTATGGTACTTATGTGTTGACTCTTCCTTCTTATCTTATTGTAGGCTTCTTGTGGATTTGCATTTGATATTAAGAAAGCCTCATTTGTTAAGATTGCATAGACCTCTCAACTCTTGTGAGAAATCTTCCACAATGTTGAATACATAATCCCCCTATTACAATGCTCCAACCTTTGTCATGTAGTCTACTTTATCATTTTTTTCCCTAACTTGATGATGAATCATGCACATATTATGTAAATAATTTAAAATATGTTACTACCATTTTGATATCTTCCACATTTTACATATTTTGGATCACAACATAATTGCCAATGCAAGTGAATCGATCTCCACCTTAATATTTCATAATTGATGGATCCCTCATCTCTAAAATATCACTTGCCCTTTTTGTGAAATAGGAAATCTTTCACCCAAAAGAGGAGCAATCTATCTCACCCACCTTTTACGTTTGTAAGGGATGATGGCAAAATAGCACTTACCTCCTCTTATTTGAATTGTATTTCTTCTTAGTCACATTTCTCATAGTAGGCAGACAAAGGTGATTTTGGGGAGGGTATCTTCTATGGTCTTTTTTTTGCTTATCTCTAAAAAAGAAATGCATGCATCTCGATTAAGCAAGTTCTATGATTGTAAGAACTAGACCCAACACTCAATTACCCATTTGCTCAAGAAGAAGAGATAAATAACTAATTCTTCCTTAGGGTTATGTGGGCAACTTGAACATTTAAATACTAATTGAATGCCATACTTTGTAATATTGTCTTTGAGGGAGAGTTTGTTAAGGAATACTTACCATAGAAAAAATAGATTTTCATGGGGAGTCAATCAAATCTCTCGTCCCCACAATTTAACTTTCCACTTTCTCTTAATTCTCTCCCAAACTGTTTTGATTGTAAAATCTCTATGAATTGTTAACATCCATACTCTTTTATCTTTTTTACTCGCATTTATAGTTGGGTTGGTCTCTATAGATTGTACAATTCTACTAGACACATACATTTTTTAATGTGAGTTTATAATCCCTCTCTAGTTGTTGTACTATCAAGTTTGGCCGATCATAACTAATGTGGTAGAGGTCTTAATATCTCTAGGTCTATTCAGTAATCTCTCACCAAATATTAATTTTGCCTCGTCTCACATTTCACATAATTATATTATTCATTTTTACCCATTTTTCATGAAACTTCATTCATGTCGTTGGGTCCTTGATCTGATGTTTGTGATAGCCCACCTATCATACTTATTTTCTATTAGATCTTTTAATGGGGATTGAGCTAAATTAGACCTTCATGCCATTTTCATTCTTAGTGAGTGTATTTGGTTTTTTAGACTTCGAATTCTTAATCCTCATTCCTTCCTAGGTGCACATATAATTTTTCATAATATCCAATGCCCTTTGAGCTTACTCCCCATATAAATTCATCATACATTTCTCTATCGTAACAATTATATATGTCAAGATGTCACACACCCCCATAGAGTGAATCTAATACATGTTTAATAAGTATAATTTATGCTTTTAGGGAGAGAATTTTAACCTTTTACCCCTCTATCATTCAAACAATTCTATCAACTAGGGGGGTCAAAGTATGTCATTTTTGTTAGTCCTTTAAATATGGGATAACCTAAATACTCAAAGAGAAATTCCCTTTGCAGAAATTTGTGACTTCACTAACTCTACTCAAGGCTCTAGTATGAGATTTTTCAGACATATAGAAGTAGGATTTATTTTGATTAATTTTTTATCTTGAATATTTTTCATACACATTCAGAAATAATATGAGATGTCTAATTGGTTTACCCTTATCATTTTAAAAAATAATGGTATCATATACAAATAGTGAATGACTAATAAGTGGGCAATTTAGTTTAACAAAATAAGAAAAGATCATCTTATGATCAAACATATCCTTGAGGCCTCTACTTAACACTTTTTCTACAAAGATGAAGAGTGTTAGTAATAAGGGGTCCCCTTGCCTTAGTCCTTTGCTCGTCGTGAAGAAGGTAGATGAACCCACAATATCTATCTATCTGTAAACCCAAATCTTTCTAATAAATGATAAAGAAAGGACCATTCAAGGCAGTTAGAAGCCTTTTCCATATCAAGTTTTAGGATCACATTTGATCTTGGAATGCGGTTATCAATAAATTAGATCATCTCTTGAATAAGTTCAATATTCTACTAAATTAATATACCCTTAACAAATGCCCCTTGTTCTATTGAGATAATAATAGGTATGATAAGTTGAAGTTGCATGTAGATGATCTTAGAGATTGACTTTATCATATATTATTTACAAGTGTGGCACCATTAATTATTGAAAAATGACTTCATCGTTTATACCGACAATGTGTCACCACTAGTTATAATTCTCATAAAAAATTAAACCCTAGGAAAGTACGGTGACATGACTTTCTAACTGAGTAAAATTTCTCACTTTGGTATAAACTGAAACATACTAATATGGTTGTAAATATTTTGAGTCATAGGGAGGTCTCCAATGGACTGGCCACCCCCTATGTGGAGGTGAGCAAAAAATTTCAATTATGGATGAAATATAGAGTGCACTATGTGGAGGGATGACACCCCAATGTACCTCAAATAATACAATTTTGGGTGACCCATGATACATGACATGTGGGTCACTTGAGATAACAACATATGCTAGTCCTCATTGTAGGCAACTACTTCTAGCCCAACATAAAGTGAGAAATAAAGACTTATGTATGCTCGTATGTTATTTGCCAATAGGATAAAATCAAGCAGTGGGATGTGACAAGAATTTTAGAGCCTCTCCTCATTCTAGAAGGGATTAGACTTTATCACCAAGCTCCCCAGGATCCGCGACCATTATGCGATTCTAGTGGTGTAGACTGCTTCTCCAAATATGTTACTTTTATCTTGACACGGTCTATGTGTCCAACTATAAGATGAAGTGGGAAGATTATTTTTTTATGCACATCATCAAATTGTGAGGTACAATGGGACATCATCTTAGATTGAGAATCGTGATTCATGAGATGATTCTAATTAGCCCTCTTCACCTTACTCGACAACAAACTTAATTTTTCAATTGTCTTTTGTTCAAAATAGATGGACAAATGAAGCATGTCAATGGCATGCTCGAAGAGTACCTATGCCACTACGTAATGGCTCATCAAACAATTGGGTGGAACTATTAGATATTTCATAGTTTGTCAAGAACATTTAACAATGCTCTTCCACTGGACACTCACCTTTTAAATTGATCACATTCCACAAGTCTTTGATGCCAACAAAGATCACAAAGTAGAGGGGACCAAGATACCTATTGGCTGCCTAACACTTTGTCAAGTAATGACATGACATCATTAAAGAAGCTAGTGAGTCCTTAACAAGAGCAACATACATAATGAAGAAAAATGCATGCCGCCATCAGAGGGAGGTTGAATATGATGTTGACGATTAGGCATTGTTGTGGATATATCCAACACACAAGAGACTCCGACAATGGAGGTGCCACAATGACCTTATCCCTCGTTATGATGTGTCATTTCGAATAGTGGCACATGTGGGACATAGCATATCGACTGCAAATTCTATAACATCTCTGTGTATTTTCATGTCTTCTTGTTGAAAGCAGGTTACACCAAGACAGAAAACTTAGAGAGAAATAGGTTACACATGCCGTCACCTATTATGAAATCACATTATTTAACACATGCATAAGATATCATATATCATCGATTGGTTGACGGAGGTGGCCATAAGCACACCAACCACAATACCTTCTACCTCATCAAGTGAGTAGGGCACCACACGAGGCTGCTATTTAGGAGACGAATGTAGACTTGTGGCAATTTGAGGAGTTGATCATAGACTACCACGACTAACAACATCAGATGAAGACGTCAGATTTGACCAATGGGGGAGAATGTTACCATAATTACCTTGCATAGGCAAACCTTGGCAGCACACTACACATAATAGACAAGCATCACTTAGTGCACATGCATGATCTCATTAAGCATGCTCTTGAAGATTTGACACAAGCACATGATAATATGACATGTGCATGCATAAACATGATGTGTGCACACGATGTCATGGTGGCAAAACATGTGTATAAAAACATGATATAAAGAGCAAAGACTAGAGAGACAGATGATGTCACTAATATAACACCATCCAATGATTAGATAGTTAATCCCACACCAGAAGTAGGATTAATCGTCATAAGGGCCCTGTCTTTATAGAAGGGCCCAAACACCATGTATCAACCATCTTTTAGAGTTATCAAGTTGGCCTCTCCGGTCACACTGGGCTCAGTGGGGACCGGTACACCCCATACCAAACAAGATTTACGCGGAGCGACCAACATCCTTGCTGCATGGTCCGTTGGATGCATTGGATGTCATAAAATAGACCCAATATCATAGTGGGCTTAGCAGAACCACCTTCGAAGCCTATTGTCATCGCCGCCATGGCCACGTCAGACAACGCCGTCCATCCGTGGGATCGACGATCATAGTACGCCGTTGGCCCTGTGTTGAAGGAAGAGCCGAGGAAACGATCTTGTGGTCCCCACCGTCGGGCTTAATCCCTACGGAAGCTGACGGCATCGCCGCCGCCTACCAATCCAGCGACCCCCCCCCCCAGAAAGGGGGCAAGAGATATCACAGGGGGAGGGGAAGGCGGGCGAAGCGCCGGCATGCCGTCGCTCGCTTCCTTCTCGTCGCTGCCGAAGACGACCCTGCTCGTGGGGCGCCGCCGCCCGCGCGGTCTGTTCCTCTTCCCTCGCAAGACTCTGCCCGTTGGTCCTCCTCTGGGTTTCCGTCCCGGTCTGTTTGTGGCCTCGGCTGCACCTTCCTTCGATGGCCACTCTGCGCGGGGTGGGCGCCGACCGAGCGGTTCCAAGGTTGACTTCTGTCTTTTATCCCTTTTTTTCGTTCGTTTCCTCATCCAATATTCGTCGTCGTCGTTGTCGTTCTTCCATAATCAAGTGTTATGGGCTGAGGATTGTTGGAGGGGGGGGGGATTACTATTCGTTCTACATCTGACTAGCGAATTGGTTCCGCTCTCACGAGGTTCCGGGTTTTTGTCACAATTTTTATTGCGCGGGGTTACTGGTGTATCTAGGGCCTAGTTTGGTGAGGGGTAATTTTGTGGTGGATTGTTTGCTCGTAGCCTCTGATGTTACTCTAGTTGTCTGTGGTCTACTGAAGGGAAGCCGAATTCAGGGTACCGGAGACACGGAGGGTATATATGTGTGGGGAATTATCGACAATGGTCTTACCTTGAATCCTGTCGGTTATCTCTAGAACAACACCTTCTGATGCCGGGCACATACGGTGTTGTAGATCCATAAGGCATATCCACGATACATGGTACAGTTGGGAGTTGGCGACCGGGGCCTTAGGCGTTTTCACTACACTCGACTTCTTGTGTTTTTAACATCTATAACACATTGCTTAAACATATGTCTCTAAGTTTCCTATTATATATCATTTTTTATTTTAAGATAATTTTTTGCATGAACATTCGATTGCCTCAGAAGCTGTATTAATCACGCACTTGTTGGGAATTCGATGGGGATACTATGGATGCGGCTTGGTTTTTGGCAAAGTTAAAGCTGTTCTCCTGTACTTTCATCCTACATTTGCCACATCCACTGGGTCACTCTGGAATATAGCAACTGGTTCCCTGTGACTAACAGACGTTGTTCACGCATCTTTATACCCGGATATCTTGATTTAGGTTGCCAGATGCTTGCAGCTGACTTTGATTATGGAGATTATGTGATTAGCATTTTGCATTCAAGTACGGGAGAATCTTTTATCGATATGGAATAAAATGAATCAAAATACCTTTCAAGGTGAGTCGATTTTATGCAAATAACTGATGAATAACCACATCCAGGAATAGCATGCTGAGGGGCTAAGTTGGAGTAGAAAAGAAAAACTAGTAGGCTAAGTTGGAGCCAAGTGTAACTGGTCTGTTTCTTTAATTTTCGCTCAGAATCTGGATAATTTCATTTTATTATTACAAGTAAATATCGAGTAGTACAATATTGGAGGTTCCCACCGGAATCAGCCACAAATTTTGTGGTGGTTTTATACTCCTTTGGCATGGCTATTCATTGCAGCACGTTGTTGGAACCAATTGATTACAAAATTCGAACCGTGTTGTACCTGTTCTGCTCTAGAAACTAGCTTTTAATGCCTTATATTAATGTTCATTTGGCTGACGTGGATTCGATTCCACGCACCCCAAGTTTATCTTAGGAAAATCAGTAAACTGCTTTATATTCTGCTACTTTAAGAACCTAGTGTACCAACCATTTTGAATGTAGGCTGGTTAATGTTCCACCATGTTCCTAAGTAAAATGTTATGGACAATATAATCGGAACAGAAGAATATGATAACTCATTCAGCTAGAGCACTTGGTTTAGACTTCTTATCTGATGAGTTGTTCCTCTATATTGCCATATGCCAAATTGTTCTCTATTCTATTCTGACGTTTTATTTTTTTATTTCTGTCTATCATCTCTTTTCTCTCCATTTATTATCCAAAGCTTCCCTTATTGCTCATCTTTGAAGTATGCTCAATAGGGCACTCTGCATAACTTTCTATGGTATGATGTCAAGTAGGGCTGCCGATGGGAAAACTTTACCGCTTATTTAATGCTCCATTGGATCTTGCCAACCCAAAATTTTAATGGATTGAGGCTTGTTTTGATGATTTTTATGGATGCCCTTGCTCTAGTGTTTTATCATTTTAAGCTTCATTTCGGCAGTTTGAGTTTGATTAATTCTATAAGTTATACAAAAATGTCCCAAAGTTTTTTTTGCTTTTTTTTAAATTAGAAAACAATCCTCTTAGTGTAGCTTGAGGCTCATACAACCACAAATTTCTTCCCAAAATGATTTTTTAAATGAAGCTTGTTTTACTTAGGGATACTTCATCTTCTCTGTGAAAAAGATGAATTTGTTATAAATTTACATAATGGATTCAGTTTTCAATTTTCTTCATTTTTCTGCTCGAGGATTGGGATTTAAAGAAATTCTGACAAGTGTGGATTTATCGTTCCCATGCAGAATTCAATTCTTTCAAATATGATACAAGAAATAGAACCTTTGGATGTAAGCCTCATACAGAAGGATGTTCCGGTGGAGACAGTAGATGCTATGAAGAGGACAATTTCAAGCATGCTCGGTCTACTCCCGTCTGACCAATTTCATGTCCTTGTTGAAGCTTTCTGGGAGCCTCTCTCAAAGTTGCTGGTTTCATCCATGATGACTGGGTATGGTTCCAACGTGTTGGCATCTTATACACGGGCGCTATAAGTTAAATTTCGATGCAGATGACGGCATCACGTTGGTTAGATTTTTCTTGTTAGAATATTTCAGAAAATGGGTAATCAAGTATCCTGAATAGACATTACCATCTTAATGTGTTTTGATAAGTCGAAAATGACTATTTTGGTGATAGAGAATTGATATATTTGGTGGACTGGGGATCTAAGATGGTCTAGGAACTTAAAATCGTTTTTTATGACAGAATTGGTTACTTGATAGAAGCATTCCACCAACTCAAGTGATGCTTTTTATCTATTAAATTTATCGTTGATTTTTATGGCTCTTTTGTTGATACAATATCATGAGACTTGTAAAAGTGTATTTATGAAGGATTACTGTCTAATAATATTCGTTGCGTGGTGTTTTTAGGGAAAATTATAGAGTATACCTTATTTCCTTCTATTTATTATGTGGCTGTCAATTTCTTCCTCTCTCAACAGTGTTTCCACTCGATGCAACTGTTACTACATTCAATTCAAATTTTTTTCAAATTGTGTGGATCGAAGCATGCAAACACTAAACTTTGTAAGTCCTCACGTCCATATATTTCATGAACTGACGAAGAATGTAAATGTGCTGGGTAAGCCTGGATGCCAACCTAGACTGTATGCAAGCTGGATTTAGGCTTGCGTTCGGTCCAACCTGGGAGTCGAAAAAGGAAAAAGTGAGCAGAATTGTTCTCACCTTACAATGGAGCAGTCGTCAACATACATTCCAACTCTATCATGTCATAAGGTTTTCACCGAAATCATTAAAAAATGGTGCATGTGGTAATCAAGGGGTCCAAGCGTCTTTTCCACGAAGTACATGTTGAGTTGTTTGCAATTTTTTTGAAATAAGTATTGAAAACAACGTGCAGCAACCATTCAGTCAATCAATCAATCAATCCCTAGCAGAGTTGGCTAGTCTCCAACTCCATCGATCCGAAAGACTCTGCAACGAAAAAGGTCCTTTTTCAATAAAGGTGTTGTGTGGCCAAGAGGTTAGTGACACAAATGATTTATGATACCAAAATTCTTAGGAGGATTTCCAGCTGGGTGAAATGGGATCAGATGAATGAAAGGAGAATAGGGTCCACCATGGCAAGACAAAGGGAGGCAAGTAAGGGAAGAGGATGGGTGAGTAGGTCACCAGGCGGAGAGAGGGTAGGTCATCCTAGGATGGAGAGAACCTATGAAATCCTTAAATGATATAGACTGAGGAAAATTCTCTGGTAAGGGGTCGGATGGGTACTGCATATTCTTAAGTTTTATAAATCATTTTTCTGGCCCGTGTATTATTTGAAGGTGGTTAAAAATCGGTTAATTTTTGTGTTCTATTGGACATTATCGTCAGTTATTATAATCCGTCATTTATACGTGAGAAGTTTAAGCTGTGGTATCCCCTCCCTGCAGGTATACTTTGCGAAATGCCGAGTATAGGCTCTGTCTTGAAAGGAACCTAGGCATACACGAGGAGTTTTCTGAGAAACAAGAATCAGAAAAGGCAGACTATGATGGCAATGGAACATCTCTTGATAGAACTACTGCAATGTTCAAGCTCCAGAGAGATGATTTGTTAACCAAGTCAAGGGAGATGGTAGAGGAACCGCAGTTTAATGAGCTGGACATTCAAGGTCTAGGAGAAATAACTCCTAAAATCCAGCAATATATTCTTCATCTTCAATCACGCTTATCATCTGTAAAGAAGGTACGAAGTGGGGTCTAATGTGCCTCTGCGATATATGTTGCTTTCTTTCTATGAGGATTCTTCTGAGACTTATTTTACACAGTTTCTTCTTTTTCGTAGCAAAAAAGATGGGTGAAACATCTTGTCTGTTGACGAAAATGTTTTCTTCAACGAGAAACTACTACCGAACGAAGAATATTTCTTTTTAAGAGACTTAGATCAATTCGGATGTGCTTGATAGCAAATAGAATTCTATGTTGTTTCAGATTCTTGATTAATCCTTATTCTATCTCCCAGGAGACAATTAATGTCAATCCCGAACTAGTCATCTGTGGCCATACGGTAGCCACATGAGATAAGAATTCCATTTATGGTTCAGGAATAGTGACGGGAACTTGTGCCTCTTGCATTTCATGAAACTTGTGGAGTCACGGATATCTCTGTAAAATGTACTTTCCTTGAAAACGAGATAAAACCTTAACCTTGAATTGCTAAGGAAATCATGGATTTTTTAAGAAATTGGGAATGCCGAGGATACATTTTGAATAAATACACTCATTGTATTAAATTTTTGGAAATCATTTTTCCCACTAGAGTATGTCATAATCTTGTTTGATTTTACCAACTTGTACAAGGCTTCTTACTATTTTTATCAGGAAATAAAACTGAAAGTTTGCCGAAAATTCTATTATTTTGTAGCTTATTACTAAATTTAGTGGTACTGTCTGCATAATTGGCCTGGAGCTTCAGAAACTTTTATGAAGATCAAATTAGAACTGACATGAGGCTGGAACACGTTGAGAAGCCGTCTTCAATCTTATGCGGGACTGAATATGAGCCTATTTCTCACGCTTTGGAAATCTAAGATTACCAAAAGACGGTGGAAATGGAGATTAAAGTTTGATGAAGCTTGGACATGTAGCGTTGAAACTCAAAGCAGATGGTTTTTCAAACCAAAAGACTGTTGAAAATGGTAGTGACCACAGAATTTTAAATTCAAGGATATCTTGGACGCAAATAGCATGATTAGTATCGTTAGCCCTGGATCAATGTACATTAGTTCTGGGCCTTTGAGTAATCGGCCAGTTTCTGCCACTGGAGAATGTTCGATCTACTCTTAATCTGAGTCCTTTTTTTTTTACGGAACGATTTCTATGATGAATTACTTTGTACATGCTGCATTATTTGACACGCTTAAAAGAATGTGCTCATTATTCTTGTATTGTTCTGCTACGCCCAGAAGTGCTCATTGTTCCTCCATTATTTGACAGGAACTGCATGATATCAAAAGGGAAAGTGCTGCCTTGCAAATGCAACATTTTGTTGGAGAAGAAAAGAATGATTTATTAGATTATCTCAGATCACTGCAACCAGAAAAGGTTTGGGCTTCTTCATTTTTATTCCTTCAGAATCCCCCCTCCCCCTTCCCGAAATGAAAATTATTTTCTTTTATTGTAGGAAATACTCACTCGTAGCTAACTTTTGATAATATAAGATGCCCGATATAATTGTCATCTGTGAATCCACAATTCTTGGAAACATCAGTGCAGACTGAATGTACCATACAGGTGATTGAGATGAATGTGGACTAGGTATTATTGAGAAAATCAAGATGCAGGTACTCTTGGTACCGGATATCATTTTTTGCATGATAAACACACGCTACGTAATGCACGTGCAATTATTGAATTATTGAGAATCGCTTGTGACATCATCTTCTACGGTCTCTCTAAAGTTTGCCTCCTGCCTATGCTTGACCCAATTGCTGTAGGTGTTTTGCATGCCAGTGACGACGTAGTCATTCTCACCTTGTTGTGAATTGAAATTTCTTAAATATTTCGAAGAAAATCATCACATCGGGAATGATCTTGAAGTGAACTACATTCTATTTATAACTACAAACACCAAGGTCAATCGTGAGCATATAAACTGGAGCCTGAATATAGTAATTGAAATCGACCGAAGTATTCTATCTCTCTCCTCTCCCCTCCCCCTCTTTGTTTCTCATAATAATCGATAAGCTTGGGCTCTGAAGAAATGCGTTACTCATTCAATCTGTTAGATCAATTTGGATGAGTTTCTGTGGTAGAGGCCCGTGCATAACCTACGGCATCAGTCATAGAAATCCATGGCCGTACTATACATACTCTTCCCTGTGACCGTACGACTCCCATCAGTCATGGAAATTCCTTTTGCAGGTTGCAGAACTCTCAGAGCCCACCTGCCCGGAGCTGCAAGAAACCATCCACTCCATTGTTCACGGCCTCCTCGCCACCCTCTCTCCAAAGATGCAGACCAAGGCTCCTCCCATGTCCGAAAATGCCGCCACCGGTGCCATGAACGTGGGCTCTGACGACTGTGCTGAATTGGTCGAGAACACCTCCCTCAACTTTCAGCCCCTCATCTCGGTCTCCCGGGATTATCTGGCTCGTCTCCTGTTCTGGTTGGGCTTCCTCTCACCTTTGACTTGAATTCGATCGTCTCAAGCTCGTCTAGCGGTTTCTTGATTCGGTGGGTTCTCTCCTATCAGGTGCATGCTGCTGGGTCATTACATCAGAGGACTCGAGTACAGGCTCGAGTTGATGCAGCTCCTGACCATCCCCTGCGGCGAGGAGTCCGGCGAGTAGCGGCTCGAGCTCGGCTCCCAAACCCTAATTGTTCATAGCTGAGTTTCCCATCCCTCCTCCGGGCAATCTCCAGTCTCAAGTTCCTGTCCGATCCGAGGTCAACCACCCCCTCAGCTAGGGGAATCCAATTTCCCAGAGCCTGTTTATAGATCTTGCGGTGTTGTGGACAAGGCCGGCGTTGTAGAGAGAACACTCGTTAAGCATCGACTCTGAGAATAATGTCTCCAATTACCATTTATATGTTAATTATTTCTACGAGCTCTCAGCGTCTCGCTCCGTGGGTGTTGTTGGTCTGCTAGATTCGGGCAGAGAACTGAGTGATGTTCCTCTCCGAAAGCGCCGATCTGTGTGCCGGTCTCTGCACGAAATCTCTTTCCAGAAAGCTCTGATCTTTGTGGCGGCCGAGTCTTCGAGAGTCTCTCTCGTGGTCCGAAGGGTCCGCCGCCGGTGTCGCGAGTAGCGCCGCCGCCTGGTCTGGGGTTGCTTTCTGGGTGGGGGGGTCCTCCATCGTCTGAACGCTACTGACGATGCGGCTAAAACGAGGATCAGGGGCGCAACTGCGTGATGCAGAAGGCACACCGCATCTCCAGTTCGTTGGCGGGGGGTGAGCGGGGACCAACGACCGTGGGTATCGAGCTTTCACCTCCTTTTCCGGCATCTTCTGCCCCATCCCGCCGTAGCGCTGGTTGAGAGAAAGAAAGGAGCAGCTCCTCCTCCCCTTCCACTGGACCCCATTTCTCGGCGCCTTCTGCAGTGCGCACCACCCAGTCTCGAGAGGCGGAAAGCCGTGGGCTGTAGCGGTGACGCGCCAGTCATGTTTGCTCACGAGTGGTGACCAGAACCCGCTGACCGGGATGGTATTCTCTATCTCCTGCTGTTAACCAGGGGGGGTAGGTGCTTGCAGTTCGAGGTACGAGCTCTGTTCAATCATCTTCCTCCTATATAATGGAGGAGATGGGCTCATCGTCCACTGGGTCGCGAGAACCGGGCATGGGTACTCCAAGGAAGGAAGGGGACGGGGAGGAGAACAGCCTGCTCCCGGTACGACCCCCGGAAGCGGAGGAGGAGGAAGACGATGAAGAGGAGAGGGCCTACGACCAGAAAGAGAAGATTGTCGTCCAGATCTCGGATTCCGATGACGGGTTGGGTTGCTCGGGCGACGCCGCCCCGCCCTTCTCGTGGCGGAAGCTGTGGCTGTTCACGGGGCCGGGATTCCTGATGAGCGTTGCGTTCCTGGACCCCGGTAACCTGGAGGGGGATCTCCAGGCTGGGGCCATCGCCGGGTACTCCCTGCTTTGGCTTCTTATGTGGGCAACAGCCATGGGGCTTCTGATCCAGCTCCTCTCTGCCCGGCTTGGCGTGGCCACGGGGCGGCACCTGGCGGAGCTGTGCAGAGAGGAGTACCCTCGGTGGGCTCGGCTGCTTCTATGGTTCATGGCGGAGGTGGCACTGATTGGCGCTGACATTCAGGAAGTAATCGGGAGTGCCATAGCCATTAAAATTCTGAGCAATGGCCTGATTCCCCTCTGGGTGGGGGTTATCATCACGGCTCTAGACTGGTGAGTATCCAGAATTCAGTACTGCTGACGTGCTCTGAGATTATTCCATCATTTCTTGATTCAATTCAACATTCGAGGATTATTTTTTTTCTATTATTTGGTACGCTGGGCATCATGCAGTTGTTAGATTTCAGTTATTTGGGATTTCTTTTGTTTTCTATACCTGGTCCGTCATTTACCTCAGCCTCCTGTCGAGTTCCACCCGGTTTAATTCTATCTTTTCTGCAGTTTTTTGAAGCACCGCTGTGTTCTTCAGTTAATCGGGTCTCCAGCATTTTGACCCTCATCAGATGTACCCGGCCGAATTGATCATATGATCTTTCTATATTTCCTAACTAAATTAGTTTCATGTTTTTACTAAATTTTCAGTCTAGAATTTTTCTTCATTCTTTGAACTCTAACGAGAAATATATTGCGATTTTTTTTGTTTTTTTAGCATAATTCTTGGCTACAGACCTATCGGGCTTTGATGCCTTTGATAGAGTTAGTCAGTTAGATTGTGTTGGAATGCATTTGCACTCTTTTTCCTAATTCACTTTCATACTCTGCTCTACAGCTTTATCTTTTTGTTTCTGGAGAATTATGGGGTGAGGAAGCTAGAAGCGGTTTTTGCTGTTCTCATCTCGACAATGGCAATTTCATTTGCCTGGATGTTTGGGCATACCAAGCCTAGTGGAACAGAGCTCTTGGTTGGTATGTATCAGTGAAAAGCTTTTTTCTCTCTTTTTTCATGCTGTCTTCTATACTCATCGGTTTCCACTGTCATGAGGGTGATTCTGCTCTTTGTAGGAATCTTCGTTCCTAAGCTTGGCTCAAAAACAATAAAACAAGCTGTAGGGGTCGTGGGCTGTGTGATAATGCCACATAACGTGTTTCTCCACTCTGCTCTGGTACAATCCAGAAAGATTGACAATGACAAAAGGAGTCATGTTCAAGAAGCCATGAAATACTATTCTATAGAGTCCACTATTGCGCTCTTTATCTCCTTCATGATCAATCTATTCGTTACGACCGTTTTTGCAAAAGGATTCTATGGAACGAAGGAAGCCGAGTCAATCGGCCTCGTAAATGCTGGGCAGTTTCTCCAGGAGAAGTATGGAGGAGGGTTATTTCCTGTTCTTTACATCTGGGGCATTGGGTTATTGGCAGCTGGACAGAGTAGCACAATAACTGGCACTTATGCTGGCCAGTTTATCATGGGTGGTTTTCTCAATCTGCGTCTGAAGAAATGGCTTAGGTCATTGATCACCAGAAGCTTTGCCATCGTGCCAACAATAGTAGTTGCCCTGATTTTTGACGGTTCTGATTCTATGTTGGATGTTTTGAATGAGTGGTTGAACGTACTTCAATCAGTACAGATTCCATTTGCACTCATTCCTCTTCTTTATTTAGTTTCAAAGGAACAAGTGATGGGGCCTTTCACGGTTGGCCGTACTCTCAAAGTAAGTTGGCATTTGTGATAATCTTTTTATTAAATAACTGGTCCTTAGCTTGCTCGAAATTAGTGTTTTTTGGTGACAAATACCCGTGAACAGCTTGAATTTTTTTGTTGTGTATCCACGGTAATTCATATATATATTCTTCCTTCGTGCAATAATATCTGAAAATGCAATCAATATTGCTTCCATATTCCTTTGGTTAGCTCTAATTATACCCCCATTTGGTCATCGCGGCTAATGATAGAATCAGTTTCTCTGTATAATCTCATAAATAACCATAATCCATCGACCCAAATATTTTTGCATTTACTTTTTTAATGATCTTGATTCTGTATGCTTGTTTACTGACTCTTCAGGCGTTTACAATTGACGATTTTTATGGCCAAATTATGTTTCATATGGATGCATAACTACTCTGGCACATGTGATTTATAGTCAGTTTGGAGGTGTTTTGCTTATTATCATTTTGAATTCATGTTCGCAATAATGGTTCAATTCAAAGGACCAACTTACTTGTTTAGGCTAGGAGAGGATAAATTTCAGGGTCGTTGTTGCGCTTGGTTACCATTAGAAATGTAGAAGGATAACCTGGGACTGCTGACATGAATGACAAGGAAACAGGGGCAATCAAATACTTTTGGACGTGACAATGTTAATCTTATTTTTTTAATCGGGGAGTGCGTGTTCTATTGGATGTTATTTTGGGTCATAAAACTAAGAATGGTGCTTCTAAGGTTTACGAAACTATGGTGTTACCTTGACGTCTATGAACAAGCTTGCAATTGTAGGGTTCAAGAGTGTGCCCAATTTTTCATTTTGCTCCATTCTGGGATTGGCCCTTGAATTTTGGAACCCAAACTAGGTTTCATTCATGTGCAATCAATAATGCGAGCAATAATGTTTTTAGGAAAGATCAACCTACAGCCACATTGGCTTGAGTTTTTATTCTGTAAACGTAAGCAAATGAATTGGATCAAAGAGTGGGGGAGAAGGGTATGAGCATCGAGGATCAAAAATTCATTTTTTTCTGATCATAGCTTGTAACTAGTGTGCAATGCAAAGGTTTTTTAACAATTAGGTCAGAATCATAAATCGGAAGACTTTCAGACTGGCTTTTCTTTTAGAAAGAAGGGGGGTCCTTTTTACCCATGAAAGATATTATGTTTTGCTTGACATCGATCTAGCATACCCAAGTGAAAAGAGAATTGTCACCTGTGTCCCATATGATTGATCAGTGTGCAGATGCTATCTTTACGAATCATACTCTAGACGGATCAAAATTAGCAAATGTCCATCATGGTGCGGCTGAAGGAACATCCTGCTGAAGGATATTTTAGCAACTATGGCAAAATGGTGCTGGTGTTTGCATCTTGTATATAAGTCCAAGATATTTTGTCTTCTTTATTTCATTCGCCAAGATCCATGATAGTTGAGCGACCCACCACCTACATCGTCCCATAAATTCAGTAATCACCTCCCTCACCAAGAGGTGGATATTACATCTTCACAGAAAGGATGTACTTGATTTGGGATCAAGATTCATGATCACTGTATCAGACATCAACCTGTGAATCTGGATATAAAAGTCGAATCGTTGTGAGTTGGCAGGATTTTTTTTTATGAAGCTTTTGCTCTTACTTTGATTAACCTATGACTTTAGCTTGACATTGCCCATTCAGACCTAGTAACTCCGTGATCTCGATTTGGATGTCTACATTCACTCGAGATGTAGTTCTTGTTGACCATCTGGATATGGCCCATGATTAACTTTCCGCCATATGAAACCAGCGTCATCTAATCTCCATATTTGATGAGTATGTTGTGCATAAGATCGCTTGGCCTTGAGGGATATGATCTTCGTTTTCATCAGGATTCTATACGGGGATGGTGAAATCGAAAAGGATTTTTTACATCTGTAGTGAAGAACATCGTAAAATTGGAGATGCTAAAGAAATGTGCCCTAGAACACAGAGGACGGACAAAATATAATCAGTCACCAGCCCGAGTTGGCTGGGGGTGTCGGTTACCAATGATGATAATGATGATTATTAATTTTTCTCATGCCATCTATTTGATGGGGCTCGAATTTCTATCATCCCAGTTTCTCATTTTCTATCTTTGAATGCGATCTTCCAATGCCCACAGTTCCTCTTGTATCTTGCACATCCGATACCTCTTTGTTCTCACATGATTTTGGGATCGCCCTTGCAGATTGTGACCTGGACCGTGGCCGCCCTTTTGATCGTCATAAATGGTTACTTGTTGCTGGATTTCTTCTCTTCAGAAGTTCGAGGCCCATGGTTCACTTCTGCCACAGTTATCATCACATCGGCATATGGAGCATTTATTATTTATCTCATATTCCATGGTAGGGGCGTGCCTGCTAAGCTTGCATCAGCACTGCCCAGAAGATATTATAACAATGGGAGTTGACGTGCTAGGCAGCTGTCCAACCTGGTTCTTAAGGAATATGGGAGCTGATACCCTGTATTGCAGTAGGGAAGCTGCCTTGTCCTGCTCTCTCCGAGCTCACATCCTCCCTCCCAGGTTGAACTCTTCCCGAAGTTCAGATGACCCAGCTCATGCTGATCTCCATGCTAATGGGTCTCTCCTCACTGGGGAGAGACTATATTAAGTTTGACTACTCCATATCTGCTTCCTGGGTTTCCGATGGGGAATGGCCTAGCTATCACCCCACGAAGGATTCCTTAATCGATGAAGAATGAAGAAATGTTTTACAGACCGCTTTAAAATCAGGGGAGAAATATCTGCAGGCTGTTCTTCCGTATCCGATACTGATGTATGACGAATAAAGTTGTAGATTGAATGCCTCATCACCAATTCATCTGTACAAATTTGGAGGATTATTAGTCGAATATGCCCATGGAAGTCTAATCCGTATGCCCATCATGTATGCACATGTTTCTGTAGATTGACTCACTGCAAGGGTGATTCGAGGAAATGACTCAAACCGTTTCAAACGTTTTTCCTTGGAAAGGAGAACATGACACAGATGACTGACAGCAATTTCTCTCTCTCTCTCGACTGCTTTAGTGCATATTAATGAGAAGTTATCTCTTTTTCGGATTAAATATTTGTTACATTTTTTAAAAGACAATTCCGCATTCAAAGTGTGTGATAGAAGATTATATCTTACGGAATAAGATAAAAAAGAGATATAATTCCATATTTCAAATACTACATGATCGAAAACAGACGTCCTAAAACATTAACGTTTGAGATTTAATTCTGTGTTTCACAGATTACTCGATAGAAATTTAACTGTCTTGGAAAATAAAAATTTCGTATACATAATATTTGATGTATGAAACTACATTTCATGCTCCCTCCCTTGCATGGCCCTAATATTAAGTATTCAGTCCCTAATGGTACTTGGCGTTACACTTTAACTGGAACACAATACATATGATCTCCTAGGTTGGCATCATGTAATACCTTCTCATTAGTGACCACACGATAGAGAGATGAGTTTCTATCATCATTAATGAGAAAATTGAACAAAAGGCACGGTTGAATGTATTCTATGCTACGATTCAGAGACATAATTTCATATTTCAAAGGTTAGATGATAGATGTCTCGTTTCATTTAATCATTAGTGAGAAGTCATTTCACAACTATAAAGTGCAATATTCATAAGTATTCTAGTCATATTAAAGTCCGACGAATAATTAGGATATCATATGATAGATATATTTAATTATCTAAGATGTATTTGCAACTAATTGACAAAACAACTCAGAATCTTAATCCATGTACCTTATAACCGGCATAAATTCGGTCCAAAAGAGTCCCTTTTCTCATAATCTGGTTGTAGGGCTCGACTAGATTGTGGGGTTTCTCCCGGAATCCATTAAATTCCTCTCATCCAAGAAGAAATTTGAGGGTAAGTCGAATCAAGGAGATGGACCGGTTGCAGTATTTCCTAATTGCTTACGGCTGCTCGGCGTCTTTGGTATGGAAGTGGGAGTTCTGCCTCCCGTTGATTGATCACTCGGGGCCGCCTAGCAAAGCGGAGTCATGCGAACGGCGAGAAGACGATGAGCACCCTGTTATCTCGTCTCTAGTTGGGGTTTTCCCATGCTTATGGTCCCGCGCGATGCGAGTTCACGAGCAAATAATGAAACTAGGGAAAGACCGGGAAAAGTCGAAGTTTTGCCCGGTTTGGGAAAGAGGTGGGAGACCCCTCAAGGGCGCGTAGTTAGAAACCTCTCGAGGGACATTTTCCTCTTCGCTCGTCCCCTTCATGGCCATGGCGAGAGACGTCAACTACTGCTAGCAGAGGCACTGCGGTCGTGACGAAGGGAGAATTCTCTCTTTTTCTCCTCATTTTCATACTCCCTCTCTCATCTCTCTTAGTTTGTTTACTGGTTCATCGTTTCGGGTTCTGCCGGGCGCCATGAACGTCCCGATCATCGGTAAGACCTCCTCATTTCCCTTCTTTCTACTTCTTCAATCGAGACGCGCCGTCTTGCGCCGTTTTGTCATTTTTGGTTCGGAAAGAGGACATCTGACTTGTCTTGCTGGTTCGTGGGATCTTCTGCGTCCGCGAAGATCCCTTGCAGGGGGATTTCCCAGAGGTGATAGAGGAGTACCTGCAGCATGGAAACATGAAATGCATCGCTTTTAACCGTCGCGGGACCCTTCTTGCCGGTGAGTTTCCTGCTCAGAAGATGAAATAGACATTAGACGGGCTCCGCTCCGAGATCAGGGCCACCCTAAAAACTCCAGTGCCGATAGCAGATTACATTTGGGCCTTTCCTATTCTGTCCACTGCACGTTGAAATCTCTGTTATCTGTTAATTCTGGTCTGAAAGCAGCAGGTATGGTTCATCTATCATCAGTTCCATTGCCGGAATGATGGTATTCGATTAACTCTGAGTCTTTACCTCCTTTCCCCAGGCTTTCAGCGTGAACACAATGCTGGTTCTTCCTCTTACGTTCATGTCTGGCCCATCTGTAATTATCTGCAGGGAGACCAATCCCCTTGCGAGGAATTGGGGATTCAATTTTGCACACAGGAACCTACTTTGTGCACAAATTTATTTCCTTCATTTCCCACGTTTTTTTCGATTACTAATGTAGTCTTTTTATCCACGCCAGCCGTAGGATTGTTGAATGTTGAGCCTTTCCTCAAGAAACAGGGGCTCAGGTTCATCTCCTAGGATTTCCTAATCATATGGGAAGTGTGTGTGTGGGCAACCAGTGAGTACCTCTGATATTTGGCCATTTTCTCATTGTCAACAAGAAAAAGATCATCTTTTCCTTAAGCTGTTTAATGATTTGGTTAAGCATAATCACGGGTGAGTTTGTCTGTTCCAATTTCAGTCTTCCTGGAACTTTCTCATTCGTGAATCTATGGAAATGTAATATGATTTGTCATGGATCAGGTTAGATGCTCTTCAATAAAGTATGTGTTTTTCTTTTTCTAATCACAAAAATAAATGGATGGTCCGTCCTTACTCTTCTTTCAAATCTCAGCGAAATAAGATGAAGGAGCCTTCTTTCTTTTATTTTACTAGTCGTGTGTTGTAATCCTCCATGAAATTAAGCAAACTTCTCTGCTTTCTGTAGCAATAAGATGTGTCTAAAACCTAAACCCTGAACCCTAAACACAATACTGGCATTCTTTATGCATAGAAATTTACCAATGCAGTTGATGGTGATTTTTTTTTTTAAATACAAGGAAAAATCAGATTGTCAGTGCCTCACTTTAAATGATGCCTCTTGACTCCCAACGAGTGACCTCTGCAAGGCATCTTAGAGATATATTCAGCCGTGCAGTGAGCAAAGGTGCTCATACAGGGTTCAGGTGGCTCAGCTCATGTTAGTCAACTTACCAAACTTTCTCCATTGAAGCGGAGAACATGCTGGTGTTCCCTGAGGGCTCCTCCTGCAATTGGGTTTCCTGAAGAAAATGTAAAAATGTGTAATTTTAAGAGATATAGATATACCTCATTCATGTAAAAATGATGTACTGGAAAAAATGCACACTTGGGCTTCTATTTTTGGAAGAAATTATCGATTCTTTAGAAGATATCTAATTCCACGGATGGCATCCTTCTCTCTCTAGGTAATTTAAGGAACGGCATCCAGCCTTGTCATGGAGATCCTTGTAGAGTGTGGATTTATGCTGAATCTGTGCACCACAAAGGCACTGTCATTCTTGGTCCACAAACTCCTAAGGTCTACATTCTTGTTTCAAACTAGTTTAAATCGCCTCTTCAGCCGGCACTGTCATCATTGCCACCTCAGAACATCGAGTGCCCAGCTGTGAGAAAGGTGACTCCATCTAGATTCCTGGTCTTCCATGGTTCTTTGTACATGTTTTTCTTCTTCTATTCTTATTTCTATTTTAGCATAGAAAAGAGAAGGCAGCCCTCAGCCCATTAGGGATGGGATTCTGAAGATGGAATGAATTGTTCTGACTCAGGGATGCGATTGCTGTTTCCATTCATCTGTAATGTCTCTGCCAAATGCGAGTCTCTTACCAAAACTAGCCATTTTCCATCTTTTTAAGCCATCTTTCTGGTCCTCCGGCTGGTGGGCCTTCCACTTTGTCCCTTCCTGTTGATTCTTTGTAATTTGCTCCAAGTTGTTGAGTACTAGTCATTCAAGGCTTTTCCCCCATGAACTTTTGGAGCAATATTTATTATGAGTGCCGTAGATGCTGTCTGAATACTCGGTTCCAGAGGTGAAAATGCAGTGGACATTTTATGCATAAATAAACGTTGAGGTCGGTTCTTCTGCCAGACTACCTCATCAGATATATATAAATTAGCTCATTTATATGAGTCTGTTTTCTCCCTCCATAGTTCTCCATTATTTATCATCATCAACCCCTTATTAATTCATCTGACATGGAAACAGCAGGTTCTACCATAATCTCAGCTAGCTTCTTGGGGTTGTCCTGCAGATACCCTGATAGAGATTGCTCAATTTATCCTCCAAGAACTGTTGTTGGATCTTGCTGGGGGACTGAACTCTTTCGTAATCTTGTTGCAGCTGGCTGTGCTGATGGGAGTTGTGTCATCTGGGACTTTGAGACGAGGGGCATCGCGAAGGAGCTTCGAGACAAGGACTGCGTGGCCCCTATAACCAGCGTCTGCTGGTCCAAGTACGGCCATTATATTCTGGCGTCCGCCACCGACAAGTCGTTGACTCTCTGGGACGTCAGAAATGGGGAGAAGATAGCGAGAATAACTCTGCAGCAGACGACCATGCACGCTCGTCTTCATCCGGGCTCCTGCACGCCGTCTCTCTGCCTGGCGTGTCCTCTCTCCTCGGCGCCGATCCTCGTCGACCTCAACACCGGAAGCTCCACAGTTCTTCCGGTCTCGGTGACTGACGCCGGCGCCGGCGCCGTTTCTCATGCTCGAAACAAGTTCGCAGATGGGTCTCCTCCGTTCACGCCCACGGCCGCCACATTCAACAAGTACGGGGACCTAATCTACGTAGGGAACTCCAAGGGAGAGATCCTCGTGCTGGATTCCCAGACCGTGCAGGTGCGGGCAGTGGTTTCTGTTTCAGGAGCCTCGGTGATCAAGAACATTGCTTTCAGCCGGAACGGGAAGAATCTGCTCACGAACTCGAACGATCGGGTGATCAGGGTGTATGATAACCTTCTTCCGCTGAAGGGCGCGGCCAAGTTTCTGGAGGCGATGAGCGGCGAAGTTGGCGAGCTCGAGGGGATCGAGAAGCTAAAGGTGGTGGGGGCGAAGTGCCTGCAGCTGTTCCGGGAGTTCTCAGACTCCATCACCAAGATCCACTGGAAGGCGACTTGCTTCAGCGGCGATGGCGAGTGGGTCGTCGGCGCTTCCGGGAACAAGGGAGAGCACAAGATATACATATGGGACAGGGCCGGCCGTTTGGTGAAGATTCTGGAGGGTCCCAAGGAAGCATTGACCGATCTTTCATGGCATCCTGTCCGTCCCCTGGTCGCCTCGGTTTCCATATCCGGCTGGGTCTACATTTGGGCCAAGGATTATACAGAAAACTGGAGCGCATTTGCTCCCGATTTCAAGGAGCTCGAGGAAAACGAAGAATACGTCGAGCGAGAGGACGAGTTTGACTTGATGCCGGAGGTTGAAAAGGTGAGGGCTTTGACTAGGCGATCTTCACGGCTCCTCGAAAACTTGCTCACATATTTTTTCCTCCGTGCTTGCAGGCGAAGGAGGTTGACGTCAACGAAGATGACGAAGTCGACATCATGTCGGCGGAGAAGGACTCGGCGTTCAGCGACTCCGACGCTTCACAGGAGGAGCTGTGTTTCCTGCCCGCCGTTCCATCCCCAGACGTCCCTGAGCCGCAGGACAAGTACCTCGGAAGCTCCTCCAAGCTGGGCGACAGTGCTCAGTCTGTGTCGCCGTTGTCAGTGGAGGCCGGCCAGAATGACCAGGCCATGAACCTCGCCTCGAGTCCAATGGAAGGTGAACAGTAATCTGGGTTTTGTTTATTATGATGGTTCATCGGATGATCTCTCGTCCTCATCGACTCCTATTGTCGCAGTGGTGGGCAACTCTTCGGCAGACAACGCCGGAACCGGAAGCTTGAAGAGGAAGAGGAAGCCATCGGCCAAGGGGCTCGAGTTGCAGGCGGAGAAGGGCCGGAAGCCCTCCGGCAAATCCTCCAAAGCCAAGAACAAGCCCGACAGCAGCGGCTCTCTTTTTGAAGATGGTGCAACGGACGAGTACCCCTGAAGTCTCCCTGTTCGTTCTGGTTACTTGGTTATACCCACCATTCTTTTGCAGAAATGCGGAACTGAAGAAGAAAGGGTCCCTAATCTCTCTCTCTCTCTCTCTAAAAGATGTCGGGTAACTTAATGAATCTTTTCTGAATCCACCAAATGGACGGTTGAGATGCGATGATATTTTGGTCCAAATCGAACGGGCCTGACCGCGCCGGTCTAAAACACGCGAGGGTGGATTCACGGGTTTCGGGTTCATCTCTCTCGCAAGGGAGGGGGACGAGGAAGGAGCTAGGGTTCCGGGGGATACGCTCTCGGAATTGTGTCCTCAAGGTCCACCTCACCTCCGCTCATCCTTCCGCTGCTCCTGTGGTACAGGGTTTATCTTGTCCCCGTGAGTTTTCTGGACTGTCAGTGTCTTCTCTTTTTGGTTTCTGCTCTGTTTAGATGCGTCGATCGGAGAAGAATCTGCTCAGTTGCGATCACTACGAATGTAGCTCCAGTATCTGTTAGAATCTTATGGTTTTAGGGCGGGACAAAAGGGCGTGTAAGGTCGACCATTCGTGGGATGAGAACATTGTTTTCACCTGTCTCGGGGGGAGATTCCCGACGCCAGCATTTTATCGGTTCTTGTTCAATCATCCTGTGGAAAATTTTTGTGGAAGGAAGGCTGCTGCATCTTTGTTCGATTATTACCATCGTGCGAACGGCCAACCTGCGTCTTATTTTCTGGAAGAGAAGTTGCTAGGAGTCGGATGCCGTGTAGAGAGAATGTCTCAGATTCATTAGCTTCTTGTATTTTTTTTCATTTTCTTTTACCTTTTCCTTCCCTGTATTGTCCTGTCCTCATTGCGGTTAATGATGCTTAAATCAGGATGTAATTTGGTTCCATCGTGAAAGAAGCTTGATCCAGCGCTGGGTTTGTGAGTTTTCGCTTGCGACGTTAAAAAATTGATGTCCTTTGAGCTCTTTTATGCATTTATTCGATTATTATTTTTTAAGTATTTAGATGTCGTGGTTGTGAATATTCATAGGAAAATTACGTAATATATTTTTTTGCTTCTGTGGCTCTATGTACACGTAATTTGGAGATACTGCGGCAAATGAAAGTTTTTAGTGAACTTACGTTTTATTTAGCTCAATAGAAGAAAATCGTTGATGTAAGAATTAATGAAGTTCATTTTCTTTTAAATAACCTGAAAAGACGTCATTTTAATCACTTGCTGATTTCTTTGGCTAGTGGAATCCTCTCGCTAACCTCTCAGCCCCCCACCACCACCAACCACACCAGAAGAAAACAAGTAAATGCTGGTGTCTGTTCGAGAATATATGGAAGTTTTATCATTTACTAATTCAATATTTTATTTAGGAAGTTTAGGATCATTGGAAAACGAGATATGGGAGAATAAGAAGACTATCACATCAGAGTTTTAATTCAACTGAAAATACAAGTTTTAAACCACCTGATGCATGAAGTTGACGAGAAAAATTTCGAATCAGAATTTTAACCTAAGGAGCCATTCTGAACAGATATCTCTCTTTCATTACATCGATCATTGCCTTCGGAAACAAGTAACATATGCTATCATCAAAATGAAGTGTAAAAATCTATCTTTTGTAATAGTTCTGAGACGTTCTGACATTTAAGTTGTTCAAAGTTTTTTCTAATTGAATTTTTGGATATCACTTTGCAGCTTCTACGCCAGAAGACAGCCATGGCACAAGCTGAGGCAGTTGTAGACATTGGATCAGCTTCCAACCTGTTGGAGCAGCTTGGTGAAGCTTTCAATGAATTGGAATCTAATAAGGATGCTTTTAGCAAATTTGGGGCTGTATGTGCAGAAATAAAAGAACATATGCAGAACCTTGAGAATTCGTTAATGAAGAGATTTGAAGAATTAGAAGAGAGAGAAAGAGCTTTCGAGGAAAAGGCTTCTGCAACTCTAAGACTTATTGATGAAAGGGAGGTGGAAGTGGCAGGAAAAGAGCAAACTTCTTTAGATCAGATTCAAGAAGTGAGAGATGCTGCAGTTGATGCTATAGCAGAAGCACGCAAGAAATACAAGGTGGCATCTCCTGAGCCTGCTGATATCACGGGAAGCAGAGATATTAAGGTAAGCCCCTCTACCAACGGTGACCAAAATGCATCCTTTCCTGTCAAGGAAGAGAAATCCCCTGATAATAGGTCAGGTGGAATCGTTGAGGCAATGTCTACAGGAGTTAAACTTCATCCCAAGTTGAAACTCCTATGTGAACAAATGGATGCTAAAGGCCTTCTGAGATTTCTCAGTGAGAACAAGAAAAACCTGACTACCCTCTGTGGTCAAATTCCCATTGCATTAAAAAATGTGGATGACCTAGGTCGTTTGGTGCTTGATTCCCTGGAGGTATTCCAGCCTCCTGACCAACCTGCCCCTGATGGAAATCCGAAGGACACCGTCTCTGACACCCTGCGCAGAACTTGTCTCGTATTGATGGAAGCTGTAGCCCCCTCGTTAAGGGTGGCTGAGCCAGGTGGTGATCAACCCCTGAGCTCTGAAACCAAAGAGAAGGCCAAGGCTATTGCTGATGAGTGGAACTCAAAGTTGGATGCTGCAGACATAGATGCTGCCAATGGAAATTCATTGGAAGCACAAGCTTTGTTGCAGCTCCTTGCAACGTTTAACATTGCGCCGGAGTTTGACGAAGACAAACTTTGCAAGCTTATCCTTGCTGTTTGTGGTCGCAGGCAGGCACCTGAGCTTTGTCGTTCTCTTGGACTTGAACACAAGATGCCAGGTTGGTTCCCGCATTGATTGATCATGAGTGATTTATTTATTTTTAAATCTTCTAACATGTAGGTCCCCTGCTTAGGACAATGGCAGTTGTCGAGTGTTTTGTGCATTGAATACGTGATTTTCATTCGTAATCAGGTGTTATTGAAGCCTTGATCAGCAGTGGTCGACATATAGATGCCGTTCATCTCATCTATGCTTTTCAGCTTACGGGGAGCTTTCCACCGGTGCCTTTGTTGAGGGAATATTTAAGCACGAACAGTTCACAGGAAAAAAACGCTCACGACGCATCATCTGGTACACTGGTAGGTTTTAATGCAATTCAATGTACATATTTATTATTTCTTTTGATTCTTTATTGGGTCGAAAATGTCGAGTCTCACATCAGTGATTCTGGCATCTCAGCGTGTAAATGGTTGAAGATAATATTACTCGCCGCTTACGTAGAAGTAGCCATTCATAACTCATACGTTACAAGCTGCTACGATTTCTTTAATGATGGTTCCAAATTCATCAAAAGCAACTAATCCTTTATCTCTGTCCCCCTCATCAAGGATGCTGATGCACAAGAGTTAGGCACATTGCGGGCCGTGATAAAGTGCATTGAAGAATACTGCCTTCAAGCAGAGTACCCGCTGGCCCCCCTCCAGAGACGTGTGGCGGAACTAAAGAAAGCGAAAGCCGACAATGGGATTGCCGGGCCAAGTAAATTTCGCCCGAAGAAGCCTCGAGGGAGCGGCGGATATTTCCCCCGGTTCCCTGCTGCCGACTTCCGAGGGAGCAGCCGATATTTCCCCCGGTTCCCTGCCGCCGACCCTCGTGGGAGCGGTGGGTATAGCCCGCGTTTCTCTGCTGTCGAGCCTCGAGGAGGCGGCGGATACACCCCCCGGTTCCCGGGCATTGGTGGTGATTACAGGCAGCCTCAGCCGACAGCGTTTGAGGAGGGAGGAGGGTTCCGTGGTGGTGGCTCAGAAAGGTACCCTTATTCTGCTCCGCCATCTTCGTACAACTACCAGATGCCTACTCATGCGCCGTATGAACCTACATCATATGTGCCTTCTTCTGCCTATGGGTCTGCTTCATACGGACCCAGCGTCCCTGGGCACGCTTCATATGTGCCTGAAGCGAACGTCCAGAGCCAGAATTACTACCCAGAAGAGACCGCCCCCCCTACGTCATATGGCTCGTCAAACTATGGGAGCCAATTGACGTCTGGGTCGCAACCTTCTAACCCATCGCCCTACATGTAAAATTGAGTTCTTCATTACAGTGGATTCATCTTAATCTGCCAGGTTAGATTCTATGGAGCTTAAACTGCTTGGAAACGTTTTTCGCCTCTTGCTGTTATACGAATCCTTCAGAGAGTCGAATGAATCTAACTTCGAAACTTAGTGTTCTTTGGGGTATGCTTTCTGCTCTCGCAGCAAGGAGGAGGCAAGGGAGGATGGCGGCGGGCATGGTTGTCGGCCGGAGGGAGGAAACTATGGCAGAGAAGAAGAGGCTGGCCCTCCCCGGTCTACGGATGTCTTCTCTACCAGCGGCATCTCATCTGCAGCTCCTCTTGTCAGGCCCTCTTATCCTCCCATGGCATGCTCGACTGCGCCGTCCGCCAGCCCGAACGCCCTCCTCTCCTCCCCATTGCTCCGCCTTCGAGCCGGCGTCAGCTAGACAGGTACGCGGCGTGGATCACTCCGTCCACTAAATCCGTTCTACGATATGCGTAACAGAGGAATGATTGTCCGAGAGGGATGCAAGGAGGGCGATTCTCGCCTTCTGGCTTCGTCGGAGCCGTCGTCGTGGAGGAAGCCCATCTCCTGCAAGTGTCCACGGTGAAACTTGGGGAAAGGCCGCCCCAATGCGTACCAGCCGGAAGAGACGGCGGTGGGCTTCCGACTGGTGCCGGGGGGGGGGGGCGGCCCTCAGTGGACGGAACAGGGGCACGCTGAAGTCCTCGAAGTAGGCAACCAAGACGCCGCCGACCATGTAAGTTTCGGAGAACATAGTGCATGTGAGGTAGACGAGGAGAGCAACGCGGGTCATCGTCGTCCTAATCGCCGATCTCCGCGGGTGAGAGAATATGAGGGTAGTACTAGGTCAACATGCCCGGGGGCTCGCACTTAACCCATCTGGGTTTTAAGCTTAATGGGACCTGGAGCGATGAGCTCGAAGAAGTCAATTCCCACAGATTTCATGGGTTGCCCCCTACATGCAGGCTTTCATGTTGTTACTCACTAAACCATCAGCTCCCATGTTTTCTCTTCAGGGTCCTTGAAGTTTCTCACAGGTTTTTCTGGGAAGCGTTTGAGTGAGTAGAATGCAAATCCTCTTCAATAATCCTCGGGAATCGACTGTTGGGCTGGCCGCCCTCGTTTTGTTCTTGAAGATGACTGGGGACGTGAATCTGAAGATCTCATACTATGTGTCAGATGAGAGGGCTCGTCTTCATCTCTCCTTGTTAAACACCACGGCGTGCAAGTAGGAAGCTAGACAGCCGGAAACGGATCCACCTTCATCTGTTTTATTGACAGAACAACCGCTTGGTTACAGGGTTCTACATGGTCACAATGTCGCCGTTGACCTTCCTAACCGAGGACCCGGGTGGAGGAAGAGGACGGCAGCGAGATAAAAGATCCGGTGGGAAAAGAGCGGAGCCAGCCAGCGGTCATGGGCACTTGGGCTTCCGCTTCTGGTCGGAGGTGAGCTTGTCCCTGTAGCAGGGACACTCATCCTTGTTGCCGTAGGTGCCGGAGGGCACGCAGCTGCAGTCCCTGCAGCACACGCCGCAGTAGAAGAGGCACCGGTCCTTCGCGCTCGCCTTGGCGCACCTGGCCTTGCACTTTGTGGCGCAGAAAGCTTCAGAGAAGACGCATCACGCCTTAGAGAGAGAGAGAGAGAGAGAGAGAGAGAGAGAGAGAGAGAGAGAGAGGTTTCATGGGGATTCTCTGGCATGGGAAACAGCGATACCTGAGTCGACTTCGACGACGCCCTCGACGGAAGAGAATACCAAGAGGCACACCACGAGGGCCAAGATGGGGGCGGTTGGGAGCTTCATTTTTTCTCTCTTCCTCGACGCTTCACTGCAAGAAGATGACTGGGAGAGGACAAGGGAGTGAAGTGAGAACTCAGATGTTACGAGCTCTGAGGGTGGGTTCCCCCATATTTATAGTCGCCATCTTAGAGAGGGAGAGAGAGAGAGAAAACCCGCTTGTTCAAATTAGAGACCCGGCGTCCGCGACCAGAAGTTTAATGGTAGGTCAGACCATCCGCAATGGTGGTCGGCGAAGATATCTTCATGATCTCAGAAGGCGTCCCGCATGGTTTCCTTCTACGCGGTTTCTGACACACTCTTGTTCATGCTTCCCCGCACAGACGAAGCTCGCGAGACGCCTTCACGTGCATTCATGGGTTAGTGACACCAAGCGAGCCTTCATACCGCCAATGCTCCGAGTCCTTCCAATCCTGGGGAGAGAGAGAGAGAGAGGATATATTCTATGACATGCGCGCGGCCGCCTCCACTGCTGCTTGTGGAAAGTTGGGCTCCAGCTCACTGCCTCCTCTTTCCAGAAAGCTCTAGAACGCTCCCTTTCTTCGCCTGACCAGCCTGAACTCCCATCGGCTTCCTTAAAGAAGGAACGCTCTGAGCTGTGAGCTTTTGGAGTGGACTCTTTCATTAACATCCACCGAGAGGATGCTTCCTACGCGTGACGCAGAAGTAGGGCTCCCAGCTTCGGTCTCCACTGGGAGGGAGGAACCGCTGTCGCCGGTGATTACTTCTGGGGGTCTCCGGCGTCGGAAAGCGCCCCGCTCGCCGCCATTAAAGGGCACTCCCGCTGGCCTCCGCTTCAGCTGAAGCATTGCTTCTCCCACGAGTTTCTACCATCCAGATTAAACCAGCGAAAAAAACAAAACCCGACGTATCTTCGGCGACGAAGATTAGTTTGAGCGCTATTATTTTCAATGGGCCATTGTTTACGATTATAAATTAAATAATCTCTAATGTGAAAATGAAGTTCTTCCCACTGGGACAAACAGACGGATTTCTTCCCGCCAGCGAGCATCGGAAGGTCAACCCCCCATGCCATATGAGCAGCGCTGGTCTCTCGAGCAAGAACTGCCGTCGAGGGGATCGCCCGATTCGACCAAGTTGATCTGCCATGCATTCCACGGCGAGGATGGTAGTCAGAGCCTGCCGAGATTGATCGAACAAAAATGGAGGTGACGAGGTTAGGCGGCCGTGACAGTACCTTCATGATTTCCGACTTTGAGGAAGGGTGCGAGTACGCCACCAGGACACTCATATGGAAAGGCTGAGCTTGTACATACATGCACAAAATTTGGATTCAGCCCTCTGTATTCGTTGGTCTGAGGAGAGAGAGAGAGAGAGAGAGAGAGAGAGATGGGGAGGTAACCCATGGAAAATAATACGGATTTGGAGTTTCCGAAGAACACAACGAATAATTCGGGCCGGCATTTAACACCAATTACTTTGATGAAATTGACGGGGAGAAAAAGTCTCACCCTGAATGGATCGCCTCTCAAAGACTGCACAAAAACCGAGCTTCTCTTTCCCCTACCCTGCAGAAGGAGGAACCTGAGTAAGCAAAGCTCGTCTTAAGATGATTCACTGATTATTTTTTTTCCAAAATTGGTAATTAATTTTAACAATCGAACGGAGATGTCATCCATTGTTCCAGAGCCTAAGAGCTGTGTTCTACTAGTCGATGAGCGGCAAATATGAGGAACAGGAAATCAAGAGCCGGGGGAGACACAACTTATCTCACTCCCATGAAATGGTTCAAAGCTGACCGAAATCTGCGGCTCTAATGACAACAATGAACATGATAACCATCCTGACAATCCTTAGAATATTGTGACAGAGGAACCAGCATAGTCAGCGACCGTAACAGCCGCCGATTTCTGCGAATAAGCAGTATCGGAGCTGGAGGATCAATACCACACCAAGACCTTCAAGACTTTCTAGCGTTTGGAGATTTTTCTTGCTCGATTCGGTTTCGGAATTTCTCCAAATTACTTCAGGATAACGAAACACATGGAAAGACTTAATGGGTTTCCTAACATTTTATACGTGATGATTTCAGGATGAATATCGATATGCTTGATGTGATGGCGAAGAAGGAAGGAAGAAAGAAGACTTCATCAGTTGGGCATGGATGATTGTATCTCAAAGCTCTTTAAAAAGAGAAGGATCAGATGCATCTACGGCCTATACTTGATAATAATTCAATAATTAGGCACATAAAAGCTGTAGTAGGAAGAGTAGGAATCTAGTAATGAGATTACGATTGGGAGTCACCTCCAGAGAAACGTCCCTGAGTCGTCTTCCAGTCTGCGCACAACAAATTCGGACAACATTTTCCTCACAACTCCCGCTGATAATATAGTCTCTCCCGTTCATGTAATATGACCGCGTGTAGTTCTGCGCGCTGCCCGTCGGAGAAATCTTCAGTGACGTATGAAGCCTTCCATCCACCGCTAAAAGTTGCTTAACCTGCAAACCAGGGCAGTTTGATGCTATTAACCGAGCTTTTTAGATGATAATGGGTTTTAAAGTAGGTACCTCGTTGTCGATGGCAGAGGATAGAAGATAGTGATCATCATCAGAGAAACAAACCATCACATTTCCCCTGGAACTAGCAGCAGTGTAGCACGGCCGCGACATCTCCTGCCTCAAGTCCCACAGCTTTACTTGTCGGTCAAAAGATGCGCTAGCGAATACTGTGGGCGAATGATTAGCAAACTTAACTACATTTATATGCTCCCGGTGCAAATCTTTGAAAATTTGCAGACGTCTCCCACTGCTTATATCATACAGGGCTACATGATTGGAGTACCCACTTGCAATGAAATATTCATCCGTAGAATTCACATGAACAGAGGTCAACTGCTCAAGTTCATGGAAAGACCTGTCGTCCATCCTGCAGCATCGATCAGTAAATTTTGCTCGCATTTTGTGCACATCGTACAATTGCAAAGCTCCTCTGTCAGAGCCAGCGATGAGCTTTTGGACAAATTAAAAAAAACAAAAAAGGAATTAGCAAAACGTCAAGAATCTTAACACCACGAACAAGATCTCTAGGAAAATATAATCGAAATACTGCAGAAATTGGCCTCGTAAAATGACTGAATTCACTAAAATAGATAAATACCTTGGATGGATGGTTTTTGAGCCAACATAGCCCCAAAATGCTGCTAGCCCCTCCAGGAGATGGAAGAATAGAAACAAGTTTTCCACTTTCGTGGTTGACAGCAACCAACTCCCCATCCAATGTCCCAAATACCATAAGGCTGGGGTCAGATGGATGATATTCGAACTGGCGAGGCCGGAAGCTCGTACTCTCATCATTGATTATCCTCTTTACCTTTGAAAGAGTACTTGCTCGTGGCCATGGATTTGAACCAAACTTGGCTGCAGAAAGCGACCTGGAGAAGGAATCCACAAATGGCCTAGAAGAATGAGTTCGACTACCACGAGAAGATTGAAAAACGATAGTTGTGCCCGTTTCTCGCTTTTGCAGAATGCTCACAACACTCTCTCTGTGTCGTCTGTTATATGGCAGGTACTCATAGTGTTGAGAAAAGGTAATCTTTGACTTCTCCTTTCCCAAATCACCGATTGGCACATTATCCAAAACATTCAATCTTGGCAGAGAGGATATCATAAATTCTCTATAATGCTTCTCAAAGCAGATGGGTGAAGGATGATATGAAATGAGCTTTTCAGGAGTAGCATCTGAGGGGTGGATTGAATACCCTTTTTCACCCTTCAACAGTTCTTTCGATGACAACTGGTTCCAAAATTTGCGCGTGGAATCATCAACATTTAACTTTATGGTTGTAAAAGCGGACCCAAGATCTGCAAAATTATCCGAAACCGTAGACTTCTGTTCATATCCTGCTGTCTCGTAACCCACTGGAATATGCTCTTCAAATGGCTGGGCAGGAATTGATCTCAGAGGACTGCTCAATGACGAGAGATGCCTGGTTTGGTTGTACATCTCGGAAAGATTATTTGATAACGATTCCACCCATGTGGTTCTAAATTCCTTGTAGCCAGAAAAAACGAGTTCACTCTCATCTGATGGCTCAGTTGCGCTTCGAGAGGACTCGGAAGTTGAAACTGATCTTCCATCATAAACCTCCGCGTCCACACAATAAGATGTTGAAAAAAGTCTGGTATCATCGTGAGACAAGAATATTTGGAAGCGAAGCTCCACCAATGATGGGAGTTTTGATAGAATAGCACTAGTCAAGCAGAGTTCTGCGATTTGTGTTCCACACATCGAGAGACGCTTCAGATTAGGCATACAGCTGAAACAACCCTCCTTGATACTAGAAAGTGAAGCACTGAAATCCAAGTTAAGTGTGTGCAGGCGCATAAAATCTCCAGCCATGCTGAGCGTCCGGATGGGTGAGAAACGCAAATCCAGGATCTCACAGTTCAAGCCTCTCCTAGACACATAACTGAACCTTTTTTTTTTCAATATAATATTCAGCTGGGAATTCATCGAATAATCTTTCATAGAGCATTCTGATGGAGGAACTAAATTTTTTGGAAAGATTATGAAACTAATAAAAAAAAGTTTAGCTTAAGTGATGGTGTTTATGATTTCAAGGACCAATTTTTATGGACAGACAAAAGATTCACGATTCATCAAAAAAAAAAAAACAGCCTAAAAAAGAAAATCACCAGGAACTTGAGGAACTTGAGGAACTTCAGATCGGTGAATTTAGATGGAAAGAATTGATCAGCTACAGAAGAGATCATACACTGCTAGCTGGCCTATGTCAATCAAATAATTCTGCCTACATGTACCATAATTCGTTAGAAATTCATCTATTTACCGTCAATACAGCTTTCTAGAGAGATGTGGGCAATGATCGAGGGCGAGTATAATCATCTAAAAACTGAAATCAAAAATATCCGACTTCGATAGACTGATTCTACCGCAGAAGATATCATTGTTACTAAGTTAGCATTGGTTAAAGTACACATTCATTTAACTAGCATGAGTCTATGCGACTGTGAAAGGAGGCAAGAATCAAACCATGACAACTGCACGAAGTAAACAGACGTTGAGAATGATGAAGGATGAAGATGCACATTCCTAAAAAGCAGCACCCACTACATTGAGTTGGGGAGAAGGCGACAGAGAAGGGATCTCCATAGATTCATAAAGTTCATTACTTTGGGTCTACTGAGACATTTATATGGATGTGCATATGTTCAACTTTATAGACAAAAGGTAATCTATTCCTCAGAACTTCATTACCTATGTTATGTGAAACAATGAATGAAGCTATCCCGTAGGTCAATTTCTTTTTAAGTCTATTAGAAGTATGCTTAAGATATACTATATATCTTATATGCCAGATAAAACTCCACATAATCACGTTCAATAGAACTAAAAAAACACGTTAGATAACATTAAATGGTAACTACAATTGACTTAATCTTTATTTCATGAAAATGTTAAACATCTCTTTTGGGACAAGGAACCCAGCCAAGTGGTCAGATAAATCCTGCAAGTCCTCTCCTTCCCGTCATCGTACACATGCATGTCAAAGCTACAGCGTTACTTACTAGGGAAATGATACTATGGAAATGATACTATCCTTTCACATGAAATGGTCTCACATGATAAACACCCGTTGCTGGAGTACTTAGTAAACAGAGGGCACTAGCTGGAATGGTCTGGAGGTGGGATCTGACGAGCAGATCTCCAGAATCTAGCGATCTGGACTGTTAAGGACTCTAAACTCACAACAATTTAGAGAAACACGAGCTCTAACATATTATATGCCATGTTCGTGCATCCAGGAGTTAGATAAAAAACTAGAATGCCCATTTTCCAGGCCATACCTGAAACGCATTCTCAAAAACTTAATGAGAAAGATTGAATACGAAATCAGAGTCAAGATAAAGATCAAGACTAGAAACGCATGCACTCAGGTTCTCTCCATATATTCTAAGAAAACCATCTATCTTCCTGGAAAAATTGCATGGCATTAAACTATCCGAGGAGGAAGCTTGACACGGAAATAACAGTCCACTACCTAGTAAGATTCTCAATGCTACGTAACAAAAGTTCGATATTATTGCTAAACAGATGAATTATAAAAATTTCAGACAAAAACTTCTAACAGCTATAACAGGTGAAAGATTTTTAATAACTTGACACGGTATAAGAACATCCATTTACCGTAAGACGTCTTTGTTGAATGCACTGAGATTAGCAAACCGGAGCTTCTTGTTGACTGCATCAATTAACGCACGTACTTCTTCTCCGTTAGGCAATGCACCGCATGATTCTTGACATACATCGACAGCATCAATCCCAGACAATTTTGTTTGTGAAAGTGCTTCAATAAGCGGGGGGAGATCATAATGTACCAGTAGATCAAGAGTGATCTCAAGGTTACAAACTTCGAGACGTGATTTTTTTAGCTCAGCCTGATTATCAGAAAATCAAAATATAAATGATCGGTCTTACGGAAATGCATTTCAGATGATGAAAAAAAAAATGGCCGTGTGACTAATTACAGGATAAAAAAAGCCTTTCTAGATTTGGAAAGTGAATTCTAGATTTATGGACTTGGAAAGCCTATAGCACGTGTATTTTACAGCATCACTTCTTGGAAAATGAACATATTGACTGATTAAATTAAATAACAAAAATATTAAAAAGTATAAAAACCTTCAGAAAGTAGACAAGGATATAAAAATACATGTGATTAACTGAGCAAATTGAGCCACCGTGGGGAACCACCGCAGTGAGCCTTCGATACAGGAATAGCAGATGATACCATGCTTGTGGATCTTTATATATCACGGATATCTTCGAACCCACAAGTCGCAATAATGCCAAAACGATTTTTACCATCTTCATATAGCTCAATCATTTACAGATGCAACAAAACATAACGAAACCACTGAAACATTGTTCATCTGCTCAAGTTTTCTAGTTGCCCTTGAAACGTTCTTTTTCCATGCAATAATTTTCAAGCAAACTCTTAGCATTTAATAAAATTTTAAAATAAAAATTCCTTTAGTGTCATTTTTACATTTTAGATTTGTTTCAAATTCCTCTCGGCAAAGACAGGTATCCAAGATACTTTTTCGTTAGTGTCTCAGAAAACAGCATGGTTCCAGAGGTCCATAACTTCCATCTAATGATAAAATAATCATGAAGCTAAGAAAAATGGAAAAAACATGAAATAATACCGGCAACTCTGCTCAAATGATAACAAATATATGAAATGATCGGCTGTTAGCCCAAGCAAACTAGCTACTCTTCCGCTAGAACTGAGTCTGTCCCGCCAACAGCAGTTGCGGTGAGCAGTATATTTCTCTTTTTAGGGGAGAGTCAGAGCTTCTATCAAGAAAATCCCATCCTCAATATTAGTTAAGGTACTTTCTGCCCTCATAAAATTCTACAATATGAGCTCGGAGCTCAGTCCAGTCTTCAACAGGTCTGACATCATCTAAAAGAGCAACAGTTTTTCTTTGGTCACAAATAAAGGTGTCTAGTTTTGCTGTCAGCCCTTCGATCAACAATTGCAAAACCCACTTAATTGCAAACCCCTTCGATCTCTATGAAACTACTAGGTGTAAATAGGTTGTAAGATAGTTAAAGCTGGTCTGATACCTAAATTCCCATGGAAATCAGTAGTGATGCCAAATTGGAATAGGGAGAGCCGAGGAAAGATTCCTCACAGATAATTTTCAAGCATTTTAGAATCCACTTGGCAACTCTTTTTCAACTCTCCAAATGAGGAGAATTCGTTCTTGAACCTTATGTTCCATACACACCAGTCCTAATAAAGGAGAAAATAGTTCTATTAAGAAATGCATCAAATACTTCGCCTGGAGTGATACAAGCTTTCAAAAATTTTACACAAATCCAGTTAACAGATTGAAAGAAAAGAGGTTTATAAGGGAAAAACGTGTAATTAAGAAATAGTTTATGTAGGTCAGTTTCCTTAACCCAGGTAGTTTCCATTTTTGTTGGCCTGGGTAATTGTATATAACTAGCTATAGTTCTATGATTTGAGAAGAAGAAGATATTTATCCCGACTGTTCATCCTTGTATGATTTGGATATTGGTAAATTCTGTACAGCCAGTTATGTGCCCCTAAATGGCGTATGCCATGGCATGTTTTACACGTTCTAGCAATCAAATCGACAAGGGATCACTAAATCATACGCTAGTGCTCGGAATGTTTGAATGGGAGTAAAACAGATGGAAAGTTACCTTAGAGAGACTGGACAAAATGGAGGTATTAGGTAGAACCTCTAGATTCCTGCATGCATCAAGGTACCTATCAAAGTAAAAGTCGACCAAAAAATTCTTAATAACCATAAAAATAAATGATACCAGCATTCGAAAAAGAAGAAAATGAGCAATGTTACAACATTATGAGATGCAAGCATTAAATCCATACCTATGAATCTCAAGGACAAGAAGACAATGAATTCATCCTCTCTAAATGAATTCCCAATGGAATACATGCAGTGATGAGCTCACAATATCCACAATGAAACACTACGCTAACTTAAAAAAGTAAAAAGTCCAGTTCCTATAATCCTATGCACATGATTTATGGTCAATGAGTACATTTGTGTCCGCCCACTTGATCTTTAGCAGGTTTAAGAAAATGATACTCCTCGTTGTGAAATCATCCTCATTCTTTTATATAGTGACTTTCACTTTTCTCGTGACATTTGATAAATCAAGTACTTTCGTGCATATCCGTAGACTATGCTAAACATAACTATTTGAAAGCCGTCAAGTTCACCCTTTTTATGCATTAAAATGGCATCCTAATTTTCAAATCTGTTCCTCTCTAAAATCAGATTTGATACTAAATTTATCCTCTGGAAGTGGCCTACAAATGTACAGGCACGTCCCTACGGGGAAAACCTTATGGAGATAAAGCAGAGATCACTGAAAAATGAAGAGCATACTGTTCATCAAGATCAGGCACAGTTCATTGATATCTCAAATAGGAAATAGAATTGAGATTACGCTTCCATTGCTCTTTCGTAATTCTGCTTTATTGATAAGACATTTTATCAAGATTCCTTATTTTGCTTCTCATGTAGGTTCCTTGTTGTCTATAGAATGACCTTTGGTGGTGTTCCGTCATTCCTGGGTTTGAATTTATCATACAAGAAGACAGCCTTCTACCAGCTAGCTGGGAACATTACATTTTTGGAAACATTTCCAATCCAGAACTACCTTATCTAGGTAGGGGATGCAATCGTGTAACTGGTCCATGTCGAGCCAGACTAAAACATTGACTAATTCCTTGAATCGAACTTGATAAGCCAGTTGGAAGCGCATTGTCAAGCTAAATCTCCTGGTTTCCGTCTAAAAAAATACACCGCAGTGTGAGATAGCTTTGCTGTCGCAAGGGAGCTAATTATTGGAAACATCTCGCGATCACGAATGATTAGCGAAGTTATGACCTATGAACATTTTTAACCTGTGATATGGAAAAATGGCGCGTATGGCTACCCGGAAAAGGTATGGAGCAATTTGGCCATCAGTCGAGAATTCGTTCCTCTTGAAACATCTCGGCCGGAAATTCTACAGTTAGAAAGTTTACCCGCTTAACTCGGACAAATGAGTTCAAATTCCAGACATTAAGTGTGGATGATGAATTGCCCTTGCCCCAAACACACCCCCTTTCTCTTCAAGTTCAATTCGGATGACAACCAGGTGAAATCGGACGAAGATTTGGGCAAAGACTCGTCGGTGGGCACATTCTCGGCGAGTTACAGCGTTGCTTGTTCTCCGGATCATTGCTGAGAGGAGATGGTATGGGTAAAGACTGGCCGGTGGGCACATTCTCGGTGAGATACAGCGTGCTTGTTCTCTGGATCCTCGCGGAGAGGAGATGATAGAAAGCATATCAAGTCGTAGAGACGAGCGGGGACGAAGGAAAACTGGCACACTCCCCCAGACGAGGACTGCCGCCGCAGGGGACCGAAAGTGAAGCAGATATGCGATATGCACGGAGGATAAGAACCTCGGCAACCGTACCTGGCCTTGAAGCGACACAGGTCGACCGCCATGGAGATCTCGGGCTTCAACTCCGGCGGCAGCGATTACATAAAGACTCGACCGAAAGTGGGGTTTCTGATGTACGATGGCTGGCGTGAAGATCGCCGTTTGGATATTTCTCCCGCGCGAGCGACGACAGCGCCGAGTGACGTGGGCACGTCTACTTCTGTGGACTTCCGGTTACTTCGAACCATTCGGAAATACGTGGCTTCAGGCATCAATAAAAGGGACGTTTTCTTGGAAAACCGGCTGAAGCCCACTTCGATAACTTCCTCTGGCGGCGCCGTTTGTGGATTTCCAGAGTCAAACCGTGGAGAATTAGATGACAGGCTATTATCACATCACATTGCAGTGGTCTGTTCTTTCACTGTTCAGAGATCATCCTCACGGAGAAATCCACGGTCTTGGGTGTGATCATGCCAAGCCCAGCACACACCGGCAGTCTCAAATCCTACCCTATTTCCCTTCTTCAAGTCCAGGCCGAAATATATATATATATATATAGAGAGAGAGAGAGAGACTCAACTCCCAAGAACGATGGGGTATAAAATGGGGATCGCTTGCCATCTCCTTCCGCTGTTTAAAGTCGTCGTACCATTGCGAGTTGACCTGGAAAGATCTGCAACTATCATCCTACGGCATGTGCTATCCGGTTGCTTTCAATGCACTCGTTGACATCAGGGGTCGGAGCTTGGGGTTGGGATCGGCCCTACCGCATTGATCGCGTCGAAAGTGATTTTATTTTTTGTGTTTATATTCTTGGAAAGTCGTTATCATCCTCGAAGATAATATGCCTTCAAAATCTTCGTACTCATCCCAGAGCTCACGGACTCTTGTAAACTAGCAGCGAGATGCGCGACGATTAGATTTCCGCTCATTTTCTATGAAGAGTATTCAGTGGGCGGTTCGAAATATATTCTTTCATGGTTATCTGGGACCTAAAAATGGTATTTTTATTTATCGAAGAACCCTAAAATTATGGCAGGTTTCTCTCAGACGTCAGGTAGCCTAGTCCTGGTTTCCCACGGCTGCAGGCCATCGTCAAGAAGCGGCGCGAGCTAGGGGATTGTTCCTCCCGCCGTCGTAACCCTGGAAGACGGCGACTTAGGGTTGCTGCCCCGACGGTGGTCAAGCTGAAGGAGCAGCTTTTCCCAGCACCGGCACAGTGCCCCAGCTCCGTCTCCGTTCATTCCTCGTTGAGCAGGATAAAGAAGACTGCATCTTCCGAGGCGTACTACGTCACCGCCTGACGGGCATCTCCAGTCTGTACTGCACCGGCGGGCGGCGAGGCGTGCCCTTTAGGCGGCAGCTGACCGAACCCTTATCGGCGGTGGGCTGAGACGGACAGAGCAGCCTCGGTGCCCGCGATGGCAGCGCCGGCGGCTCAACCAGGAGCCCCATCACCAGAGACCTCCGTCGTCTTTGGTGATGGCATGTGCTTCTGGTCTGCGGCAGGGGCACGCCGGAATATAATAGACGACGACTGAGCTCCGTCGTCTTCCTCAGTCCCATTTGAGGATAACACCGAAAGTCGGTGCCTGAAAGCGCGACGTTCGTTCGGCCTTCTGGGGTTGATCTCAGACGCGCCGCCGGCTGACCGTTGCGGCGGATCTTGTCCACGCCGTTTAAAGGGGCCGCCAGCCAGGAAGACAGTGAGTGTCTGGCCCGTATCAGCGGGTGGCGGAGTGGGAACAGTGCGGCGGGGGCCCTCCCTCGGCATGGGCTCATTGACTCCTTCGGTTGCGACGGATGCTCAAACAGTTCCCGGGAATAGAAACCCGCGAAGCACACAGCTTGCTTGCCCCTTAATCGATCTAAATAGAGCAGTCCGAGAATCCCTCCCAAGCAGGTGATCACCGCGGCGAAGAGGATGCTCGGAATTGTTTCTTCTCCTGTCAGTCTTCAGGATGGGCATCATCGAATGCAGAGAAATAAGAAATCTATCGTCTTGATAGGATGATCTGTCTCTTATAGACGAGGATCTTCTCGTTCGCCGCTGAGATCGCACAGGTCTCTGTCAACTGTAGACAAATTATAATGGAACGCCACCCCGGCATGCTGGGATGATAACGGTGACTGGGTCAGAAAGATTGAAGATCACAGAAATTGTATTGATTTCGAAAATCGACAAATTTATCTGAATAAAAGTATATATCCGAGCAGACAGCCGCCATTAATCCCCAGAGGACTTTCTCGGAAGGGCCGGGTTCAAACAAGGAGCACCCACTGGAGGGGGAAGACAGGCCAGGATGAGGTCTCCTTCAAACTTTCACGTCGCGACGAAGGTCACTGTCAGCAGGTTGGCCTATGGGGCCATCCAAACGGCGAACGCGCCGCCATACACCCTGTGACTCCTCCCACCACCTCTGTCGTCTGCCGGCGGACGCTCGTCTCTGTGTGGGTTGACATCATCACAGTTCGTCGCCGCCTCCGGCCGGAGACTTATCCTTTGCTCGTTCAGATTGAAGACGAAGCTTCGTCAAGCTCTGGACCGAACCACAGTCAGCGTTCCCACCGGCGTTGACTCGTGCAGCAACCGCGGCATTCGGTGCGGTTCAGTGGAGAAGTGAGCTCGATGATTTAGAACACGCTGCAATAATCCAAAGTCCTCCGTATCGAATCAGCCGTGGAACACGCTCCTCGCCCCAACACACGTGTACATCGTTGGACAGCGTCAGATGATGAAATGATTGTTTCCGATTCCAACGTCACGTCAAACGATCGAACGGAATCGGATTATAGGACGTTTTAATTAGCGCACATTCCCTAGTTCATCAAAACTAATTATTATTCATTTAATAGCCGTACAGTTTTTCAACGAAAACATGATCATAATCTGTCGATAGACTCGAATTCACGAAGATCTATCTATTGTTCATTCGTTGACTTCGATTAGAACTACGAACTCGGCTACGATGAGCCCATCAGCCTAGTACATTAGGGAGCGAGAGAGAGAGAGAGATGGACGGGGACGACACCGAACGGCATGGAAGTTTGGTGAGGAACCCTCCGGTCCCCCCCTCCTCGCCCTCTCTTCTTTGTCTGCCTGAGAGACTGGGAGGTGTTGACCACAAACTGGAAGGAAGAAGGGAGGGCGACGTCACCATGGGAAGTGGAGTAAAAGCTCGCGCACCCACCGCCGTCCGTGCGGAAGGTGGCGGGATTGGTCGGTCGGTGGGGGGGGGGACCTGCCGTGGAGGACAGGCCAACGGGGGAGTAGGGCGTGGACCGCCGTGGCGGGGGCGCAGGGGAGACCAAAGTCAATGCCCTGTTTCCCCACGAGGACTACTACAGTGAGAGGCCGACGGGCCCTGGCCGAGAATGCTGCCCAGACAGCATTTGACCTCCTTCTGCGACTGGAAGGACGAGGCGGCCATTGATGGGCTCCTCTCTCTCTTCCGGATCCATCCCCCTCTTTGGGTCGCTGCTGCGGGGTGCCGGTGGGGATATGGAAGGGGAAGGACGGCGGTGGCCCTCGTCCTCGTGGGCATCGCACCTCGCCTGCAGATCTCCTGGGTCCGAGCATATAATAAAGGCCCCCCCGCATGTGCCTCCTTTTTTATTCCGCAAATTGGGACAGATCAGATTTCGGAATTATTGTAGGGAGCTACTACGAGACGCACCCCTCTCACCCACCCTACCCGGCCGAGATCTCTTCCCCTTTCTGGTTCTGTGGGCGTCGGAGGAACAGCTTGTCCTGTCGCTCGCTCGTGAGGGGCCGACTGTACATAGATGCTCTCTTCCCAGGCGACGAACGGAAGAGAAGCGGGACTTGTACGATAATCGTTTGTTCGGTGTTTTGTGATTAACCCGTTTGAAGATCACACGTAATCCTCTGAGAATCAGATCGCCTGAGCCGCGACCCGGCGGCGGCACCATCGTCCATCCCCTTATCCGCTGTTTCCAGTAGATATCGGGAATCAGCAGACGCGAGGAGAAGGACGGGCTCCTCGCCCGGGAGGGGATAAGGCCACCCTGCGGCTACGGCTGCTGCTGCGGCTCATCCTCTTGCAGACGGGACAGGCGCAGAGGAAGCTTCCGCAGAACCCCCCGCCTCCCCCCAACAGCCGCTCTATCTCCCCCTTGTTCGCACATGGGGAGCGTCCATTTCAGGGCCTGACCCACAACAGGAGGTGCCCCAATGTCCCCGCCGGCCAGAGGGCTTCGTCGGAACGCCGCCGGGAGCCCAAGGCCGGCGGTGCGCTCCCCTCGCGCCATCCATTCGAACGACGGGAGGCGCCGAGATTCTTGTCGTACTTTAAAAAAACCTCTGCATGTTATCGAACCACCTGCCGTAGTCTTTTTCCGACGGGATTCAAATGGCGGGCGGAGAAGCAGCTCGTGAGCGCCATTCTTCCGCAATCCCAGCCGGAGCCCTGCAGCGTAATGATATTCCACCCCCCCCCCCTCCGGGTTCTCTCTCTCTATCTCTCGTGGTCTCTTTCTCTCCGTCTCCTCCTCCAATCGGGGGATGTGATGCGGTGGGGATGAACTGGTTCCCCCTCCCTCCACATGGACGAACCTCCCCCCAGCAACGCGCACTGGTGATCGACAGACAGCCCATTACGTATTTTTATCGAGAGGAGTTGATTGATGTAACATCAACGCCGACGATGACGGCGACTCCGCGGCTGCCGCTTTTGCTTGTGGTGGAGGAGATCCGGCCTCCTCCCATTTCTTTAGGGCTTCCTGGACTGGTTTAAACATAGTCAAACAGTTCTTTACCGACTGTCTTCTTCCCCGGAGATTAGATTAGGCCAAGGGGATGGTTGCAGACGCTAAAGAACAAGGACCCCCCAGTCGTCATCTGCCAAGACAGAGAGGGACGGCAGAAGGACCTTGACGGTGGAAAGGGGGAGCCGCCGGGCCGGCGTCTGTCTTTGCGTGACAGCGCAGGACAGGCCATTTTTAATGGCGCCCATGTTGGTTGGAGAGGTAAAGACGAGGCCAGTTCCTCCAAGCAGCCAGCCGGTCATCGAGGAACAACCATGGACAAGCTCACCCGACGAGGTCCGTCCTTCCTCTGTCTAGGAAACCGACGATTCGTCGGTTGCCACCGCGGAAACCCTAATTTTTATCTTCTTGGGGTGGGGGCGGGGGGGGCGGGGGGGCGGACCAGCTTAAAAACTGCGGCGACTGCATCTTTTAAGTTCCAAAGACATGGCGAATAAATCTCCACGGAGTTTCTTCTGCGAGGGTGAAACGACAGGATACGAGGAAATATGCCGGCGGAGGCTTTCAATCCGTGGTTTCCCCGTCTTTTTCGGAGCCAACAAGGGGAAAACGCGCGGAAATTTAATTACCCTCATTGCCGGAAAGCCGTGGGGACGCCATTAAATTGCTGAGATATCGGGGCCGACATGGAGCAGCGCCCTTGACAATCTTGGTGGCGTCGCCCCCCATGAAACCCTCGTACCGAATGATCGATCCTGGAGAGTACGCCGTAGATTTTGAGCAGGAGCCCGTCCTCCGCCTCGAGCTCTCGTTCGCTCGCACTTGCGTGTTCAATGAATCTGACTTAATAGCGGTGAGTAAGAGCGTTTTGCCGTGGGGTAAAAGGCAAGGCAGAAGCCAGGAGGTCGATGAGGGAGGAGAGGAAGAAGATGAAGTATTGGCAATTTACGTCACGGGAAGGGAAGAAGATTAATATTATGGCGGAGGGAGGGCCACATGCCAGGCCTCGCGGGCCATCCTGTCAGCTCGACGGCACCAACCTTCTTCCTTTTCCTCCCAGTCCGATGGAATTCCCATTGGTAGCTTTCTCTTTCCTGCAGAGCTCTACAGTTCACGTGAGCCTGGAACCCCCGCCATTAATCTCCTCCTCCTTCCTCACCCTCTCTACCCCGTTGAGGGGTTTCCATTGGTTCTCCTCTGATCGTCCTGGGGGATTCTTGTCCATGTCCATGCACCGCACTGTTGGGGGATCAAGGTGAGGTAAGCCGAGCTTGCGCCGGTCCCCTGGGAGGCGCCGCCCACGGTCCGACACCCAGGGAGGGGAACTCGTGTGTCACAGGGTCTTCGTGTACAGGGAAGAGGACCACTCTCCCTCTCTCTGGGGCGTTTCCACATTGGTCGAGTCGAGAGGCCTCCGGTAGCAGAGGGAGGAGGAAGACGCCCCCCCCCATGGGGCAAAGAAGCTTTCTGGGGGAGCAGCCCGCTCGCTTTTCTCCTTTCTCCGAAAGTTACCTCGCGGCCAGCTTGCGGTGGCCGGCGGCGATCGAATAAACAAATCCGCCCCCCCCGGCCCCCCCCCCCTCCGGCGGCCGCTGCTGAGTGATTAATCCTTGAAGATAACGAGGCTTCCCCCAGCGGCCGGCCACCTGAGCAGCCCACTGCGGCGCCGGGAAGAAGGAAGAGGATGAAGAGGGGGAAGGCGACCGCATTCCGGCGGGCACAGTCAAAGAACGGGGGAGAAGCAGCGTCAAGAATAATACACATAAACCGATGACGGCCGCTCCGCCGCTGCCCGGCGGCAGCGGGGGAGGAGGCCCCGTCGTTCCTCGGGGTCAGTCTTCCGTTCAATGCAGAGAACATCCTTGAATCTGTAGAGCGTGAAAATACGGTGAAATTTGCGAAACGGGCGTGGATATATTCGCAATACAAATATATTCCTCAAAATGAATGCGGTATATTTGAAAAAAGCACCTCAAAGCAGAGTTACATTGGCAGATTTGCCCTTGTATGCTATTACTGTCACTGCGTCGGGGCCCACACGGGCCCACGGCCAACCCCGTCTTCTCTCTCACCCTCCTCTCGAACGGTTCTCTCACTACCTTTTCCCATCATTCCAACTCTCTCTCTCTCTACTGTGTTCACATCACAGTTTGCTCTCTCTCTCTCTCTACTCACAGACAGAAGGGGGGGCTATTAACAAAACCGGGGGAACAGGGGAAAGAGGCCAAGGAGGACGAGCAGCAGAAGCAGGGAAAGGAAAGAGCCGACTGCCCCGATAACCCGCCCATGCCTTCTCCCCCTTACCCCTTCCCAGCCTCCTGCCTTTGCCGACGGCGCATCGGTTACCGCTCCCTGTAGCCTCCCCTCGCCGGTCCTGCTCCTGCTCCCGCTCCTGGTTTTCGGGCTCTCGCTCCGTCTGTGGATCTGTGCTTCCTCCGCCGGAGTAGGGTGGCGGAGCTCACAAGGAGTTCGCGTTCTCGTCTGCTTTTTTCTGCTTCTGCGGGTAGGCCTGCAGTTTGAGAGATGGAGAAGAAGCAGGGTTTCTTCTCGGCGCTGAAGGAGGAGGTGGTGAGGGGTCTCTCACCGGCCAGGTCCAGGGCCCGGAGCCCTTCCCGCAGCGCCTCCCCCATGACGGGTCTCCTCCGCCGCCGTAGCAGGAAGAGCAGCGCCCAGCAGATGCTCGTCCAGAACTTCCCAGAGCCGCTCATCTCGAGATCCGGCAGCCTGCGCCCCGCCGGTGAAGCGCTTGCCCCGCTCATGGAGGGACCTCTCGACCCAGCCTCAGGCGACGGTGACTGCCGGAAGGAGAGGTGGGGCCACTGGATGAAGGGACAGTTCTCTAGGGCGCCTTCCATCTCCTCCTCCGCGGTCCCGTCCTCCTACCGACGCTCCGATCTACGCCTCCTCCTCGGCGTCATGGGTGCCCCCCTTGCCCCCATCCACGTCTGCTCCGCCGATCCACTGCCCCACCTCAGCATCAAGGACACCCCCATTGTGAGCTCTCTGCCATTTTTTCATTTCTCCATTTCTGCTTCGGCGAGTTCGTGGCGTGGACTGCGCTCTCTTTTTCCCCCAAGTAGTCTCCCGCGACGGTGGACGGTGCTGCGACCTATTTGCTCTTTCAGCGCCGAATCTAAGATCTCTGCATGCCTCCCCGATCGAATGCCTGGATCCCATCCATGTGTTCTGAATGGGAAGCCGTCTCTGATTTCTTTCATGATGTTTCTGTTCTTGTTTGCGCAGGAGACCTCGTCGGCGCATTACATTCTGCAGCAGTACACGGCGGCCTCCGGCGGGCAGAAGCTGCAGAGCTCGATCCGCAACGCCTACGCTATGGGGAAGGTGAAGATGCTGGCGTCAGAATTCGAAACGGCCACCAAGGTGATGAAGAACCGCAACTCGGCGAGGGCTGCCGAGTCGGGGGGGTTCGTTCTCTGGCAGATGAACCCAGACATGTGGTACGTCGAGCTCGCCGTCGGCGGCAGCAAGGTTCACGCGGGCTGCAACGGCAAGCTAGTGTGGCGCCACACCCCCTGGCTCGGTGCCCATGCCGCCAAGGGGCCCGTCCGCCCCCTCCGCCGTGCCCTCCAGGTATCACCTTTAGATCTTCCGGCGGATTTTCCGGCGGCACTTGCATGCGGGGGGAACTCCGGCGAGACTTTCTTTGAGTGTCTGACCAATCGCTGGCATCATCCCCTTTTCTCTCTCTGATCAGGGTCTGGATCCGAGGACAACGGCGAGCATGTTCGCCAATGCAAGATGCATTGGGGAGAAGAAGGTGAACGGGGAGGACTGCTTCATCCTCAAGCTCTGCGCCGACCCGCTGACACTGAAGGCCAGAAGCGAGGGCCCCGCCGAGATCATCCGCCATGTCCTCTTCGGTTATTTCAGCCAGAGGACCGGGCTTCTCGTCCACATGGAGGATTCTCATCTCACCCGGATCCAGTCCAACACCGGCGGCGACGCCGTCTACTGGGAGACCACCATCAATTCCTTCCTGGACGACTACCGCCCGGTGGAAGGAATCATGATCGCGCATTCGGGGCGCTCGGTGGTGACCCTCTTCAGGTTCGGGGAGATGGCGATGAGCCACACAAAGACGAGGATGGAGGAGGCGTGGACCATCGAGGAAGTCGCCTTCAACGTCCCCGGCCTGTCGATGGACTGCTTCATCCCCCCTGCAGATATCCGCTGCGGATCGATCAGCGAGACCTGCGAGCTTCCCCATGGGGAGAGGGGGAAGGCCGCTGGTTCGGGCCCGCACCGAGCGAAGGTCGCCGCACTCGGTAAGCCGCAGGGTTCTGTCGATAACATCGTCTGGAGGGTGGAGGTCTAGGGGGCCTTCCGCCGCCGTGGTGATCCGGGGGCCGACTGAATTGTTCATACTGGTAGTTCTCTTAATTGGCTGACTCTCACCGAGAAGGAAATGTAGGTTAGAGGGAGATGGAGGAGGAGAAGGCCGATCCGTGCTAGTTCTTTTGGGGAGGTCTGGTGTCTTCTGTAAATAGGAGCATAATTGTTCACAGGTCCTTCCTGTCCCGGGCCTCGCTGAATCTCTTATACTCTGGTTGCAGATTTGTCTGTGGGTAGGCTGGTTTCCCTTCCCTCTCTACCTTCCTCACCCTCTTTCTCCCCATCCTCTCCTCTCATTAACTCTCTTGGGGGTGGATGTGGGCTTTCCTTGTTCCCTCTTTCTTTTTTTTTCTCTTCTTTTCTGTCCTCATGCCCGTCTTGGTGAAGCTTCGTTTCTAATGCTGACACCCTCCCGCCGGCGCTGGCAAAGGAGTCGGCCGCCGGCCGGTGACCAGTCTGTCGCCTCTCTCTCTCTCTCTATCTTCTCAAGTCTTCATTTGCGTGGTTTTTGTTGCGCCTTTGTCAATGGGCAGTGCCAAAGCTATGTCCTTGATGTTAGTCCAGCTGGATGGGTGTTTTTTATTTGGTTGGGGGGGGGGGGGGGGGGGAAGACGAAGAGCTTGCAGTTTCTCGCCCGAGTGTAACCCTCAAGCTGTGGATTTTCTCTGTGATTAAGAAGCTGGTTGTGGTGGTGCCTGCTGGAAGTGACTCTTGTGAAATGAAGACTCATCTCCTTCTTCCTCTGTTCTCGTGACGTGCGAGTGTGAGTTTCACACCTTTCTCTCTCTCTTCTTTTGCGTTGGATGTGAGAGAGCATCCTAGGGCTTGTTGCCAGGGTCCCCACTGAAAAGAACTTCCCTTTATTGACCAGAAATCCGGTGCCTCATGCCCCCCCCTCCCCCAGCTTTAGGGTTGTACATGGTGGTGGGCGGCGGCATCATCCGGCTGAGGGCATTCATTGCCTCTCCTCGTGCTCTCTCTGGCTTTCTCTCTCTACGTCTATATACAATACTGTAGATATTTGCGACCGTGTTTCTTGCTCTTTTTGATTCGACTTCACGGACATCGCCCTCTCGTCTCCTTCCCTGCCTCGCAGAAGCTTCCTACCCGTTACCGGCGCCCGAGGCCAGGGCCGCCGGAGGGTTACCTGGCCCAGCCGATCAAGCCGGCTTAAAGCAACCGATTCCATCGGGTCATAGGAAATCCTCCGGCGAGAGCCCTGCCGGACGTGGGGCTCCTCTTCGGCGGATCCTCTCCGACTTGCCACAGTAAATGCCTATGTTTATGAGCTGCTCCCAGAGTTTATGGATTTCCCATGAAGCAGGCCCCGCCTGCCCGTGATACCCTTCACGCGGAATTATTTTCTATCGCTTCGCCATTCAATGGGCTCGGGGCATATCATGATGGGTCTCCTCCCGGCTCAGTTTCCGTCTACTGGATCCTTGAAGAATGGTTATGACGAACTGGGTCTTGAATGCCATTAAATAGGAGCCATTGACAGGTTAGTTGCGACTATTCCGACCCATTTCAAAGCAGAAACAGAGCCGAAGATCCACGGCCAGGAGGCAGTTCGAGGTTACAAAGAGACTAAAAAACATGCGACTAGGATGTTGTCTGGCGTCGTGTTCACGCATGAGATATTATCATTTACAAAAAAAAATAAGAGCACACCTCATTCAGCGGGTCCCTCATTTCGTAAAATGGGGGTTGATCAGCCCCGAGATCTCGAGGAATCCGACGCGATCGCGGCCGCCGAATATGGGCTTCAGCTTCTCGTCGCATATGATCACCTTCTTGTCCGTTGGGTCCTGCAAGGGGAGGAGGTGCGAGATGAGAGGTAAACCCTTGGCAGAGCAAAGTGGACGCCAGTATCAGAAGATAATGACGCAGATTACATCGTATTATTCATCACTCCAACGTCCCCCAGTCGAGGGACATACTGCAAGAAGACATCCACACCGACAACCAGGTGATGGGTGGTTTCGGGATATAGAAACTAACTAGCCGAGAACCGTCGATCAATCGCCTCTTCTTTTAGCAACGTAAAGCTGACGACCGAAATTATTTATGTAGAAATAAAGATGCTTGGTTTATGGGGACAGCTATCATTGCTCTGTCAGTCATCAGAGCATTTATAACCAATGCTCGGAAGTCTCAAAATCTGCACCCGAGTCAAAGGCTTCTGGGGAGTTCTTTATGCTATAGTCAGATTCAGTCCGGGAACTAGATAAGATCATTCAACAGACTAATCTTCCATCTGAGAAGTTGCTGAAATGCTGCATGAAGTGGGTACATGATGCATATTTCTAAAACAGAAGCATGAATTGAGGGCCATAATAAAGGATAGTTGCAAAGACATGGCGCAAATATCCAACCAGGAATAACTCGTACCACAGGAGTGGGAGGACATGAATTCCCGGTTCATCCCAATGATGAAGACATTTCATGATTGTGATGAAACGACTTCAATTCTAGATGTATGCTCACCCATTTCCTATGGCGCATCTCTGCGGGACTACTACTAGAAAACTCAAACTCCGAAAAGAAAGATAGTGAAGAAGGAACTGAAACCCATGTATGCGGAACTATAAAAATTATTAATGAGCAGTGATATCAAGAGTGAGAAAACGCTGACGAAATTCTTGCAGTGCCTGTCCACTTCATTAAAAGCAGAAGATGATGCTCTAGGTTAAGTGGGAAGTCTAGTTCATTGGTTAAAAACACACATCCATTGGATAAGGTCAGATGGCAACCGGAATAGCGAGGGGAAAAAATAAACGGCTCTGAAATTATTGACCCAAGAAATTCTTCTCTGTTGGGTATGAGTGATTTATTACGAGCTGTGATGGATTGCACAAAAGCTCAGCACCATAATGCATTCACATTCAACATGGAGTGCCACGATACAAGCGTAGAGACCATTTCTATTCCACCAAGTTTCCTAACAGTGCATTCATATTGCAAAATTATGCTTCTTCATTGGACTAGCCCTCCTCATCGAAAACCTGTAAAGGTTATTCGCAGTTACCTTCGAGGGTATATTTATTTCGATTCAAAATATAGGATACATTCCTTTTCATTTACAAAATCTCAATTAACCCATTCTTCTTGGATTAATGCTACGGGCATGCTAGCTTCCTAATTATTTTCAAAGAAGAAATCTCATTTATATGCATAACATTTCGGCAGTAAGACATGAACATGTGCTACAATCGATCTTTAACCGTTCGGCACGGCCGAAATAAGTGAGCTATGTTTATAGATAGATGGAAATGTAAGGAAGGGATTGAGAATACTAAAGAAAACTTCAACGCCCTGAAGTGAGCGATGACAAATTTCAACGCATGGCTCGTAAAAATCCATTAACTATCCAAGGAGTTAATGTAACTCTTCGTCTCCCATGGATCAATTAAAGGATTCTGAGAAAGCTAAAGCAATGAGGGAACTGGAACAGGTAACATAACAATAAAACATTCCGCACGTAAAGCACTGGCACGACTGCATGAGGAGGGAATACGATACCTGGAGGTCGTTCTGCTTAATGTAGTTCCAAATCTGCTTGACGGCCTGAGTGCGGGGTATCTCCGCGACGCCTAATAGCTCCTGCATTGCGGGAGAGACGGGCCGAGCTTTGGTGATGCCCCGGGGTGGCCTCTTCTCCTCCTTGGCCGCAGACGCCGTCTTCGACGCGGCGCACAGCGGCAGGATCGGTTTCCTTCCCCCGAGCGCAACCGCGAGGGGGGGATGAGCGGGGAGGACTGGCCGAGTACCGACCGGAAGAGCCTGCCCGGCGATGACGGCGGAGCAGGGGCCAAAGAAGGAGAGCTCCATCGCCATCGTGTCGGCTGATTCACAGTAGCTCTGGGGGAGTGACGGGCAGGGTGCTGCTGGAGGGAGGGGGAGAGGTTGTGAGCAACCGTGCGCAGTCGAGCAGCGGATAGAACTGTCAGAGACAAATAGAAGCCCCACTCGGTAGGTTTTCGGATTTTTTTCTCCATTTGAAGGCATCTTGAAGCTTCGCGAGAGAGAGAAAAATATAATTCAAATTATATTAATCGCCTTGTTAAATACTTTTGTATTCAGTTTTTTGTGAAATATCGTTCACATTGATACTCATTTCAGATAAATATCGCCTTCAGAAAGATGCCGTCTGATTATTCGACCCTTTTTAAAAACAAAATTGTATTAATCGCCTCCATATACGTGACTTATTTTAGGGCATTTATCCAATTTGGATATTAAATTGGATTATTTTGGGAAACTATCCAGTCCAGAGAAAGGGAGTTTAGCTATTTGAAAAAGATATATTTTCTAAAACTGAATTAATCGCGTCCTTATTAAATATGGATTATTCTGGAAAATTATGTACGGTAGATGGGCCGACTAAATTCTCATTCGGTCCCGAGTAATGGGCTAGGCTACCGTCTCCTGAGGGAATCAATTCGGTCCATCAGATAGCCCAGAACTTCCAACCCGGTAGCCGTCGGATCTCGCGGCCGAAGGGCCGCGGATCGATCCTCTCGGTGGACCCCCAACGCAGCAGTCGCCCGTTAGGGGACACCCGATCAGATCACCCGCCACGTGTGCGACTGCAGCGATCACCCGCGTACGACACCAATTAAACGGCTGTTCCGCGGCTCCAGCCGTCGTGAAGTGGCCGACGCGTCCCCCGGTGCTCCAACGGGCAGTAAAAATGTCACTCTCTGGACACTCCCACTGGTCGTCTGCCAACGGCAACCCGCGCGGCTGGCCCACCTGGCGGCGGCGACGAGCCCTCTGGTGAGGGACGGCGTTATACCCTCCGCCCCACTATATATTCCTCATGCTGGCTCGCCTTTCTTTCTCTAGAGCACTGCCCCGCCCCCTATCCTGGTAATCTACCGACTCCTCCCCAGCGGGTGCCCAGAGGACGATGGAGCGCCGGGCTTTGGCCGCTGTACTGGTGACCTTGGTGGCCGTGTCGTGCGTTGGCGGGCAAGCGCCGGCTGCTGCGCCTGCCGCCACCCCAGCGGTCCCCGCGGCATCGCCGTCAAAGTCGGTCACCCCAGTCCCGGCCGCTGCGCCGACGAAGCAAACTCCCGCCCCTGCTGCGGCTCCGGTGTCCTCTCCGCCACCTGCAGCCCCGAAGGCCTCGCCACCGACTGTTGCTCCCGCGCCGGTGACCCCCGCGGTGCCGCCGCCAACTGCGCCGCCTGCTAAGGCCCCCGCGTTGGCGCCTCCGGCACCGGTCTCGGCTCCTCCCGCTGCTGTCCCAGTGAGTGCACCGGTTGCTTCTCCCCCCGCATTGCCGCCTTCGGCCCCGGAACCGGTTGCTCCTACTCCCACCATCCCCTCCTCTCCTGTTCCATCCGCTGAACCACCGGTTCCGGTCGAAGAGCCTGCCCCTGCACCGAGCAAGAAGAAGTCGAAGAAGAAGAAGAAGACTCCGGCGGCTGCTCCCGAACCGGCCGCCGCCAGCCCCCCGGCGCCGCCCGCCGAGGTCCCCGGGCCATCTCAGGATGCCACTGCTCCCGTCGCCGACGACACGGTACGCCGTCTTTCCCTCCCCCTTAGCCGCCTTCAGGTTCAGCCTATCATACACGGCAACAAACGTGATCTGGCCTCAAATCGTCAGATCTCCATGAACACTCAATGCAACTCACCGACAGTACCCCGAATGCCGGATCCTTGCGCCATTGCGGCAGATCCGCCTGTGTAGATGAACTAAAACCACCTGCTCATTGGTCGAGTATGCGATCTGAACATCCCAGAGCAAGAACAGACCAACATCCCCGATTAGCACCTACCTGGCCCACTCATAAAGGTGGATCAGAGCAAGGGGATCACCTTCTTACTTTCCCCATGCAGTCGGTGCCCATCTTCCGCAGGGCGGACTTCTGCTGAGATTGGAATCTGATTATTTTTCAATTTTTGGAATCCGACACGAGTAAAAAGTTTTTCAATGTACGGTACGACAAGGGCCTGACAGTCGTGCATGGAGATCTGCGGCCAAATCGGGCCCGTTGATTCTCTGCAGCCTCACACGATCTGCGAGGGATTTGATGGCTCTGTCGGTGGTCCTTTTTTGGTCCTGACCTCCAAGCTCTGAGAGCGCCGTATTTATTGATATTGCGGACGATGATTTCCATTTCTAATTAATCTAGACCGTCCATATCTGATTCGTTTGTCAATCGAGCGGCTTGGATCTGACGGGGATTGAATCGTTTGTTTCAGAGTGGAGCGGCGTTCGGGGCGAGAAGCCTGGTGGCGGTGGGATGGGCGCTCTTAGGGGGGTTGGCCGTCGTCGCGTAGGGCGGGCGGCCTCTCTTAAGATTTCCGCTTAGTCCCGCTTCTTTTTCCCCATATTTCCGCGCGGCGGTCTCTCCACTTGGTGCATTCATTTCCTTCAAGAGAGGGAGACTCCAGCTTGTGAAGATTTTATTTGATTTAAATTTGCAGACTATTTATGCTACTTACTGATGATTTACATTTATATACCTACTACTCCCGGCATTCTCATCTAACTGACCAAGTTTCAGTCGTTTGAGAGGGTCACAGCGATTAAATTTTTATGATTACTGCGATCAAGGAATCTGGGCAGGTAGCGTCGACAGAGGATTACATACATAGCTTGATCTTCCTAATTGATGTAGAAATTAATGCCTGTCATAGAAATTAATGCTTGTGATCTTCTCAATATATGCATATGATTAGGGAAATGAGTTGCAGAAAATGCGTTTCGGCACATAAACTACGGCAAAAGATGATCCGATCTAGCTATTATGAAGCATCAAGAGGTTCGAGTGGAATGAGGTTCGAGGGCAAGAGTACTGTGGGCATCAATGGGGGATGGTGCCCGATCTGGACAAGAAAGTGCGAATCTTTTGTTCAGCTTTAGGATCATGAATCACTGCTCCTATTATTATCAGGCCCGTGCCCTATCCTCAGGTAAAAATTCTAGGATTTGTCAGTAATTCTCGGATATTCAGACAAGATACAGCAGCACTTGGGTCGCATATTTCGATTCATATTCAGCTCATTTGAACATGAAAGACCTTCGTATCCCCCTAAACATTACACATACATTTCGGCATGATGAGCAAAGATAACCACCCTTGTTTCATCACACCCATTATTCGGAAGAACATGTCCTCCAATATGTCAAGGAGATAAACAAGAAAATACGTATTACAGGGTGGTTCTCATACGTACAAGAAGAACCCGGCCTACCCAGTCAGGGGCATCGGCTACCTCTCCGCTAATCTTCTGGACAGCTTGCGCTGATCCTCACTAGAAATCCGAGGATCGAGCTGCTGAAGACCGTGGATGAAGACACTGGCCTCTTCTCTCAGGCCGACTTTACAGTAGCCATCCACGACTGAGTTGTAGGTGTTCTCATTGGGCCGACAGCCATTCTTAATCATGTACCGAATGACGCCGATGGCCTCCGCAAACATGGAGTTTGTGGTGTAACTTGCTATAAATGTGTTATATGTCACGACGTCGGGCTTCAGCCCGGAGGCCTTCAGCTCCAGGAAGATCCTAGTGGCATCTTTCATGAGCCCCTGCCTGCCATAAGCATGGATGAGGGTGTTATATGAGAAGAGGTCAGGCCGTCTACCTTTGGTCTTGATCTCTCTGAGGATTTCCTCTGCTCTCCCGGGATCTCCCGAGCGACTGTACATGTTGATCAGGCTGTTGTAGGTCGTCAGAGTGGGGCTGAAACCGGATTCTTTCATGAAGCACAGAATCTCGTTCACCTTCGGAACCATCTGCCTCCTTCCGTAGATGGAGAGCATGGCATTCAGAGTGGTTATGTCGGGGGAGGAGCCCCTCTTCGTCAGCTCCCGGAAGGCATGCTCTGTTTCAGCCAGAAGGTTGCTCTTGCCGTAGACTAAGACCAGAGTCTTTAGGAGCACGGCATGGGGTTCTATGATCCCCGAGTAGATGTCCTCTGCGAGTGCACCCATCCGATCCAGTTCTCTTCCGTTCGCGTAAGCGTGCAACATGGAACAGTAGGTGAGCTCGTTCGTCTTACAGTTCCTGTCCTTCATCTCCGCCAGTATCTTCTCGGCTTGCTCCCAGAGGCCGCCGCGAGCCAGAGCAGCAAGCACCGCGTTATAAGTCGAGAGATCGGGAGTAATGCCCGCAGTGATCATCCTCTTGTACACCACCATAGCTTGGTCGAATGCGCCGCAACGGCTGTAAGCGCTGATCAGAGTGTTGTATGTGTCCCTCTCTGGGATGAACCCGGCTTTCTTCATCTCCTTGAATACGCCCGAGACCTCGTCGTCCATGCCATTCAGACCGAAAACAGCCAGGAGGGTGTTCCAGGTGACGATGTCAGGGACGAAGCCGCCGGATCTCAGCTCTTCGAATACCTGCATCATTTCTGGAAACTTTCCTCGATTCCCGTACATCTTGATCAGGGCGTTGAAGGTGCAGAGATTTGGCCTGCAGTCTTGGGTCTTCATCTCCTCGAAGATCTCCATGGCTAATACATCCTTCCCAGCCTTTTCGAGGCCTGACAGGAGGGTGGTGTAGGAGACGACATCTGGTTTTATCCCCTTGGACTTCATCTGGTCCTTCAGCTCCATGGCTTCGTCCAGCATCCCGTCCTTAGCATACGCAGATATCAGCGAGTTGTAGGTGACGATGCTGGGGGGAAACCCGTTCGTCTCCATTTCCTGCAACACGGCCATGGCCTCCTTGTGTCTCCGCGACTTCCCGTAGACATCCAGGAGGGCATTATACGTGACCTTATCCGGTTGAAAACCCATTGATTTCATCTCCTCGAAGATCTGCAAGGCCTCTTCATAGAGAGACCCTCGTCGGCAGCAGCTGATGAGAGTGTTGTAGGTGTACCTGTCGGGGAAGATGCCTTCCTTCTTCATGACATCGACGACAGAAACAATCTCGTTCCAGGGCATGGACAACTTCCCATAGACGTTAAGGATGATGTTGTAGGTGATGAGGGTGGGTTTGCAGTCGTCTTCCTCCATCTCCTGAACCACCGACAGAGCCTCCCTGTATCTCCCATTCCTCACGTAGGCCGATACCAGGGAAGTATACGTGTACACGTCCACAATGCAGCCCTCTTTCTGGAGAGAGTGCAGAAGAGCGGCGGCGTCCGAGACCCTGCCCTCTTTTCCCAGAATGCTGATGACCGTAGGGGCCAACGGGCCACATCCACCATGGCAATTCCGGAAGAGCTTCGCGTCCCCGTGCCTCCGGCGGACCCACTCGAACACGTTCAGCGCGGCGTCCGTCTTCTTGTGGAATTCCAGGGCCTCGATTATCCCCAGGAGGTCGATGGACAGGGAATCCAGCTCCTCCCCGCCATCGGAATAATCGGTGGTAGCCGGATCAAGGGCGACGAGCACCTCATCCAGGCGAGCTGGGCTGAGCTCGACTGATCCGAGAATAGACTGGAGGACGCGACGGCCGCGGGCTGAGACGCGGGCATCGACCGACCAGGGCTTCCCTCTGTTGGGGTCGTAGTACTTCCCGAGCTGCGGCCTCCGCGAGGACGAAGTAGGCCGCCTGCGATAGCTCCGAGGAGAGGAATTGGGGGCTTCCCGCTCCTTGTGGAGAAGAGGCTCCCGCAGGAGCTCCTGGAGAAGTGGTGCTATTGGGGATGGCGATGGCGGCGTTTGCTGCTGCTGCTGCTGATGATGATGATGCTGCGGTAGTTGGGAGGGCTCTTGGAGGATGCGAGGGGAAGGAGGAGGGCCCGGGATTCGGAGGGGGAGGGAGAGCTTATCTACCATGGCGAAGGCGGCGAGAGGGCGTCTCACCAGCAGAGCGGTAGGGAGAGAAGCGGCGGCGGCCGGGAAGAAATATCAGAGATTCGAAGAAAGGATGCTAGGCAGGTATGCGTTCCCGGTTTTGGGCTCCTCTCAGCGTCTCCGTTTGGAACGATAAGCCCACTCCATGGACCGAGCCCAAGTAGTAGGAGAAGCCGAATTAAATAGGACAATCCGGCCCAATCCCGTCCTGCTCAGTCGGGGTAGTGCGACAGGTACCTCGCGGGTCTAACATACCGTGAGAGTTTAAGGGCTTAAATTGTTAGGGTTTCGACTCGTCGGAGGCGGCCTGAGTCCACCCACTGCGGGCCGAGAGACTGAACCTCCCGCCGGAATTCTCGAAAATGGTATGATCATCCCACACTTTGTGCCCTATTATTTTCGTTATGAGGGTTTTTTCTTTACCGTCTGGGAAAGTTTGGTGCCGAGTCCACGGAGTGTTCTTACGGTTACTGTATTTTTTTACCTGAAAATTTTGGTCTTGCGTTATCTACCTTTTAATCTCTGCAATACTTATTTTTTTTGGTCTCTCTCGCTCGTTTCTGAATCATTCTTCTTGTGCATGTGAAGTTAAATGCATGCTCGGCTGTAGAGGAGGGCAAACCAATTTTTTCGTGCAATAGTTGGTTTAAATACCCGACCAGGTGTTATGCCAAGCATCCATTTTGTGTCTGCTTTTTCTCGATTCCACCTGCATTGTTCCAATGGGGCTTGCAGTTAATAACCATGTTTTCGGTAGATGTATGCGAGGAGGCGTATTTTCAGACTGTCAATTCCGGCCGTGGAGTTTCAATGAGTCGTGGGATTTGAAGTGTTGTTAGTTTTTATTACTTTAGAAAGTTGCGCCTTAGTTTTCTGGGATGATCTCGCAGCCGAAGCAGATACACGAGATCAAGGATTTCCTGCTCACTGCGAGGAGGAAAGATGCGCGCTCTGTGAAGATCAAGAGGAGCAAGGATGTCGTGAAGTTCAAGGTTCGATGCTCCAAATATCTGTACACACTCTGCGTGTTTGATTCGGAGAAGGCTGATAAGCTAAAGCAGTCTCTTCCACCTGGTAAGCTGGAACCTGCTCTCCCTCATATTTTCCCTGGTAAAATGTTAAGCTGGAAAATCTGTCAGCAGTTTCGAGAATATTTCATCCCGATTGATGTTCATGGTCTCAGATGCTAGTGTCTAAATTGGAAGTTGAGAAAATAGATCGAAAATAGATGAACTCTTTGGTTGTTTGTTTGCTAATGTAAATAATGTGTGGTGTTATTATCCGTCTAAGTTTGGGGCAGCCTATCACATTTTTGTAAAAGAAAGTTTTCATTGGGCCATTACGTTAAAAAAAGGGTATTGGGTCAGGCTGGATTCTGATTGGCCAGTGTCTGTGTTTAATTACCCAGAGGTTTTTGAGAATATTCGTTCCATGAGCAAACCCAGGACGGATGGTTAAGGAAGGGGTCAGCATTGAGAAATTGCATTCATATGGAGTATTCTGGGTTGCTGTGGGCGTTTAAATTGGGTTTTTCGTTTCATCACTGTTGGTTAACATGAATTTGGGATGAAAATTTGCTAGTTCATCACTGTAGACGACAAGGTAAAGACGTGATCTAGAAGATGAACCCTTGTAAGATGTATCAAATCGAAATTTTCTTGCCAAAGATTTCCAATTGCCTTTGGGGGGAAAGTTCCCTCATATCATTGAGTAGCACTTTCACAGAGCTGAAAGGTTAGGGGAATTAGAGTCTCATGGAAGGGAATGACTCGACGAGCGTATCGTTTAGAATGGATGATGATGGGAAATGGAAATCAGGAGAGAAGTTTTGACAACTTTGGGAAATGATGGACAGACCTTCTTGTCTTCTGGGTGTACCTCATTGTCAATGGATTTTCCCCTGTTCCACAGGATACTAGAAAAATAGTGCACTGGCTTAGTGCAAGCTGCAATGGGACGTTGTCGCTGACGATTTTCAGCACTTGTTTTCGCTTCTAATCATTCTTTATAACATAGTTTCGCATTTGTCATATGAGGGTTCATCCGTCTAATTTTTATCAACAATTGTGCTGTGTTCGTTCTGTTCTATAGTTATGTTTCTTTCTTTTTTTTCCTATCAGGCTTGAGTGTTCAGGAGGTGTGAGCTGCATGCTACAGGATACTAGCATGGAGAACGACCGTCTTGCCTGCGCTTATTCAGTTTTTTTGAGAAGCATTGAGACTGAGTCCTTGTGGCACTTATCGCTGTTCGATGCCAGGACGTTTATATGAACACTCTGTTTCTGCAGCTAGCGGATCTAATCCTTTCAGCTTCTTTTGTGATAATGAAACTGGCGCCCTGAGAACTCTCCATTTGATTCTCCGAGAGCATAGATCCACATTTCGCGCTTGTCTTATGAAATCGTGAGTTGAGCAATGCAGGGATCATTATGTAGTTTAATTGGGGAGATCGAGGAGAACAACGAGGGCCCATGACTGTGGAGCTCTGTATCTTCATTGCCTCTTTTTTCTCCGGCAAGCGGATGTTCTTCAGCTACGATCTGGGGATCTCTTGAGTCCCTGAGCAGCATCAGCTGCCAGACGGTACCCGTATGCCTACCATAGCCTTCCTTCAATTGGTTAGAGAGAGAGAGAGAAGAGAGAGAGAGAGCTGGATAAGTTGGTTAGAGAGAAAGGTAACCAGAAACCTTAATTTTGTCTGTATTGTATCAATGAACAGATGAACATGATCATCTCACGATGAGAGGTTTCGCCTTTCCTAGCAGAGTTCATCGCCGAAACCATCCGGGGCAATACTCACGGTGACGAGATTTCCAACATATAACGCAAACTGTTGGCTTTTCCCGATTATTGATCGACAGCCAAAGCTCTGAACATCTAAAAGAGCAAGGTTAGAAAGCTGGTGTTCAGGAAGAGTGACATGAAAAAATCTAGCACTGTTTTTGCAATTATTTTAAGACACTTACAGAAGTCTTCTGAAAGAAACCTAAAGCTATATTTCCCGGAAAATGGTGTTTTTAGCAGGTATGGGATGTGCATCCCCTCCTAATGGATGTCTCTGTCCTAACTGAGCAGATAGCCTATGTTCAAAGCTTTAATTTTCGCCTTTTTTTTTCGAATCCCTCCTAGGATCCTGCTTTAATTTTAACAGGGCATCTGATCTGACGAGCGAGCAGCTTTCATCACTAATGCTGTGAATTATTTCATTCCAGGTTCCCTCTTCTACTGTTTTCTAAAACCTGATGTTCAGTAATGGCGGCTGAAAATTTTCCTCATCAACTTTTTATTTTCTTTACCTCAGCTGATTATGCGGTTCATTCATAAATAACTTAGTACAAACACTTGGACAACGAGAGATCTGCAATAACAAACAACTGTGCTTACAGAACCGCTGCCAAGACAGGGGAGATCACAGCAAGAATGGCAACGGCAAATCGAGGAGGAAGAAAGATAGAAATTGTACCTGGTGCGCCTTTCAAGGGACGATCTTGTAGACCTTGGTCTTGTCGATCCAGTAGGTGAAGGAATTCACAGAGTTCCTAAACCCCAGGAAGCCGTGCTCCTTGCTCTTGTTCATGCTGTCCAAGTGGGTGCCCTGGGCATTGAAGAGCAAATCCAGGTACCACCACTGTGCCACCTCGTTCAGCCTGGTTTTCGCGAGCTGGTTCTCGTTCACGATGGCATCCCAGACCTCGGCCTTGTCCTTCATCGCCTCCTGAAGGCTGAAACGCTTCTCTTCCCCCTGGTAGCCGACTGGTTCCACCCCGAACTGTGCCGCCAGGACATTCCACATGTGCTTCCACTTGAACACGTCGCCGTTGCTGCAGTTGAATGCCTCGTTCCTGGCGTAAGGGTCTACGGAAGCCCAAATCTGCTGCTCGGCGATGAGATCGGCGTCGGAAGCGTCGCAGTAGCCTTCCCAGACGACCTCGTTTCCGGGGTACCGGAGAGGCGCCCCCTCGTGCTTGCAGATGGCGGCGTAAACGCACAGAGACGAGACGAAGTTCATCAGGCTGAGGGGAGAGAACCCAAAGATGACCCCTGGCCTGTGCACTGACCACGAGAGGTTCTCCGACTTCGCCGCCGCCTCGAAGAGCAAGTCCTCCTGGTCGTAGTAGAAGTTGGGCGTTTCAAAACGTGGGAGGTCCTCGTGGTACGGCGTATCGTGTGCAGGCGTCTCGCCGGGTAATCCCGTCAGGCGGAAGTAGTGCTTGCGCCCAGTCACCAGGCAGACGTGACGGAGGCCGGGGCAGTTGGGGACGACGGCGGCGAGGACGTTCCTGAGCATCCGGGCGTTGGCCTCGCAGTTCTCGGCCTCGGTAGGGCGCTGGATCCAAGCGGCGTAGAAGACGTGGGTGACGTCGGAGAGAGGGGCGAGCTTGGCCTGGGCGTCGCCGGCGTCGGAGACGTCGCATTGGACGTACATCACCGGGTGGTCGGTAATGTTCCAGGCGGGGCGGGGCCGCCGGGCGACCCCGTAAACCTTCCACGGGCCGCCGGGAGTGTCCGAAAGGGGGAGGATCTCGGCGAGGCTGTTGCCGACGATTCCCGTGACGCCGATCACCAGGCCGACGCTCTCGTGCTTGGTCCCCGCGCTGCCGTCGCCCTCGTCTTCGCCCAGCTTCTTCTGCAATCGGGGGAAAGAATGAAGACCCCGGCAGGGCGGATTGTAGGCGAAAATCAGAAACCGCGTCCATCCGCGGCGTCCGCCGGGGATCCGATCGGCTGGATACCTTTGCGGCGCCGATGGCGCCGGACCACCACCAGCTCATGGCTGCCCGGGGAGGAGAAGATTCGGGGCGGGAGGCGGCCGTGACAGGTGAGCGCAGAGGAGAGGAGCCCCGAGATCTAATCGAATTCCGACAGTGATAATGTGAGATCACCAGACGTCGGGAGGCCACCAGACCCACGATCCGGAGGAACCCATCGGACGGCGAGAGATTCTTGTTAGTCTGATACGATCCTCATAGGCATCCTTAACGACGCGGCAGACAGCGCATCGATAGAGAAGCTTAAACGACATCACAACCGTCAGTAACATCAACTGGTCAAGAGGAGATCAACTGACCACGAGGCGTAGAAAAGTGGTAGGAAAGGTAATCGGTGAGAACTTAGAGATCAACTAACGATCGCTCCTTTGTGTTCTTGGCTTCTCTAAATTCTCTCTCAATTACTCGAGGTCTGATCACAGTCTCCCTCCTAGTCAATGAGTTTAAGTGGAACATCCAGAAAATGAGTTTGAGGAATTGCGTTGAGATCTTCTCAACCTTTATGAGATATCCCTGTAATAAAGCCCACAGTATTTAAATGTTTCTGACCCAATATGGAATATAATGTTGAAGTTTATGTTTGATCATACTTGATATATTAATAGGATAAAATGCAGTAGATGAGGTTAGTTGGGACATTGGGACCATTTTAGATACATAAATAATTGTGTGAATCTTAATCGATTGACTTTATCATTGAACTCTCCAAGCTGGACAACTACGATGTAATATTAATCTTGGTGGACTACTCAAAATATATGGTGGATGAGGTAGTACATGTCTTCTTAATTTATGTGGTAAAGTTGTGAGGCATTTTAAAAAACATCATCTTTGGCTGGGATCCTCACTTCGTTGGGGTTCAAGTTAGCATTCTTTACCCTATTTGGAACTTTATTTAAACTTTTTTAGGACTTCTTACCCATAGACTAACGACCATACATAATGGATAAATGACATGTTTGAATAATACTTGTGACATTACATGTCTTTCAGCAAAGATAATTGGGTTGAATTACTTGATATTATCTAATTTAATTATAACATAATATAACTCATCAATGGGCCACTTGCCCTTCAAGTTGGTCATATGACAATAACTTCTTACACCACATGATCCAACAAAATAATATGAAACAATACAGTTTTTGGTCACATTTCAATTTGTCAAACAGTAATATGAACTTGTGGAAAAAAATATGAAAAGAGTTAATATAGGTAGCATAATGCATGAACGTCAATTGTCACAAACATGAAGTCGAGTATGAAGTTGGTGATTAGGTGATGTTGTGGATATCTCACTCACATGAGTTTACAATGACAAAGATGACATAATGGGCTGGTGCCGAGGTATAATGGGCTATTCAAGACTGTGTTCCAAGGTATTGCTATTGAATCCATATTACATAGGTTATGAAGACCATTAACAAAATTGGCCATAATGACCTCCACCTATAGTCCACACTCTTACATCTAGAGGGTAGAGGTGATACTAAATCATCAAGTGATTGATGGCGGTTGTCACAACTACCCTCACATGAACACCTTATTCCTTATCAAATGGTAGGACAAGTTGAAAAAATAAGTTACACAGATCTTTGATAGTTTGAAGATTTTATCTAATAGTACATAACATCAGAATTTTGAGGGGAAGAATGTTAGGTGAGGTGAGACCCCTTGGGTAGAACCTCACAACCAATAGAGTACATGACGAGTGTGCAGTACAGCGAACACATGATATGACGGATGCATGTGGCATAAGGGACACACGACACAATGGGCATGTGCAGCATGCGCATTATGCAAAGATCTAGGGGAGCAAGGATGTCATGAAGTTCAAGGTTCGATGCTCCAAATATCTTTACAGACTATGTGTTTGACTAAGAGCAGGCTGATAAGTTAAAGCAGTCTCTTCCACTTTATAGGTTGGAACCTGATCTTCCCCTTCATATTTTCCCTCATCTGTCATCAGTTTCAAGAATATTTCGTCTCTATTGATATTCATGGTCTCTGATGCTACTACATAAATTAGAAGTTGTGAAAAGAAAGAAAATCTTTGGTTGTTCGTTTTGTTGATGTGAATCACATGTGGTGGTGTTATATCTTGCATAACATTTTCCTTTATCATGTCGTATTGTCCATAATTATTATTCCACGTCATATCCTTGATTTTTTTTTCTTCAGCCATGAGGATGCATCAAATGTTTCTTTCTATGTCCAATATTTGGATATCTTAATGGTCATTGAACATTTCAAGTCTACATCATGGATTGTTATAAAAGATTTCTCATCTCTATCTAGATTTGGAGTAGCTTATCACATTTTTCTAAAAAATATTATGGTTGAGCCATTATATAAAAATTGGTGTATCAGGTCAGACTATATTCTGATTTACCAATGTCAGTGTAAAATAACTAGAGGTTTTTGAGAATATTCATTCCATGAGAAATTCTTGACACCATGAAAAAACTCAAGATGAACGATTAAGCAAGGGGCCAACATTGAGAATTTTCATTCATATGATGTCTTCTGTGAATGTTCAAATTGGGTTTGTTGTTTCATCAATGTTGATTAATTTGAATTTGGGCTGAAAATTTACTAGGTACTCACCATAGATGACAAGGGAAAGACATTGTGGTCTGGAAGATGAACCCTTGTAAGTTGTATATGTTGGAATTAAAGAATCTAGTGTTGAGATAGATAGAGAATGATAAAACATAATGAGAATGAATTAAAACCATATCTAAATCCATGAAGACAGAAGTATGAGGATGACCTTTTAGATTAGTACAGGAGAGTCATCTAATGACTTGCTCTAGAGAGATAGAATGCTCTAAGAGTGACTCATGATGTGTGACCCAAGGACATGACCTCCTATTTATAAACAAGTGGTTAACCTCTTGGTGTCTTTTTTTAATTTAACCTATCATAAAATTAGAATAAGACCTGATCTCTACACAGATTTATATTTATGTCTATGTTTACGAGAGAGGTTGTAATCTCAAATGCTTGAACTCTAATGAATCATTTTAAATAATATTAATTTAATTATTATCTCATAATATATAATTCATATATATCATTGTTCACATTGAGATTAATTCAAATAGTATCATAACAATTTGTGTTGAAATTATGTCAAAAAGCTTTGAACATCCTCAAAGTAAAACTTTCATGCCAAAGATTTCCAATTGTTTTTTTTTTGGGGGGGGGAGGGGGGGGAGAAGTCCCTTCATCACAATGAGTAGCACTTTTGAATAATTGAAAGTTTAGGTCAAGTAGAGGCTCATGGAAATGAATGACATGACATGCATATTGTTTAAAATGGATGATGAGAAATTGAAATTAAGAGAGAAGCTTTGACAGCTTTGGGAAATGATGCACAAACCATTTTCTGGGCGTACCTCATTGTCAATGAATTTTCCCTGTTCTATAGGATACTAGAATGTGCATTGAAAATTCCCTAAGAAGGATTACATATGACAAAAAGTGCCTGACTTAGTGTCAGCTGCAATGGCACGTTGTTGCTGACGATTTTCAGCGCTTTTTTTTGGGAGCCATTTTTTTTCACTTCTCATCATTCTTTATAATATATTTCTGCATGTGCCATCTAGGGTTTCATCCATTTAATTTTTATCTGCAATTGCGCCATGCCTATTCTGCTCTATAATTATTTTTCTATGTTTTTACCTCACAAGTTTGAGTGTTCAGGCGGTGTGAGCTGCCTGCAACACTCTATCATGGAGAGCGATCGTCTTGTCCGCGCCCATTCAGTTTTTTTCAGAAACATTGAAACTGAGTTCGTATTATAAACCCTTACCGCTGTTCGATGCCAGGGCGTTTCTATGAACACTCTGTTTCTGCAGCCAGCGGATCTAATCCTTCACCTGGTTTTACGGTCATGAAACTGGCGCCCAAAGAGATCTCCATTTTGTGCTTTGAGAGCATAAATCCCCATTGCGTGCTTATCTTATGAATCATGAGTTGATAACTATGCAGAGGCCATTATATAGTTTAATTGGGAGGTCGAGGATAACAACGAGAGGTGATGGCTGTGCCCCACCAGATCTTCATTGCCTCTTTTTTCTCCAGCAAGCGGATGTTCTCATTTGCTAGATTGGTTTTCCTTTGCCATCAGCATGATCTGGTGGTCTCTGAGTCCCACCATCATGAGTTTAATTGGGAGAGAGAGAGAGAGAGAGAGAGAGAGAGAGAGAGAGAGAGAGAGAGAGCCCTAATATTTTCTTACAAGGTGGCTAGAAACTTGAGTGTTTTATCTGGTGTATAAATGGATGTAAAAACATAATCATCTCACAATGAGAAGGTATGCATGTGCCATACTTATCTGTTTATAAGTTTCTCCCTTCCCAATAGAGTTCATACCCCTCTGCTTCCTTTCTAGCCATGGCACTGGCTCGTCAAATTTCCTTCGTAAAAAATTACGTTCGGTAACCGGAGTGTATTCGGCGGGGACCAAGCTCAGACACAGATAACGTGATCTTCGTTGGCAGATGTTGACTCCCGATGTCTTGAGACCATCCGGGGCAATATTTACGGTGATGAAGTTTCCATTATACATCACAAACTGTTGCCTTTTTCCACGAACTAATCGAGACGCCGAAGTCAAGGCTGCCAAATAATAATCAGACGTTGTTAGTGGAAAAAATCCACGGCAATAGGAGCTATATAAATGCTCTAAACATCTAAAATAGCAAGGTCTCAAGACTGGTGTCTGGTAAAATCCACGCCAAAGTCGGATGCTTCTTGGTTGGTAGGAGATGAGTATGCTCTCCTAATGGTGGTCTCTGTACTAATCGAGCAGATAGTAGATTTGAAATGCTTTACTTTTTAAATTTTTTTTGTCGAACCAGGCATCTGATCAAACGAGCGAGCAGCTTTCATCACTAATATTCTGAATTATTTCCCTCCAGTTTCCCTCTTCTACTGTTTTCTAAGACTCGATGTTCAGTAATGGCGGATGCAGTTTTCTTCTTCAATCTGTTTGT